AGAGAAATGCTTGATTATCATATACTATCATATTATGATAATCTGCAAGTGCCATGAATTTATGTCACTACTATCTGTTTCCAGGATGACATATCAAATAGAGTTGATGTCGAGGTTCTGATTAAGTGTGCCCATTCTGCCAAAGAAGGTGTCACTCGGAACCATGTATTCTCACTGTTGTGTTCCATTGCAAATGTGATGCCAGACAAGATAGTACGCCATGTATTGGATATACTCGCAGTAATTGGGGAGTCGACCGTTACACAGGTTTGCTGATATATCTTGGAGTTTTAGGAATTGTATGTTCATGTTTACTGCATGAGTTCTATACATTTCGATCCCTTCCATGTGATGTCCTGCTGCTGCGTTTCCTTTGTAGACAGACAGTCACTCTCAGCATGTGTTTGAGCAACTTATATCTGCTATTGTTCCCTGCTGGCTGGCCAAGACCGAGGACCCTGAAAAACTGCTTCAGGTGAACCATAAAAATTTCCTTTGCTGTCAACTTCTGCATGGCCTCATTAGTGGTTAACTCTGATTAATCTATTCACATGGATTTACTTTCAGATTTTTATGAATGTGATACCTGAGATTGCTGAGTACCGGAGGCTGTCAGTTGTAGTGTACCTTTTGAGGTATTACGCTTACACTACCAAACGGCTGAAATTCTTGCTTGATGTTAAGGATTGTGTCTAATTTATTTTGCTTCTCTACAGGGTGCTGGGAGAACAAAGTAGCTTGGCTTCCTTACTTCTACTTCTTTTCCAGTCCCTACTTTCTAGGAGGGTGCTCATTTCGCTTGCCAATGAACAAGCATTTGATGCTAAGGGTTCTATCTGGAGAGAATGGGAATATGCATTTGCACTGCAAATAGTTGAACAGTATTCAAGCACCATATGGCTTCCGTCTCTTGTCATACTTATAAAGCGGATAAGGGCAGATGATTCTGACCAAGAACTTCCAGTTAAGCTGCTTTTTGCAATGGAGTTTATTCTACACAAATTGCAAGATCCTGAATTCACATTGAGGCTTCAGTCAAGTGAGGGATTTGGTAACATTCAGGTAATGAGCTATATAATTGACAATAAATGTTTCGCCGATTTAGACAAATTTTACCAATTTAGATCAATGTCTTGTGTGGCTCTGACTGTTAGGGTATACACTAAAAAGATCTTCCGAGTATCAACTTCTACTCAATAGCTAGGGGTTATTTCTAACCCCAATAGCGTTATAGAAAAATATTTTACTTGTGAGCCTTCCTGTTTTAGTTTCATTATCAGCTCTTCTTTCTTTCTGCTTGCGGGGAACAAATATTTTTGTTGTATGTTTCTGTTGGTCTGGGTTTTATTAAAGAGAGCAGTAGCACACAAAGATATCTTATTTGGGAAATAGAATTCGGTCCTTTCCTTTTCCTTTGTTGATATAAGATGTCTTCTGAATTGTTTTGTTGATGATGAGCAGGGAACTCTTCAAGAACTTATGGAAGATGTTGTAACTATCTCACAACTTGTTGATGCCAGAAGAAAGCAGTTCCGCTCTCCTGCTGCCACGAGAAAAGTTTTAAAAGAAAGAGTGCAAGCTGTCTTGAGAACTATTAGGACAGCAATGACACCTTCAGCATATTTCAGTGGCATGATCAATTTGCTGGGGAATTCAGATGATAACGTGCAGAAGAAGGTATATTAAATTACACACTAATGGATAAATTTGCACTTTTTATTTACTCTTGTCAGAGAACTCGAATTTTCAGTTTTAGTTTGCCTTATCTTACTTAGACATGTCAGCATTTCTTATTTCACCAGGATATGATTGATACATTTCTTAGTCTAGTATTAAAAAGATTTTGCATGAAATCCAGGCTCTGCGACTTCTATGTGGGACTCTGAGGAACCAAGACTCTGAAAAGATAAAGCACAAGGGGAGAGAAACACTTATAGGTTCCAGTTCGTGGGTTCATACGGACAAGGCAGCAGTTAAATACTTTCATAAAATGTGTCTGCAGATTGTTGGAATGGTTGATACTGGAGAGGAAGCAGATCCAACTCTGCCGATTGCTGCAGTTTCAACCTTGGAAGTCCTGGCCCATAGCTTCCCTTCCAATCCTTCTGTTTTTAGTGCGTGTCTCCCATGTGTGACAAAAGCCATTAGGTCGTCTAACTTGGCAATGTCTTCTAGCTCGCTCCGTACTACTGGTGCTTTAATTGAGGTGCTTGGGCCAAAAGCTTTAATCGAACTTCCTAACATACTGGGAAACATGATGGTGAAATGTGGTAAGGTTTCTTCATCCACTTCTGAAGAGTCTTTTATGCTTGCCATCCTTGTTACATTAGAGCAAGTGATAGATAAGCTTGGTGGGTTTCTAAATCCGTACCTGGGTGACATCCTGGAACTTTTGGTGATACACCCGATGTACACATCGTTATCACATGAAAAGCTGAAGCTGAGAGCTGATTTAGTGCGATCCCTACTCACCGAAAAGATTCCTGTAAGTTAGATCCAACTAGTTTACTTTTGAACACACCTTGTCCTGCAGTCCTGGTTATATGATGCACATTTTGTCGTGCAAAATATTGATTTTGTTCCTTGTTGGTTAGGTGCGATTGGCTTTACCACCTTTACTAAAGATACAGTCTGATGCAGTGAAGTCTGGGGATTGCAGTGTGTCTGCTGCATTTGAAATTCTTGCTAGACTGATCCAGGCGATGGATAAATCATCTGTTCGTGGTTACCATGAAAAGATTTTTGACCTATGCTTGTCTTGTTTGGATCTTCGTCATCAACACCCTGATTCGATTCAGCATATTGATGCTGTTGAAAAAAGTGTCATCAATGCTACTGTTGCCCTGAGTATGAAGTTGACAGAAACAATGTTTAAGCCTCTGTTTATAAGAAGCATTGAATGGGCAGAATCGGGCGATGAAGGTAGTGCTAGCACAACTGTGGATAGGGCCATATCTTTCTATGGTTTGGTCAACAAGCTGGCTGACAGTCATCGGTGAGTTAGTTATCACTTGCTGCATATATTTATTGATTTTCTTTAAAGAATTATCTTTAAGGTGATGTATTGGAACGCACTATGTGGGTCCACTTTCCCGTTTGATACATAATGGATGTTAAGAAGTGCATTGCTTTAAAATTGCAGTCAAAGTAATGAACAAGTGTTTGGAAGGTGTTGGGAATAGTAGTTGATTGAGATATGATATTATTTTAGTAGTAAAAACTAATTAATGAGATGATAAATTGTTTGTTCAATAATAATGTAGTGAGTGGGTTTCTATAAATGAATATTATGGAGTATATCTTTAAGGATAGGATTCTTATTCGCCAAGTTGAGAATGATTTTTTCTCCCACTGATGTGGCTTTAGATTTTGATATTTACATGGTGGCTACCGGAAGTTAGAATGAAGAAGGGTGTTTGTTTCACATTTTTAAGTCGGGATTTTTCTAACCAAGTTTCTTTTCTGAGCCTAGACAAATGCAGCTAATACCCTTTGCCGATTGCAGGTCTCTTTTTGTTCCATATTTCAAGTACCTGCTTGCTGGCTGTGAATCCCATCTCAAATATCCACTAGGTGGGAAGACATCGACTCAAAAGAAAAAGAAAGCTAAGATCCAGGTGGATGGTACCAACGGTGATGTTGAACTCTCACTCAAGATTTGGCATGTCAGGGCATTGGTACTTTCAGCTCTACATAAATGCTTCCAGTATGATACGGGGAACCTCAAGTTTCTCGACTCCAATAGTTTCCAGGCAAGTCAAATCTCAAGTTGTTTTGCCTATCACTGCATTGTCTATATCACTATGTTAGAGATGTGTTTACGGGAAAGGTGTCAATGCTGTTGCTGATTGTTCTTGCTTGTGTTGACAGACTCTTTTGAAAAGCATTGCATCACAATTCGATAAAGAGCCGCCTACTCTACTGCAAAGTCATCCAGATGTACCATCTCTCGAAGAAGTTGATAACCTCTTGGTGGAAACCCTTGGTCAAATGGCCGTCAGTGCTCGATCCGACCTTTTATGGAAGCCTCTGAACCATGAGGTATGTGGTTCTTTTGCATCGTGCAATATATTTTACCCTTCCAATCTCTGTCCATTTCTGCAATATATTTACTTACACGTTGACTGTTTCCAAATGTTATGAAACTCGGCAGGTACTTATGCAAACCCGAGCGGACAAGATCCGCCCCAAAATTCTCGGACTGAGGACCGTGAAGTATCTCCTCGATAATCTGAAAGAGGAATACCTGGTTTTCGTGCCAGAGACGTTGCAGTTCTTTGTTGAATTGTTGGAGGACGTGAACCTGTCTGTTAAAACTCTAGCACAGGATGTTTTCAAGGAGATGGAGACAGTCGGTGGTGAAAGCCTGGAGCAGTACCTTGGTTTATAATCCTGTTTGAAAGGGCCGATTCAAGCAGCTCTGTAGTTTTGAGTTTTTTGGAGAAAGCGCAAATGAGAAATTTTTTGGTCTTTTCGTTCGTTAAGTATACTGTAAACAGCTCAAGGTTTTTGTAATGATTTAGTACCAGTCAATGGCGGGCTGTTTCTTCTTCTACTCTTATTATTTCAACTGAGATGTTCAACAGAAATGTGAATAGTCATGGTTAAATTTTAAGGGCTTATCTGAGTTAGGGTAGGAGAATGTGCAAAAAGATGTGAAGATGGGAAAATGGAGGGACTAGATTATAGATTCTGCAAAGTTGAGGTACTTAAATTGACATTAACAGAAGGCTAACAGAAAGGAGAAAAATGTTTTGTGGTACATAACGATGCAACGTTGTATGGTGTTCTACCTAGCAAACTGGAAAAGCAGTCTATGGTCACATGACACCTTCGTTACGTAGGTAGTTTTGGTTACTGTATTATCTGTTTTTTTTATGCGGTTTAACGAGCGATCTAATTGTAACGAAAGAAATCTTGTTGTTCAACTCAAAACGACAATCTATCTGGTTCTAATGTGTTCATGTATACAATCTGGTAACGATGTTAACAACCAAATTTGTTAGCACTCCGTCAAGCGGCAAAAATTTGTGTTACATTGGGACTCGCTTGACTTTGTTGGCTTAGCCGAGGTTTCACTTCCCCTTCTCCGCAACTAGTAGGGGTCGTTTGGAAGTTGCGATTCTTCATTTGATTCTCAACCCTTCACACGACCCCCTAAGTTGCGAGTTTTCCCTTCCCATTCTCCGCAACTTCCGAACGACCCCTAAGTGATCGAATCTCAACCCTTCGAATCAACTCGAGTTCAGATAGTGAAATCTCGATCATTTGATTCTTCATTTTGGGCCTTGGTAAATCTACTCGTGCAAATGATCTTAACACGACGCCGTTTCGTCATTCGGAGCCTGAGAAAGAAACGAAAATACAGTGAAATCAATCGGCGACAAAAGCCCCTCTTCTCTTCATCAGTTGTCCCCAAACCAAAACCTCTGTGCTCCGTATTCCCCCTTGCCGCCGGTGAATCAGAATCGACGAATCCGCCAAGTCTTCTCTTCGTTCTCCACCGGCCGAAGTGTTGTTCCTCTCCATTTCCGTCTTTCGTCTTCCTCAGGTGTTATTTTTCTTCTGCGACTCTCCGTCGGAAATCCGCGGCGGATCGGAATTTCGAAGCAGGGTAGCGGCTTTTGTCCAATGTTACAGCGATGCAGCACAGCGGTTTCTCGTCTCTCGAAGCTTGGGTCGACCTCTTCTATGGAGGCTCTGCGGAAAGATGCGATCTTCACTCCACGGCATTGGTATGCTACGGCTGCTGCTACTGCTACTGTGGCGCCTGCTCCTAATGATTCTACTGCCAAGGGATCTCCTCTGAAATCAGTGGTACGTACTAACCGATTCGATTATTCTCTTACCCGTCATGCCGCAAGAAATGCTTTCTGGTTTCCTGCGCTTCTGGGGCTGTGATTCTTAGTGGAAAAAAAGAAGAACAAGAAACAGAATCGCTTTTGCTCTTCGCTAATTATTGAGTAATTGGGAAGCTGTTGTATTATGGTATAGTTAGCAGGAGGTTGGAGTTACTGTCTTGTTGATTTTAATGGGTGTTCAAATTTTATATAAACAGGTAAATTTGGACAAAATGTTCTGGTCGAAGCCATGTTCTTTGGCTCTAGCTCCTGATTCCCGGTTCAGAATTGAAGAGCCCAAATATGAGGGATTCCGTCATGTTATCTATAAGATGCTTTTGTTTTATAGCAAGCAGAGCAAATCGATTCGGGGAGCTAATGTGGTGTACCGAAGGATCCTTCATCAAGTAGATAAACCTGCTATTTATGAAGGTAAGTCCTCTTTAGTGGTCATATCGATTGCTGATTGTAGCTTGCCTCAGTCAAATAAGATTTTCGTATGGTATGTATGCTGTTTAATAATGCTCGATTTGTTTGCATACTTCTTTTCTTTTCTGATCTTGTTCTATTCTGAATGTGGTCATATTTGAAGTATGAGTGCATTGAATACCTGTTGGATGTATTTGTTGCGTGTTTCCTTTGCAGTTTTCAATTTGGAGAAGACCTTTAAGATGACATTTTCACTACTTGTACTTCACATGTGGCTTTGCTTACGCCGACTAAAACAAGAAGGGAAAGAAGGTGCTGAATTTGGTCAATACATTTATGAGAGATACAATCACGATGTGGAGCTTAGAGTATCCAAAGAAGGGGTAATTTGGTTGAATGCATGCTTGAGAGCTAAATTATCCATTATCAGTTGTATCCAAGATGTTATTCTGGATGGCAAGCACCCTTGATTGTTTTGTTTTAAACCCCAAGTTATCACTTTTGGGCATTAGCTTACAAGATATATGATATTGTCTTATCTTTCTGCTTCTGTTTATGTACTCTGAAATGGCAGGTTAACTTGTTACTGACAAAATGGATGAAAGAGTTGGAGAAGATATTCTATGGAAATATTGTTGCTTATGATGCTGCCTTACTACCTGAGGCTAAACCAGATGAGCTGTCCAAGGTGATATGGAGGTGAGAATATGACACCATGATGCAGTCAAGGGAGTTGACCTGCTGCTGTGTTCCACTAGGAGCATTGATGTAACTTGAAGCACAAGATTATCCACATCAACCATCTTTATAGCTTGCTTTCATTTTTGCCTCAAGTTTCATAACCTTAAAGCTTGCTTGTGAAATTTTGCTCTAGTAGTCTCTCACAACACCTTTCCTACTGCAGGAATGTGTTTGCTGACGATGGTGAGTCGCAGCCAGATGATGCTGCATTGCGCACAGTCCAGGCATGATCTTCTGTCCTGACCTGCTCTTCTCGATAATGTTTTGCAGCTTCTGTATCATATCACGGGCCTTCTTTTCGGATGTGATCATTTCCTTCATTGATTAGGACATCATTCCTTGTGTGATTACTTATGTTTGAAGAATGCAACTAACTATTTCACTTCTGTACCGATAGGCAATGACAAGGTACGTTCGTAGAGAAGTCAGTTGTTTTTCATTAACAGGTAAAAGTCGTCCTCTTCCTATGTATTCTGACCATATATTGAAATTGCCTTTAGAATCCGAGCTTCATTTGCTTTTGTTGATGTGTGTTTCTTTCTTGGTCAATTGGCAGACAAAGAAGCCATGTATTCAGGGAACTTCATGTTCACGTCCCTGGACAACATTCCATCGGTTTCGGCCAAGAGATAAAGATAAAGTAGATGATGTGAAGATCTTTCAACTCCATAAGAGGTTCTTCTACTAGAGTAGCTTTCATTGTTCGAAACAGCCCTGTTCTTGCTTCATGGATTTTACATAGAATGTTACCGCTACTTGCATACCATTTCATCAGCTAAAGATGACAGGAAAGTGCCCCTTTTCGCCGCGAGGAGGCTCAAATCTGGAGGAATCCGGAGAACAATAATCAGACATCATGATACTCTGTTTGCAGTACTATATTTTTCTGCCATCCCATGAGAAGTTTGTTACAAAGCATCAGGTGCCTCTTTTTTCATTCTCATATTCTTCAATGTTGATCTAGCATTCTTGAACCCAATCATTGGTGCAGAAGCTCTAAAGCTTTCAATAACACAGGTCCAAACCTTGTAACATTAAGCGTAACATTCTGGTTCAGCATGTAAATGGGACTGAACTCCTCCCATCGAAACGACGACGGGTCGGTGAAAACGACATCGTCGGGCGGGTACTGCTTCACCAAACTGCTCTCTTCCCTCTCTATCTTGTACTCCAAGTACCTCACGTTCATACCCTTCGACGGCTCTCCGAAATAGTTAGTCGCAAACCAGTCCACGGCGAACGGAACCACCTGGATCACAACCGCATCCTCCGGAAGAAAAACCATGTTGGTAAGTCCCGCTCCGTGGATTCCCATCATCACATCGGCACGATTCGCGATCCTCGCCGATCTCGACACGTTCGAGTCGAGTTCCGTCACCGTTACTTGGTACCCAAGCTCTCTAGCCATCGTCACGATCTCTTCCGTATTCGTGAACGTCCGAGTCCTCTCTCGCGAAATTATCAATAGTCGTGGCACCGATTTCGTCGTCCTCGTCGTCTTGATTTCGTCTCCTGTTTGTAGTTTGATCGCGACCGTCTTGTCGAGAGAATAAGCACTCCTCAGGAAACGTTTGAAGTCTTTCATCGTGTATCGAGTTTCCGATGAGTTGATGCTGAGTTCTTTGCCGTCTCGCCCTTTTAAGCCGAGCAGAACTCTCGAGAAGCAGAGGGCTTTTCCATCTGGTTGAACCTTGTCGATGTCGATCACTTCATATCTTAAAAGCAAATTAATTAGATGATTAGTAGAATAAAATACCTAATTCATCACATTAAAGAAGAAGGGGGGAATTTTTTTTTTGTACCTAGACAGTGCCTGCCACATAGTTGCAAACTTGGTGATCTGCAAGTGGTGACCGTTGGTGACGAGGAGATGGAGCCGCCGGTCGAAAGGGCGCGCGGTGACGAAGAGCGACACCAGAACGTCGGTGAAGGCGTGGAAGTAGTTTCCGAAATAGGCTCCCAGAGAGAAGATAAGCGCCGGGGAAGAATCATCATGATGATGAACTCGACGAGAAGAACAAGGCGGCAAGTCCTGATGGTCTGCCGGCACCATTTTCACCGACCATTCCCTTATCTGTCCCATGGCGGCCTCGTCGCCGTTTCGCGGGTACGGCTTGATCACCGGCGGCGGCGGTGAGCTGATGTTGTTAATTTGGTATGTCTCCGATGGGACGACGTGATAAACGTTTGCTGACTTGGGGTCGACACGGACATCCCCTTGTATGTCGCAGTAATCGGATCTCCCGCCGAAACGGCACTTTGCAGCCCGAAACGTTTCGGGCTGCTTTGGTGTTGCGAAAACCGTGTCTAAAAATGGCAAAAACCGTGTTGGACCATTACATTTGCATGAGTTATTTGATTCCAAATGGTACAACCGATTCATTTGGTATAAAATAACTCATTTGTCAAAATGAAAACAAAACAAACACATTTTCAAACGGCTACCTCCTAATTGAGTTATTTGCAAATGACTTCACCTCGAGTCGATTGCAAATGACTCATTTTTTCTTCGTCGATCACATACCTTTATCGATGGCAGTAGCGGTGATTGTTTCCCTGGGGCTACTTGTTGTTGTTGTTGTTGCCGTCATCCCCGCTTCGGGCTGCTTCTGCTTTGCAAAAATCGTATCTAGAGATTACCAAAAAAAGGGGGGAAATATATTTACTGTTTTTCACTCCATCGGCAAAAAAAATATACATCTTTGCATTATAAAATTAGCGAAATAAATAATGTGTACCATGTCATTCAATCATTTTTTATCATTAGATTAAAAAATTTCTTCAAGTTTGTTAATAGTTGGTCAATCATAGGGAATAAGAAGTTATCCGATGATGACTCACATGACACGTATACTTGCTAAGCATGTAACATTCTCTAAATTAATTTGGATATAACTTTTAATCCAAGGACTAAAATGGATATATTACATAGTATAGGGATGCACTAGTTAAATTCTTTTATTCATATGTTATTTGCGGGTCGTCGACAAATGCTTAACAAAAGAATTCTTTTTTCAAATGAATGCCTCCCAAATTACTCAAATGAGTTATTTTTAAACGACTTCTGTCTCCGGTCATTTGCAAACGACTCGTTTTGTTCTTCATCGATCACGTACCTTTATTCATGGTAGTGGTGATTGTTTCCTCGGGGCTACTTGTTGTTGTTGTTGCGGTCATCCTTGTTTCGGGCTGCTCTTGCTTAGTGAAACTCGTATCTATCCATGACCAGAAAAGTGGGAACACATATTTTACTGTTTTTAGTCCATTTGCAAAAAAAAAAAAGTATGTATCATGTCATTTAATCATCTTTGATCGTTAGAATAAGAATTTCGTTCTAGTTTGTTGATAATTAGTCAATCCATATGGACTAAAATGGATATATTATATAGTACGGGAATGCACTTGTTAAATTTTTTGTTTCATAATATTATTTGCTGATCGTTATATTTGCACGAGTGATTTGATATCAAACGACTCATTCGGAAAAAAAAAACCAATTTTCAAACGATAGCCTCCCGAATTACTCAATCAAGTTATTAGTAAGCGACTCGCATTTTGTACTCATTTACAAACGACTCTTTTTTTTTCCTGGTCGATCCGTACCTTTATCGACGACGGTGATGATTGTTTCCCCGGGACTACTTGTTGTTGTTGCAGTCGTCCTCGTTCCGGTGCTGCTCTTTGCAGACTCTTTATATTCAAGAAAGCTAACAACGACGAGGAAGATAGTGATGAATGCTCCCGTTGCCATCATCATCTTCTGTTCACGTTTGCTGAAGCTTCTGCCCAAGAACCCACCGTTCTTCTTCATGTTTTTCACCACTACACTTATGTTCCTCTTCTTCTTCTTCTTCTTCTTCACTCTTTTCATCCAATTTTATATTGCAAGAGAGAAAATGCGACTTGGAGAAGGCAGCACGGATTCTCCTCATCTTGCTGTGAAATGTAGAACGTGATAGATTATGAAAGGGCCATTAATGGAGACAATTGAAAGGTTTTGAGAGATATAGACACTATAACAAAAAGAAAGAGAAAAATGGTCTTTTATGTGACGATTTTCATGCAATCAAATTTATTTTTTGAGGAGATTAGGGGAGAGACCAACTCAAAGGTTCTTTTTTGTCTAGGTAGGTAGGTTCTTTCAATAATTGGATCCAATTTCTATTAATAGATTAAAAATTTCTTTACTGAGATACTAATACAGGTAGCAAAACATTTGATTAAACGCTACAAAAATATTCGCTCAGTTCCGAACCCCAAAACGACTGAAAGGATTCCAAATTTTAAGCCGATCGATGAGTGCCTTAATTCGATTCGTCGGTTTAAATGTAGGTCTGGTTCGATTCTACCGCGCGAACTGGATGTCCACCCTTATCAAGGGACCAACAGTAAATATGTAAGGGGTGATGGAAGTCCAAGTTTATATATATATAATACTCATTAACTTAATTTACTTTGTAGGATGAGGATTGCACATAGTAAAATATCAATTCTCCGATTTCTTTATGTGATGAACCTCTTTCAACACATCAAATGGGTTTCATTAGAGGTGGGAAATGGATTGAATTCCGTGAATTCATGAGATCCAGTGTTTCACCCTTTATAAAAATGCTACAACCAAAATCCACAGTTTGGCTGGTGGACATGGATTCCATTTCCAAATAATTTCATTTACCTCTACTCGTTTCTTAGTCTCGGACCTTGAGATAATAGTATTTTTAATTCAGATCGAAAAGGTTGATCATAAGCAAACTCGATTCAAGTAGGATGAATATTATTATCTCATTAACTTTTTCTTCAATTAGGATTCAAGTAGGATACAAAATCATTGATGCAAAAGCTCCAAAGCTCTCACCAACATCGGTCTAAACCTCGTCACATCAACCGTCACATTCTGGTTCTGCAAGTAAATCGAGCTGAATTCCTCCCACCGAAACGACGTCGGGTTCGTAAAAACGGCGTCGTCGGGCGCATACACCTTCCCCAAACTGCTCTCTTCTTTAGTTATCTTGTACTCCAAGTACCTCACATTCATGTCCCTCGACGGCTCACCAAAATACCTATTCGAAAGCCAGTCCACACCAAACGGAACCACCTGGATCAGAATCCCGTTCTCGGGAAGAAAAACCACGTTGGTGAGCCCCGTTCCGTGAACTCCCATCAACACGTCGACACGATTCGCCATCCTCGCCGATTTCGTCACGTCCACGTCGAATCGCGCCACCGTTTCGACCTCGAACCCGAGCTCCCTAGCCGTCCTCACGATCTCCACCACGTTCGTGAACGCTCGAGTCTTCTCTCGAGAAATTATCAAAATTCGCGGCGGTGGCACCGATGTTTTTTTCCTCTCTCCGCGGTCTCGTAACTGTGTTGCAACCGTTTTTTCGAGAGAGTAGGCACTTCTCAGGAACTGTCTGAAGTCTTTCATGGTGTATCGAGATTCCGACGAGTTGATGCTGAGTTCTTTCTCGTCGCGACCTTTCAGACCCACCATGACTCGGGAGAAGCAGTGCGCTTTCCCACCCGGTTGAACCGTGTCGATGTCCACCACTCTGTATCTGGAAACAAAAAATTTACATGTGGTTATGAAGTCAAAATCGTGATTTTATGTAGAAATGTTTCAATGAGTTAAAAAAGCTTAATGAAAAATAGTAAGCTTTTTAAACTTTTAAAGCCGTATATTTTTTACTACCACGTTTTGTAAGTGAAAACCCGTGATTCTCACGCAGAAGACTTTTTGACGACCTAACTAGAAAGTGTAATAAAAGTGTGATTCTGACTACATTGATATATGGTACATACGTACGTGGACAATGCCCGCCATATGGTCGCAAACTTGGCGACCTGCAAGTGGTGGCCGTCGGTGACGAGGAGATGGAGCCGCCGGTCGAAGGGGCCAGCGGTGACGAAGAGCGAAACGAGAACGTCGGAGAAGGCGTGGAGGTAGTGTCCGAAATAGGCACCCAGTGAGAATATGAGCGCCGGAGAATCGTGAACTCGTTGATCATGACAAACTGGCAAGCTCTTATGGTCTGCGGGTACAATCTTCACCGTCCATTGCCTTACCAGTCCCATGGCGGTCTCGTCGCCGTTCCGCGGGTACGGCTTTATCATCGTCATCGCCGCCGCCGTCGATCTAGCGATGAAATCGCTGTTTGGATGGAGAACTTGATACACCGTTGCTGAGCCCGGATCCACTCGAACATCGCCTTCGATGTCACAGTAATCCGATCTCCCGCCGAAATGGCACGTGGGAGGCTTGGTGAACTGTTGCAGCCCAACTTCTGCGGGGAAATCCATAATCGACGGTTTTTGGATGGAAATTTAAATAGAATGGCTTGGTTTGTAATTTTTCCAAACTAAAAAAGGATGAGTTTGATGTGGAAAAAAATAAATAGTAAATGAACATGTTAATTAGCATATTGTACCTATTAAGGCTATAACTCCTTCATTTTAATGGAATTTTTAACCGAGTGATTAGACTTATCGCACTTCACAAGAACGTGCGTATTTTCTTACTGAACAACAAGTGTTCTTGCCTTAGTCAGAAAAATTTACTAAAACCGTTCATGTTTAGTCACTGCAAACTCTCTCTCCTTATCACGTACGTACCGTTATCGACGGTGCTGACTACTGTTTCCACAGGGAGGCTCGTTAGGGTTTCATTCTTCTTCCTCGTTGGAGTGTTCATATTCTCAGGCTCTGCAGCATTAATTATTTCAAGAAAACGAAAGATTTGATGATTCAAAACGATGCCTACAGTAGCTAGCTAGGGATTCAGTTTATGAATTTACACTTACGATTTGGTTCATGCCGATGCAGCGTCGCGCAAAAGGCAACAACGACTAGGAATGTAGCGATGACAGCTGCCACTGTTCTCAGTATCTTCTGTTTACGTTTGCTCGTCGAGCTTCTGCCCGGCAAGCCGCCGGCGCCGTTCTTTTTCATCTTCGATCGATCAGTAAAACCTTTTTTGTTTTCTTCTTTTGATGAATCCTTCTTAATTCTTCAATTTTATAACGATTGTGAAGAAGAATTTCACGTTGTCACTAGGAGAAGAAGCCAGCACGCATGTTCGATCCTCAACGTTATTGTGAAAAATCAGTTTGGAAGGTGGTGATAGATCATGAAAGAAAAGACCCGTAGATTAAATGGAGACAATTTGAAAGGTGGTTGAGAGAGATGTAGAAATCGGAACCGCGGTCGATGGAACTTATTGGAGCCATCATCTCGTATATTCAATTATTCGAATCCATTTAATTCAAATCCAATTGGATCGAGAAAGAGATTCATTGAATTGACATTGAAAAATTAGACGTTCTGGTACCTGTACTTTTTTGAAATTTACATATTGGTCCAATATTAAGATGTCGCTTTGATCCACGAACGAATTTTATAATAGTAACCATTGTTAGTAAATGATACATGATCCATAATTGAATATCTTCCAAAAAAAACTCGAGTTATTGGGAACAATGAGTTCTTGATATGGAATCAGACCCTACTGTGATCAAGAGATCTTCTGTTCGAATCTCAGTGATCCTCATTTGTTCTGTTAAGCACATGGTGACCAGACCTGTGCAAACTTCAAGCCTATGTGAGCGGCTTTCATCCGAGGGATGTGTTAGTAAATGGTAAATGATCCATAATTGAATCTCTCCCAACAACTCGAGTTATTGGATCAATTGGTTCTTGATAATCATGAGTCAATGATCCCATAACAAAAATTTGGAGAAATTTTTTCAAACCAACTAGTACGTGCACTGCGTACCGATGATTTTTTTGAAGTGAGCCCGACGTAAAAAAAATCATAAAATAACTTCTATGGTTCCTTACAATAACCCACACCATGTCTTCATATTTAAAGGAAATATATGCATCATTCATACTAACCAAAATGGCGAATGATAATTAACAATGTTGCTAATTTCATAGTTTCTAGAGTATAATTTATAACTACATTATACAACTAGTTTCAATTGGTTTGTAGAAAGTAGCAACCCTAGCTAGTTGATAACAAGGTGCAAGGAGCTTGAATTCTACTCCTAGTACATATACCTCTCTTCTTTTTTTTTATGGTTATCTCCTGGTTTAAAGTTGTGTCATGACCATATAAAAAAAAAGTTTTGCATGACTAATCATCCACTTATTTTAGTAAGTTTAGTGATCACAAGTGGAATAAAAAGAATTTAGTAACGAATGTGAACCAATTTAATAATTTCAGTGACCGAACTTACAATTTACCCCACCTTCAAAAAAAAAAAAAAAAGTCTGTGGTTTACACAGGCAAACTCAGAAACAGGTTTTTGTTAACTGACTGAAACAAAGTGTCATAATCTGGAAAATGATTGAACCAAGTGGAAAACATCAAACCATCGATAACTTCTAACACAACCATCCATCTCAATCCCACGGCTCGATTCGAAATCACAAATCTCCTTAAACGTCATTTTCCCTAGACTAAACCTCAAGATTTTGCCAGGCACACGAAGCACCAAACAATCCTCCTCCTCCTCTCCCTCCACACCACCAAACACACCAAGAACATCAAACAAGTAGTAATGCAAGCTCCCCGGATCATCGACATAACTCGATTTCATCGCCGGATAAGCCATCACGACCGTGTCCAGATCGACTCGGTACTTCACGTTCCATTCGGAGCAATCCCTCGCGGCCATCTCGAGCACATCGAATTGCGTCGTGGGGCAAGTATACACCTCAACTAGATGCAAACATACACCTCTCTTCCCATCCTTGAGGGATCGGCGGCATTGGAATCTCTCCGAGCTTTTCTTCCTCGAGGTCGAAGTTGAGGCAGGCAACATCGAACAGAGCACCCCCTGCAGAAAACAGGGCTGCGCCAGTGTGTTGAGATGTGCAACAAAAGGGTTCCCCGAAACCCTCCAGGACGCGGTTTCTGGACGAATACACCTCGATCTGGAAAGCAGAGATTTGACTGGGAGGCGAACGAGGATTTCGGTCAGGAGGACGGTGTTGTTGGCAATGTGCTCTTGTGCCTTCTGGTTCCTTGGAACAAGAAACCTGATGGTGTTGTTGCCATTGCCAGGCTGCATTTTTCTGGAGATGGCACAGATCTGATACTGTTGAGGGCAATTCAGCTTCTTGTGGCTCTAATATATAAACATCGTCTGGTGAAGAGGGAGAAGAAGGTTTGTCAAACAGATTGCTGAGCAAGCTAATTCAGGGTATCTATCAGTTGACATTTCTGTGATTTGATCTGAATAGAAAAATAAGAAACTTGGATTACAGCATTTGACAAATCCCTGCATTTTGACAAATCCAGTGATTTGAAGCCTCTGGGAAATCGGCTGTATTAAAGTAGTTGTTGCAGTTTCCTAATGGAGACAAATCACTGGTTTGGAAGGGCAGGGCAGGCATTGAATTCAAGATCTCCACAGCTCCAGAGGCCATTCAATAATCAATACTGGGTTCTCCCTGATATCAAGAAAAAATGAAGGGAGGGTCAAACAATGGAAGAAGGGGCTACTTTCCTTTCCTTGGGATAATGGAAAATGGCGGGAAGCGGTCCCCATTGATGGTGGCATTAACGTCGCTAATAAAAGGAATTAAAGTGGTACTTGAATTGAAGCTCACAACGAAAGAAAACTGGTCCCCTTCTGTATTCCATTCCCCATGGCCATGGTCCCTCCATTGGTGAGAGACAGCAGGCGTGGAATCCAATCCAATCCAGAGTCACGTTTATGAATTATAACCAACCAACCAACGACCACCATTGACCATCCAGCAAGCATTAATGATGATTATTGTTGTTGTAATGAGGTAGTTGGAGGTTTTTAATTATGTGCAATTATGAGATGGGATGCCACTGCCTCCCTCCTATCTCCAACAAACCATGATGTTTCATTAATGAATGGCGAATCGAGCCGAGATTTGCCTCGTTCAGGCTCGGCTCGTTATCGAGCTCGACTCGTTGATCAACGATGCGATGATGGGACAGGGGAAAACGAAACGAGAGCAATATCAGGGGAAAACAGAGTAGGTTCAATCGATCAAATCAAGCTATACAGTTGGTTTCCATTTAAATATATGTAGTACTCTGTTTATATTACATAAATGATGATAATTCCTTGTGTGTTGCTATCAAGAGAACAAAAAGGACAGAGAATTTGATGAACTTACCATGCACTTCTGGTTAAAGTTCTCAGCCCGCTTGGACTCATTCGTTTGGAAGTTTTCTCAAAGGAAACCCCGCCAACCGAAATTGCTATAGCTGAGTCGATCCTTCAACCCACCAAGGCTTTTGTTAGCTTCAGTTAGACGACAGAAAGAGTGACACTTTTTCCTGTTTGGCGATTGACACTTTCTCATGGACGTGCATGCCTTCTTCTGCAACCAGATAAAGCACCAATCTTTCTCTTTTGTATGTGCTGATGATGATGCTTTTGGCCTTTTGGGCACGTAAAGCGCAATTTCCAGAGGACCCGATAAAAAACCGATCACCAATTCCTGGCTTCTTGTGGAACATGGCCCCGGACACGTCTGTAGATTACTCTAGCTACAAGCCCATTATGTCATTATCCATGGATGTTGTGTGCATGATGAATGCCTCTCTGGGTTTGGTTTCTGCCACCAAAGATTGCAACTTTTTCCTCATTCGTGCCTACCCACAAAAAAACCAAGTGACTTCTGCTCCTCTGGACTCTAGAGGTTGCTATCTTCCCATCTCTTCGAGCTTGCACACCACCTGTTTGATGTTTGGTCTAAGAGAAGGCGAAGGGGAACAGCAAGACATTGCCAGCTGAAAGAACTTGAATATGCACTCTTCCCTGACAGAATTCTCACTCTCGCTCCCACTGTCTACAAGTATGTCCGGATGGTAAATGTCTGCGATCCTACGATCAAGCACCGCGTTTCTCATCGACGTTGGGAGGTAAAAATCTTCGTCGGGAGTTGGATTCGGATTCACTGGCTCTTTACCCGAGAGCAGCTCGAGCAATACTATTCCCAGGCTGTAGATATCGGTTTCCTCGCTTGCATCTTTCATTTTGATGAGCTCGGGAGCTTTGTATCCCTCGGCTGCAGATGTCTCGAGCATTTCCTGGGCCGTCGTAGGATTCAGCAGCAGATGCAAGCCGAAATCTGATACGCAAGGCGATCCACTGCGATCGAGGACTATGTTCTTCGACTTGAGATTGCCGTGGACCACAGGCTTCTGGAGTCCTGTGTGGAGGTAGTCAAGGCCTCTGGCTATGCCAATGGATAGCCTGTGGATGGTTGTCCATTTGTGACACTCAGCATTCCCATCTGCAGAATAAACAGTTCCTGTTGATTCAGTCCATGTGCAGTAAGTTATGATAAAGCATTATTGAATGCCGTGGTTTCGTGACAAAGATGCTGATTAGAGGGAAAGCATTATTATTATCAAGTTGGATCCACTACAGCAACAGGAGCAGAAACAACATGATCTCCATTTTCTTAGAGAGAAAGCAAGGAGATTAAATAACCAAAAAGGTTGGTGCCGACAGCTAATTAATGAAAAAAAGATAATCACCAAACGGAAGATATTTAATTATAATCTGACCATAACTGGCCAGCAGGTAATCCAATTACCACTGTCCCTGAAATCTGAATCAGATTAGAGACATTTTTCTTTTTACTTGATTACTTAAGATCCATTTGAAAAGGAACTGAAAAAAGAACAGTACTGAACCAGAAGAATATGCCAACAGTCTTCTGCAGTAAGGACTAATCAGGCAACAGGAGAATTTCAGACAATTCCTTCCAATCCTGTTAATGAAAAAGTACTTTGCATTCCTTCTTCTGACAAGATACTAGTACACTATTCCAAACCATAATATGGGTCCAATTATTTGTCAAAACCTAGCAAGATTGAAGCATTTTCTTCCATCAGAATCACTGAAATTGATGAACATAAGAGGGGGGGAACTGTTATTTTAACCCCCGAGTGTCGATGTCAGAACTCAGAAGGGCATAAAAATAGTACCTTTCTGACATGTTTTTATGACAAACAGAGAGAACCAAAGAGGAAGAACAGCTACAGAAAATGAAACCAGAAGCTGACCTCGGATGAAACGAGCCAAATTGCCACGCCGGAAGAAGGGATGAACAAGGAGCTTCTCGCCTCTAGGGCCAGCATAGAACCCCAAAAGAGGGACCAAATTAGGGTGCCTAATGCAACCCAGCAACTGAACCACATCACCAAATTCCTTAACCCTCGCAGTACAAACGGGCCGCAAGAACCTAAGCAGCCTGACGCAGTTGCTCCTCTGCAACAAAGCCTTGTAAAGGGTACCGTAATTTGATTTCCCGATGACCTCTCCAGGAGCATCGAGAATGTCGGTGACAGTGAGCTCCTGTCCACCTTGAAACCTCACCAAATCCTCTGTCGCCGCCGTCGTCGTAGTCTCGCCGCTCTGTTTCTTCTCCTGCTGTACCACCTCGACGTCGTCGCATTGGGGTTTCCCTCCCCTTCTCCTTAAGCAAAAAAGGAGGGTTAGTGCGAGAACGAGCAGGACAGCCGCTGAGGATGATGCTAAGAGTAATTTCATCAAATGGGTGTGCTTCATTTTAGGGAAAAGGGAGCAGCTTTAGGGCTTCCAGGGATTGAAGATCAGGATCTGGGAAGTGGGTATTATTGGAGAAGAAGAGTGGAACCGGAAAGCGGTTTGCTCTGCGATCAAAAGATTCCAACTTTGTTTCGTCTTTTCCTTTTTCTTCCGGCGTGGAAGGGAGTGGGGCAGAAGAGAGGAGACAAGAAGGTGAGGATAGAAGAGAACTTTAGTGGTGCGGAACCCAAGGAGGAAGAAGTAGCAGAAGGAAGAAGAAGAAGAAGAAGAAGAAGAAGAAGAAGATTGATGTGAAAGTGAAAGAATAAACGGATGGATACAGTTGGAATGGAAGTTTGAAGCGGTAAGGGTTGGGATCAGGAGAAGAAGCACATGGGATTGGAAGATAAGAAGAGAACAGGGGAGGGAAAGAATGCAGAACTGAGGAGACAGAAGAGGAGGGGAAAGGAGAGAGAGAGAGAGAGAGAGAGAGGAAGGGAGGGAAATCTGAAATGAGCTGTGGAAATTGGGAAGTGAGGGAGTGAGACAAGATCTAGATAGACAAGCATGTGGGATTTTTATTAAACGGGCAGGGAGGGAAATTGGGGAGTTACTTCTGAGTTTTGACCTAAAATATTTTGCACATCGGTTGTTGGCGTGATACCTGCGTTGCGTGCGGCTCTCTTGCGACGGTGGTTACGACTTCTTGAAAAAGAAAAGGAATACCCACCCTCCGTATTAGGAACTAGCTTGTAACCCGACACGTTGGTCGGAGGAGCTGAGCCGAATATTGAATTATTGGGATAACTCGTAGATTCAACCATTAAGCTAAATTGGTCTAATAGTGAGTACCGCCTAGCATATCCCTAATAATCATACCAAAGTGAATATATTGGAACATAAACAGTACATCAAAAGTTGGTACAACCATGAAGTAAGACCATTAAAAACATACCAATGAAATTGAATAGCATCGAAAAACTTCAACTTCATTATATAATTACATGAGATCAGAAAGAGAACACCATTAATTTGATTTATAAAACTTTCATCTTGTCGTCATTGTGCTTTCTGGTTTTTATCAGGCCATGATAAAATCTAAGAAAATCAAGAACGAACAACACGATTTGGGATAGGAACCGCCGTTGTCGTATTCCTAGAGAATGGTGGTAAACACGGACTCACCTGCCAAACTGGTTTGGATTGAGATTTTTATCGGGTATCAGGGAACCATGTGATTATAAATTAGACTTGATCAAAACGGGCCAAAACTTAAAATTCAGCCTGTTTGACCGACCCATGTAAAATTCTAATTATTCGTTACTTTTAAACTTTCTATTTGAAAATAAAAAATAGTGAAAGAAAATAGATGACTGCAATTCGCCATTTGCACATCACTTATTCGGGAATAAAACCATAGAAATTCAAAAGAAACTGAAAATGTTTAGGATCGTTTTAATGTTTAAAATAACCAAATAGATCTTTCTGTTTAGTTTTTTACTAACAAATACCAAACGATTCCCTATAAAATACACTATAATTTTATCATTATGATATCAAATAATTATATAATATATATTTGAAATGATAAAAATTGGACTAATTGGGTTGGTCGAGATTGAACCATTGAATAACTTTAAACTACATTATATTTTAGCCACTAAAATATAAAATAATATATATTATGCTAGAGAAAATAGCTTGTTTTAGAATGTCAAACCAATGATGTTCATTTGTTTTACTTGATGGCCAAATCCGGTGTAGGTCAGGCCCATTCAACTCTTTTATTTTATGGTTAGCGGTTAGCCCTTTAGATACCATGCATTAGTTTATTGTTAAATTTTTTTTATTTTTAGCATAAAAAGAAGTATTTTTTTTGCCTTTTCATATATATTTTATCACCATGGAGAAATACAAGGGGTTAAAGAAAAAAATTGACACTCCTGAACCCGTTTAAATCCGCATGTGTACGGTAAGTTGGCCCGTTCCACAGAGGAAAGAGAAAAAAATTAACACTACCTATTCTACCCTTCCTACAAACGCTCATGGAGCAGGGAATTTGAAATGGGGGAAGGGGTTTTTCCTCCCTGCTATTATATGTTTTTGATTTAAAAGGATGCAACAAATGTACTTAGTGTGATTGGTTATGTTCCTTGCTTTTCTTTAAAATGGACATGGTTCGAATCCCAGTACGTGTCTTTTTAATGAATAAAAAAAAGTAATTGTGAAGACCAAAATGTCCTTCCTACTTTCACTCTCGTTGCAGGAAATTTGAAATGGGGCTCCCGTTTTCCCTTCGGTGTATTATATTATGTGTAGATGACAATTTTGATCTAAATCGTTTTATTAGACCTATTTCATGTAGATATGAGTACTCTCTTTGATCTAATATGTATTGACTCGCTCCATTCTCGATTCGTCTTTGACTAAATTACATGTAATTTTGTTCAAATTACTTATAATTTTAGTATTTTACTTTGATTACTTACTTATCATAGTGTTGTAAATAGGTGAGAACATTGATTTTTTTGAATAATTTAACAACATTTATCATATTTTAGTTTGTTTCTCGTGGTTTTAATGAATAATTTAACAACATTTGTAATTTTTTTTCTTTTTAAACTGCATACCCATTAAGTCGACATGCCCCAACCCACGTCTTGTGATGAATAACCCGACCTGTCATAGGACAGGTATGTGTATCAAGATATCTGACCTGGACCTGCCTCATTGTCATTCCTAATCAAAGCATATTCTTGACAAAAATTTATTAAAAATGTGGTTATGACTTATTGAAAAGGTATACGACACCGGAGGCGACCACTACGCTGGAGTCATTGGCTTGCATACGACATCCATCAATGCAATTCACTTGCAATTGTATAGATGCAAGTTTGAGTAACTTTATAAAAATTGAATTAAATTAATCAAGGGTTTATAAATATAATTTTTTTTTGTGACTTGCATCTACAATTTCATTTAATTCAAGCTTGAATACTTGCACACTACATTGGTGCAATCCCTTTTTGAAAATTAGTCGGATTATACATTCTGTAAGTGGATTGGTAAGTTCAAATAAAGTAATAATTTGCTATGAGTCGGTTTTTTCATTTAAAAGTGTGGGTAAGATAGTGATTAAATACCATACATGAATTCGTGTTAACAACTCGAGTTATTGGACTCAGTTAAATCACTTTGCACTACAAGCGAACTAATGATGAGTATCCTGAGATAGACATCTTCAATTCCAAATGAAATACCATTGGTGCATCACTAATGGCGCACGACCAAACATCACCTGCTGGAGAAGGTTTCCAAAAAAGAAACGCAACAGAGAGAATGTTGTTGTTGGAAGTTCACCTGCACTGCACTGCATATGCACTTTGCTTCTGCAATTTCATTACTTAGAACTTTCTTCATTTGCTTTTCCCTTTAGTTCAGTAGGAAATCTGTGCCAAGGATGATTAAATGCAACAAGACAACATATGCAATCGACTCGAAAGTTAAAATCAAATCACCAACCCTCAACTATACGGTACAAGATTCCTCCTCTCAGTCACATAATAATAGCCTAAATTATCCAGCCTTTCATTAATGGTTGAAGCTGACTTCGAAGAAGAAAAAAGCTGATGTATGGGGCCAATATGCTATATGCATGTGGAAGTCCAATTTGGTTTTGTTCATCGTATAATCGTCGATGGAGACATTTGATTCAATAAAAAGAAAATGGAAACATTTGATTGAAGTTAAGTTTTTTCGCTACAACTTTCGATATGATTTGATGCTAAAACGTCTCAAAATCAATGAGATAGCCTCGTCAGATATATGTTTTGGCATCAGACGTTCTTCATAGGCCTACGTGGAACCAAGAGTCTTTCTGCGATCCGACAGATTTACCCGGGACTTCTATCCCGGTTTTTTTTTTTTTAGCCATCAACAACCAATTGCACACCCTAAAACAAGAACGTGGTCCTATGTAGCCAAAACAGTGCACAAGAACTCAGCAAAAGCAGCACAACAACACCAAGAAAGAAGCCACCTTTAAATGGTCCAGTAGGTCCATTTTCTACGTTGGTTGGAGGATGACTCATTCCCCACATAATTGTCATATGAAGGTAAGATAACAAAGTGGGCATTCAACACCCCATTTCATACGCAAAATTTCAAGACAGGACAAAAGGATGTCAGTAGTTGGTCTGTCTGTACCATCACCATCATAAGGGTATTGAGAAGAGGCAGTTGATTATAGAACTACATCCATGAAACTCAGCAAGATAATATTATTGGTGCAATCTGAGAATTCAAGCAGACTATGGTTTGAGATCGACCAGTCCAGGCTTGTCTTGTGTTCTCTCAAATCCATACCACAAATAATCAAACAAAGCTCTTCTGACAAGCATCTCTTTACATTTGAATGCGCGAGTCTGCAACATTATCGTACAAGGAAAGCGAAAGGTTGTGGGTTTAAGAGTTAGGAGATATAGTACATTGGGTTTGGAAGTTTGAATGAACGGGTCGACATTGGCCAGCCTAACAAATCGCTCCACTGGTCTCCTGAGTTTCCAAGGATCCTATACCCAGCTTCCAACATCTCATCTCTCTTCTCTGATTTGTAGGTTGCTGCCAGCTTCCCATGGTCTTCAGTGGCTCTGCAACAAAAGGCGGATTAAACAAATTCAGGAAGCTATAAAAATAACAGACGCAACATCACGTTGTTATGTATCACTTTACTTATAGAGTCGTGTCATTTTACCAGTCCACTTCTATAATCAGTTATTCAAACAAACATACTTTCAGATTCATCGATATTTCTCGATATTTCTCTATTTCAAACCCATCAGTTTTAGAAATCCTTCTTCTAAAGGATCCTTTTACGTTAGGTGGAAGTAGTGAGGGTGATAATAGAATACACATTGCAATCACCAGTGATGAGTGCTCATGTCGATGGTCAAGAGAAACTAAGCAAGTTCATGTTCTTGTTTAGATGAATAAGCAATCACCTATACTCCCAAACTCCAAGCTTAACGAATTCCAGTCGCTGGAAACCAAAACTATATCCAGGGGCGAGTTTTTCCTATATCTGAACTAACTCATCCCAAAACGAGAGATCCTACATGTCTCCAATGCAACTTATCAAATACAACATCGTCAAATCAACATTTTGGGATAAAAGAGCAGGTTGGTTATAGGGTTAGCAGACACGCTAGTATTAATTGAGAGCAAGCTTAATCTAATCCATTGGGAGAAAGTTTACAGCCTGTGAGAGTGTTTCTTTCCAGACGAGTTATCTTACCCAAAAATTTATACAAGACATTATCAAGATTCAAACACAGTCCTAACACGGAACATACAGTTGCTCGTTCTGATGAAAACAAACATTTGCACTAACCTCAAGATGAGTCTGTCCCAACTCTGGAACCCTGCACTCCTCAAGTTTTGTTCTGTAACAGCCCTTTGCGCCTCACTGCGTCCGGTCAGAAGAATGATCTTGAAGCCCATATCCAGAAGCTGCTGATACAGTTTCAGACTGGCTTCAAGTGCGGGTGCTGTAGCCTTATCAACCCACATATCGAAATCTACCGGATTAAACACCTCCGCTCTGCAATATTCCCCCAGTAAAAGAAACCAGCACGAGGGTAAAAGTAAATGAGAATCGAAGCTCAGGCCAAGTAACCATCACAAAGTTAGCAATATCAAACTTTGGTTAATGAGCCATTGATATAAGTCCATAGAGCCTAAAGTTGTAATCTTTGCTCCACCTTTCCCAAATTCAGTGAGCCATTGGTCCAAGTTCTATTCAAGCTCCCTACAGACTACCAGCAATACGGGAATAGAAGCTCACTATCGAAAGCTGTAATCTTTGCTCCACCAAATGAACTTATAGGCTATGGTTCAATCCCATTTCCCCAAAATTCAATTCAGAACTCTTCTGCTCTAATTCAATTCAACTTGCCCTAACCTAGATATGCAAATTACTAAAAAAAGGAGGGGAATCAGAAATCAGAATCACCCTAGAAATGAAATCGAACTTTACCCATAACCATGGTCCTTATAATAGGGAAGATTGGAGAGCAAAGTCTCGTCAATGTCAAACACCCAAACATCTTTCCCATCTCCCTGGAGCTGCAAACCCTTGGCATACGCGACGGCCTCATCAGCGACCCTCTGGAGATCGACGAGGTATCCCTTGCCGTTGACGTAACCTCTCACGTACTCAAGGCACTCGTCGGGGATAGTCTTCCAAGGATTCAAATTGTTGGCCTCTCCGGCGACCCTCCAGCTAGTACACTGCAGAGTGAGCTCGTCGGCGTCGAATTGCCTCAACTGGGTTTGCAGGGTTTCGACGGAGTTTTCTGGGTACTCGAGGATCAGAGGCCTGGGAAGAAGGTGGGAGCTGAACGCCGCCTGGTCTGAGAAAACGGAGGAGACTAACAAGGAGAAGAAGAGAAAGGGAACTAGGAAGGAACTCATTCCAATTTGTTGGGTTTGATTGGGACAAAACAGAAATACGGAATCCTTTCTGTGCTAATATATATACAGGGGAGGAAGGAATGGATTTGGAGAGAGGAATTGGAGTCTATACTCTATAGATTCTTCGTTCAGCAACCTTTTTTTCTCTCCCTTTTCCTAGGGAAGATGATTAGATGAATACAAATGGGGAAGTTTTGGAGATAAAGAGGGAATATGCCAAGATTTGAGAGGGACGCAAGGAAAGAAAGGAAGGAAGAGGAAGGAGACAATAAGAAAACAAATGGAAGAGAGTTGGGCCGGGGGAAGAAGAGGAAGAAGAAGAAGAAGAGAATAGCTTAGGAGCGAAGTCAAGGTGATTGATGAAGCTATGACGGATTTACTGTATATTCGTGTTTGGCTTCCTTCCTAGAATCTGGAGGGAAAGAAAATGCAGATTAATTAATAGAAAACGACGGAGCGGGTCGGGTCGGGATGGTCGGTGGGGTTGGTGGGTGATGTAATTTTGGCACGTGGCCGATTTTTGTTGGTTCGTTATGGATGGAGCCAGGTGCAGAATATACTTTCCTGCTTAGAATTATTTGCTATATTGCGATCGTCTTTCCTAATACCAGGTCCTAACAAGTTGTGGAAGGTCTCTATGATGTTTCGAGTCTTTTGGAGGTCGTTTTAAAGAGTGAAAACGAGGCTTTAGGTCAGGTTATGGAGGGAGTCAAGCCGTGACCGACATCACGACCTGATGAGAATGATAAGAGAAGCACTCTCTCCCTCCAGACAAAATCGTGTCTTTCCAACAACTTTCGTGATGAACTGTTGAAGAGTGTTGGATGCCTAATGGTCAGTGACCTCCCTATAGACATATCCATTCAGCTTAGAATCTCACATGTGTATAGGGTTGGTAACTTTGCTATCGACTTCTTAGCTGGTTTGGGTCACAAACATCTATTCGATATGAGCAATATCCCGAATTCGAGACAAGCCTCTTGCATGATGTAATGGGTATATTACCCATAACTGATTAATTATTAACAAGGATTAGGATGCCCTGACTTCTTAAAAAAAAACAGAAGTTTATTCCTATGAACATGCTGTGTTAAGTTTCATTCACAACTCTACAATCACCTTCTTGTTTTAATCACTTTGACTTCCACTCTACAATAGCAGCCAAAATAGTGTAGTTTGGTAACAAGTTCTTATTCGACAATGCTACGTTGGTCATTGGAGATTTCTCATTCTCCTGAAGCCATTTCTCAATGGCTTCGCGTTCATAAGTGTACCCATCAGCAGCAACACAAGGCTCCTTCATCACTTCCTGTGCCACACACATAAACAGAACACACTATAAATCAGACTCAAGAAAGCTTTACCCTCATCTAATCATCAAATCATATGCATTGATTTACCTTAAGTATTGGACACACAAAGTGGTTTGGAGGCAGCGAACGAGGGCTAGAGCTAGCTGGATTCGACAGAGCTTTCTCTCTCGCTAGCTCGCCAACTTCTTTCAATCTCTCCAGTACAGGAAGCACGCCGTCTTTCAAACATGGCCTGTCCTTTCGTCGAAGTTCAGCACAACTAAGTCCCAACTTCGCAATCTCCTCGGTCTCTTCCACTGGCCAGTTCCCAGCTCCCGAGTCCAGAAGACGAGCCAGCTGGCCTTCTTCCAAGGCTCTTTCCACCAGGTGTGCTAACGCCATGGCTGGCTTCCCAGTGAGCAGCTGCAGAATCACCATCCCGAGTGCATAGACATCTGATTTGGGGGAGATCAGACCGGTTCGCTGGTATTCTGGGTCGATGTAACAGAGGGTTCCAACTGGGCCGGTGTCTTTGTACATGGTGATGTCCGAATGTAGCATGGTGGAGAGACCGACGTCACCGATCTTGCTGACATAGTTGTGGTCCAGCAAGATGTTTGCTGGCTTCAGATCACGGTGGATGATTGGTTCGGGCTTGGAGTTGTGGAGAAACGCGAGTGCTGAAGCTACTTCCCACGCGATTCGGAACCTCTCGAACCATGGAATGGGTTGAGTGTTGTGTAGCCTTAGTAACCTGTCCTCCAAGCTACCGTTCTCCATGTACTCATAGACAAGGCAGCCGTGATCAGGACATGCTCCCAGAAGGATCAACAAGTGTGGATGGCAAATTTTGCTCAAGATATCCAGCTGAAAGTGAACACCCCAGGCAAGAAGAAGAAAGAAAAAGTATCAGACTTTTCACTTTTCAGGCACTAATTTAGACAAGCTCTAGAACATAAGTATGATATATATAAGCTTGTTGGTACCTCCTGCTTGAATTGTTTTATATCGCGAGGCTCTTTCGAGTGAAGAACTTTCACAGCTGCAACTGTATGATGAAAGCTGCACTTGTACACCTTTCCATAAGCTCCCATTCCAATCTTGAGCTCTTCCGAGAACGATGAGGTTGCAGATTCGATCTCCTCCCAAGTGAATTTCCGATACTGCTGCAGAGGAGCCACAAGAGCATTCTGCAGCCTCTCTTTCTCTTTAGCATCGTGCTTCGCTTTAGCCTCTGCTTCTCGTCTCTGCATAGATTCTTTCTCGGCACATTTCCTCATGTGTTCTGCTTCTTTGAGTGCAGCTGCACATTTCCCCCTCTCTTCTTGTGCTAGTTCCTTGGCTTTCTCCTCCCTGGAGCTTATCTCCTTCAGTTTCGCCGCACCCTCCATCCGACACTGATTAAGAGAGCTCAGCTGAAAGGCAGCCATCAATTAGGAAGTTAATGAACTGAAGGAAGCAGAACATCCGTCGCTTGATCTTAACACGGTAACTGCATCTAACCTTTCTAGAGGCATCCATTGCTTCAGTTTGGGCCATTGCGTAGACACCACGAGCATGCCTGAGTTCAAGCCTTAACTTTTCTAGCTCAAAGTTGAAGTTTGCCTGCTAAAGCATTGAGTGACATAATCCCTTATTACATGGCATTGAGTGCCATAATCCCTTATTACATGCACCAGAGAAAAGGGGAAGAAGTAGAAGGCTACCTGACTGTCAGATGATGAATTATCTGTGAGCCCATCTGACGCGGAAGCTTCATCGGAGAAGAGTGGTGATTGGAAATCAGCTGAGAAACTAGAGCTACGAGTGATGAGATGTGCAGATTCTGGGGAGCTAGGAGTACAACCAACAGCACCACCACCACCACCAGCATTGACTTTATCAAGTTCCAAGGACAGGGATCTAGAATGGATGATGGCCTCGGGTGAGGTTGTTCTGGAGTGAAGGCAGCCCTGGTTTATGGTAGCAAGTGCCTGGACTCGTTGCATTGGGAGGGAAGAAGAATGAAAATTGAAATAGGAAGATCCTGAACTTCCATCTGCATCAACCCACATCAGATCATGCAATTTTAGAACACAGCTTAGGGTGTGTTTAGTGCACTACTGTATTTCTATGTTGAATCAAGTGAAGTATTAGACAACCTGTATGCGAGCTGAGACTGTTACTCGAGTCACTGTTCGTAGGACCACTCGTGACACTACTATCATCCTCTATGCTTGGATTTGAGTCCAAATCAGACGGGCGAAGAGATGCCAATTTGCCCTTGGAAACCACATACACAGTGCAAGAACGCGGAGCACAAGCTGATATTCTCGAGGAGAGATGATGTGCCTTGAGTTTCCTAAACAAAGATTCTCAAGTCTTTTAATTAGGGATGTTACAACTTACTTATCATTGTCAGTTCTTCTGCACTTTTTGACAGCATGAACGAGTGAAGTTACCTTGAGAACATTCCACGAGAAGAAGCTCCAATGACAAGCTTACTAATCATATTCTTGGAAACTTCATCTGCTATTGCATTTGCCACATTGTCTGCTTCAGTCATACACACAGCCACTTGTACCTATAAAGCCAAAGCCAAAATCACAGTTCACTAATACGATTCACCTCTAACCAATACCGGAACATAGACAGACGAAAGTGAGGAAAAGGGATGACCTTTCTCTGAGTACACAAGTCTTTGTAAGGAACTATCAATTGGATGGCCTTCCATTCCATTTCCTTCCTATACGCCTTTGCTACGCTATCTCGTACTTCCGATATAGGAATCGAATTCCCCACTGTGTAAACAGACAATAGTTAAAGATGAATGAACCATCGGAATACCAAGTCTGGACATGAAAGAAAAAGTTAAGGGAACTTACTGGGAGTAGGGACTAGAGTGACCTTAGGGCGGACATGTAAGATCTTGAACACAACTTTCTCCTCATGACCAAACTTCTCGAGCGCCCATTTCACGACATACTTGCTCTTCTTTTTACCGTCGACGGCGATACCCACGGTCAAAGGCGGTGGAAGAGGATGCAAATCTGCTGCTACCCTCTCTGCCTCAGTAATCTCACTTTGTTTTTCCTCCATTACAAAACGAAAGCCAGTTCTCTCTCTCTCACTCAAACTGGGCAGGGTGGCCTATCTACTGACAAAGAGAAGAGCTTGTAAAATGAATTTGCAGTGAAGGGAAGATGGAAGAAATTCCAAAAGAAGAGCAAGACATTAAACAATAGTACGCGCTTCCTTGAGTCTGAAGGAATGGCAAATACAGACGGACGCACCCAGAAGAAAAAACAGATACAGACAAAGAGAAAGAGTTAGGCATCCGCAAGAAATTGATCGTTCACGGAATTCACACACAGGAAAAAGCTTTCGTTTTCGGTTCTTTTGTTTCTGTTCATTATGAGTCCAAAAATCAAAACGAGTAATTCGAAAACTTGAATGCCCTCAATTCCAAAGGACGGATAAGAGTCCATAAACACATGTTTCCATCTGGGCCATCGTGAAATTCCAATGAATATCGACATTCCTGACTTAAAGCTCAGAACTTGGTTACCTGGCCGGCCGGCGGCGTTGCATTCCGAGCTGACAACGAAGGGAGACGACCCATTACGCGCAAATTTGTTAGGAACCCAATTGAAGAATCCCTTGGAATTGCCGGAAGCGGGAAGAAGTTGCAGAGAGATGCCCAAGGACGCGTCAGAAGAGAACAAAACAGAGTAAAGCCTACAAAACTAACAAGTAGTATTCCCTCTAAAATTATGAGAAAGGATGAAGAGAAAGCAGGATTTCAATCAAGCATGGTTCTTTCTCACTGGGTAGGATTCGGGTAAAGGGGAATTTTGTCGCACTTTGTGATTGTGATTTTCTCAGCTGAGTGATGTGATTCGGCACTGCCCTCGCGCGATTCGCAAAACAACTCGTCGCGTGTCCGTCTGTTGCCATTTTTCACTCCGCAGAAATGGAAGGTTTTTGGGTTGGCTGAGCTGGAGCATTGACCACTTCCCTTTTCATCTTCTTACTTATCTTTTTGTTAACCAACCTTTTCTTCTTATCTTCCATTTTCTTCTTTTCTCCATCAATAGAATCCAAGTGTAATTGTGGTCCAAATTGACCTTTAAATATAATAAAATTGAAATGATTATATCATATCATTTACTTGAAATGTAACATCTTTCTAACATAGTTTAAAATAAAAATTATCTACTAACACTATAATTTTTGTATTTTCCCTACCATCGTTTTCAATCTATATACGTGTCTAGTGTATATGTACATGAGAATATTAACCAATAAGGCAATAGCTAACACTGTTATTAATTAATATAAGTAAACTCGTCATCATACTCATAATCAATTTATCGTACACTACAAATACAACCTATAATATACGATCGAAGTAACTACCAGATCTAGGTGGAGGCCCCATTTCATATGTGGATGCCCTGTGCCGATACACTTTCTTAGTCGCGACACCGTTCGTAAGGATTTGAATGTGGGACCTCAATGACAAATCAGCTCTAACACCATGTCATAAACCAACTGATCTTAATATCTCGAAATCGAATTGTTGAGATAAATTCATATTTAATCTCCCTTTGATGTTGAAGTTTTCAATTAAGAGGAGAAACCCTCCAACTCCATGATCCATCCCACCTACGCTTCTGTAAAAATGTCGCTTTTACCGAACAGAACAAGCTTCACAATATTGACTTCTTAGTTGTCTGTCGCATTCCGGTTCGAATCCAACCTTATATTATTATGTCGAGTTGATTTGTCTGGTTGACCATTAATGGTGATCAATAAAAATTACAATGCCTGCCAACTTCACTAAATAAACAAATCGTTTATTATGCATATACATATACTTTTTTTTTAATAATATTAATGTAACATCTCAATAATTTTTCTTAGTAATCACATTAAAACTTCGAAAATTTTGTAAGAGCTCCTCTTTTCACCTCAAAATGTTTCTTGTCAGTTAATATTGGATTGTTCCTTATGTATTATGAAATTTCTTATGTACTTTGTCCACGTGGAATTTGTCTAATTTCCTCACTAACCACACAAAATTACGAAGTTCTTGTAAGAATTCTTCTATTCCACTCCAAAATGTTTCGTATCCATTAAAATTGGATTGTTCCTTATGAACTATGAATTCCGTATGTGCTTTGTCGATGTGGGAATTTGTCTAATGTGTTATACCATTAATCTGTATAGTAGTTTAGCTACCCAAATATAAATTATAAAATATTATAGGAAATGAATCGAGTAGGTTTCTACCTACTTTTTGGAATTTGGATATGGGTGGGAAAATGATCATCCAAGACAATAAATTAAAAACTTGTGCCTGCGATTCCGTTCATATTCAATCGGTTGACTAATGACTAGTATTATATCTTATTTCTCCTCCAATATTTTTTCTATTTTTTAAATATTAGTCGTTGAATATTTTGTAGTAAAAAAAACACACAAATTGCTCCAAAAAACAAATATTTGAATGGAAAACATCAAATCGCCATTAAATAACCGAGAGGAAAGAAATTGGTTGTTCTAATGGAAATTTCTTTTATTAATTAGTCGCTAATCACTAATGAATGGAATGGAAGACCACAAGCTGTGGAAACGAATCAACCTCATGGTTGAGGCTTTGAAAAGAGATGTCTTCCTGCCTTATATGAATGTGTGTTGTTTCCTAGAAAGTCAGCTTCTTTTATATAAAAAAACGGGTTAATACCATAGTTTGGCCCGAAGTTTAGCGTTAGTGACAGTTCTGGCCCCATTTTTCAAATAAGACATTTGTGGCCTACTTTAAAAATTATTGGACAAATTTGGCCCGAGAGACGGTTTGACTGTCAGAATTAACGGTCAACTATTTTTCCATCACTGACTCAGCATTTGCCACTGACTGGGCTTGTCCACATCATTTACAAATTAAATAAAATAAAACAAATAATAATAACAAATGGAAAAACTGAATTACAGAGAAGGGGTCACGTTGACCACTAGATCTTCCCCTTATTCACTCCATCGTTTCTCCTTCCCCCAGTCGTTCCCGAGCGGCCGACGATTCTTCCGCCTCTCCTTCTTCTTCGCCAGCTCCAATCATCACCGCCCTCCCCTTGGGGTCAACCGCCAAGTACTGACCAGGAACTATCCTCCTGCATCTTGACTTCCCAAATGTCTCCGGGTGAACTTTATCAAACACACTCTTCTCCTTGTCGTACTTCAAAATCACAATCCTCCCGGAATCGGAACTAGCGACGATTTAATCCTTCTGAGATCCAGTAAGTCTGAATTGAGCCAAAGAGCGAATAGCACCGAATATTTCGATGAAAAGAATGATTTGGAGCCTACCGATGTCGTCGGGACAGAGGAGATCGAGAAGCTTTCCCCGCGCAATGACGATCTCTTGGAACTTCCAGCCAGAGAAGCTTTCGTTAATGGCGGCCACCACACCGATGGGTCGCTGAGGTGTTAATCAGTGGGCAAGTGGAAGAAAATGGGAGGGGTGGGTTTTGATTTGCTCGGTCGCAGAAAGCAAGGCAGGGCTAGCAGCGGCGGGGAAAATGGGAGTTGGAGGTGGCGGCGGGTGAAAGTGGGAGGTGGAGGTGGTCGCAGGGATGGGTGGGTGGTAGGGTTGAAAATGGAATGGGGGATTAAGTGGGCTCCAAATTAATTTACTTGTTTTTCCATGTTTTTTTTCATTTTAACATAAAAAAATTATGTGCAAATGATGTGGCAGCACATGTTAGTGCCACCTCAGCACTGAATGCTGAGTAACTAACGGAATAAATGTTTGACCGTTAGTTTTAACGGTCAACATAATTTCCGGGCCAAATTTGTCTAATAATTTTAAAAGTGGGCCATAAATGTCTTATTTGAAAAATGAGGCTAAAACTGTCACTAACGCTAAACTTCGGGCCAAACTAGGGTATTAACCCTAAAAAAAATTCCAATACCACGTCCAAAACTTGATGTTAAGGACAAAAGAGTAAATTCACAAGTATAGTTGGTACATATCCTCGTCCTCCAGACGTTAGATAAATTACTCGAAACTCTCAAATAAAGATTCTCATAATGGCAAGGACAATCTTACGAAACTGAGTAAAGTGAGTAATAGGTTAGGGGGCAACATGATAACCCACCCATCTACCGTCTGTTTTCCGTCTTTTTCCTTCGTTTTTTGAACTGACCATCAAATAACTCATTAGGTCCACAATACAAATAACTCAATGGTCCTACAATTATTCAAATTTGCATAAGATGAGTAAGCCCCTTCTTGACCTAGGTGAATGTAGAATTGTCGATCTACTCTTGGTCAAGTTTGAATATCAATACCACATACATTTAACATGGATAAAACATTAAAATCAATTGAACAAGAACTCACTATAACTAAACCATTCAATCCATTACATGAAAACCCCTAGGCTATGGTTAGGGGGTCTTACCCCAAATACTTTAAAAATTACCCAATGCTTGGGGAAGAAAACCCTAGAAAATGGGTGATGCATTATCGTATTTGGCCGCCCATTATCATTATTATTATTATTATTAGTTTATGAGTCGGTTTTAGATATGGTTTAAGAATTGTATTAATTCATTAAGTGTTTAAGGTAGTTTCTTTAGGATTAAGTTACCGAGTCCTTGTAGGATTAGTAAGTCATTAGGTTTTCTGGTTCTACTATAAATATGTACTTTGTTTCTACGTTTTAATCAGTCAATGAATAAGAAAACCCCTAATTTAGTTGTTTTAGTTTATTTATCGTTCTTGTGCTGCGATGCTTGATCCGTCAAATAATCAATGCATCAATGGGAATAGAAAGCATCAAGTGGAAGTGTCTTGTTGCTGGAGAAATTGGCTCAGAAAACCTCCAAATGCTCCTCTTCTTCTCATAGCTTTCCTGGTTGTGATCTCCACCTTGTGCCTGCGAACTTCTCCCTTATTCAAACTACACTTGATGTCCTAATCAATCCCTTCCAATTTGACTTAAATGCAACACAGGTTCGCCTAAACAAAGAAATTAGGTAGTTTGTACCCCATTATTAAGTGTGGGGGGAAAAGAGAGGCTTCAAGTTTACAATTAGGTCACATGTTTGCTTGAGGACAAGCAAAAGTCTAAGTGTGGGAGGATTCGGTAACACCTGAATTAGGTAGTTTTACACCGAATTATTAAGGGTTATCATGATGATTTTAACGTGTTTGCATCCAAAATTGTCGAATTAGTCTAAGGTTTGTTGCTATTTCGATATTGATAGGATTAAATGATGTTTATGAGGGTTGGGCGCAATCGAGATAAGATTGGGTACAAGTGTAGGCTCAAAGACAGAGAGTTTGAATAGCAAAACTGCAGGGCAGGGACCATAAACATGATCCTCACCCGTGATATGAGTTCAGGGGTGAGCACCAAAGATCACACATGTGATCTCACGGCTGCACCCGTGAACGCTATACCCAAAATGAGTAAACGAAACAGAGAGTTTCACGGGTGTAGTTGGTGAGTTCATGGGTGGGAGTTTCAGCCGTGATCTCAAGATCAAAGCCATGAACTTAAAGATCACGATCGAGAATTCTCAACACTCAATTTGTCAAGTCAACGATCTCAAGCGGCATCGTTTCAAAAGATCACATGTACAATATGGATTTTATGGTGGTGAACTCCAACCCTGATCTCGCACATCCCCCAGCCTATAGATAGGAGATCAAAATTCAAACTACAGGGATATGATTTTTTTTCAAATTTCTATCATCCACAAGAGAGAAGTGATGTTTTTTGCACCTAGAGTGGAGAATAAGGCTTGAGAAAAATGGAAGATTGCTCATCTCCTAGACTTGGAGTTGAAGAATTGAACTTCCCTTGAAGATGGTGTTCTTCCTTCCTCTTTGTAACTCTTTCTTCTCCTCTTTCATGAGGCAATCTCCTTTGTGCTTGGGGTGAGAACTCCTAACTTCATGCAGTGAATCTTATGTGACTGGAATTGAATTGTTTGATTCCCTATCAAATCTAAGTCCATTTGATTGTGCTTAATGCTATCTATATGCTCAATGGGTTTGTATCTACTTGAAGAATCTAACCCTAGAGCTCTAGCTAGGTTGTTAATTGCATGACCATTCGGTTAATTGCATGACCATTGGGTTTGTATCTCCTCTTAATTGCATTGATCCATTTGTTACAATATAGATGCCTACATTTTGGATAGTTAGCAATTATACAAGGAAGTTCTATGTTGCCAATTCACTTGACTGATGTTAGGGACCCAAATACCCTTTCTCTTAGGGGTGGGCATTCGGTCGGTTCGGTTCAAACCCAACCGAAATTATGCATACCGGGTTCCCGAATTCTATCAAACTTCAAACCGAATTCGAACCGAATTATAATTCGGTCTGGTCGGTTCAAACCGAATTATAATTCGGTTCAGTTTTTCATACAAAACCGAAATAGTGAGGTTAGCTTGTATTTTCTCTTTTTTAACTTATTTTTCACCCCTAATGCAAACAATAAATATGCATCATCAATGATAAAATCAAACATTTCAACTCATAAGTCATAAAACACTAACATGATTCAAATATTTAAGTCTCATAATAAGTAGAAACATAAAAATCCACAATTTAGAGCTTGCAATTATAATAATTCGGTTTTTCGGTTCAGAATTCGGAAATTCGGTTCGGTCGAAAGGACCCTGGTTTCCGAAATATGCCCTTTTCTCTTCCGAATTCCGAACCGAATAACATTAATTCGGTTTCGGTTCGGTTCGGTTTTACCGAACCGTATGCCCACCCCTACTTTCTCTTGAGTGAACCTTAAGTAATACCATCTTCTGTGTTTGATTAGGATTAAACAACCTCGATTATTCGATTAGATACCGACAACATTCTTCGAGTGTCAATAGTTTCGAAACCCCGTAGAATACGACCTTGAGAGGTCCTCCACTATATATTACATCCTCATTTAGGGTGTACTTTACCTAAGCGGATGCATTAGTGCGTGTATCAAGGCGATAGCTTCTCCCGCGGAAAGCTACTCCCTCGGCGGCATTCCCCTGCTGCTGCTCCCCTGTTGTTGCTGCTGGTGAACCACCGCTCGCCGGTGGCGTTTGTCGTCGCCCTCCGCCGCCACTGAGACGGTAGCTTCTTCCCCGGAAAGCAACTCCCGCCGATGGGTCGCTCTGAAATGGAGAATTCAGCTGCTTCCCTTCACCCCAGAATGCCACCAATTTGTGCCTAGACCGCCAAAAAGAAGAAAAAAAAACAGAGGATTCACAATTCCAGCTTCCTTGATTCACAGAACAATTGTAGACAAAGATGATTCCAAACAAGAAGAGTATATACACAAAGCGAGGAGTCTTGAGGACGTATTTGCCGCCGGCGAGGGGATGAAGCACGGTCAGGAAGTAGTAGATGTGGCCGGCGACGATTCCCAGGATGTCCGGTTTCAGTGGGTTGCCGAAGATCAAATCCAGCGCCAACATTGCCCATGGAAGGTAGAACCCCTGTTTTCGCTAAAGTTAAAACAGAGTATAGAAGCTAAAATCGGCGGGGAAAAAGGAAACAAATTTATAACCTTCAAGGAGACGAGTCCGTAAATGCTGATGCGGGCATTGGGGAATTCTCGGCCCCAGATGTAGACTATCATGAAAACTAGAGAAACTCCCATGAACGGCGACCACAGAGAAGGAACCGCCGCCATCCCCTGCTTATTAGGAAGAAAGAGTGACATCACATTCACAGCTTTGATTCATCCGGTGGAGACGTAAATCAGAAAGACAGAGAGCTACTTACGAGAAGTGAGAGTGCTCCGAAGAAGAACATCCACACGAAATCAGCGGTTCTCTTGTCGAAGGGTCCTCTCTCCAGGGAAACTCCATATTTCGCTCTGCATCAAAGAGATCGTGAAACCCCTTGGACGAAAAACAGAGAAAACAGAGTTGCTTAGGCTCTTCTTCATACGTACATGATGATTAGACGGAAAGCAAAGGGGAAGGAGAAGGGACCCAGGAAGAAGAAATTGGTGATCAGCCTCCAAATCTGCAGCAGACGGACCCGTCAGTCAAAACAAGGAAAATAATTTGATTGAAGTAAATTAGAAGTATCAATTTTGGGTATTGTTATTTGCCTGGAAGCGTTTGAAGACGTCGTCATAAAACAGAGCAATGCTCTCGGGGTTGTAAAGATCCAGGTAGAAAGCTGCGGTTGTCATTAGACAAGCCACTCCGTAGGTCTTGCTCACCGGCGGCAACGATCGATAGTATCTAGAATGTCACCCCCACCGGCCACCACCAATAAAATTATTCCCAAGAGAAGTTTGTGGTAAGAAACCATGGAAGAGAATGACTCTGATCATGAAACAGAGAGAGAGAGAGAGAGAGAGAGAGAGAGAGAGAGAGAGAGAGAGAGAGAGAGAAGTAGCTTACTCTCCAGGGGTAGACATGGTGGACTGGTGGTTCAGGTTCAGCGCCAAGCAGCCGATCAAGAATCCTGAGCAAGATGGCTTGAAGATCGCAATTAAGGGCTTGGGGAAGAAAGAAACAGCCCAGTTACTCTGTTTTTTTATGCCAAAGTTTTGGAGTCTTTTTTAGGTTCTTAGTTCTTACTGTTTTGCAAGACTCAAGTCAACGCAAGTCAGTCAAAAGTCGGATCAAGTGGAGGCGTTGAGGTGGTGTGGTCGTATATAGGAGTGTGTGCAACGGTTCCGGATCCGGACTAAATTCATGAGAACTGCGGTTCAATATTGAAAGATATTTTAGGATCGAGACTGAATCAATAGTAAATTCGATTTGGTTTGGTCGATCCTAATGTCGATTCGGTCTATTTTTCTTTACTATTTGTAAAAATTTATGGGACCAAGGGCTTGACCACTATTTGGTTAGCAACTCTGCCCGTATATATCAATCCTAGTTTTGGCTCGTGCTATCCAATCGGTAAGAAGCTAATTGCATTTAAAATTTCATTCAATCATTTAATGATTTAGTTGAAGTAAAATATATTTTACGTAATTTCTTAATCATTACAAAAATATTTATGTAGTAAGTTTTGTTTGATTGATACGTATGAAATAATTATCTCTGCATAAGTTTTATGTAATGTATTTGTAATTTATGAAATAGTATTGCGTAAAACTTTCTTAATGTGGTTTAATAATAGAATCAATTTATGCAAAGTGTCACAACTTATTAAACTACTATATAAAAGTTAAACTCAAATATACAAATTGATGAGATAGTTAACGTTGTAGTTAATAATAAAAGAATTAAGCTTCGAAAAACAAAACATCTTATTAAACTGTTATGTAAAAGTTAACTTCCCTCAAAGAACCTATGCAAATTGATGAGATGTGAATATTGTAAGTAATAAGAAAATAATTTTAGTTAATAATAAAAAAAATTAAGTTATAAAGAGTATCTCATTTGAATTTTGATTTAACTATTATATAAAAATAATTAACCTTGCATAACCTAATGCAAATTGACGACATGGTAAACAATTTAGCTAATAATAAATGAATCTTATCTCAAGCTTATACTACGAAAAACTTGTATAATATATTTTTTTTAATTGATACGTAAGAAATGTCAATCCCTCCATAAAATTAATCATACTAAGACTTAAAGTAATATGTTTTGTCTAATTGTTATTGGCGAACTGTATTTTTCTAATTAGGTTTATATACAATAGTGGTAGCGCCATTAATGAGGGTGGCCCTGTTTCTACGTAAACTCCATTATCGTGGTTGGGCCTGGTTGTGTCTACAAGGGATTTGACTGAGCCAGATTCCACCGGCTTTCTTGTATCTCAAGTCTACCTTGAACAGTGATTCCTGTGAGAAATGGCTATTATTCAAACTCTTGACTGAATTACATTCCAAACAAAATGCTAACCCAACAGTATTGTTTCATCCAGTTTTCCTTGCTGCTCCGATCAGTTAACTTCGTGGAGAGGGCAGTTCAGTTTATCGGAATGGAACGATAAGCAAAACGGAAACATAGATTACGACGAAATGATGATGCTGATGAACCATATCCGTCATGGATAACAAGCAAGTTCGCTGCCTGCCTATTGCTTTTCCTTTTACTAAACAGGAGGGCCAGACGCAAAGAGGCTGATAAGGCCTCTGAACACTTGTGCCGACAGCTGGTGCGCTGGGAAAGGCTCGCCGTCCAGGTTCCAAACACTCTCCTTCCCCATGGATGTGAATGTGAAAGCAGGTGTCTGGCAGACAAAAACAGAAACACAATCAGGATGAACCGACTACTGACAGAATGATTTGTGCAGCAGATGATGCTTGGAAGTTATACCTTGTGGTGTTCTACGAAACTGAAATTGAGGGGCTCGCCGCCTTTCTTTGCAAGCTGAGTAAGGTGCCTGACAACATCATTTCAAAGTTAGCCATTGTTAAAGCTCGAGCAATATGCCACAAAAGATCAAGCAAAAACGGCTCAAGAAAGTTACCATAGGTAAAGAGCACGCGGGCAGTCTTTGATCAACAGGAGATGCAAGAAGCCGTCTGATAAGTGGGCCTCAGCAACCAGACCGTCCGGTGCTTTTTCGTTTCTGTTTGATATTATGGCGGCACCAACGCTGAGAAATCGTCCCGCACATTTCTGCCACCGTCCCCCTACTCCCCCTCCACGCCATGAATAGGGCGTTAAACGCTGTCTTGTTTTGGACATATGGACTGGCTTGGAATTACTACATACCCCACAATTCGCACGACAAATGACTCTTTGGGGTTTCTCCGAGCAACACATTGATTTCATCCAGCTGCTGCAGGGATTACTACCTCTCTCAACTGGCGATTCTGGGTTTTCTGACTCTGATTCGAAGTATGCTACTTCTGCTTCATAAGACCTGGATGATGAAAAAATAGCAAAAGTCATGAAGATGTGTAATTTTGTTTACACGGATCATCATTTCCTTGAAAAAATAGCAAAAGTCATGAAAAAATAGCAAAAGTCACTGAAGTTACGGGAGATTTTAACTGTCTACGCAATATAGTTGGAAAGTTAACTAACTGCATGCTCGTGCTAAATAACGTATCATGCTGAAGATCTCCGTGATGACCCATTCGAGTACAAGAAACGTGAAAATCTAAGTAATTCTTCCACATATTCACTTTTATGCTTCAACTGTGAACGTGCAGAAAAGGTACAGAAAAGCGAGGAAACATTCCATCATATACAAAAAGGCAAATAAAAAGGAATTCAAGTATGCTTTGACATTTGCAAATAAACATTGTTGGAGGTGTACCTGTGTCTTAAGAACACTTTGGTTCCAGCATAATCATAGCGCTTGGGGCCCATCCAGCGGTAGTTTTCGCTCTCAGTAATGACATCTCCATAAAATCCATACCTATTAATGATACCTCAATTAGAATTAAGAATATAAGTCATTTACAGCTCAACAAGATGAAAAAGGCATTCTACAAAAGAAAAAAATGAACAAGGGGATATCCTGCCTGTTACTAAAAATAGAGCAGAGAAAAACACCAAAGTTGAAGACAAATGCACAAAAGCGAGCACCTAATAAAAACCCAATCGAGTACATTAAGACCAAGACAAAAGGGAAAAATTACCCAGCAAAAGAAGCTGCATAGCGTACACAAGGATCGACATCCGCTGTAAATGTTGTCTTCCACCTCACTACTTGAGCTATATCAAGAGAGATTCTTTTTCCCAGGACAATTTGCAGGGCAGAGGTTATAGGATCTCGAGTTCCAGTAGTGCTACAATATAAGGACGAGAACAAGGATTCAGTATTTCACAATCAACAAGCAAAGATGATCATATGAAATCCATAATTTTATATGCCTTGGTAACAGAGAGAATTTACTCAAGAAAGCAAGTACCACATCACAATGGCATCTGTAGAACCAGCTGGAATAATTCCGAATCTCAAGTGTTCACGAGGGAATGGAAAGTCGAGCTCTTCATCTTCAGAAAATCAATATTAACATTTAATCATTACTAAATTTTCAACCACATAACCATAAAAAAAAAAAATCAACCACATCAAGTCGTATTCGCTAAAAATGCGTTAATTTTACATAGTGAATGTCACTGACCTGAGTAGCCTGAGTCATTTTCGGTACCTGTAATTTCATGAACTTGTTAGGATAACAATCTTAACAACTCAAAATGCAGAAAGCATGAATGGACAGGTAATCAAAATGCCATACTGGAATTGGCCAACCCTATGGCTTTATGAGTTGAAGATGATGAAAGAAGGGGAGACGCAGCTTCAGTTTCAGGAGTTTCAGCTGTAGCTTCTCGTGTATCATGGCCTAAAACAGGGCCATTACTCCTATTCAAGTGAAGGATATCTGAAGGAGATGGTGGATGAGGAGCTCTAAGTCTAAAAAGTAGAAATCCATTGAGGACTTCATTGAAGAAGCCATCACCACCCTAGAAAAAAAATGAGCAGAATCCAATAATCAGGAACTCAGACAGCATGCACGGGCAATAAGGTAACACAGAGCTCATGACTATCCACGAAATGGGAAATTTTAAGTGCTTACAACAATTATGACACCATCATATGAACGTAGCTCCTCATTTGAGGTAGAAATCATGGCATCAAAAGCCTGTCCTGCCCTCTCTGTCACAATCACCTGAAGGTAAATTAGAAAGTATTTCGAATCATGCTTGAATGGATAACAAGCAAAATATAACGATCCATAACTATATATCAGCATAATCAGTAGAAGATCAATCTTAAATGTCAAAATGATAATTATTTGAATCTTAATTCACATGAAATTAGGCAAGTTAATTATGACCATCAAGGATTCCAGAATTATCTCAACAGATGGACTACAGGTTTCACATCGCAGTTTAAATATTTCCACCTTATTGGCCCTAAAATGTGAAATTGCTCATGCATTTTCAAGGAACTGAAGGCGGGGTTAAGATCAACTCATCAATAGACTTGATTGGACATAACTATAAAGTTTAAACGCCCACCATAATTTATACCCATTACATGCATTCTAAGTCTGCACATAATTTGATACAATGTCAAAAGCATCGCCAAGGGTTCTTATCGCACAGTTAGCTCACCAAAAATGAGAATATAAAGACATGGAAGCCCTTCACCTAGATTTCATGCCCTGCATCCGATTTTTGTTTTAGTTTTACCTAGTAGGTAACTTCCATAGATATCGAGCTATTTTGTGTCCCTTCATACCAAGTTCAATAACAAACAAATAGTAAGCTTCCTAGCATATTCATAGATGCATATAGTATCAGAAAATTTACCTTTGTATCTACTTTAGCACGTGAAAATACCGGAGCCACATTTTCCCACGTTCTGCAACCATGTTTTTTCCCACTCCTTGGATTAACGAAAACCTAGTCAATAAGAAATAAAGTCTGGAAACAACTTCATAACTAGTTTATCCCATTGTCCACTGACAGTGTATCTAGAGACACAAATATGAATTAGAGAACCTAATCAGTAACTGAACGAACCAGAAGATTCTTCGGTCTCTCAATTTCCACTTTCAGAGAAGCATCGATCCAATCAGTCCACCTGTGGCAGATCTCTGAATCCTTGTGACCGAAAGTGTATGTTGCCAGACAAAGTTGAGAGTGCTGCGACTTCTTAATACCATGCACTGTGAAGCGATACATCTATACAACAAGTTTAGGAAATAGCATTACAATATGATCTCCTAATCATTAAGAAAATTCACGCAAATGAAATGCCAATTCAAGAAACCTGGGTGTCGCCATGCCCATGGAGTGATATGAGCTTCCCTATGTTCGGGTGATTAGAACCGCGAATTACACCATAGCTGATCAACTCCACCCCATATATCTCTGAGAATTTGATCTCAGTGACAACGTCGCCGCCCAATTTGATCCCAAAGCAAGAAGATAAATCCTATTCCAAAGTTAACAACGTTGTCAGCACATTTCAATCAACATCTCCAATAAAATTGGACCAAAATTGCCGAATCAAAGAGGTTCCTTGAAAGACGATCAAAAAAGGGAGATTCCTAGAAACAAAAGGCGAACCCCTTTTAATCAAAAGACCAAAAAAATTCCATGCGCGGTAGCAAATCAACGTCTTCCCAGCTAATGCATTCCTCAATGATCCAAAAAGAAACGACATTTACAAAAGGGTAACTCACCTTATAATCAGAGTCCGGGAATTTCCACGACAACCCATCAGAACCGAGTGTGAGAACCACTTCCCCGACGTTATCCATGAAAAGGGTCGAGGTCGAAGCGGAAGAAGACTCCGCCTCGCCGTCAGAATCGCCATCAGCAGAGGCAGACGCGTCGGATGTGGTGGTAGCGCTGGTTCTCTCTTCTGTTTTCTCCACTAAACGAGAGTCCTCTCCCTCCATGTTTGTCTGTCTGAAAGTTCCTCTAGCGGATGATCGATCGGGCAGATTCACAGGCAGCGATGAGATTCTTTGTGAGTTTATTGGACTCGGATACAAACAAACCAGGTATTTGCTCTTGAGTTGCAGATACTTCTATTTGTTTTGTTGGGCTTTCTACAAAACTCGTCCGCCTGTTGTTTCTGTTATTAGTAGTCCGCAACAGGCAACATGAACCAGGCTAAATGTTTTTTGGTCTAAAATAGGTTGCATGACCAAAGACTTACATAATCAGCTTTGGTCAGATCTAAATGAGATTAAAAGTTTCTTTTTCCTATTCTTTTAATAATTTTTAACATTTTTTTTTAATTTGGGTTTAAAAAAAATTTATATTGAGGAAACGAGTCTGTTGTGATCTACAAAATGATATCTATTGTTAATATATTTAAATAAAAAGTTTTCGCACTACTGATACCACTCATTACTACTCTGGTACCACCTGATAGATTCTCTGCACCGCCTTCATTTTTCATTCAAATTTTAAAAATATTTGTCGAGAAGAAACGAGTTCATCACGATCTATTGGATCTAAAAATTTATGGGGGAATTTCAGGAACAAATATATCACCCTAGTATAGGGTGATAACTGGTGAATGACGGTGGTAATTGACACTTAGTGTATTCATATTATCGTGTACACAACCATTCTACAATATTGTATATTCATATCATCTTGGTATAATCTTATGTATTACTAGGGGTGGTATACATATCGATTTTAACTGATAACCGAACAGATAAAAACGGTTAGTGGTTAACCGATAATCGATAATCTCTTATTAGTTTGCTGTTGGTTAGTAATATTTTGCTTAGTGATTAACCGCTAACCAGCTACTCGATTAGTGGTTAACCAATAAAGTTAAAATGACTGATCGTGATCAGTGAGCGGGAAGAACACCTACTAGTATAAGTGCATAACCACATAGTTTTGGACTTTTGGCTAAAGGGAAATGTTTCAAGATTCAAAACCAACCAAACTCGCAATTCCAAACACTCAATTCCCACCTATTGCAAACAACCCTCCACCAAGAGTCTCAAATGTGTTTAAAAGTCAGAACCCAAAAGTCACCCCTCTCAAACTCCCCTTTGCAATCAACAGAGCGAACCTCACACCCTAGTGATCTTTTTTTTCTTTGATGTTTGTGAATGATGATGATCTTGTGGGGCTTGTGTTTGATCTTGCTAGTTGGCACTCGCTAATTGGATGAATAAGTTTGATTACTTTTTATTTTATGCTAGTTGGTACTCTCTAATTGGATGAATAAGATTGATTAAGACTTATCGGTTCGGTCATTGGTAAATGGTTTTTGCTTATTGGTTAATCGCCAACCCTCATATTGGTTAGTGATTAACCGAACCGAACTGATTAGCACCCCTATATACTACTAAGCATTACCACTATGGTATAAACTGGTAATAAATATCAGAATTTTTTTCAAATCATATCGAAGTGGATATAATTTTGAAGAGCATAATTAATCTAATTTATCTATTCAAAAAATTAAATTACGACTTAAATTAAAAAATATATAGCCCGCTAAAATTGATTGGGAACAAACTAGTTGTCTCTCATAACTGCTAACTATAGAGTTATGCATAACAATGTTATGCATAGAATCTGCTCCTTTGTAGTTTGGGTGTGTTCACAGAGGATACTATGCATAACCTTGTTATTCATAATCATACACTTACTATCTAGACAACTAATTTTTTCCCAATTTTTTTTTTCCTACGAGTAACTGAGTAAGAATAGATAAATAATTGTGAAAACATTGGCACTGCAACTTGACTTGTGTAAACTTCTAATTGCAATATTTGTCTGGCAATGTACAATGAGACCACAATCAGATGCGTGAAGTGAATACACTATTTCGATCCAATGTTTGAACAAACATAATAAGGACGGGGACAACGCTGTTGGTCACATCAAGAGACAAGCTTCTGGTGGAGAGTGAACGAAGGTGTTTTGGAAGAACAAAGCCAGAGGAGCTGCTGAGTTCAGAAGGTCGGTTTTTGATCGGGCAACACTGTGAAAACTTCCACGTCTTTCATATGAGTACTCCTGACCGAATACTGGAACGTCCATCCATGGCAAGCTCCAGCATGGACTCCATTCTTGTTTACTGCGAACACTGCTCCCACGAAATCAGGGAACTTTCTTGCGATTCGCGAAATTGCATCGTCAGCAGCTAGCTTAGGTTTCATGCCTCGTCTCATACTTTCCACAACTTGGTAGCTGCAAAAAAAGAGAGGAAATGACTCGAGATATTTGAGTCTCAACTCAAGCAATGGTAATAAGACCACAAGGGCATGGCAGTTTGGCTAAAGATTCCAAGAGATGGTTCAGGACCTTCCGTTTCACAACTTACGAGTGCTGACAAAGCGAAACAAACTAGAGGGGGATATAGAGAGAGCAATATACCAAGGAAGGAAGCGCATCATGATGTCTCCATCGCCAGTAGCACCACAAGCTCCTACTTCACTATCTGCATAGGCTGCAGATCCTGCAATGGGTCCATCTCCAACCCTGTAACCCCAAAAGAACATCCACCGAGTTAGCATCTCGATATAAATGTCTGCTCTTCCTACATTCAATTCATATTCTGGGGTTGTTCAGATGGCGGATTGTCGAGATCGAGATGAGTAGATTATGAGACTACATTACTTCTGAAATAAATAGCTCTGGAAATAGATATAGATTATCATAATGTATTATTTGGATAAGTGTTTCCCACATGTGGATCATAGGGAGTGGTTTGTATCCATAATGCTGAACATACTAAATAGCCTGAACTTTTACTTTCTGCAATGATAGACAAGGAGTCAAGGACAGTGGAAAAAAGAACGGCGCATTCTGCAAGCTAACCTTCACTCAATCATACAATAGTAACCTTATGGAGATTATCTAATAGATCGTTGCAAGAATATACCCACACTGCACAATCCACCCTACCAAATGCACAGAAGAGCCCTAACTAGTAACTACTGGTTCGTCAAAACTGGAAATACAACGTCAAACAACACCTTACATACAAAGTTCTACAAACCAGAGTTTCCAGTAACCACGGTTGCTCACCTGCCAGGGATCTTAAAAGTGGCTCCATTAGTTGACGTACCAGCGGCTATGTGTCCCATCTGCACAAAAAGGAGAAGTCTTTACAGAAGAAAGTTCACAACTGCATCAAATTCAAAGTTGAAGTTTTTTCCAAACTTATTACTCTGTCGACAACAGCCATTGATATGGTGTCATGGTTGTGAGGCCCAACAAGACATGATCTTGATTCAGTTTCTTCCACTGAGCCGGACTGGGAACACCCGACCTTTTTACTGCCTACACTGTCCCTAGCACGATAAGGACCACAACCATTTGCAGGTATCACATCCCGCCTGAAATTGGGTTGGCAACCATTATCCTTCCAGTTACTCCACTTCTCTATGGACTCCGATGAACTGAGGTTGGTCGGCCCTTGGAGACCCATTGAAATAGCAAAAACTGAAGCCTGCTCTCCAACAAGGAAAGTATGCTTCGAGTATTGCATCACCAATTTAGCTGCTTTGATCCCGTCTTTTACATATCTCATGGCACCAACAGCTCCCACCTCCATGGTCACCTACGCATACCCTTGTGCCAAACGGGGGAGTAAGCAATTAACCATCAGTACAAAATAAGCAAGGAGTGACAGGAGTATGGTGGTTACCCCATTCATGATCATGGCATCAATTGTGGTTTCTGCATTCTCATCAGGACTCCCACCAGGCCCCACTGGTCATTCCAGCCATGACACATAAACACAAGCTTAGCAAAGACATAAAACTCGAATTGACCAACAAATCTAACAACCTTACAGACACCACTACCAGAACGGAACCACAATTGAATACATCCCTAACCAAGCCAATTCCTTTTGGTAAACCCATGAAGTGGATATAGCTAATTTGAGCTCAAAGATTCAAAACGATGCTGATAAAATGACAATCAGAACAAAATAGACGCAGTTTGATAGTGCAAAGAGCTCGATTCTTCTTTTACCTGTGCCATCACACCTCAAGGCTTCACAAGTAGAACAACCCTCCACAACAGAATCGACGGCGGAAAGGCCAGAGTCAACGGCCCTCCAAGCAGCTCTGACTGCTTCTCTGAATGGCCAAGTGCTCACTACTAAAGGATACTGCGTTGAAATCCCGACGCCGGAGCTTTCAGCCACCTGATACAGTCATGGAAACAAGGAATCACTCAACCAGGCAGGCATCCAGCGGTCTGAAGTTAGGTGAAAACAACTACAAGGAGAAAAATTTTACCGCGAGAAAAGAGGTGAGGACGTAGACAAGAGCGAGGCGATTTTTTCCCGGCAGCATCGATCGTGAATGGGGGTCTCGACTGGTTGCCTCCAGTTCTTTCATCCGCTTTCTGGCAGTTCGTGAGCCTGCCGGCGGTGAGAAAGTAGAGAATTTTATTCGCCGGCGATTGTAATATGCGAGTAGTGAGTCGGGACTCGTTACTGGATTTGCCAAGACGACAACGCTTTAGCTGTCTGTTTTTTGCCACTACCGGCAGAAAAGAGAAAATCTGGAATATTTTGCTTAATTAATTTCAAATAAATTATAAGATTTGGTCCTCGACTCCTCGTTAGTCGTTACTAATTTTGTTTCATTTTTGTCAATAAATTTTGTTACCTCAACTCAATTTATTTCACTTTTTCGCTTGTAATTTTCTTTTCATACTAGTAATTGACTATACTCCTTGTTGGGTACGGATTGTCCATCTTCGTTAAAGTAGTTCTAAGTGATAGTAAACTAAAAAAATTTAATCGTTGAGTAGTTCATATGTCAACGAGGACGTTAAAGTAGTTCTAAGTGATAGTCAACTAAAAAAATTTAAACGTTGAGTAGTTCATATGTCAACGAGGACGGAATGCTTATCGGATAGAGGAAGCAGCAGCAGCAGATCTTCCTCCGTCTGTCGAGCATTCCATCCTTGTTGAAGTTCAAACTCCACCTCCAACGTCGTGTGCCTGGAGATTTTACCTACAATGAAAATCGCTTTAGACACATTCGATCAGCGTGTTTGATTGCTTTCAACGGAAGCAGTTCATCATCTCTTTAGTCTCGAATGATCTGGTCCAAATCCAAACATGTGTAGTTGTATGATGCGAATTACTTATAGCAATGAGTACGTTGGGGAAAAAATCTGAAAAAAAGGAAAACGGGAAGGACCACAACTACAACTTACAAGAATCATGTTTCTATAGCAACCGATATTCGGGAATCACAACATACTTCACCCAACAAAACAAACCAAGGATTGTAAAACCGTATCGAAGGTTGTACCGGAAAAGTCAACGATAGGAGATTTTATGCTTAAACCGTGGTCCGACCATTCCATACCGCTAAATTTTGCATTTCGATTCAACCTTCGATAGGTGATTTTTTTTTTCTAGTTGACCATTGATACGGTTTTTCAATCCTTGAATTTGAAACAAACCAAAACCTGTCGATGCAACGTCCAAATGCTTCCCCCTTCTAAAACATATTATGGACACACAAAATCTATAAAATGCTGGCATTTACAAGCAGATCAGAAGCAGGCATCTGGAAACTGCAAATCAGAGAATTCAAGAACACAAAGGATCCTTTCCTTGCTCCCGCCTTATCTCCAAACCGTTTCATTTGCGTCCGTGAAAATGGAGTTGTGTTGCTCAATGAGGCACTGTATAACTTCAATAGCACCAAAGTCCACCGGTGCACCGTCATCCAGTGGAATGGCTGAGGAGACTTCCATTTCTTCACCTTCTTCTGTCAAGCCACGAACAACAAAGATAAAAGAATGAGTATATACACCTTGATTATCAATTAAACATGTTCTTATAACGTTCAACACACCAGAGAGCAGGTCCCATTCAGTGAGTGTAGGTTTTCCATCTGTGCCGTCGGTCTTGGACGAATTTCTGAACATGGAATTCCAGTATTGCCTATAAGATTCTGGTCTCTGCTCTTTCCGCCACATCACAACAGGGGCCATTTCCATGGCAAGGCTTCTAGCATCCATCTGCAGAAAAGGTTGAATAAGAAGCAAACGCAACATTAGTATGCATAGAAGGTTCTCATCTCAAGTTCAAATTCTTGGGCTTAAATATCACGAAAATCTGATAACTCTGTGTTAACCAGACACGACAAAGATTAGTTTCGCATACAAGAGACCCAGTCACATGCCAGAAAAACAAAATTACTGGAAATTCCAGAAACTCCATGGATTATTATCCATGATTGATAAATAGGCAATAGAAAAGAAGCCCAAAGGTATCCATCCTGTTGAAACTGGGAAAAGTGCTAAACCTAGTTTCACCATGTAACAAACAATCATATGGATTCCCCAAAAGCCCATTGTTATAAACTATATGGGGAATGGATGGATGGATGGATGTAGAGAGTGTGAGACAGAGTCTTCTTGCCTTGTTGAGAAGTGATTTCTGACTAACACGGAGAAACAGCGCAGTGACGAACTCCAGTGTCATGTAATTTACAGTAGGAAGCCTCTTGAGGATATTTCTCATTGCATGTATGTTAGATCGCGCACCTTTAATGGCATCATAGTGCTCAAAGGTGGTTAGGGGCTCAGGAAGACTTGCCAGATAACATTTCATTAGAAATGCCACATCGATGGGATTAATGCCATCAGGCAGTGAAGCATCAAAATCTGCAACAGCATACCAGCATATTAAGTTAATTCTAAGAGCATTTCAACAAATTGATTTTTGGTAGGCAATAGTCAAGATACCTTGGTTGAACAGTGAAACCAGATGCTGGACAGTAACTTTTTCCCCTTCATCTTTAAACAAGTGAACAGAGTTTAACCCTGAAATAATTTTTTCTAATGAGAATCTGCTTACTTATCTGATATACAGTCAATATAGAGAAGGAACCAGGAAGAAAACATGCAGACTTACATCAGTTCTCCAAAAAAAGCTATACCTGATAAAATGAGATAATCTGCACACTTCAATAAAACAATGGGGACGGGCCTACTATATTGTTGTCGCTGTACAGTTAGCTCTATGGGAACCCCAAAAACTGAGATATAAAAATATAAATATTAGTATGCAAGTCAGTAAAACCTAAAAATATGTCCATATTGGCAGGAAAGACTAAGGAGTCCTCCATCTTCCAGGTACTGATGCCTGGCTTTACTCCTAAGACGAGGAACTCAAGAACAAGATCCCGATTTGTTAACAACACAAACAGCAGAGTTTGATTTCCATCTTTCCAGTGATTCAAAGCTTTCTAACATCCTATGTATGATGTTCACATAATTTTTCAACAGAATCCAGCAGTGGAATCTATCTACAGACCACAATAGAATACGGAACCTCCAAAGTCGAAGTTAAAAATCCAAAGGGAAAAGACGCACTTAAAGTAGATAAAAAAGCAAGTACGTCTAACCATTTAAGAATCTAGGTATTTACACATCTATAAGACTTACCATCAGTACTTGCAACTCCCTGAAAAATAAAACGGACAAAGAGAAAAAATTAGAAACACAAAACAATCACCAATATTCAACAGGATAAAAGGAAAAGGATAACTGAATCCCATACCTTTTGCCATCTTTCAATGTCAGTCAAGATGACCTTGCTTTTCTGAGCAGTTTTCTTGGCTACCTGAAAGAGATTCAGAATTTGCAATTACTCGGTACATTCGTGTGATGGCTGCTGTCCTTTCTTTTTACATGCACATGTGAACTTTGGGTGAGGTGTTCCAGATTGCCAAACCAGTCACAACACTGAAAAAGACATACCTCTTCAACTTTAGTCTTCCCAACAGAAACTTTATCCTTTGTCTCGGAGAAGCCCTTTCTTAAGAACATGCCAGTTGTAGCAGCAGCAGTAATAAAACGTTCTTGGAGGATATGCCTGGTTGATGGCTCCTTCAGAATTGCCCATCGACTTTTCACAGCCGATCCAACACGTTCCGCAGCATCAGCAACATTACCTTTAGCATCCTTTGCAACTTCCCCAACAAATGTTCCTGCCGAGTTCCCAGCTTCTTTGAGTTTTACACCTGGGTTATGATCACCAGTTTAGCAGAAGATATTAGAAAATCTAACGCCAGAAACGAGTTATCTGAAACGCTTATCTGAGAATACCTGAAGTGGAGAAGAAAACAGTGGCCTTTTCTTGCCACTGAGGGGAGACGGCAGAAGGCATTGCAGCAGATCTTTCGAAAGGCGGCAAGTATACCTGTTTACCCAGAAAAACCCGGATATCAGAAATGACCACAATTAAACAGATGACCAAATCAAAATCACACCTCCAAATGACGGGCTAAAGAGATAGTTATACATATTGGACGTGCCCAGATAATCGTCATTAACAAGAAAGAAAGAAAGAAAGAAGACAAACGCAAGATTCTGTCGCTTACTCAACGAACTCTTTGATAAAAACAAAAAGGGTATCATATCAATCAAACTGTAATGGACTATAATTTGTCAGCCTCGGAATCTCGATCAATCGGCAAAAACAAAAAACGGATAAATCACGAACCCAGTCAAAGAAAATGAAGCAGTAATCTTCCCAATCGGAAACCAGTCAAACATAGAATTTGTACAGATTGAAGAACAGCTCAAAATAGGGAACACAGAGGAAGCTATTTGATCTGATATCTTTCAGTCTGAGAGACGAACAAAGGATCCAGAACTCAAGGGTCAACATAAAGCAAATTCCTAAAACACGTAAACGCAAGAATCTTCTCGATCGAACAACGAAGGAGATAAATGATCGGTGGGAAGCTAAAAAAACCCTAACATTCCTACGGAGAGAGTAAAGCTGAATTTTCACCTGTTCACAGTTGTTAGGAAGAGGCGGAGGACGAGGAGACGGAGCAGCAGAAAGCAGCCGGAAGCGGAAGCCGGCTTCGATGGTAAAGAAGGGAGAGGAGAGGGAGAGCTGTGGGGAAAGAGATTCCGGCGGCGGTCAATTGGGCGCTGCCGAAAAGCGAGAGTCTCGAGGGAAAGAGTTGGGAGTTGAAAAGGTTGGAAATTTGGATAGCCGTTTGGTTGTTTGTTAGGACTTTGTGAAGAACCGCGTCGTCGAGTCGTTGTAGTACTGCGTGGAGAACGGCCGGGCCAGCGGGATGCTCTTTAAAGTTTAAAGGCAGGAAATGGCGTGGGTGAGATAGATGCCGGTTTGGACGACTGAGTGACTGGCCTCATAAAAACCGCACGGTTTGGGGGGATGCAATGTTGTGAAATCGGTTTAAGTTATTGGGCCAATCAAATAGGTAGTTTGATGTTTAATGTTCTTATGATTGGGGTTAGCCATGTTTTAAAAGGTAAGTCATTTGAAAGTAAGAAAGCATGAGTGTTTGACCCGGATTAGTATCGGGATTAGTGTGGAACCTTGATTCGGACTCCCTCGTCTGATCTCCTCGGGAGTGGAAGAATCCTGTGGAGAGTCGGGGGCGGTCCCCGTGATCTACACTCTGACAGTCAAGTTAGAATAGGATATATGATAGAGTGTAGAGAATGTAGAGAGAGATAAGGTTTAGAGAGAGAACCATAAGTGGTAGAATGTGGGAAGGGAGAGAAGTCCCTTTGCTTGGAGGGTTTGTCCTCCTTATATAGGAGTCGGAGGCATCCAGTGGACGCCTCCAGGTGGTGGGCGCCTCTCGTTGTCATGGACGCCCCCGGTAGATTGGACGCCTCCCGTCGATGGACGCCTTCCGGAGAGTGGACGCCTTCCGGTGGTGGACGCCCCCGGGTAGGCTGGACGCCTCCCGGTGAGGGACGCATTCGCGTAAAGGACGCCCCCGAGTGGACTGGACGCCTCCCGGTGTACTGGACCCTAGAATGGGATTGGGCCCAAGGTGAGACGCTTTTGTAGTGGGCTTGGGCCCGTATTAGGTGGGTTAACACTAGACCCAACAATGAGTCCCGATTCGAATAAGAAGGAGAAAACTCTATATAATGTCGGTAGGTCTTAGGGACTTCGTATAAAAATAGGGGTATCGGTCTTTTGTAAATGTATCCGGAACCTCGAAAGGTTGAAAGCATTTCCTTTTTGCGGTGAATTGTGACATGTTTGGTGATCTTAACATTTAGTAGTTTAGACTCGCATGGGATAAGAGGATAAGCCATGTTTGCTCGGCTGCTCCTTCCCTCTCGATGTCGAGCTAAACACCACATGTTATTTATAAAGTGGTGCCATGAGTATTCATATACATTTTAGTAATAATATGTCGAATTTAAGCACACACTTGTGATCATCACTCTTGTTTGCCTACCTCGGCTAGTCATGCATGGCAAACGAGAAATCATGCATGCATGCTAGCTTGTATTTCGAAGAACCAATGTGCATGCATTGGAATTGACGAATAATTGATGATTGTCTATGACAATCGAGAAATTGCGCATGGACAATCACTTGATCACCAATCGAGAGATTACTCAAGTTGTTATAATGGGTATGCCACTACCAATGCAAATTTTTCATAACTATCTGTGGCATACGAGAAATCGCACATATAGGGATAGCTATCACCGTTTCATGACGAGAAATCATTGGCGAAAGTACGTATGATAGTAAGGTTAGGTGGGATAATCCAAGCACTTCGAACCTGAACTCGATGTCTTCTTCTAAATAGAGTTGGCATCACTGAGGGAAGCTACCCTAAGCAACTTACACTTATTGTGTTTTCCAACCGCTCCCAATGCCATTGTTACTTTCCAGCCTAGTATCTAAAGCAATCTAGGAACCTCAACGCCACATAAAAAATATCGAATCACTAGTAGTGGGTCTCTAAGTAACTACATTGCTAGCTTTGTAGACTATGACCTTAGAGCCTCTTGATAATAAATTATTTTTTCGATAATAAATTATTTTTGCAGCAATGCAGCATACTACAGTCAGAAGAGGGTCCTGAAGAGCCTCTTGAAACACTCTTGTCCTCGTTAAACTGTGCAAAGTACCGTTGATCTCGTTGTTAATGGAATCAGATAACCGGACCTAGCACGAGTCATACACAAGAAGACCTACACAAGAGCTAAACGACACACCCTTAAAGGAAAATGTCGGATAAAACAAACAAAACAAGAGTGAAAGACAATAAACTAAAATGCCTAAACTAGCAATTAGTAATGTTCATGTCACAATAACTCATAAGTCCTTAACAATGGTGCCAAAAATTTGGTGTCTTGAACATCTATTGAATTTTTCGTATACTGTATGCATGGTGAGATGGCAATTGCGGACAAAAAAAATCAATTAAAATGTGGGATATAGTATTGTACCCAAATTTCTATTGGGCGAATACTAGATCATAACTATCTAAACCCAAACCCTAAACAGCACATTTTGGTTTGACTATTGCATACTCTAGGGATATACTAGCATAACTATACGACCTCAAACTACCTTATGCCGAGTTAATCTGGTTTATAACGTACGTTTAGTGAGGTGTCGGACGCTATCTAGTCATGAATTGAATGAGATTTTGGATATGGTGATATAGCTTGGATCTCTAATGGCTAAATCCTATACAGTAATTCTCTAAACATTAAATCCTAAAATTAATTAATTTAAAACAAACATTAAATGATTATGATTTATCAAAATATAAGCAACATCAAAGGTTCACTAAAAGGGTTATAGGTGTAATATGTCCCTCAACTATGACGTTTTATCAAACATGCCCCTCTACTATTTTTTACATCAAATATGCCCCTGTACTTTGAAAAAATTATCAAACATGCCCTTTTGTTAAAATTTTCATTGAAAAAATCGTCAATCATGGTTGAATTGAGGTTTAGACGACCTGGCATCGGCAAATGGGAGAGAAAATGTCAGTTTTGTCCCCTGTTTTATTTCTCTGGGTCTTTTCAAAGTGAAATTATTTGAATGATTTGATTATAAAAAAAACCAAAAAAATTCTAAAGTGAATTTATTCGGGATATTTTAGTCATTTGTGTCGCCCAAACTAAAGTTCGGCCTTGGCTAACGGTTTTTGGATGAAAAATTTTAACAAAGGGGCATGTTTGATCATTTTTACAAAGTACAGGGGCATGTTTGATGTAAAACATAGTTGAGGGGCATGTTTGATAAAACGTCATAGTAGAGGGGCATATTATACCTATAACCCTTCACTAAAATAATGGTAAATAAAACAAAATATGATGAAACAAACCTACCCATGCTAAGTCGTTAGTTATTATTATGAGAGGGGCAACAATTCAACAAGAGTAAATGTCAACCTTCAATTTGAGCTTTGGGTTGATATAATGTATTAAATAATTTTGAATTACTTTATTCAAGTAGCTCTAAACTATTCGAAATAAATTTTTTTATACTTTTAGTAAAAAGTTGTGTTTTTTTCCTATTGAATGCTAGGCACATTAGGGTAAAATTTCGAACCATATGTAACGTCGTAACTCAGATGGTTGAAGATTAAGCCTATCCAATTAGAAATTGAATACATCAAAGACAAAGTTACATGTAGTCATCAGAACCCATACATGATGGTAAGAAAGAGATATAAACAATCGAAATCGTCTCCGAATTTTTTGGCTTATTTATTCGAAAGTTGTCCAATTTTTTTCATTTACCTTTGTCTCTTCAGAATTAATTTTGCCAACAAACAAAACAACTTCTCCTTCTCTTTTTTCCTCAATCCTCAGAGGAAGATCATCAAATTCGATTAGAGATAGATCATTAGATCTCTCCTTCCTCGCATATTCATACAACAGCTTTGGCCCTGAACGATAAGGGACAAAAGCAAGACACAAGATATCATAAATGGTACATATCATAAAATTGGTGATTAGTTTTGTTCCTTTTTCTTAGTATTACCATTCCCTTTTAAAATTTTGCAAGCTTTTTTTTCAGATTTAGGGAGAAGAAAAGAGGTTTGAGAAAGAAGTGAGATTATGGGAAGAAAGATAGATCACCAAAACCATCAGCCACAATTCCCAGGGAGACATCCAGGTTGCATGTGGGGGATACTTCATGTCCTCAAGTACCAACGTTGGCGTTACATCAAGAAACGCCTTCCTCATCGAAGACCCTCTTCTACTCCGCAAGACGACGATCATCAACACCCTATCGGTAACCAAATACTCGTAATTCTACCACCACGTTGTTGTATCTACGCGTAACGAGATGATTATAATGTATTGCTTTGGACACAGGGTTCCATGGCGAAGGAGGTTACCACGACAATTATGGTTGGAAAGGAAGTGTTGAAACTCAAACGCAATCGAACAATGCTTACAATAATAATCAAGGCTCGGTTGGCGACGAGAAAACAACCAAATCAAATTCCTCGACGAAGAGTTCTATCAGATCGAGATTGAAATCGCTCATATCCGACGAGCTTTATCGAAAGAAAGGCAGCCAACATCGCCGAAGTTATACATGTCCTGTTGGAGAACAACAGCAGCAACACCAACAACAACAACATCATGTTACATTTTATCCTCAAACTCATGTAGAAACAGAGAAACCACTGCCACCATTACCACCAGCAGCAGTTGAGGTAACGAATGACGACGAACACGAGATCGAAACCCGTGATGTTCGAGAAAGTAAGTCGTCGATTCCTCGCGAAGGGACGAGATTCGACGAGGATGGTTTCAGGAGCAAGGAAATCTCGAATGCCCTGGACATGGCAGTCATGAACAAGGAGTTTCTTGCTACGATTTTACATGACCGGCATTCTCATTTGGCCCCTCAATCCACTGCTAGAAGGAACCGGTACTACAAGTCGATGTCGTTCCCTTCAACGTCTCTCGATTCTCCTTCGCTGAAAGAACCCCCACAGAAGCAACAGGGTGCGGGGAAATCGAACGAGGCCGACAGACTTGCTCCACGACGACAACGATTGGAAAGTCACCTACTCGACTCGAGATCTTATGCGCGCTCGCGCTCGATGTCGACCATCACCGCCGAGAACAGAGCAGATGGGATCTCGCAATTGATCAAGGGTCGAGGTGGTGGCAGCAGCAGAAACAAGACGGCGATGAGGTGCTTGAAGGACCTCAAGCAGAAAATCAGACATGTGATCACCATGGAAGCTGTTCTTCACAGAATCCCTCGAGGTGGTGGTGGAATGTCCTCTGCCTCTGCCTCTGCGAAACAGCAATCGTCGTCACCGAGTAATAAAAAAGAAGGCGGGAAGGAGAATGTAGTGGTGATGATGAGTCCAAGGAAGAGCTATGAAGGTGATTGCTGCAAATACCTTCTAGCCAGCAAGAGTGAGAATCAGAGGTTGAAGAGAACTTCCTCGCTCTGTGAATCCTTGGATAAGTATTGTCAGTTGTACGATTCTACATTCAACAGAGGTCCTCAACGCATGCCTGTGAAGCAGAAAACAGAGGACTCGTCGTCGTCGTCGATTTCGCTTCCCGCGGTGGAGAAATCGGGTGCAAAGGAAGATGAATCGACGAGTCCTGATGATCAAACACAAGCATTAGTTGAGCCTGATGTTGAAATGACATGTGATGATAATGTGGTTTCATCAACTCTGGCTCCTGATGGGTTGATTGTGATGGAAGAGGAAGAGGAAAAGGAAAAGGAAGAGGAGGAAGAACATAGAACTCCAGTGTGTGAGTTATCAGTTGGGGAATCAAACAAGGATTTAGTTGATGAACCCATGTTTGTTATAGAGGATGAAGCCTCAATCTCTGAGGAAGAAGCAATTAGCTCTCCTCCAACCTTCTCCACTTTCAAAGGTGAGTGAAACATTTGAATTACTATACATGTTAGTGTATATAATCTCAAGATTCTACCTTTAAGAATGTCCCCCCCAAGAATTTTAAGTACTTCAATATGCAAAAACAGATTCAGAGCAAATCCTGAGGAATCTCATTGCCAACAAGCTCAACTTCCTGGAAGACCAGAGAGCGGAGTCCATCATCGACGAGATCATAGTAGCCGAAGAAGAAATCGACGAGAAGAACGAATTCCAGTCGAAGAACGACGATCGAGAAGATCATGACGAGGCGGTCGAGTTCAGAGTAGACCCGAACGAAAAGCCGAAGTTCGACTACGTGAAGGGAATCCTCGACATATCGGGTTTCAGCAGGAAGGAGCTACTGGGAACATGGCACTCCAACGATCAACCGGTGGATCCAGCGGTGTTCGAGGAGGCTGGACTGGACAGCAACTGCTACCACCATCACTTGGCAATGTTCGATCTCATCAATGAAGTTCTAATGGAGATTTATGCAAAGTCTCATACCTATTGCCCCAAGCCATTGTCATGGTTGTCACAAATCAGGCCAATGCCAGTTGGGTCTCATGTGTTGAAGGAGGTTTGGGGGAATGTGAAGTGGAGTTTGAGCTCACTGCCAGATGAGAGTGAGCAATTGCTGGATTATTTGGTTGGCAGGGATTTGGGGAAGAGTGATGGATGGATGAACTTGCAGTTTGATTGTGAGTGTGTAGGGCTTGAGTTAGAAGACTGGATTTTTGATGATCTTTTGGATGAACTTGCTTTTGAGGATGATCCCAGAGGTTTTGCTTTTCGATAATCAATAGCTGAAGGAAGCTTCTGCACATATTTGGGCTTGTACCAAGTCATCTAGTTACCCTTTCTGATTCATGTATGTATACTAGGTATTGAAAATTTATTTGGAGAAGTTGAAATCTTTTTATAATGTACATTATTTTTTTTCAGCTTCCCATCTTGTGCTTAATTGGTAGTTTTGCTCTCTTAAGTCTCTCAATTCACTGCACAATATTTGCTGCTAACTTCAGCCAACATAGTGAACTCACTGCCAAGTTCCAACATCCATTTCCATACCACCACCTTGGATCTTTCGATATCTCTAATCATGATCGCAGACACGAAATTCACTAAAACGATACAAACTCTCAATGGAAACCAAAACATTCGTTGGCCGATTTCATGAAAAGTGGTCACCTACTGTAACTTGTAAGAAACGAGGGGAAATATTTTGACTATCTTCTCTATCAGCAACCTGACCTTAATGCTAAACACATTGCATGAGAAGCACCAACTGCAACGGACAGTACCTTGTGGCGCCCCAATCCATCATCTTCCATCAGAAACTTCACTTCAACTGGAAGTGGTTGCACTTCGGGCAGCCCGGCGACTCCCAGCTGAAAATCTCTGTTGTTTCCCCACGTGTAGAGCTTCCCATCATCAGTAACAGCTGCTGAAGAAGAGCCTCCGCAGGCAATGTAGGTAACACGCTGATCGGCCAAAGCATCGATCACTACTGGGACTTTCTGGTTTTGGTTGGATGGATGGCCAAGCTGACCATGCCCACCGAAACCCCACGACAGCACCTTACCATCATCTGATGAATGGAATAGCAGACAGACTGAATTTCTAGAGATGGAAAGTGATGGCAAAGATATGATAGGACTTACTGTTTGTATGAGATCTCCTTACCAGTTAATGCAAGTGAATGATATCCACCACAGGCTATCTGAGTGACACAGACATCGTCAAGATGACGGATAGGTTCTGGTTTCCAACCACCTATCTTATTCCCTCTTCCAAGCTCATAGTTTGAGTTCGCTAAACCAAAAGACCAATAACAGGAGTGTTAACCAACAATAGGGGAAATGAGAGAGTATACCGGACACCATAGCATTTCATTAATCTGAAGATATCAAAATTCCTTGAGCAGATCGTCGGCTTTCATAATTTGAAGTTCATAACAGTCCTAGAAGTCCATACACCAAACAACTAATACCATTTTAAGCGACCAAATTGTCACCCTGATTCTGAATCAATAAACACTTCAGCATACAGCAACCATGGTGCATATACAAGTGAAACATAAATAGAACCCAGACATATTGCCCAAGACATCTTCAAGATGACGGATAGTTGTCGAGCTATCATATTGCCCACCGACCTCCAACCACCTATATTTTGGGCAATATAGCTTTAGCTATCACAAGAAACCTAAAGCTATATGAGTTGGAAGTCGGTGCAAAAGGTGACATATTGCCCAAAAATACTGACAAAAATTGAATCATGGAAGAACACCGAACGGCCAGGAAAAGGTTGCTACGAGTTGAGAGGTCAGGAGCACAAAAAAGAACAAGGATACAAACGGTACTTGGATCAAAATCTTTACCTCCCCAATTCCATATTTTCCCATCCTTAGTAAGCACCATCGTGAAGAACCCACCACAAGAAACAGCAGCAACTGGAACAGACAACGCCTTAACTTTAGAAGGGATACTTAGTCCGCCACCTTCATTTGGACCTCGACCAGGACCAAGCCCAAGCCTACCATCCCCTTCATCACGGCCCCAAGTATAAAGCTCACCTACACATAACTAAGCTTTCAAAGTTGCTGGTGAACTCAAAATCTTACAAACATTACAAACTACATCATTGAATGGAAGTGCCTATTTCAATAGTGAATTGAAGTAGACGCGAAAACATAGGTGTGCATTTTTACCCAAAATAAGATGAAAAAGTAGGTGCGTAAAATGGATGTATACATTTGAAAAGTCATGTAGGTATCTTTTAAGTGCATAGATCAAACTTCAAAGGGAAAGAAAGTTGCAGCAACACACCTTTCTCTGTGATGGCAGCAGTATGTGTTCCACTAGTTGCAATAGAGTCAAATTTCTCAGTCAAAATACCTTCTACCAACCTGGGCAACAACTCTCTATGATAAACAGAATGCCCCAATGCGCCAAACCCACCATAGCCCCTGCAATGTCTTCCCCGACACGTCACACCATCAAATTTTTGTGCAAGATTGACAACAATTATCACAAGAAGTTTAAAATAATGTTTGTTCCAATGACATACCATAAAACTTCCTTGAGAATTATTACACCAAATCCAAAACTAAAAGACAACAAGCCATACTTTTTACCTTTGGAAGACATCATTAAACTACAAATTTCAGAATGCTAAGCTTTCACATATCAAGGCATTAATTCAATTAGAAGTACAATCCCTGAAATATCTTCTACAAGGAGTAGAATGTAACACATATATTGACGTATAGAAAAGTACCCATAACATATAGTGAAAGAAAAGTGAATAGACAACTACTAGGCTGTCCGTATTTTATCTTCTTTTCTTTCACAAAGGTCCCACAGCCTCAAGTTCAGAATCATCAAGAAACACCGGTAACACAGAATAAATTTGTAATACTCACCATGTAAAAATTTCACCAGAGGAAGTGAGGGCAACAGAGTGAACTCCACCCAAAGCAATGGAGCGAATGGCATCCAAGTAAGGGTTCAGAGTTGGAACAAATGCAATATTTTCATGGCCAAGGCCAAGACGGCCACCATCACCTTTACCCCAAATCCACAACTTACCATCCACAAGCAAAGCTGAATGGAATAAGCCACAAGAAATGCCAATTTCAGTAATTTGTTTAGCGTTGTTTTGGATATCAAGCCTGGACTTAAGCAACTGTCCTGGGGTTGGAGAAAAACTGAAGGAGGAACTCAATACATGAAGGTTTGCTACAGCAGCAGGGTAGAGTCGAATTTCTTCGATTCCACCACCAAGCTGACCAGAGGCACCTCTGCCCCAGGAGAGGAGCTGCAGAGTTATGGCATCATTTTCACTGCTGAGTTCTGGGCTTCGGTATATAATGGGAGTCTCATTGGTGCTTTTAGCAGAGGTAGAAGCAGAAGATATGTGACGCCTGAAACAAAAAATGTGGCGTTGGCGGCGGAGAAACAGCATTATGTTGTTGTCACAAAGAAGGACAGCCTGGAACTTGTGAGAACCTAAAGCTCTCCAGCCTGCGACCAAAAGAACCAGAAATCAGCCAAAAAAACCTATAAATAAACTTAGCAATATCTCTTGCAGAATTGGTATGGAGAACCGTGAAACAAAATTAGCTCAAACTGCACACTGTTAAAACACCTTATCCAAACCAATACAGCACTGCAAACAGTACTGACAGAACATGATTTTTAACCTGTCTCCCAATGAGTATATAGTACAAGAACAGAGAAGCTACTATAGTTAAAAATTAAAGACACATAATAAAAGTCCCTTTTCTCCTACCCTGCAGGAGTTTGGGAAAGGAACAAGCTAGTCAAACCATTTAAAACATAGTGTCACAACGTCTGATGCACGTGAAAAGGAAAGAAGACATTTGCGGAAATTTAAACAAATCCAAACCGAAGCACCCCAAGGGATAAAATAACCATTAAGGTAACACTAAAGGGCAGAAGACGAGAGGCAGAGGGCTGGTGCTAAGTGTATTGCAGTTTGAGGTACAAAAAGGATGCAAAGTAAACTAAAGCACACGGTGGGATGGCCAACCAATACATAGATAGTTAGTATCAATAACAGTTATGCTAGGAGAAGGCAACTAGACGCAGCCAAACACAGTAATCCCATGTTCACCTGTTCAATCAGATACAACAAGAAGCCGTTTGCAAACATTTTCTATTCTCGTTTCTTTTAAAGAACTCAAATTGATAAATACTCACAATAGTCTGTTACTGCTAGAGTAAAAAATGGTTAAAGGACCAGCAATAAGCAAAGCAAGTTGTGGCTCGACAACAGCAGGCAGAAACCGTCAAACTGAAATGGAAAGGTTAAGTTCCCTGGTCTTTCCAATGTTTCCCTTATAAGCAAGGGCAGGTCAGTGGGAAATGATAATTGCAGCTCCATCCCAGCTTCCCTTCTCGGCCTTTCCGCAGGGAGCTTGGCTTGGTCTTATCACGTGTAGGTTAAAAGATGAAGAAGGGTGTTTGTCAGAAGTTGTTTGAAGACTCCAAATTGATTCATTTCATCCTAGTGGAACTAAAAGCTTTTTCTGGTGCCTGGCCAAGCTGCCATTTTTTTTTACAGTAACACAAATGAAGTTGCAGGTTTGACAGCTTCTTCTCATAGTTACTTTGGTTTGGATGTAACTATGACTCCAATACAGGTATCTCATCTAGATTTCTATGTCTGCCAATGCCAATTTGAAAAACGGAAGAAAAGAGCAAGGGGATTCAGACATGTTCCTTAGTCACTGGACTGAGAAATACTCACTCTAGTGTTTCCCTTTAGTTCCCAAATTTGACGTTCAACACATGTTTGCAAGCAATTTCAGTGTACTTGACAAATAACTCAAGTGGGATATCCTTCAATTCATTGCCAACACACAAGAAGAGGGAAAGTGGACTCTCAAATGTTGGGATTAAAGGAAAAAAGGCTTTGGCTTGAAGTACCAGAAACCTTGACATGCGCTTAAAATGTAAGTTCCAATAGCATAAGTTTCATTATTACAGAACCAAACAGTTGGGGATGGACAAGAGCAAACCTTCAAGCAAAAGATCAGAACATCAACTGCCCAATTGACGCTGCACGGAGCCGGGAATCCCAGTGAGCAGCAGAAGCGGTGTAAGGGAAATAGCGACGGCGGCCCTCCCTGTCAGCGGCGGCGGGATTCAGCCTCAGCGGGAGGAGGAGGGGAAATGGCGGCGAAGAAAATTCGAATAATCTCCGGAAACGGGAAGTGAGGGAGAACGATGAGGGAGAGGATACAAGTATCGAATTTATTTTTTTGTGTTAGAAAGTATAGTATTTAACACGTACCCTTCCCTTTTATTTCCACAAGCATACCCTTCAACTATGAACAACTTACAAATGTGTCCTTCTGTAAAAATCATTGTCGAATCAATATTGAAATTAAATAAAATTTTAAAATTATCCCTCATCATTATTAGAAATCATATAGGACGCTGCTTAGTAGTGTTCGCGAATAACCTCTTTGTTCGCTCTATAATCCAATCTGAATTAAGAGGTGTAATAGAGGGAGTTCACTTGACATCAGACTTTGATTATCGTCGACTGCAGGTGCAACCAGATATCAAATATGCGGTGCAAATCCTCCTCCAAATTGAGGGCGATGATCATCGTCACACAGTAGCTATTTAGCGATTCCATGAGCTTTAATATTATTACTAAGAAGTCATAATTAATCATATATATCGAGATGTTAACAAGTATGTGGATTTCTTAGTTGATCAAGGTGATAGGTTGCCTCTTACCTTTCATAGTATTATAGAGTTCGGTCTTGTTTTTTTTGTTTTTTTCCTCCTATTGGTTTATGTATGACATTCAGAGAATTTTTGAATCCCGATTGATATTGAATGAAGGTTAGTATACTTTGCATCTATTTATGAAAAAAAATTCATAAATATAATGGTAAAATTATGACCCGGGACATACACATAGTAAAAAGCCATCAAGTTCCAATTTCACTAAGTATTGAATTAAACGTCAATCGAGCTCCCTCTGGAGCCTTCAATCTCCTCCGGATCGTCTGATTGAGTCTCTTGTTGGGTTTCTGGAGCTCCTGCATCTCTTCAGTGTGAGAGTGAGATCATTCGTAATCCTAGTTTCGTGTTACTAATGATAATAAGCAACTAACATACATAGATGCTCTTGCTCATGTAATCCTTGTGGGTTAAGAATAACTTAAGTTTACTTGACCTCGAGCTCAACCTAACTAGTGCAACCTTCTAACCACCAAAATGTAACATAAACATGAACCTTTCCTTCACTATGAGAGGATGTAACCACACACTAATTAGACGATCGTCCGGTGCCAAAATGCGTGCAACAGGGTTTCCAGAAAATAGAACCTCCTCAGAAATTCAGAGTTTGGCGACAAACAAATGAAATGGTTGAGCCAGAGCAACTCTTATGGTTGTTCCCAGAGAAGCGTGGTGTGAGCAATCATGGAAGTGACGACGTAAGGGTCCATGTTGGAAGACGGCCTCCTGTCTTCAAAGTATCCTCTCCCTTCCTTCTCCGTCTTCCTCCCAACTCGAATCGACGCGCCACGGTCTGCAACTCCCTGCAAAATACCACATATACATTCTCAAACATTATGTTTACTCTGTCTACTCTTTTGCTAGCAAACAGTGTAGTTCATAGTTTCATACCCATGAGAAGGTGTTGATCTCGGCGGTCTCGTGGCGTCCGGTGAGCCGACGCTCGTTGCCTTCGCCGTAGGCGGCGATGTGGTCTGCGTGCCTGAGCTGCAGCTTGTGGATTGCTTTCTTGATCAGTTCATATCCTCCTTCCTCCTCCCTCATTGCCTTGGTGCTGTATGTTAGATTATACAGAGATTAGGTACCAATATGTAATTTTATTTTAGAGTTTGTAGTACCAAACCCTATGTATAGGTGGCTGTATGGGTTGAGAAAATAAGAAAAGATAAAACTCGAGAGAAATCCTCTCCGTGGACTAACGTTTGCATTAAATTATTTGACAATGTACTCGTCATTTCCCAATTCCTAAGTCGTTGTTACCTGAAATTTGTGTGCGCGCTAGCTCCATTCCAGTCACCCTGTCACACAACGCGTCAAGGGAGAAGTAGATTTATACGTAAATCGGGAATTCGCCGCGACTCGCCCATGATAAAAAATTAAAGCGCGAATTTTGATTGCATTTGGTTACATACCTCGATGGGTTTGGGATCGAGGGAAAGTACAACTCCAGCCATCTCAGTGATCCTCTGTTCCCCCACACACAAGCATTAGAGGAGCAGTAGTCAATATGGAATTCTTGTTACGAGGGGAAAAAATAAAACAGAAACCAAAATTAGTTTACCTCAAGAATGTAGCGAGCTACCCATAGCTCATCTGCTGCAGAAATGCCTGGTGATGGCCCAATTTGGAACTCCCACTACAAGCAGAATTTCACACATATACAAAGCTAGATTGGTGGAGTGGAAGGGAATTAGAAACATGTTGTAAATTTGTCGAGTAATCATGCAATCAGGATGTGTCGTCTTTGACGAATTTCCCTCATATCGTAAAAAAAATGTCGACGAATATTCGCGCGCGATGTGACGGATTTTTCAAGTAAGTCAAACAGCAACAAAAAATTTAGGGTTAGAGAAGACGAGACCTGGCCTGGCATGACTTCGACGTTGATGCCACTGATGTTGATGCCGGCATAAAGGCAGGCATTGTAGTGTGCATCCACTATCTCCCTTCCAAACGCCTTGTCCGCTCCAATCCCGCAGTAATAAGGTCCCTGTAACAAACTTGTTACATATCATATCGTATATAAATCTCTCTCAACGACTCGAGTTATTGATATTTCATTACACTTTGTTTGAACATATGATTAATTACCTGAGGGCCTGGATAGCCTCCAAGCGGCCAGCCGAGTGGCCGGTTGGCATCTTTCTGGAGCAGGGTGTACTCCTGCTCGATCCCAAACAGGGACTCCTCCGCTTGGATTTGTCCGAAAATGTTGGCCGCCGCGTGTCTCTTGTTCGTCGGAATCGGGTCCCCTGCAGGTGTGTAAGCATCGCACATCACCAGCAGGTGGTGGTTTCCCCTCCTGAACGGGTCCCTGAAGACCACCTGCGGACTGCATATGCCCACCATGGTATAAATTATAAAGAAACAGGGAAGCCATTGCAGCGGTGAGAAAGAAGTCTTGTCTTTTCTATCTTACTAGAGGATGACTTCGCTGTCTTCTCCGGCAGCCTGGCCGGTGCTGGATCCGTCGTAATTCCACCTCGGGAGCTTGGCAGGGTCGCTCACAGGTCCAGAAAGTGTCTTTTTTTGAGACCCAAAAAACAAAGAAGGAACGAGTTATCATCAGTGTCGTTGTTATAAACGCGCGCTGCTAAGGATTGGAAAATCGCCGGAATCGACAAAGCAAGAATACGAAAGCGAGAATCGAAAACACGACACGCGATTTACGTGGTTCACTAACACAATGTGTATTAGCTAGTCCACGGACGAGAGAGAGAGTCAGTTTCACTATATCGAGGAGATTACAGATTACGAGAGAGAGCCAGTCGTAACGGTTGATAGTCCGATTCAAGTCACATTAACCGTTGTAATGAATTTCAGATGTTTGTGTTTATAGTTAGGGGGAATCTTTACCCTTGCTTTGCTTCTCATGTCCATCCCAGACCCACCAATCCTGTTGCAAATACCACATCAGAGATGCAATAGAAACGGAGGAAGGACCGTTGTATATTAGTATCCATCTAGTCGAATTAGTACGAGGGGAAAGCATATATATATATATGCAGTTGATAGTACCGACCATATGTATTCGGCGATGACCTTCTCGGTGGTGTCGGAGAGGTTGAGGTTGATGAGATCTGATAAATGAGACATGTTTCTTTCTTTCTTTCCTTCTCTGGTTTTGCTTACTACTTCTGATCCTCGTCTCTGCTACTTGTTCTGTGATGAATGGTAATACTATTTTATACTGCAATTTCGAGTGCTCACCTCAGCTCACGTGCAACTTGAAATGAGACCAAAAATACAATGATGGAAGCTTTGGGACTTGGGGAAGGTTCATTGAAAGACGGTGTGCTTTCTTTTCCCCGGCGGTGAATTGAAGCGGTGCCTTTTGTATTTCTTATTATGTCGAAGTTGTTGTAACTTGTAAATCCGCTGAAGACGGGGTGTTTCGAGACACTCTTAAATTTGGGGAAAATTAATTAATTTTAGTGGTAGTTTGAATATGAAAAAAAATGATAACGTATGTTATTCAACTCTATAACAGAGTAGTTATTAGTGAATATTTTTTCTATTTGATTATAATTTATTTGTTGTTGTGATTTTTTTCATATATCCTCAAAATTTTCAAAGTCTAAAATGAAACCCACATAATATCCCTTATCCCCCACCGTATTTCCAATACATTATTTCATCTCTTACAAAAAAAAAATACATTATTTCATCTTGAACATATCGTTTGGAATAAATGAATTCCATAAGTTTTGAGAAATTCATTTGGAAATGAAACATTTTTGTGTTTGGTATTTAAACTAGTTACAGCAATAAAAGAATTTCATTGTCAATTCTAAATTTCGAATTCTATGGAATTGAAACTAGTTACAGCAATTCCGAGGAATTGAGATGGAATTTACAAACGAATTCCTCAAAATCCTCTTTTATTAACTAAATTACTAATACATAAAACACACCAAACACAAGAATTCATTTTGTCAATGAATTCTACACTACAATTTATTTTATTTCTAAAGATTTTAATATGACATACCGAACCCAATAATTCATTTGATAATGAATTCTACACGATAATTCATTTTACAATGAAATGAATTCTCTATTCATTCGGTACCAAACGGTCTGGGTTGTTATAAAGATTAAATGCACAAACAAACACATTAATTTTAAATGAGTCAATTTGATCAATTGTCTCGTTTTATAAACGAGGCAATTAAAACGAGTCAATTCGAATTATCTGCCCCCACCCCAGGTAATTGAAATTGACTCAAAACGAATCAATTTAAAATACCTCAGACAGATTGATCCATCCAAATTTTTTGCTGGCAAACGAGGCAATTTAGTACAATTGTCTCAAAATGTTACAATTCCTCATCCAAACAACCCTAATCTATAAATTTTAGACGTAACATCAATATCAAAATACATTTTTGGGTACCATTTTATTACATTCTAAACATTTTTATCATATTTTGTTTTAGTTGTAGTAGCCTAGTAGGAGCTCAAATCTATATGACCATTTTGGTCCAGTAGCCCAACTTTACCTCTCCCTAGGTGGCCTCGTCTTCTTCATTCAATCCCAAACTTCGCACAGAATCCCAGTGGAAGTCGAACAAACCAGAAACCGAAAAACCCCAAATCCCATGCCATAGGTCTGGACCCTAAATTCCTCGTCTTTCTCCATTTCAATTCCGCGTTGAAGTTCCCATTTCCCAATCTTGATTCCTCTTCTCGTCCCTGCCATGCCAAGAAAGCAGTTGTCTTTCACTCTCGGCCGCCCACGGAGCTTATCATCTCGTCTGCAATTCTCGAACTAGTCATCTTCTCTGCAAGTTTCCTCTCATTGAGGTATATGCTCCTTTCCTTTTTTGCATCTGCAACGTAACTAAACCTCATGCTAGCTACTTGTTTTTCCTAGGTGACTCCATAAAAATTGGGGGGTCGTCACCGTAACTGATGTTCAGGAACAGCAACATTACTGCTCGGCTTTTCGACCGCCAAATCTCAGCTCCTGCTCCTGGAACTAGTGTATTTTTTCCTGCTGAACTACCTATTTTATCTGCTTACTGTGCCCTGAAATTCCTTACTACCAGTCATGTTGCTTCTGTTTCTTGAATTGCAATGTAGTCTGCTAGGTTCAGTAATCAGCATATGTTACTAGTTCAACAGGCCACATTCTTACCCAGTGTTTAGTTGTCTCTGTAGCCTCGTGTTCCCATTTTGACTTACTGGAGGCCATCATAGTTTAGGGTTGCTGTCCTAATTAAAAAGTTCCTACTTTCTCTGATTTATGCACATTATGGCTCTTGATGATGACATGTTGGCTTTGCAGGTTAATTGCAATAGAAGATTTTATGAGAACTTAGTCCCGAGTCATACCATCTATGATGTTGAGTGCCCGGATCTTTCATTCTGTAAATTTACTCATGATGGTCGGTACCTCATTACCTTTAGTAGGAACCACCAAGATCTAATAGTATATAGGCCGACATGGTTGTCGTATTCATGCGAAGGAGAAGTTTGTGATCTACCCTCAAAAGCGAGGAGGTTTGAGAGTTTCTTCACCCAACTGTACAGTGTCACGCTTGCTTCGTCGGGCACTGATGTTATATGTAAAGAATTTTTCCTTTACATGGAGGGTAACCAATTTGGCATCTTTGCTACATCTACAACACAAATTCAGGATACTCCTGCTATTGGAGGTGCTATTCAGGGAGTCCCTTCATTTGAGAGGATTGCATTTCATCTCTTGAGGTTGGAATGCCTTATCATCATTATAAATGTTATTTATGAGATTTGATTTGAGTTCTTTCCAGGACTAGTTTTAATTATTTGTTGCACATTTCAATGGTCAGATTGGAAGATGGAATAGTACTTGATGAGAAGGTCTTTCAGAACGATTATGTTAATTTGAACCATGACATGGGTGTCTTGTATGATGATCTACTAGCAATAGTGTCGATTCGCTATCAAAGGATACAGATTCTCCAGATCAGGGAATCTGGCCACCTTGTTGATGTTCGTGCTTTAGGTCCATTTTGTTATGAAGATGATGAACTTTTCCTCAATTCTAGCTCTCAGGTAATTGGCATCTTTTCTTTTTCTTTTTTTGCAAACTTTTCAGCCTTTCTCTTGATCTGGCTTTCGAATTTGTCCAATAATTGGAGCATGGCTCCATTTCTCTGAGAGTTAACCTGGCTTCTCTTGCCTGTGTCTACCTGACTCTTCTGTCAGCTGCACATGCGAAGGGAAAGATGATCTATTGTATTTGTATCTTGAAGTTTGGAATTGATTGTTGGAGTATCTATTGCAGTGCATGCATCAACTCTCAGAGAATCATGCTGAGAATGGTTTACATGCCAACCAGCCAAATCCAGATAGTCTCTTTTTGAGTGGTATCAAGCAGCGGTTGCTGTCCTTTATTTTTCGGGGAATATGGAACGAGGAAGTTGACAGATCACAGGTTGATTATTTTACTCACCTTTTCTTAAATTCTGTGGCAAATAAACTAGAAATGTGCATGTTCCAAGTGCTAAGAATGTACTTGAGTTATGGACCTAGACATACTAAAAAGAAATGTGGAATGAGGGGATGCTTCATTTTTCTCGATGGTTCTTTACATAACGGTCTCTCCATCGTCTGCTTGAAGTTCTGTAAACTGAATGAACGTGTCGGTTTTGCTAAAGAAGGGGAAAGCAACAAATAAACTAGGTGATGAACACTATAGCAGTAGTGCTTGCAAGTGGTAGTCATCATATTCATATAGGTTTTCTATGCAGCTGAGTTCAGTGAGAACCAATGAATTGGTAGCCGCATGCTGTCTTTTCTCTTTCTTTGGAGAAGTTGGAATCGTTGAACCTAAAAACTCAAAGTAAATGCTAGTGTGTGATCCTGGCTTTAATGGGCTTCTCTTATTTATTTTTACACGAGAAGGTTGATACATTTCAATATAGCGGCATGATGTGATGTGTGGCAAATTAGAAGTGGAAAATGCAAGGACAACCTCTCATCTTCCCTTTGCTAGCACCTTTACTAAATTGATTATAGCTGTATAGTCAGTGTAAGATTGACAAGTACTCATTACTTTCATTGCTCTGTTTATCTTGTAGACAGTCCAATCAATGAAGAAGAAGTTCTATTTCCACTTTCAAGATTATGTGGACCTGATTATCTGGAAGGTACTGTAGCTTTTTCCCTTCATTTCACGAATCTGTAGTCCGTACAACATCAACGAATGATATCTTATATATAGGAAATAACTAATGTGCCATTCATGTTATACGAAAAAAATCATCTTTGTTCAGGTACAGTTTCTGGATCGTCATCACCTGCTTATCAAGTTTGGTAGTGTAGAAGGAGTGGTGAGCCATTTCTTCTTTCTTGCTTTCAAGTTTTAGCTTCATTATATGATTGATGTTATGTGCCTGTCATTTAGTTTAGATTTAATTTAGCTTCATTATATGATTGATGTTATATGCATTGTAGCATACATGAGTTTAATTGTTCCTGTTATTTAGTTTAGATTTAATGCTAAGCCAAGTCTCTTGATCATGGTGATTTATGTTTGTAGCTTCAATACTCTCGAAGTGCTGATCACCATCCATCATTCTTTGCAGTATATAACATGGAGACAACTGAAGTTGTTGCATTTTACCCGGTATTATTTCATGGGAATTAGTTCTGTTCTCAATTAGGTTAAAAATGTCTTTTCTTTTTTTGCTCTAATATTCTCTTTTCCTCTGCAGAATTCAGCCTATGAACTTTGCGCCTTGTTTGAGCAGTTCGGCGATCATTTCTATTCAGCGTCAAGAAATTTGTTGCACTTGAAATTTATATCATCCCACTCCAATAACATCCATGCTTCTGACCAACTCCGGATCGTGAAGAATAAAGCTAGTAGCTCTTTGCAGGTTGAATCTTTGCCGTGCCCGCCATTGTCTGCTAGTGCTGCCATTCAGTTGACTTTTTGTTTGATCTTTATGTTGCTTTGGTTCCTAATGTCAGTAGTGTGATTATTTGGTCTTTCTTGTATCATCATTAGAATAACCACGTTTGAGTTAAATGATTTTTGCAGTTCATAAGGAAGATACTGGCTTCTCTGCCTTTCAGTTGTCAGTCACAAAGTCCTTCGCCCTATTTTGACCACTCTCTTTTCCGCTATGACGAAAAGGTTTGATTTTCTCTAACATGGAATTCTCCCCCCTGTTTCATTTGTTTGTTCCTTATCATTATGCTTCAAAGTTTGTTGAAAGTAATATCTTCTAAGGATATGCTATTTTGATCTGTAGTTGATCTCTGCAACAGAGAGACATAGAACATCTGTGGATCATCCCATTAAGTTCATTTCCAGAAGGCAGCCGTCCGTGCTCAAGTTCAAGATTAAGCCAGGTAAAACGCTTGTTTGCTTCCACTAACTGAATGCAGAAAGATACACATCATATGACATGGATTATGCAGTTTTCTTTTTGGTAGTTAAAAGCTTATCAGCTGGTTTCCCTGATAAAGATAAAAACTTGTCTATTTTTAGGTCCTGAAGCTGGTAATGTGGATAATCGAACGAGGAAGGCAACTTCTTTCCTCTTCCATCCTTTTCTGCCACTGGCTCTCTCCATTCAACAATCTATGCATTTCCCGCCGTCGATGAACATTCATTACCGGCAATGAAGACGAACTGTTCCTATACTACCTGGGTTTTCATCATGAAACTACATCTCCAAACGAACTGCTGCGGCTTGTTGTGAGGAAGATGTATATCCTCGCTATGTGAAGTTGTGAACTCTTATTCCGGATCGAGGAAGTTGGTATTAGACAATTACCATCGCGTTTTTCAGAGGAATCACACGAATTTTCCAACGGGTTTGTTTGATCTTCCCCTCAATATCAATGTATAAATTTGCTGTACGGTGTAATGAATGCCAGAGAAGATTTAGATCCCTAATCTTTTGTGATTTCCTTTCTATATTTTTCTTTGATTTATCGTTCTAATTCTTACGACTTACGAGTGCTCAAGAAGTCATCCGAAAATTTTGTGTATCGAGTGGTAAGTTATCTTAATCCGATTTTTCAACGAAGATGAAGTTAGCGAGCTGCAACCAGTGGATTTTGTTGAAGGAGAATTAGAAACAGAATAGAGCACATCCAAGAACTGAAAAAAACTCAATAACAAAAGCAACCAGACCACTAATTCTTGATTGAACAATGGAGTAAATTACAAACCCTAACTTCGTCCGTCCGTCCATCTTTCTGGATTGAACAGGATTCATTCAATCTCTCACCACTAACTTAATCAAACAGCCGCAAGATAATTCCCGCCACCATAACAGGAAGCGGAGAGGCGAGTATCATCATTACGGTGGTCACGATGATGATAATAATAACAATCAGGATGTGGGTACGTCACCGGAACTACATTCACCGGCACCGAAACCGCCACATGATACACAGGATGACCGCAACCCACCACCACCGCTGCTGACGGCGGCCGAACAACTCCCTGCCCACGACTCTGCCTCGGAATTCTGCCGCCGATCCCGTAGAGAAAATCAACATAACAATCCTGCCCGACGACGTGCTTCACCTTCTTCTTCAGCTTCGAGAAAACGAGCGCCGTCAGCAGACTATCCGACCCGGCGGTATGCGCCTCCCCGCGCCGCTTCACCCCCAGCTCGTCGGCAAGCCTCTGCAGCCCGACCTCGCCGCCGCCGGCCAAATACCTCGCCGCATACTTCACGTCCACCACCGCGTCGAACCCTTTCCCCAACATCTCCCCGAAATCCGCGGCGGTGTCCGGGATGGGCCTGCGTCCCACGACTTTGACGATATGGGCCAGGTCGTACAGCCCGTGGAACGTGACCCAGGTGAGCGGCCTGCTCCGACGGCCGATCAACCCACCGAACGCGGCCCCGAACTGGACCCGCTCGATCCCGTGGACCTTCAGCTTCGCGAAATCGACGCCGTGGGCCTGTAAGAAGCGGATGGATTCCTTGGCGTGCAAGTCTCTGTCCAGGTCGAACTCCAAGTTGAATTGCCAGATTGCGGCGACGGTGCCCTTTTCGTTGGAGAGCGTGACGCCCAATTGGATCAAATCCGTGCTGTCCACGTTGTGCTTCATGTCGGCGAACCGGACTTCCTCGCCGGCGTGCCGCGGAGTCGGCCGGAGGCACCCCGGGAATTCGGCGTCGACGGAGACGATTGGGTAGTTGCTGAGTGTTTCTTCCATGGCTGAAATTTCCTCGGCGAGGTTGTGGTTCCAGACTTCGCGAACGTGGAAACCCATGGCGGCGATCCGACGGCGGGACAATTTTCTTTGGGACGAGACGAATATTAGCACAGGAAAACAAATACTGCGCTGCGGCGAGAGAAGGGAGTAGCTAGAGAGAGCGAAACTTGGGAGTGAAGTTTAGAACTGGCAAGTGTGATGCTGAATATATAGAGGCTGGGCTCTTTTCTGTTTGACCGTTGTAAGGAAGGAAATCCTTGTTCGGGTCGGAAACCGACTTGCAGGTAATTAATTCCTTGCTGGCCTAGGAATGGAATGGGTTTTGCTTTGCAAAGCATTTATTAGGTGAAGTTAAAACCCTAGAAATCAGAAGACGGCCAGTGGGCTGGCAAGTATGTTGGATTTCTATCGGAGCCTACTAATATGCTACTGGAGTATACGATCCTCCTAGTGATATATCTCTATCTATACCATGACTTTAAACGGAGTTTGAGGAACGATATTATACCATAATTTGTGATGGATAAAAACTTCATGTGCCGATTCTCTAAAATCAAACCTAAAAATCAATTTAATCATTAAAAAAAAATCGATGCTTCCGATTCGCTGTAGTACAACGAATTACATATAACAACCAGATCATTTGGAGTTCGATATACTCCTGTGGTACGCCATTGATAACGACTAGTGTACTTCTAAAGTATACCATATTCCAAGTGATATGGCTATGGGATGTACTTCGCTAGAACTTCGGCAAATCAAAATCCTCAATCATTATTTTTTATATTAAATTGATTTTCGTGATTGACTTTAGAGAACCGAGACCTTGGATTTATCCATTAAAGGTTAGATTATAGTATCTTACCTAAAACTCCGTTTAATTCATGGTCGTCTAAATGGTAATATCTCAATATTAGTATCCAAAATAACGTACACTCTAGGAGCATAGCGGTTTGATCCAAAATATACATGATAACTTCTATCAATCCTGGGATAAATCTGAAGTACAACAAACCCTAAGTAAAAAAAACGCTATGTAAACCTCGAATTAACCAAATTTTGAGTGCAAAGTTTATTTAAAATAGAAAAACTAGTTGATGTGGCAAAACTGCCCTTAGTTTGCATATACCTTATCAAATTTACACACCTCGAAATGGACTGAGGTTTCGAATTATAGCCAAGTTTAATTACACAAAATTCCATTCCCATGAGCCATGCTCATCGTGACTTGCAGGACAAAAACAATCCTGGGATGACTAGTTATACATACACGATTAAACAATCCTTCTTGAGCTATATTCCACTATGCACACTGAATTTACAGACTCGTATTTGGACAGGGCTGGTGCACTGAGCGGATACTATGTTATATTACTTATTAGTTTACCCTTCAAAGAGGGACACATTGTCCGACGGCCTCTTAGGCTTGGCGCAGTCTGAATGCATCCACCCAATTCTGTTCTTCTCATTATCATACACCACCAGCTGCCCCCTCATCGATATATCTGTCAACAACACAGCACATTCATCACTGAAATGGTGGAGAAGCTACAAGAAGAAAGATCATTTTTCAGGTTTCTAATTGATCCATACACACCTCCCAGTATGATCGTCGAACCATCGAGCACTTCGCTTCCATCGAGTATACCCAAGCATACATTGCCTCCTTTCTGCAGCAGGAACAGATCAGATAATCGTTTTACTTCTAATCGCTATCCAAGAATGACTTCTCCAATGGCTAAAATGTTGGTGCAATTCGACGTAAAAGAGGGAGGAGCTTACACTAATAATCAAGTAGCCCTCGTGATGGATTCGAAACATCCTAGAGATAATCCACCACTTGCTTCCGAACTGAAGGGTCAAAGTCTTGAAGTGCTGCTTTACATCTGCAACAGATCTGCAGAGCATCTCTTCCATAAGCAAATTACTACAATCATTCTATGGTAGATGCAAAAGCAACTGCTTTTCTAAACCCATGAATATGGTAGTGACGATAGAAAGCCCAACACATATAGCCTTCAGCAGCTATGGTAAACATGGCAACTTATGTTCCGAGTTTTGACCAACATCACCAACAATTTCGTTCCACATCTCGTTATCTTATGCATCACCCAGCTTCTTCGGCAGTACTAAATTACATCTAGAATAGGCACTCTTTATGGGTCAGAAAATAGTTAACCACCCTCTCTGAAACCAGTTGTTACCTAATTGGGAATTCTGCCCGCCAGCAGAGAGGCAGCGTCTGGTCTGAAGTATCTTGGATTAGCCCTACCTTGGCGACTTCCTTGAGCTACATAAGTGCATTGTAATCAGTATCACTGACAAGTGCATGAACTGAAATTTTACTATCAACATGTTAAAAAGGGAAGAAAGAAATACTCACAGAAGCAACTAGTTCAGAATATGCATCTTTTGGCAGATAAGTAAAAGAACTACCACTATCAAACACTACTCGTCTATGTCTGTTGTCTTGGCCACCTAAACTCAGGGATCTGCTTCCATAACTCAACTTCATGATCTGTGCCTGGTAGAAGTCCCTGCACGGGGAGAGTAGAAACCGATAGTCAAGCACTGTGAAGAATATTTGTCAGTCTAGCAATAACAGAAGTTGGACAAGCGTACGATTTACTACACTTCAACATAAAGTGATAACACACTTCTCCAATCTAAATTAGCTTACGTGAAAGGCACGCCGAGCATAGGAACCCATTGCACACCGCCTTGAGGTAGGAACTCATCACCTAAGAACATATACCCAACGCCATCTACATCAGTGGTAAGGCAATGTCCTACCACATTAGTGATAATCTCTTGGCTTGCCAGCTGAGAAGGTAAGCTAACTTTGGCTCTGCTCAATCCTAGAATTCCATCTGTCCTTGCCAGAGTGTTCAAAAGGGAGCCTTGCTGATCATATGCGCAGCTAAACAAGACCAATTACAAAATAGTAAATATCATCATTTGGGTACCCTGATCAAGTAGGTAGAAGAATCTTTTTTCACAAATAGGAGAAACAAAGACTTCGAGTGTACCCGAAAGTAAACTTGGACTTGGAGGATTCCTCATTTTCTATACTTAGATGAAGTTCGTCATTCGCAAGAACTCCCAAGGAGGAGCTATTATCTGCATATTCGACCTCATAGTCACATTGTTTGCATGCATCGCACTTTTCAGCCTTCATATTCTTCTGAACTTCCTGGCAAAATGAATCTTCTGGAGGCACGATATTGCTTTTTTGGGGCTTGTACAAATCATTTGCTCCCTACACCAGTTAAATCACTCCAAAGTTTTAGCAAACAGGGAGCATCACACTGAATCTACGTTGAATAACTTCAGGATTGATTACCTTTGCACAACTAGTACAAGGAGCATCACACTGAATCCATGATAAATCACTTCCTGTGTCAATATCAACGTAGTAAGGCCTTGGAGGGCTTCCAATTGTAATGTACGTGTAGTAAAAGCTGCACAAAACCCAAAGAAATTTGGTCAACAGAACCGATCAAACTCACCTTAAGACTAGTCTGCAGAAGCTTAGCTAAATTAGCTGTCTGCTAAAAATAGAACAATTGAGCTTTGGGGAAAAAGAAAAGCTAGAGAATTGACTCATACCCATCTGGGAAAATGTTCCCTCTGACGGGAAACAGTGGCGATGATGATCGCATCCCCACTTCAGCAGCACTTGAAGAAGACAACTTATTGACTTGCATCGGTTCAACCATAGCACCAATTGATGCCACTGAACTCTCCTTATACACAAATCTCTCAATTTTATTTACAACACCTTCCTCCAAAACTGGGGCAGATGCACCCTTGTGATACAAGGGCAACAAGAACGACTTCCGCTGCTCTTGATCGTCCTTGGAGCGCTTCAACTCCTGAAGGGTATCGGTAAAAAGCGAGGCGTAGATGACCAAGCCGAAGAGCGAGATACCCAGAAAGAGACTTGCAAACGGGAAGCGGATTGGAGAACTCCCCAACGACGGTGGCGGGTGTTGGATCGGAATTCGACCTTGTTCTTGATGTGGGTTATCTCCCTGGAGAATGGTTTGCTGAAATTGTTGGTATTCATCGCCATTGTAATCGTCGTCGGTTACCGTAAAAGCTGTGATGGTTTTGCCCGCGGAAGGGTTTTCAGGAGGAGGAAGCGAGATGATGACTACGCCCTTCACCCGCGGTGGCCGCTGATTCTCCATATCTTCTCCTTCGACTGTCATCGACGTCGCTGGGAAAACGAATTTCAGAGGGCAGAAACAGGAAGCTTGCGCGGAAGTTGCGATGGGAGCAGGTGAGGGATGGTTCCCATCTTCCACTCTCACACACCCTCTTCGTCTACTTCTGCAGAGGAATCCGAAGACCACTTGTCAAGTCAATGCTTGATTGCTGAGCGAACCCAAAAAGAAATTGAGAAAGGGGGAAAATCCCTGTTTTTGCTCCGCCGTTTGATTTCTGTTACTTCTGTTGCGGATCAACGATGGGGGTTGTTATATAATTGTTTTTTTTCTGTTTGAATAATCCAGGCATGATGAATCAGATCCAAGAAAAAAAGTGAACGATCAGTCGAACAAACACAAATCTAGCTAGTTGGTAATTAGTATCATATTATCTCAAGGCATCCCACGATCACTTACTCATATCACAAAAAAATTTGTTCTTTTGAAGCCTTAAAACGAATGTGTAGGTTGAGGTGCCTTTAGTGTTGAGGTTCACTTGATTTTTAACAAAAGAAAAAGAAAAACCTAACTACTTTAGACGAGGAAAGCAAGAGAGAATGCGTTGCATCGGCAAACTCTCCTTTAGACTTGCTTCGATCGATATGGCAACATAAGAGCCATTTGATTCTTGCAAGATTTTTTCCTACTTATGTCATGGCGTTTACCAGATCCAGTAGGTTATACGGACCCCGCAAAGTCGTTTCTTGAGGTGTCACGCAGTTCAATCGATTGATGAATGATTGTGAAGAACGTCTCCGTCAAGTCACATCCAACACAAAGTCGGATTTCAAAGTCCATATCGCATGGGAGATCATAGCTTTGATTTAGCACGCAGTCGTATCGACTATCGACAGTAAGTCAAACATAAGAAGAAGGACTAAAAAAACTCATTTACCAAAAATGAATAGTTACAAAATCTAAACAACCTCTAGAGTTCACAAACCTACACAACTTGGGAACTAGCTAATCATGGGAATTGGCCCATATAAATTTTGTTAAAAAAGACAGCTCTATTAGAATCCTGGAGGTGCGACTGGTTAAAATCACCAGTCCCTTGCAGCTTGCAGTTTGGAGACGGGTTCACTAACACAAAATTCCCGCCAGCCCAGTGTTCACTGCAGCTCCTCAATTACCCTCGCCGCCCCACCGTCCGCCTCCGTCCTTCTTCCCTCGCCGGCGTCCGGAATGCCCTCCGCCTCCACGTTTTCCTTCTCGCTCTCATAAAAACTCCACCTTTACTTAATTTTGGAAACAAATATATTCTCCGTTCTCTCCCCCCTCCTTCGTTCACACCAAAACCCTAAACAGAGAAACCCCAGCTGTTCAAGCTCTCTCGTTTAGACAGCAATCATGTACGGAGGAGGTGAGTTCTCGAATTCCTTGCCCTTTCCCTAGCTCCGTTCATCGCTCTCTTCCACTTTTTCTGCTACGGCTGCAAACATTGGTGATTTTTTTTGTTTTGTTTTGTTACCCACCCGCAGACGAAGTATCGGCTATTGTCTTAGACTTGGGCTCTCACACCTGCAAGGCTGGTTATGCCGGCGAGGATGCTCCCAAGGCCGTCTTCCCTTCCGTTAGTTTCTCTCCTCACGTCTTCCCCTCCGCATTTGTACTTGTTTTGCTGCATCTTTGTTGTTTGACTTCAATGCTTGCACTTTGAAAGTTGTGAACTTTGCTGCATTTGTAGTTTTTGTTTCTTGTTTGACAAACGGGAATCGATTATTGCGGGTGAAACTGGTGTGGGTTTGCAATGTCCATTCCCTGCAATCATAATCTGTGACTTCAAAACGTTTTGGTGCAACACCTGTAAATTGGTTTTTGCTTATGCAAAGTTATTTTTAGGGACTGGTTCCTTGAAAGCTTATAGTTCCATTTCGTTGTCCAGTTAGGTAGGCCTCACACACATGGCAGTGTTGGTTAATTGGCACTTGATTATCAGTTTGGTAACTGTTGATCCTAGCTTTTGTTCTGATTGCTGTCTCGCATGCCTTCTTGCATTGAGTTGCTTTTGCTCTTGAAAGTTACAGGCAAATATTGCATGTTAGAAGGAATAGCTACTTGTGACATTTCACGTAAGGCTAGTGTAGAGGGGGCATTGCTTGAATTTGGCAGAGTAGATTTTGTAGTCGAAGCTAAATTTGGTTTGTACAACTGTTTGCATGGCATCCTCGCTGTTTTGTCACACCTCAATTTGCAAGTTCATCCTGTTGCTTGCCGGGTTCCTTTAGAATAGTCTGGAACTAGTGAGGTAGCAAAGGACAGAGCTTCTTGTTTTATTAACCCTCAATTATCAGGTTGTTGGAGCCATTGATCAAATGGAGGTTGATGACAACACAAATGGTGAGAAAAATTCTTCCATAGATTCGAAGGCTGGTGTCAAAGATTCTGAGAGAAAGGGAAAGCGCAAGCTATATGTAGGCTCTCAGTCCTTGGGATTCCGAAGGGACAATATGGAGGTAAGCCTTCTCACCCTCATCTTCTCATTCAGGTTTCTGGTAAGCTGCATTGACACTGTACATTCTGAAGGCCTAATAAGTTGTTCTTATGTTGCATTAGGTGTTGTCACCCATTAAGGATGGAGTGGTCATGGACTGGGATATTGTGGATAGCATATGGGACCATGCCTTTAGGTAGTCTTCGAACTGTACTATTTTCATGTCTGCCTAGTTTGAGTTTTCAGCAGTCTTAAATTGTAAAATTCTTCAGGGAATGTTTGCTAGTCGATCCAAAGGAGCACCCTATGCTGCTTGCAGAACCTTCATCAAACAGTCAACAGCAGAGAGAAAGGTGACCTGCCTGTAACTTGACTTTAGATGATTTGATGTGTAGATGGATGTGATGTATACTGTATTCTTGGCATTGTTTCATCGTCTCTACTTGTCTGCACATTACCTTTTCTCATTTGGTAAGATCTATCCATTTTTCTACTATGTGATCCCTAATTAAGAGTTCTATTACTTTTACAGGACGGTGGAGCTTATGTTTGAAAAGTATAATGTCCCTGCCCTCTTTTTGGCCAAGAATGCTGTATGGTTCTTTCCTTTTTGTTCTTTGTTACATAATAGGGTATTGCTGTACTTTATACGTTCTATCTTTTTGTTTTGGATAGTATGTTTTGATTTGGTCAGACAGAAATATTTCTGAATGTCAGGTTTTGACGTCTTTTGCCTCCGGACGTGCTACTGCCTTGGTTGTTGATAGGTAGGTGTCATGGTTTTTCATCAATTTTTTTTTTAAATAATTTAGTGTTCCATTGTTACTTATTGATTATTCAGTGGGGTTATTGTTCTGTTCTGTGTGTGGTTTAGCTCACTCTGGTTTTTATCCAGTTATACTTACTTTATGTATCAAGTTTGACTTATCATGCTATGGAGGAAATTATACCCATGGTAAACTATCTATGTTAAAGAAAGATGGTTCAATCAATCATTGCGGTTCAGAACATTCTTTAAACAACATTCTTGTCTGTCTGGAAAGTTTGAGTAGACATGTCTGAATTATGGCGTGCCTGTTATTTTCTTAGAAGCTTGTATTTGTGAGATTATACTTTTCTTCTGACATGTCAACATTGGATTGCCATGGCTCAAAACTAAGTCTGATATTCGTGTTGTTTCTAGTGGTGGTGGATCAACTACAATAGCTCCAGTCCATGATGGCTATGTCATTCAAAAGGTATCTCTCTTGACTTCAAGCCCTCAAGCCTACACTTTGAGATCTGTGCTTGAGTTTAAGGCCTTGTGCCTCAAACCCTGTGAGGGGAGGCATGATTGTGAGATAAGACGGACAATTGTGGTGCACCTGTTGTACATAGGATATTTCCTTGTCGGACGTCCCCGCATATGTTTTGCTCCTGTTTATAGATTCTTTGTTTTCTATGGAAAAGTTTGTTATAGCTGGCACAGAGAATTCCCAAAAATGTAGAACAATTGAACACCTTAAGTTCTTATCCTAGGAGTCTAAGCTAGTTAGGGTCCATTGGAAGAATATCTTTCTGACAACTGCACCATAAGGAGGGAGAAAGTAAGCTATAAGTAGTCATCGGTAGTATTTTTATTAATTCCTCATGCAAGTACCCACTGATATTCTGTCTTGCTCCTCTCATGCTCACATGCTGGCTTGCCCTTCGTTCCTATGCTCCATTTTCATGGGACCCTGTGCTCTTTATCCGCATCAAATCTGATAAAAATTTCTGAAGGATTCTTTTTAGGCCTTTTTTTAAACAAATTCTTTCTAGCCCTAGATTGTGATAAAATGGTGTGCAAATTTGGCCGTGCTTTGTCCATGGGTGATGGCTTGCTTCAGTGCCTGATTTTCTTCATAAGATGGCTTTTCAATTTGTTCCCTCAGTGTGGTTGGTTATTGTAACATTTTTAGATTGTATCTAGATTTCTAACATTGATTTTCCAGAATACAGTGGGACATTAGAAATGAGTGAGCTGATCTGAACAATTACTGATGTAGTTAAGAATTAGTAACATATTGAAATATTTTCATTCATTCTTGTGGGTGGATATCTGATCTCTTCTGCACTCTGTTATCCGAGCGGAAAGCATGGTTGCTTAATATGGCAGTAAATATCTACTGCTGAACCTATTTTCTGATTTTGCTTCTGTGAGAACAGGCAGTTGCCTCATGTCCTATCGGTGGGGAATTCCTTACTGACTGCTTGTTGAAAAGCTTAGAGAGCAAGGGTGTTGTGGTGAGTTAATGGTCAAACCTATTTGACCATTTAGTTCAAGCTGATACCATAGGACTCTGAAATTATTTGTTCCTGTCCTTTTAAGTGTGAATTCTCTGTGTGGATATGCAGATCAAACCCAGGTACTCTTTCAAGAGAAAGGAAACACGACCTGGTGATTTCCAGGTATATTTTGCATGATGAGATTTTTCATTTTCGTCCTGCTATCAGAAAAGGTGTCTGTATGTGTTAGAGTTAGAGAGATGCAATGGAAATGCAATATTTGCTTTGGTAATCTCTCTTTGGAACTATATAAGGGGTGTTTTGGTTCAGTTTGTTTGGGAATGTACGCTATTTGTTCGATTCATTTGTAAAAATATTGTCTTGTTGGGTTGATGGGTGCCATGGGCTATTAGGCATCATTTGGATTCTACCAACACTGAATTGTCAGAAGAATAAAACTTACTTCCTTCCAAGCCCTATAGGTTTTACTTAATTAAAGCCTCTGAATTATAGTCCAGAAACTTTTCTCCTTTTTGCCCCCCTTCTGTTCTTTCCTTGCTTAGCGGTTGCTAAAGCTCTGTTCGGTTTGCTATTGATCTGCTGGTAATCTCTGACATTATATTGCTGTTTGACAGGCAGTTGATGTTGATTTTCCAAATACAACAGAAAGCTATAGACTATACTCCCAGGTCTCATCCAATTCAATGTTCCTATTTGGAGATACGGTTCCATCCAGATGTTCTGACCTTTCCTTTTCTGTTCTTTAAACAGAGAGTAATTGCTAGTGATATCAAGGAATGCGTATGTAGAGCTCCAGATACACCATATGATGGTCAGTATTCGTCTTCTAGTTTACTTTGAGGCTGTTTTTCTTTTAGTTTCTCTTCATTGCAAGTTAATGATTTTGAACCGAATCTGTCGGAGATCATTCATCAATACTGCTCATTTACTTTGCTCTGATCATCTGTGATGCCTATATCCACATTGTGGCACCACTGCCTCGTATCTGCATTTTGTCAGTATCATTCTTGTTTGTTTGATGTCGCTGTGTACCATATTAAATTTGACCAAAAGCATGGAGAGTTCGCATCTCATCCTTGCCAATTAGCAACCTAGTCCTGGAAATCTGGCAGAATGAGTGGGAATTGCAAAGTGATAAAATAATTTCAATTGACATAGGCAGGCATTCATGTTCTCATTGTCTGAAAGTGTCGGATATGATGAAGTCGAATGCCAGAGGATTTGCAGATGCTGCTGGAAATAACACAACTCTTTTGTGCATGATGTCTCGCTGAAAACTTTGAGCTCCCCGTTTTTCGTTACTGTTCCAACTGTGTCATTTTTTAGTGCAAAGATTTTGTGCCTTCCGCGATTATTTATGGAACTTGCAATAAAACTTTGAGCTCCCTTCCCCTGAAACTCATTTTCCTTCTTCAATGTGAATTTCAGAAGCATCCTATTCAAACATTCCAATGACTCCATATGAGCTTCCTGATGGCCAGTAAGTCTCCTATAAAATCCATGGAACTCGGTTTACAGATCAAATTGGTTCTTCCCGTGTACAATATGCTACAAAAATTTTATTCTCGCATCTTACTTTTGTGGTTATATTCACAGGACAATTGAAATTGGAGCGGACAGATTCAAGATTCCAGATATTTTATTTAATCCATCTCTGGCTCAGGTAGGTGAACTTGATCTTCATGCTGCAGCTCTTTTTTTATATGAAATAAAAAAGTTGGGGAGTATTTCAACTTAGCATTTGGTTTTGCTTCGTGGACATAAATGTTTCCAACTCTATGCTTTTGACTATTGAGAAGATTACTGTATGCTAGCATACTGATGGAGTCCTATCCATGATTTGCATTTTATGAGAATGATGGAAACAGTCTATCAATAACCGGCTGATTTATTATATCTTTTCCCTCCTAATTATCAGACAATTCCTGGTATCGAAAGCTTTGCAGAGGTCGGTCCAAACGTCCGTGGTTTGCCTCAAATGGTAAGCTGGTTAACTCTGTTTCTTGCTTATAGCCGGAATAGCTTTGAGCTAATCAGCCAGTTTTCCGGTGCCTGCAGGTGATAGATAGTATCAACAGGTGTGATGTGGATATTCGGAAAGAGTTGTTTAGTAGCGTACTGGTACGTGAACTGTGTTAATTTCCCTTTATCCTGTATTGACCCTGACCATGCAATGTGCTAATGTATTGATAGTTCCTTTCTCGTGTACTTACTATATGCGTCCACAACTGGTTTCATGGAACTGTTTTTATTGAAAACAACTCTGCATTTGCTTGCCAGTGTGTTAAGCATTTGGATGGTTCACAAGTGCCATTTTGTACTGTAGTAGCATTGTGCAAGCTAGCATACTTGTAATATGTCAGTTTAAGCTTCTAGCATAGGGATACGTGTAGTGGGTTGATTTGTTGCCCTAGAAATAAAATTGCTATTTAGTTGCTGTGTCAGCCTGTGATAAATTCGACTTCCATACATGGCTTTCAGTAGTAATGCAGTTCTTTCGACTAGTCTAGAACCTCTGATGAATCCTACTCTCCTACATGGCCACTCAGTAGCAGTGCTTGCCTCCTGGTTCGATCCCCTCTGCTGTAAAATTTTATAGTTCTCTGCTGCTTTTGGATTCCAATGCGTTTCTTTTCTGTTTGTATATAGCTTGCTGGAGGGACAGCATCAATGCAGCAGTTAAAGGAGCGTCTTGAGAAGGACTTGCTTGAGGTACTTTCTTGCTGTGCAATAATAATTTGTGTTTGAGTAGATGAGAAAACTAAGCCTCTTTATCATCCCCCTCATGCGCTCTCTAGAGAATTTCGTGTGGATGTATAGGAGATTGAGTTTGATAATCTTATTAAAGGTAACAAAATTGTCCTTCAAACTGCAGGAATCTCCTCAAACTGCCAGAGTTAAAGTTCTAGCTAGTGGAAATTCAACAGAAAGGAGATTCAGGTTTGTTTTCTGGATCTGCTCAACTCCTCTTTCTATTTATTAATAGTTCTCTTCTCAATCCCGAGGTATATCTGAATGTGTTATGTCAATGTGACTGTTTCCTTTTAGTTTCCCCTAGTTTCCATATCCGCGTGCTTGATATATTGACAGATCATAGATCATGATGTGACAAGGGGATCTTGTAATTTATTCATGTTTAAAAGGCTTATTAGCAAGTCTTGAGTACGATTGTGCACTGGAATCGAACGCTGTACCCCTCACCCATCTCTAACTATGTATCGGGTCGTCTTAATGCTATGTAGTGTTTGGATCGGAGGAAGCATATTGGCATCTCTTGGCTCATTCCAGCAGATGTGGTTCTCCAAGTCAGAGTAAGTAGATTAAGATGCACTACATCACAATTATTTAGGAAGCTTTTTCGGATAATCGAAATTGAAAATATAAGCATGTAGAAAGCCACGGGCTTTGTGAAAAAAATGTGATAATGTCGTACTGAACGAAATTGATGCTTGAATTCCCAGGTACGAAGAACACGGGGCGTCTTATGTACAAAGGAAATGCCCTTGAGGCAAATCTTCATCGACGAGAGTACGCAGAGGGGAAGATTGTGGACTCACCATGGTTGAGAAATCACTTAAACTATCTTGGTGGGAGAATTTCGGTTCATCCATCGGTTTCGTTGTTTAGGCACCAACTGAATATTGTAGTATCTGTGTAGACGGTTAAGCAGACTAGTTGCTGGCCGGCGTTCTAAGCCTTTGTTCCATTGATTGCCATGTATTTTGTGCTTGGATACGACTTTTGTAATGCTTCGTCTGCACTCTGCATCACGCTAACTTTAAGTAGAAGATATGTCAATGTATCTCAGCCTCACAGCAGGTAAACTATTGCCAGTTGAATTATGGATTTCATGGGTCAAATCAACATTTTTCACCATTGTTCTGTATGACATTCGTGCGTTAATTGTTCAACCAATAGTAGGATATGGTATTGTCGGGCTTTTTAAGGATCGCCGTGGGTCTATAGTTTTTATTTTGGTGATTAGATAGTCAAAATGTTGTTTTCGAATTTCTCAAAGTTGTAACAAAATATGTCAAATATCGATGAGCTTATGTCTAAGTATTGATCGTCGCAGCCTGTAACTTACTTTCTACTGCCCACAGTTTAATAAAAGTTACAGGTGGTTTTATGATCGTCGCGGTTGACCTGTTTTGAGTGGGTAATACGTGACTTGTAGGCGGGTTAGGGCGGACATGAGTACTTTCATCGACATGATTTGCCTTTGACATATTCATTCTTGCATATATTACATGTAATTTTACTCAAATTACTCATGCCTTGACCTGATCTCAAATATCTTGAATAATTTAACTACGATTACCATATTAGAGTTTGTTTCTTGATTTTTTAATGAAAAAATAATTTTTTACTAATGTTTTCCTTTGAATTAACAATCTAACCACCGAAAATATGATGATCTATCACTCTAGATGGACAACCAAGAATACATAAGTGACCTAAACTATCCCTTTAGTTATGTCCTTAGATTCGTAAAAATCTAAGATTTTAAGCGCGATTTTGACTATACTTGTAAGTGAAATGCTCGATTCTTAGCGTTTTGATAACGTAGAAGCGGAAAATAAAAGCGTTAGATTTTAAACTTTAAACCGTGTTTTTTTACCTTGTTATAAGAACCGAAACGGATCAACGGTCGGTCAAGTAGAACCGCCAAACCAGTTACGATAATGGTTCGGTTCATTGCTTGGACGATTATTGATGGATCAAACGGTTTTTCACGGTTCAACACAAAATCAGATGAACCATCACGGTTTAACTGGTCCAATGGTTCATTATTTTAACAAAAAAGAATTTAAAAAAATACTTTTAACATAAACTAAGACCATCAGAAACCTAATTATTAAATTTATATATGCTTCCTCTTCTCGTTCCAACCTTGTTGTTGACTTTACGTTGTCCACTACCGATTGGCACCGTAATATTTTTTTTTAATTAAAAAATATGATTTCTTTTGTGAGATGGCTTGAATGATTTATTAGATATTTTGGTGATGATATGAATTTGAAATTGTTTAAGGTCAATGATAACTTCATTCTTAAATTAGTATAATATACAAGTATTATATGTTATATATCATGAAGGGTTCACCAACGGTTTTGTAACGTTTAACCATTGAACCGTAAACCAATAATTTTTTTGGTTCAACCTCCGGTCCGGTTCCGAAAACAGAGGATTTTTATCGTATACTTTTCCATTTAAGGCTCATTTTAACCATAAACAAACATTATAACCTTAACTTATCCCATTCTGGTTGTCCAAAATAGAACCGTTGTGAAACAAAAATAAAAAAAAACAAAGAAAATCAAAAGGGTTAATCCATTTCCAAGCAGTGGACGGAATCCTTGAACGAAAAGCAATCGGAAAGCCTGGCGAGCACGGATTACCAATTCCGATCCGGACTCGGACAGTTAGAAACACGGAAACAGCCGCCTCTTCCCTCCATTATATATACAACAACAATATAGAAACTTCCTAATTCCCACTTAGTTCACTCCAAAATCTCACTCACTCTTCTCCACATCAATCGCCGGAGGCAAAATTCGAGCCCTGGAGCGATTTCGCCAAAATGGGTTTCCACGTTCGCGAAGTCTGGAACCACAACCTCGCCGAAGAAATCTCCGCCATGGAAGATTCCCTCCGCCACTACCCAATCGTGTCGATCGACTCCGAGTTCCCGGGCTGCCTCCGCCCGACGCCGCGACACGCCGGCGAGGAGGTCCGGTTCGCCGACATGAAGTTTAACGTCGACAGCACGGATTTGATCCAGCTGGGCGTCACCCTCTCCGACGAGAAGGGCACCGTCGCCGGAATCTGGCAGTTCAACCTGGAGTTCGACCTCGACAGAGACTTGCACGCCAAGGAATCCATCCTGTTTTTGAAATCCCACGGCGTCGATTTCGAGAAGCTGAGGATCCACGGGATCGAGCGGATCCGGTTCGGGGCCGCGTTCGGTGGGCTGATACGGAGGAGGAGCAGGCCGCTCACTTGGGTCACATTTCACGGGCTTTACGACCTGGCCTACATTGTGAAGGTCGTGGGCCGAAGGCCCATTCCGGACACCGCCGCGGAGTTTGGGAACGTGATGGGGAAAGGGTTTGACGCGGTGGTGGATGTGAAGTATGTTGCGAGGTATTTGGAAGGCGGCGCCGCCGCCGGCGGCGGGGAGGTCGGGCTGCAGAGGCTCGCCGACGATCTGGGAGTGAAGCGGCGCGGGGAGGCGCACACCGCCGGTTCGGATAGTCTGTTGACGGCGCTCGTTTACTCGAAGCTGAAGAAGAAGGTGAAGCACGTCGTCGGTCAGGATTCTTTTGTTGACTTCGTCTACGGTATTAGCGGCAGAATCTCGAGGCAGAGTGTTGCGGTCGGAAATACGCCGCCGATGGTGATTCCGTTTCGTAATTGCCGTCTTCCGGTGTATCGTATTGCGGTGCCGGTGCCGGTGCCCGTGCCGGTGGTATATCGGAGCTGCCGTCCCCAGTTTCCAATTCATTATCAGCACCGCCGTAATGTGCCGCCGCGGCTTTCTGCAGAAATGGGTTATCTTGCTGCTGTTTGAGCAAGTTGGCGGAGATCGGGGATTTACTGATTTAAGTCGCGTTTCAATCCAGAAAGATGGATGAAAGCCGATTTTGTAATTGCTTCACTTATTGCGGAATGAGTAATTGTTGCTAATTTTTCAAGTTCACTGTAAAGAATCAATGAGAAGTAGTAGTAGTTTTGTGATTTCTTCTGTCCCATTTTTCTCATTTCTTGCGTTGCTCTGTTCTTCGTTCTCCCTGTTTTTGTCACACTGACACACACTTCTTTACTTATCTCCGTAAGAATTTAACTTGGTTACAAAAAAGTTACAAACATATCCAATCAATTGTGACGGCCGTCGAGCTTCAAATAAATCATATCGCCAAAGAACTAATCTCCTCGCGCGAAATCTAGCTTATATTCCTTCTGTTCCTTTGAGAATCTATAATCTGCACTGGACATCATTTTTCTATGAACCAATATCTGTAGACAATGGCGATCCTGTTCAGCTATTGACTAGCCAAGTTGTTCCATGGGTTTGGAGCTATTGACAAACGTTGCACTCTTGTCAAACCCATCCAGCAACATAATCCTCACAGCTTCAATGCCTTGTTGAAATGTCATATCTAACTGCGCCAAACAGACAAATTAAGTTGAGCATCAAAGCTTTACATGTTCCAACAAACACTTTACACCCGTTACTCTCTCGAGCAATCTTTTTACCTCTTCACGTTCTTGTCTGTTGAATGGGCGCATAACGAAGTTCACAGCATCCATCTTCCCAGGAGGCCGCCCTATGCCTATACAGTGATTGCATTAACAGCTAACAGTTATTATGCTTACTCAAAGAGGGAGTAGTTTTACAAATTCAACATTAGCTCAAGGAGAGAGCACACCACCTACCGATTCTTAACCGAGGAAAATCCCGACTACCTTTGAGGCGATCAATGACACTTCTCATCCTGGAGACAAAAGGGAGGGTTGCAAAGTACGTGAAATGCTGGACTTCGACACACAGTAGAGTAGATACAAACATGATATCATGATCCACGAGTATTAGTATAGTATGCAAGAGTATACCCATTGTGTCCACCATGTCCACCTTTTGGCAACAATCTCAACTTGGCGAAAGGCAAATCCAAGTCATCATATATCTGTAAGAACACATCAACCACTAATGAGCATTGAAGAAAGAGAAGCCATGTCCAAGATGTTAGGACTAAAAGAGGACCTAATGATTACCACAAGCACTTGCTTCAGAGGCACCTTGTAATATGAGACAATGGGTGCAACCTGCAAAATGGATTTTTTAAGGATTACATTCCCCATTGCAAGGTATCAGGTTGTCTGTACCACGAACCAACCCCACGGTCAGAAAAGATGCTTGCAGATGATGAGCTTACTTACAGACTCACCACTTGCATTCATGAAAGTTTGTGGCTTTGCAAGCATTACAGGGATATTGCCAATAAAACCTGGAATTCAAGGAACAACCTATGCTGTGAGTACAAAAGATTTTACAAGAGAGACACATAATCAAGTGAAAAAGAGGGGGAAAAAAACTGGGAACCTCTTCCAAAAAGGGCTTTGTTGGAGACAGTATTCACCGATATCCCCTCAGCTTCAGCTATTGCATCAATCATCTCAAAACCCACCTGCAAAATGAATTACCCAATTCAAACAGTGAATTAAAATTGAGAAAATTTCCCATTAAGAACTAAACATGTGGTGAAAAATAACAACAGAAGCTAAAGAGGGAAAAAAAAAAAAGTTGGTACGGACGTTATGGCGAGTACCCTGATACTTCTTCCCGGGATTACCCAGACCAACAATAAGCCATGGGTGTTGTTTAGGCTTAACCACCGGGTCGCTCGGCAGCACGGCGGCGTCGGAAGCTGGGGAGGAGAAAGCGGCAGAGCAACGGGCCGGGGATTGAGGCATGGTTCTTTTGTAACAGAATGAAAGCGAGAGGGAAGAAGGTGAGGAAAGGAATTGGGAAGGCAAGAGCTGATGCAAGGTGTAGTTGTAAGGGAATCGTAATGTGGAGACGATTGAAGCGCCGGTGACTTTCATGTTGTTATAATATGAATTTTTAGGGTTCAGGGAGGAAGAATGGTGGAGGAAAGGGGATGGTGGATTGCCGCGTCTGAACAGGAAGCCGTGGAGGCTAAGAATTACGAAGTCAAAAGGGGGAAGGGGCGGGGGGGGGGAGGAAAGGGAGAAGATGGACGTAGTTTTGGCTCAAAATTCTAATAAGTATTCTTCTATTTCACGTCAAAACTCGTCTTGTCAGTTAAGGTTTAATTGTTTATGATGAATAATGGATCTCTTTCGTATTTTTTTTTATATTGGTTTTGCCTAATGTATTAAAGACACTTCTTTTTATGACTCAACGTCCTTATTGAGAATTGTCTCATCATCGTTCAAGGCCATCCATAATGATCTAGTGTCAAAATGCTAATATGAGTGCTAAACTATTACAAAAAGAATCTTTTTTCGTGCTTCTATAAACGAATCCTCAAACTAGGTCATTGTACTCATTCATCATTCAACTTTCGGTCTTAGAAAAAAAACCATTCATCCTTCATGTATTTCTCTAGCCAAAAGCACTCTTTTGCTTCATGGATTCCCCTAGCAGAACACCTGAGATGATGAGAGACAAAGAGAAGTTGATGAGAGGTAAAGGGAAGCTTAAGGAAAAGCTAATGATAATCAATAAGTATGTGTGCCACCTTGAGACTGAACATAAAAAAATGTTCATGATGTACGAAATCCTCTGCGCATCAACAACAAGCAACATCATCTCGTCATACTTCATCTTCACGAAAATGAATAAGGCGTAACAAGGAAGACGGTTACAAGAAACTAGATACAAGATTATTTCGTCTCAATTCAACCTACGACGCTAGGGCTTTTCACATTCTGAATGTACCATACTATATTCAACCGAATCATGGATGATGTTGTTCAACACTACTTCAAGCAAGACAAAGATGTGACAAGTTGTGACACATTCCCCCAAACCAAAAACTTACTATTTTTTCCCTGATGATTGCATATGGATTACTCAATAGACTCTTTGGATGAGACGTTCCGAATGGGTGATAGCACCACACCAGAGTGCCCAAAGGGAGTTTTGCTCTACTACCATCACCAACATTTGTGGTTCTCAATACTTACGTGCACAACCGTGGAAGATCTTCGTCACGGAAAAAAAGAGAGAGATATTCATCATTAAGTGGTATCTCAAATAATAGGAATAAACTCTTACAACCTCAATTTACCATATCATTACGAATCCAAATATGTAACCAAATCACGGGACATTTAATTCACAGTTATGATGCAGATATCAAGAAAAAAAAAATCTCTGGTTCAGTTTCTGTGGACTTCAAAACTCAGCTACCTTCCATTAAAAAAAAAACTCAGCTACCAAACGCTATAAAACGGCATGAATTTGTGTGCTCACTACTGCACCAAGCTTTATCTCTTTTCGATTTTCAGAATTTCTGATTCAGATATCAAGGAAAAAAAAAACAAAACAAAACAAAACATCTCCGACATGAAGTCCTCCATGTTGTTTCTTGTCGTTACAGCTCTGCTATTCTCAGTTGCTGTGTTGCCTCCTCCATGCCATGGCGGCGCCGTAGAACCCCTCGATTGTTACAGCGATTGCATGGACAAGTGTCCCGGAAGAACACAGGCTTGTTCGGCACAATGTAATATAGAATGCGATCCCGATTCTTTGGTAAAGAAGATTGGAAAATATGGTGTCGGGTCGAAAAAGTGAATTGAATTATGGGGCTAGGAATCCATGGACGAAAGACAAATCTTTTGTTGCAATATTTTCGCACCGAATAAATCCTTTTGTATAATGTTGTAATAAAAGGGGTTTTTTTTAATCATGAAATATTTGTAATATATTAGGGGATATCACATCGACAAAGTACAAAAGGAAATTCATAGTTCATACGTAAGAAATAGACCTTGTTTGTGTCTAACTGAGAGGAGGTAGAAGAATTTCTGCTTTTATCCTTAACCTTTTATGAGATTACAAGTAGGGATGGCAATGGGTCGGGTTGGGGCGGGTTTTATCAAACCCAAACCCATGGGTTTATCCGCCAAAAAAATCCGGAGTAAAACCCGTTGGGTTTGAAAAACTCAAACCCAACCCAACCCGCTGGGTATCCGCGGGTTCATGGGTACCCGTGGGTTTTTGTGGTAAAAAATTTACAATAACAAGTTTCTTTCAAAATAAAAGTTTAACATCAATTTTCTCATACAAATTAATCATACAAAAAAACACCAATCTAGAGCATACAAGCAAACCGCAAATGATCAATACAAATTGTTCAAAATTAATGATAAACATCTATAAACAAAAGATTAATTGAAAGCTTCTTCCTCGTCAACTAAGTTTCTTCACTCTCCACTTCATATATCAACTTCATTCTAAACAATTAGAAAGAACAAATTATACATGTCTCCACAAACATAAAGAATATTAAATTTTTAAGGAAAATATATTATTTAGAATATTAAATATACCGAGAAAGTAATTATATGTGTGTGGGCGGGTACCCATGGGTTTACCTAAACCCAAACCCAACCCGACCAGGTGAATAGTGTAGCGGGTTTAAACCCGAACCCGGCCCAAAACCCGTCAACACGAATTTTACCCGTGTTGACCGGGTTGGGTCGAGTGGATACCCGTGGGTTCGGGTTTTGTTGTCATCCCTAATTACAAGGGATAAGGCTTGAGGGAGGGAGAGAGAGAGAGAGCTTAAGACTAATTCTAGAGAGAGAAGTTTCTTGTTTTCTAGGGAGAGAATTCAGAAATCGATCCCCTTACCCACCGGGGTAAATGCTCTATTCATAGGCTACCTTCCGGTGGGTGGGTTTCCGAGGTGACATGACATTTGGAAGAAGAGACAGAAGGTTAGGGTGTATGATGAGGTCTATAAGTAAGACGTGACAGCTTTGTCAGTAATACGGTGTCGTCCCTACTCTTTATGCACGGGTAGTGCTGTCGCGCAGACGCCTCTTTTGGTGACCGGCGCGGTCTGCCCTGTCCGTCTGGGGTAAGATAATGATGTTCTCCGTGTCGTGACGCTTTCTGTTTGGATACTCGTGGAATGACGGTTTTCGCGCGAGTTGGAGTGTTTGGGTCGCTCTTTCCCTTGGCATTTTCTTAATCTTTCTTAGAGTGGTAATCAGCGTGTGCCTATTGAAACGGATGAGCGAGCGTGCGTCTGTTGGAGGGAATGGACCCAAGCCATGCCCCCCAACGGACCTTAACACCGACAAGAATTATGATGTGATTGATGATAGTTTGAACTTTGAATTAGTTAACCTATAAAACTTGAGGGACTGCGATGGAAAATAAATTGAGTTAGTGGACTAGAAGTTAAGTTCGTTGACAGGAATTCCAATTTACCAGAGAAGCGGGTATTTATTTGTCGGCCGTCGGCTCGTTAACTGGTTAGATCACCGGAAAAAAGAAGCGGAGAGGCGAATGTCGGACCCGTACGAGAGAGTGAAAGGAGGCAGACTCGCCTTCAAGGGCGGCGAAGTTGCCCTCTCTAGCAAAGCCATCGCCAAGAAAAAGAAGAACAAGAAGAAGCAAAAGCAGAAGAAATCGACACTGGACGACGGCGACGTGACGCAGAAATTGGAGGGCGGCGAAGTCGCCGATGCTTCAGGAAGAGAAGGAGCTGCCGGTGGCGCTGAGGTTTATACAATTGACGCCGCGAAGAAGAAGAAGTACGAGGATCTCTTCCCGGTCGAGGCCAAGAAGTTCGGTTACGACCCCAAGGCCACGGAGAAGACGGTGGAGGACGCTCTCGACAATCGCGTCAAGAAGAAGGCCGATCGTTACTGTAAATGACGATTGCCTCTTGTTGAAATTGACGTTTCCCTCGTTTACAATTCAGGTCAGGCTTCTTCTCTGTTACCAGGGTTAGGCATTGTGCTGAGAAAAACTTCCCCTTTCTGGGAAAAAGGACATAGCTTCAGTGATCTTTTGCTCCCATGTGGCAATGTCGTCTCTATTTCTGCAAATCCTGCTTGATGATTTCCAACGGCTTAACAGTGAACGATCTACTGACTCGTTAAATTTCGAGGCGGACTAAATTTGGCACACAAACATCGATGAATCGTAAACCTATCAACCTCATTTACCAGCAGTCGGCTTCACCTTATCAGGAATGAGAAGATTATTCGTGTCCACGGTCATTACGGTCATTACAGATATGAGAAGGTAAGTAACACTTCGGATTACATAACTATTGTGTTCCCTTTCCCTTCATTCATACAAAGATTGTAACCAGCCTGAGTTTTCCCAAACCCAAAATTGCATTAGTTTCTGATACGCGACAAATCTCCACTCTTCGTATGTACATTGCCATGAAAACGTCGGCACTTCTGTCCGGTTCAATCAAAACTTCCAGCTTTCTTATGGTCAGCAGATCAGAGTGCGTGTGGGAGGTTTATAGTTTGATCTACAACCAGTGATTCCTCGCCGTTGCTGGATACATAACACAGAGATAAAAAAAAAATAAGACATACTTGGACATACATGATGCAAAATAAGGTCTCTATCCAGCAGTAGAGCCAGCAAAATGGTATATATCATTCATTACCCAAGGTAGCTGAGAGCCGACATTCGGTAAAGACAGCTGAACACCAGGACATGTAATCCGATCGTGTAGAAGAATGCGAAGGTACGTGCATATCTGCCATGATCATGAATTGATACTAGTTGTCACAGGTGCACCTCATTTCGAGAAAAAGTCATGCCTATTCTTTTCATCAAATGAGATGTATATCAAGAAAATTGATTTAGAGGGTAATGAAAGAATCGTACTTGTTGCCCATAACGAAACGTCCACTGCTGAGTGTGATTCGATCCCTGAATCCCAACTCCTTGTACCGTTGATCCCTTTCCTGAATAAGTAACACACTTTTTCTTAAGAGTGATTGGAAAAAGACAATAAAGCTGGTCGGAAAACAAGCATATAATTTCAAGATTTCCAGAAAAATAACAAAAGTGATGAAGAGTAGAAGCTGATGTAAAACTCCTAGAAGTATGAAATAATGCCCACCAGTGGTAAGCATTTCACATTTCTATAAGAGGAGAAATAAGATCAGAAAGCCTATTACGAGCGAACCATTTCTCCAAATGCAATTTTTTTTTAATGACTTGACGAACAAGAGTATTAAGCTGCCATGGTAAAACAAGACTCGTGAGTAGAGGGAAATGAAGGAAATGAAGCTAATAAACAAACCTTCTTTGAAAACGCTGCAAATGGATTTATGTCATCTTCATATATCTTCTTGTACTTTGATTCCACATCCGAGCTAGAACCACTTTCCAAGTCCTCCGCATGCTGGAAAAGTTGAAAGTGGAAAAAACGATGGCAAATAGAAAGGCAATCCATCAGAGGGGAAAATAAATAATTTTGGAGATAGACAAATGTGGGATTACACAAGGTATACCTTCTTTGAAGCTCCTCTTGAAACTACTTTCTCGAGATTGTAATCTTGGACATAACGCATCTTCCCATACAGCTTAACATTATCTGCTTTAGATTTTTCCAACTCCTGAGTCAGAGCTCCAATTCTCTCCTTCAGTTGCCTTATCTCCTGGTGCATTCCAAAAACAGTCCATGTGAAATCATCCTCATAAGACATAAATGCTTGCACCCCTTACCCAAAAAACAAAAAAATGCTTGCACAAAACCAAAAGTAGACAAACTATACCTCTTCTGCTTCATTTAGACGTGCCCTAAATCTATCTCGTTGATTGCAGATCACCTTGAGCATTGAACTCTGGTCTCGATCCGAGGAAACATGTTTCTGGTCCAGATGCTGCATCAAGATACAAGTCAAGAACAATATAAAAGCAATAAAATTGGACAAACAGGCTTCTCTGCTTCTCTTTTCCCCCATTCCATTTTCAAATTTTGTTTTGAAAAGAGATGTATCAATCCTGAACAAGAGAACAGCATAGCACCCGCAGCCAGGGATGAGGATCAATTTTGGACAACTAACCTATCACAAGGAACATCTAGTGACAAACTTTACCCGAAGCATACCGAAAATGGGGAAGTGTCTAGGCCATGCAGCCTCCACCCTGGACGACCATCAGGGTTGTTGCAATAAACGTGTAACTAGAGGTTTAGCAGCATATAACTTAGCAACGTAAGCTCAGCAATTCACTAATGACTACATTTGTTGTCTTATCAAATTAGTGTAAGAAATATCGACAGCTAGATACTGTTTAGCAAAGACCACATTAATTCTTGTTCAAGAATATCCCCTGGTTGTTATCACTAGTAAATTCCTTTGATTCAACTATAATGGCTGCAACCAAAAGAAGGATGGATTGTACCTCAGATGACTCTGCTCCACTTGCCTCTGAGAGGTCCCAATCCTCAAATAAACTGCCCTTTCTATCTTTGGAACCATAACCCTGTATATTTAAGATACAAGTTTAAAAACTACTAAACCTTTACTACTGGGTTCACTTACTGCCAATTACTAAATATAAAACATGACAGTTTGACTCAGCTGGTAACATATATTAACAATTTAACATCCATTAGAAACCTAGAATACAGTTATCAGTTTCGTTTTCAGCTCGGAAATAAAACTAACAAGTATAGACAGTTACAAACAGATCAAAGGGTATCATCAATTAGACAATGATTTTTATGATCCCAGACAAAGGATTTCAAACAAACTAGATTGACCTTCATTCATTTAGAGATGATGGTTTAGATAAGCAACGGGAAACATTCTATAAGCCCATTAAGAACGAAGCTCTAATAAATACTTAATTGATTCTGACAACAAGGTAACTTATAACTTACCTTTAAGATATCATCTTCCAATTTTTGAATCAACTTCTGTTGCTCATTAACCTTGGAAGTGAGCTCTACAATCTTGCTATCAGCTGTGTCCAGCAAGGATGATTTCTCAGAAAGTTGGACCTGGAAGCACCACACATTTGAAATAAAAATGACAGAAACCCCTTCACAGCAATTTAAATGGTCCGTTATGTGCCACATGCCACATTAAGGGTAGTCCAGATAGTTGTTTCAAAATTTAGAGATAAAAGGGAGAAGGAGAGAGATGGAAGTTTCCCTGAGCTAGGTTTTGTATTGATGGGGTGAGTATTTTATTATTGGGTGGTGGGGGGGCGGTGACAGACAACATAAGCAGTAACAAAAGGTGTAGTTCTACCTTCAACTGTGTCACTTGATGTTCCATTCTCCGATTTTTATCCAGAAGAAGGGATTCCATCTTGCTCATTTCCTCACCACTAGTTGCAACCTCCCAATCTTCTGCCTCTATAGAGTTATATCCGACCGCCTAAATCATAGAATAGCGTAGAATACAAGAAGACAAAGACTATAAAAAATTGCACCAGAGGAACTAAGATAATAATGCAATTGACTAAGTTACATACAATTAATATTAAGAAGAGAAAGTAAACAACACATAAACAGGAGAAAAACAGGATGCACACAAAAAGTAGCAACCTATCTTGTCCATAGAACAAAGAACATCAACCGACAGGTTGCTAATTTAAATCTTTAGGGTGAAACTAAGCACATCAAGCACTAAAATTACGAGGAAACAATCACTTTTGAAGTTGGTTGCAAGCTGAATCATCTACAGCGACAAACATCCTCCCTCTCGTTACTTATAAACAACTACACAACAGCATAAGTTTGAGAAGACCGAGAAGACTGAAATTAGATAAATAAGTAAAACAGTAGAATAGTCAAACTTAATGCTGCAAATAAGAAAACAAAAATGAAGAAGAATAACAGATTATTTTGGTTAACCCATTTGTTCTCATAATTAGCTTGTCCAGAAAACAAACAAGATGGAGAAAGTTCACTGAATTCACCAAATCCAATGACTTAGACAAGACTGGAATTATTCCAATAAGTGAACTGTGTATTACCTGCAAAATTTTCACTTTTTTACGAAGGTCATCCACTAATTTTGGTGTAGGTCTAGCTTGAAGTTCTTTCTTCACGTCCTGAATCGCAACATCCTGAAAAAATGGGGTAAAAGAAAGGAAAGCAAAATGTGAAAAGAAAAAACTGAGGCGATCTGTCATCAATTAGACTGATAACTTATAGTCTATTATAAATCATGAAATTGGGGAATAACGAATAGGCTTCGTAATACTGGAAAAGGTAGCTTGTGAAGCCCAACGCCCAGATGTCATTTATAATGTGATCGAGCTACATACTATTTATTTGAGAACATTAGAACTGAACAATGCAATTCCAATATTATCCTCGCTACAAAGCCTTAAACTAACCTTCTCATTGATCAGTGCATTCAACCTTTTAATCTCATTTATGTGCTGTTCTCGCTCATTTGCCAAGGTTGTCTCAATCTTGTGAAGTTCCATGTTCAGTTCAGAAATAATCTTCTCTTTGGCACTCAAAGAATTCTCCAGCATACTACTAGAATCCAAATTGTCACTGTGAAAGTAATAGATAATTAGCTCAGAAAACCGTGGGGGATTTTATTTGGATGAACTCATCATAAAATTGACAGCATTAGATATTGTTGTATGCACATCTAAAGTAAATCTTTAACTGGATACTGGTGAGTTAGAAGCAGAAAGGAATCCAACAGCTATGCTGACATATTTCAAACCTTCTCTTGTTTCCCGTGTCTTCATTTGCAGACTGTAATTGAGACCACAGAACACCCTGCCAAATCACATAGAATTGTCATCAAGACATGAACTTCGGCATGAAATCAAAGGACCCAGCAGGAATTTGGATGTAGTCTTGCAGGCTAAGTGCGCTTAATCAGTTTGAACATTGCTTTATACTTGGATTTAAGTATAGAAATGCAAAGATGGTACTCTAGTCTGTTTCCTACTTTTTTTCTACACGACCATTCAGAAAATAGATTCAGCAGATTCCTCGTGGATCAAGAATCCATAAGATTCAAAACGAGCAAAACTGATGACAGGAATGGACACCACCATTGCAGACTAGAAGTTAGAAAGAAACCAGTATGTATTTGCATATAAGTGAAGCGTATTGGAGAATAGTTTGAAGAAGGAACAGTGAGATGAGGAACTGAAAGGTGTTGATTATCAGTTGGATCTGGTACACATGGAAGATACCTTTTCTCTCTCGAGACTAAGAAGCCGTGTTTGAGCCCTCTCAACTTCATCCATCAAAAGATTGACCTCTGATTGCTTTGCAGCACTTTCTTCATCTGAAATTTTTTTCAAGCACAAGAGGTCATATCCAGCTCAAAGAGGGTACAAACATTGTTTCACAGCAGTTAGCGATAAAAATTAAATAAGGGCTTGTGACAATTGACAACAAAAAATATGGAACTCTATGTATGCTCCTGAAAACCTTGCATATATCTTATATGCAGGTCATTAGTACAATCTCCTTATCCTTAATAAAAAAGATATGACAATAACAATGCTACTTGAGCAACATAACTATGTGGCATTTCAAAGTAAGGAATACCATTTTACCTGATTGAGCTTGAACTATAAACAATTGACTCTGTGCGAGTTCGTGCAGTTTCTGCATATTGGAAACACTTTCTTTAGCTTGTCGTAGTTGATCTTGCAACGATTGCTCCCTAGAAAGGAGAACAAGTTACAAGCCAAAAATCTAATGCTGATTTATGAAAAACTCAAGTTATTGGGGAGGCTACATTCAGGGGACTTTCAGAATAATACTCTCAGAGGACATGTCAGAAAAAGAGGAGCTATGTAAGATTACACACCTATCTTTCAACACTTCTAAGGTCTTTTGGTTTTCTTCAGCCAGACTACGTTGCTTCATCTCAACAATTTCCTTCACCTTTTCTTCCATCTGAAACCATAATACCAAAAAAAACTCAGGTACTACCACATAAGTGCAAAAGGAAACCAAATATCATAATAACATAGAAGGGACGAAATCACAACAGCTATGCTCTATGGACATAAACACATCATATGTATTCAGCTTCTTCAAGTTACATAATGGACAGCAGATAAAGTAACAAAACAGCAGCTATTCCGAACTTTTTTTTTTGGAGAACATAAGAGAAGTAATCCTGCCATAAGTCACTGAAACAGACAATAATGTCTCCGGTGCCAAATTTCTTACAGATAGGGAGAATTCGACAAAAAAAACCATAGATATATCCAGGTTTCACGTATCTAACTTCACTATACAACAGAGATCACAGGCATACAACAACCCTAAAATATAGAAGCCATGTTTGTTTAAGTTTTCTTTTTGGACAAGACCTGAATCCATGGCCTAGACCACAGCTAAATGCATACCTGTAATTCTAATTGACGATTGCGCTCCTCTAGTCTTCTTATTGTTGCCTGTTGATTCTTTAAGTGAGTTGCTTCTGTCCTGAATTCTTCCAGCTCAAGCCTCATTTTCCGGTTTTCTGATTCTAGTTCAGACAATTTTAGATCTAGTTCCTGCATTGAAGGAATGACAAATCAGATGGGACATGCCATACCTTCAGTATGAGTCACACTTCAACTGATGAGCAAAGCTTGCTCAAAGAACTATTTACTTGGAAAACCCGTCGCAAACTATAGTCACAAAAATGCAATGCAAACCTTTAACAGAATGAAGCAGCAAAACCTCGCAAAACATTAAATGACATCTTTAGGCATTAAAATAATGTGGAATGCATAATTACTATCAAAATCTACCTAAAGAAAGGGCAAACCTCTAACTCCAGCATTCAATTAAGAAAAACCAACGAACATATTCACAGATATAAGACTGGGATGTGAGCATAAAATCACCTCTTCAGGCAAAGCTACTAGGATTATCTTCATAAAACACTTTGTTATATAGCCGAAATTTATGCAGTTCTAGTAGTCCCAAACAACAAACACGCAGGCTGGCAGCATTACTCCATTTCCATGACATCCATGAATAGCACCAATAAATGAAAAGAACCGCTGCTTACAGAAATTGATGCAAGGGCTGGATATGGATCTGGAGCCTCATACAGCTTCTGATAAATATTAAGAAAGGAATTTTCTCCAAATTTTGCTCTCTTGGTAAGGTTGTCAACTTCTTCTTGGTATCCCTTTAGTAGGGAGTTGAATAAACCTAACTTTTCCTCCGATGAAGCTTTTTTAAAATCTGTAAACATATGTACAGAAAGCGTAAGTCCAACTTCACCCATCTCCAACATAGGTATAGAGGGAAAAACAGTGGGAGTTAACGAAATGGTAGGGAGCAGATACCAGCTCAAGGCCTCTCCAATACACATCACAGGAAGCAGATTATTTCAGACAATTAAGGTCCCAGAGACCAAATCAACATGCACTTTTCAGATGTTCCCAAAGGAGAACATCCTCTGCTGGTCAGAATTACCTCGAGTGCTCTCTGCAAGTTTCCGTCGATTCTTCTGGCTGTTCTCCTGATTCTCAGCTATTCTAAGACCTTGCTCGTCAAGCACACTTTTCTCCTTTTCCAAATCAAATTCTGAAAAATAGAGGATTCAGTTACTATCTCTGTGAGCATTCATCTCATCAACTCCATAAATGAAAAAGAGAAATCATCCTTCCGAGTAAAAAATACCTGAGGAATTTGTCTTTCACCTTACTAACTCTATTCATTCAAATTGGCACAAAGAGCAGAAGTCTAGAATACTGAAAACGAAAAACATGCCCGCAACACAAAATAGGCTCGGATCTAGTTCAGTTGCATTACGCATCTCATCACCTCCTACTACTACTATAAGGATCAAAGCTGGAAGCAGGTCAACAGAAATCATTTCGCACACACATGCAGTAAGACCTTGCCAAAGAGTATTTCTGTAGTTTGTATAAACTTCCACGTTTGTATAAGCAGAGTCCGTAGCAAGACTGCTTTTGGCAACACACTGCGAGGAACTACTTGGCAAATCCGGTGATCACAGAACCAGAACTGAAGACGGAGCGAATACCTTTCCAGAAATTGGAGACGACGGATACGGGAGAAGAGGTAGGGCCGCCTGGCTTGTCCCGCTCGGGAACTCCTTGCGGAGTGGACTCCATTGCTGGATCTCTGAAGCTTGTTTCAGTGTCGCGATTTCCCTGGTTTCAATTTCAAAATTGCGCGAGCTTTTTTTTTAAACCGGAAACGAGAGATTCAGGTGGCGAAGGGAGGATCAGGTGGGTTGAGAGATCTAAGAGACGATGCAGGACTTATTGCAGATTTATTGTTTTTTTTATTTTTATAAATACACTTATTGCAGATTTAAATGGTGGCTTTAATTATGAAAAGAAATTTAATCGGGGTTTTCCTTTCTTTCTCTGTTCCTTTCAGGTTGGTTAATCCGTTAATGTGTCTTCAAAGTGAAGCTTTGATGCGAAGTGCGAACGGTGAAGCTGAAGCCATTCCAAGCTTCTGTGCTAAGTGGCTAGCTTGTCTATTCGGTTTAGTCCGTTGGACAGGTCGAGCAAGTGGGTGAAAGTTAATGGTGTGATTGGTGTAGACCGGTTTATTCCTTAAAAAATTCATTATATTGTTCAGATATATGTATATTATGTCAAAATCTCATCTTACATAGTACTAACATACAAGATTAAAACAAAATAATAGTTCGTACTTGAAAGTTGAATCCAACAGTTAGTTAAAATTCAAATACACTTAAATCCACCATATAAGTTCGTGTGATTGATACATTGAATGAACTTGAACAACCGGTGAAAGCCATTGACACAGTGGCTTTCTGAAAATGAAAGTTTGTTGATCGATATTGTCAGATTTTGATGGGTTAAAGCTGGTTTTGCAGGAGTTTGACCCAGTTGAAGGCGGTGTGACAAATCCAGGTAAAGTCCAAAACAGTTGTGTGTCGTCCCTTTTCTATATCGAGTCCGATTCAACCTGGATCGACTCCCCGAGTTAACAACCTCGTTGGCTAGCCCACTAGAGACGTGGTCTGGTCAGGTCAGGTCAATGAGCTCCTCAACCATTTATGAGATAGTGGTACTGTATCACAACTCACTCTAGTAGAAAAACCAAATCTTGGTAAAAAGAATCAAACAACAATGATAGTGATCACGATGGTGAATAAGTGGCAAATCAACTTGGGAAGAGAATCAAAGACCTTTGATACACTTGGACAAACAATTGCTTAACTGTACACGAGATTGTGGTTTTGCATCACAATTCGCTCTAGTCGAAAAACCAATTAGAGTGAGTTGCGATACTATAAATATATGAATGATTTAAATAGATATGACTGTATCTACTCAACCAAGTTCAAGATTAAAATCCCTTGAAATTTTCAAAGAATTCAAGAATGGAGTTCCTAATCGACTTGGGGAAGAATCAAGAAACTTTGATTAGATCAAGGTGTTGAGTACTTGGACAAAAGACATCCTTAGCCATTGCAAATTTTTGGTATAGTATCATTACTCACTTTAGTTGGAAAACCACAATGGAGTTTCGTGTTGCGACGAAGTATCAAACTTTGCAAGATCTCATTCAGTTAACGACATGTCAAACTCTATATCACACGTCTTGATAACAAACTCCTAAATATTTATAAACTTACTAATATTTTATATATTAAGAGGAATAATAAAGTAGTATGTGAATTTTCTGATGTCGATATTATATATAGTTTCATACCAAATTACCAACCATTTTCTCTTCCATAAAAAAATGTTTGAATATTTTAGCTTTTATACCATTTTAACTAGAACCTTGCAAGAATAGGTTATCTTTAAAAACGTTTTGTATTTGATTCTACGAGATACAACAACTATAGAGCCTCCCAATTTTCTTCTTCTTCTTCCCCTTTCTTTGTCATTTTTAAATTCCTCTCAATCGAGAAAATTTATTTGTTAAAAGGAGAGGCAAATGCAGAAGGAAGATTAAGATGCAAAGATTTATTGATACAACCCTTGCTGTTACGAAAGAGTACGATTTTCCTCTTTAAATATATGGTGTTATATTCACATATGATTATGGCTTTGAATTTTGTGATTTAGGCAAATGCATACTTGACAAAAGAAGATATTGCTCTATCATGGAGACAAAATTTTGACTTGGGTTTTGTGCTTCATATTTTGAGGTGCCAAAATTTTGCTTCATAGTTGACAAAATTTTGGAGGCTAGAACATGCAAATTTGGGTTTAGGTAGACAAAAAGGTATTGCTTCATAGTTGACAAAATTTTTGAGGCTAGAACATGCATATTTGGGTTTAGGTATATTTTGCAGGGATGGTATAGATGATACGAAAAAATATATGTTTTTCGCGTTTGAATGTTACATGTTGAAATCTAAACTTGTGAATGTGATAAAAACGATAAGATGGATGAATTCACAAAATTGAAGAGTTACATTTTACGAAAACGAGGAATACCCACTTCGCATTATACCTCATTCCACTTTTTCTCACATTTAGTCTAAACAAGTCCTCCAAACTACCATATTTCTCAAACCCCATATCCCCATGGGCATTGGCAAAATAGTAGTGTCTTGCTAGATGGATAATGCCTAGCTAGTTAATGTTTGTTCGTGTAGGTTTTGACAGTGACAAAATGTTAGGCCTAGGCCTCTTCAAATAGCATATGCTTATTAGTTGATATGATGTCAAACCCTTATTCGTTCGAACAATAGGAGAAAACCTCAATTTCTAGCGACATATGCATATGCGCAGCTTTTGTGTCTAGTATTAGAGTAAGCTACTCTAAACCTATCCGATCACCACCATGCATCTCTTAAAACGCGAAATGTGTTTCGACATCCAGTAAAATATAATTTTAATTACTCAAATGGTATAATTCTGGGTTTCTAGCTCATATCCCGCCCAAAGGATTTCTTACCAATATCAAAGATGGGTGATATCAAAGCTCCCATATGATGCTTAATTGAAATTGGAATTATTGTAAAACTAATTATACACTTCAATTTTTTTAGATAATTACGAGGTGCGTACATGACATATCTTATGAATGGATCTTATGTTTTAAACAGATAACTTGAGGATTTGTATGACTATGTAGGTCGGTAAAGACATTTACTTATGAATCCTTGCACAACATCGTGAGACTAATAAACGGGCTCTCGGCACTCTTACTGGCCATTTTGCCCGGAAAGGCTAAGATTCTCGAGGGGATTCAAGGATGGGAACTAAGACCTACCGTTCGCGGCCCCCGATTTCCTCGTTGGATGAAGAAGTAAGATTGTTCTTTTTTTTTCAACATAAGAAAATCTCAACTTAGCTCATCGATCGAACAGTTTCATATTTTTTCTGACGAATTAATTTTCATGTCGTGTGTTTATTATTATAATTTGACAGTGGAGTATCTTCGTTCAACAAATTCGTTCACGAGCTACCGACGGATTCAGACGAAGACGATAACGATTCGACGTATCATTCCCCAATAGATCGTCAAGACAAAGGATGCAATTATCCTCCTGGATCGCCCTTCCATCGTCGCTGCCGTTCCTCCTCCTCTCAATTCACAAGTCAAACTAAGCATCCAATAATAAGAACGATAACTATCGTCTTCTCATGCATTCTCATTCCTCTCAAGCTCCTCTTAAAGATACCACTTTCTCTTTACCGAGTTATATTCAGCAATCAAAAACCAACAACAAATCGCTCCCGCAAAGATAATAACAACAATAATAATAACAGTAATTACCAACCTTGTTGTTCAACACCCACAGGAAAAGGGCATGCTTTCATTCATCGTGCTACTGATAAGAGACGTGGAATCATTGAGGTAAGGTTAATTTCTTGCCAACTAATTAATCAATTAATAATATCCTTACTATTATCATTTAAGGATATAATTTAGACCGAAACTAGGCCAGACCCGTTGTTTATCGTGTAAGAAACCCTATTTTACCCGTTCCTGTAGGGTCAGTTTACAAAATTGGTCTGTCCGGTTCCATGTTTCCTTCTTGGCTCTGTCTGACCCTTTAGGATCGGGTCAGGTCAAGTTAGTGGGTCGGATCGAATCAATCACAACATTTATTTTTGAAGATTATATTTCGGCAGAGATAGTATTATGTTTAATACCTTTATATTTTTTTACCTAACATTTGATAGTACCTAAACTCTCTAAAAAAAACTTTACAAACATATCCAATGTGTTGGTGTAAGCAATTACTTGTCACTAATTGTTGTTTATGAGGTCATAGGATCACCTAAAAGTGATTCTATGGACCCATCCTAAACTGACCGTTGATATGACTTAGCTTGAATTGGACTATCAGCCGCTACGATTGGAAGTCCACGGTGTATAGGTCGTTACACGTTTGGGTTGTCGGTTTTGGGCCCGGTCTGTAACCGTTTTCTTTTGCCAGATTGGATTAGGTTTAGACCCCACATGGAGAAGTATAAATACTTCTCATCTCCTCTGCAATCCTCCTCGATATAGTGAAACTGACTCTCTCCTGCCCGTGGACTAGCGCTAACACACATTGTGTTAGTGAACCAGTACTTAAATCGTGTGTCTGTTTTCGATTCTGGCTTTTGTATTCTTACTTTCTCGATTCCGCCCGATCCACGTAGATAAACTGACCCAACGTCCCAACCCGACCTTCGGAGTCGAATCGTACCAGATCAGTGGGTATCTAGTGCCAGACTTACATATATAACCTCTCATGTTGTTATGCAGGATCTTCATTTATCGATAGAAATCTTCATCGAGAATGTATTCGAGTTCTTCCACAAAGCTGCTCATTGTTTGTTTTCTCCCATACAAGTTCTGAAAGGGTTACGAAGGAGAAGGTTTTGGTCTCATGTTAAGTATACTAATATTAGCAGCAACGAGGAGAATATTTCTGAAGATGGAACTTCTTCACATACCACTACTGTCCCAGCAAGCACCCTGGGCGAGGTCGATCCGTCGATAAAAGAGAGGAAAACTGCTCTTCCTGGGGCTTTGAACACAGATGCTCGTACGTGTCAAGACGTTATTACAGAACTCGGGTACGTGTCAATCCGAAAATTTCCTACCGTAGTCTAAATCGATAAGTGATTTTTAGCGGTTTTAAAACGGTTGAAAGGTTCATATTTTATAGAAGAGATTAAATATATGACTCTTTAAATCTTTTCTTTGTTTCTATTCGACTTGTATATCTTTCGTTTTAGATTTGATTTTGAGGTTTTTTTTTACAGGTACCCTTATGAAGCTATTCGTGTGATAACCTCTGATGGTTATGTTCTCCACCTTGAAAGAATCCCTAGGTATGTATAATGAATTAATGATCATGAATGTGTTCTATTAATATATTTTTTTTTTTCATTCAATAAACATTCACTATAATTTAACTTCGTATTGATGCATTTTTCAATCTTTGTATTCATAGACGTGATTCGCGAAAGGCTGTTTATCTCCAGCATGGCGTCCTAGATTCATCTATGGGGTGAGCTCCCAAATTATGTGAAAATTTCTATTTATTTTCGTATTTTTTAGTTATAGCTTTTAATAATAATTTTAGTTATAATTCATATACGAATTTTTCTAAATTTTTTGGCATTAGGTGGGTGTCTAATGGCGTTGTTGGATCTCCAGCATTTGCAGCATATGATCAAGGTTAAATCCTCTTTTCCTCCCCCTCAACATTTCATAAATTTATCATGCATTAATTGCAACATCATTAACACACACAAAAAAAAAACCTAAATTAAAAATTATTTCTTCCATTGAATCTAACTTAAAATTTTTCCTATATAGGGTTTGATGTTTTTCTTGGAAATTTCCGAGGGTTGGTATCCAGGGAACATGTGAATAAGAAAATTTCCTCTCACAAGTAAGTTCGAATAAGGTTAATTATCCTTCTATCTCTTTAGAAAAAAATGAGAGTTCAATAATCCATGCATAACATTAAATGACCTTCATCACGCGTGTTTATATATAGTACAACCTCGACGAGGGCGTTGAGTGTATATATATTATGCATTCATTCTCATAACCATCGTTTAAATCCTCTAAATCGACTCTTATACATAGTTTTCAACAGTCGTATATTATTCATACACATAAACAACTAGTCACATTCGCATTCTCATATTACCCGCGCCACGAATAAACGCCCGTTATGTATCATAAAAAGAGAAAAAATTTGTCTCACTCATTTGTCCAAACGTAACGTTGTGTAGGTACTGGCACTATTCCATCAACGAGCATGGCACAAAGGACATCCCCGCCATGATCGCCAAAATCAACGAGATCAAAACCACAGAACTAGCAAATTTCACCACCAAATCATCACCGTCATCGTCACCATCCTCCAACGACGAGAACCAACCCTACAACCTCTGCGCCATCTCCCACAGCCTAGGCGGAGCCGCGATGCTAATGTACACCGTAACGCAACGCCTCAGCCACAACCCGCACCGCCTCTCCAGGCTGATCCTCCTCTCCCCGGCGGGGTTCCACGACGACTCGAACCTCGTGTTCACCACGGTCGAGTTCCTCTTCCTGCTGGCGGCTCCGGTCCTCTCGAAACTCGTCCCGGCCTTCTACGTCCCCACGAGGTTCTTCCGCATGTTGCTGAACAAGCTGGCCCGCGACTTCCACAACTACCCGGCCGTCGGCGGGCTGGTGCAAACCCTAATGTCGTACGTGGTCGGAGGGGACAGCTCGAACTGGGTCGGGGTGCTGGGGCTGCCGCACTACAACATGAACGACATGCCCGGGATCTCGTTCTTCGTGGCGCACCACCTGGCGCAGATGAAGCACGCGGGGAGGTTCGTGATGTACGACTACGGGAGCGAGGAGAGGAACGTGGAGGTTTATGGGTCGCCGGAGCCGTTGGATTTGGGGGGGAACTATGGCAGGATCGATGTGCCGGTGGATTTGGTGGCCGGAAAAAAGGACAACGTGATACGCCCGGAGATGGTGGTGAAGCATTACAGGTTGATGAAGGATGCGGGCGTTGAAGTGGTGTACAATGAGTTCGAGTATGCGCACTTGGATTTCACGTTCTCGCACCGGGAGGAGTTGTTGGCGTATGTGATGTCGCGCATGGCGTTGGTGGAGTATGGGAGGAAAAAGAGGGAAGTGTTGGCTCTTCAAACCTAAATTTAGAAGAAGAAGAAGAAGAAGAAGAAGAAGAAGAAGAAGAAGAAGAAGAAGAAGAAGGGATGTGTGTAGAAAATTTGTAGAACATTTGACATCCCTAGCTATTGCCATGTTGCTCGTGAGGGATTCCCTTACAACACTAAATCTGTGTAGTACTGACTGATGTATATATCGAATGAGAAAGAAGGGAGAAAGGCTAGCTAGTTGCCTTGCTCAAACCCTAAATTTGCAAAAGTGTTGTTATGGTATCAAAGCATTGTTAGGGTTTCCAACCCCCTTCCTTTCTCCAATTTCTGAAATTGATCAACCGTGACGGATCGTACCCCTGGAAATGGAGATAATGGTTCTAGAAGTGGTGGTCGAGTAGATACATGGGTTACCCACTCTCAGATCTATTCTATCTACATGGATCTGAACAACCTGCCCAGATCCTAGTACCTCATAAGCTCACACCAGCCAACTATAATGGGTGGGAGATCAGCAGCACCGATTAGTTCACATAGACATTTGGGGGATCCCTGTCTCGTCCTTCTTATCATGGAAATTGGTATTTCCTTACCATTATAGATGACTACAAAAGGATAACATTGGGTAATCCTGATGAAACATAAATATGAAGTTAGATTTTGGCTGGTTTCTTTTTGCAATCTTGTTGAGAACCAATTTTCTAATAAGATTTACAGGATTCGTAGTGATCAAGGCCAAGAATTTAGCATGCCAAGTTCTTACTTAGAAAAAAGGTATTCCACGTGAAATGTCTTGTGTTGAGACACCTCAACAAAGTTAAATTTTTTGAAAGAAAACATCAACATATATTGGGAGTAGTTAGAGCTGTAAAGTTCCAAGCACACTTACTAACTGGTCAAATTGTGTAAGGCATGTGTTGGCGTTTAAATTATAGTGTTTATCACCCCTTATATTTGATGCATTTCTCCCTCTATCAATGCATCTTTAATATCTTTTGACAAAATTTATATGGATTTCATAATTATTGATCAATGAGATTATTCTATACCTAGATTGTGTTTTATTAGTATCATTTTATGCCTTTTTGGCAGTTTTTTGTGCTTTTCAAGATGAAATGCAATCTAGGATGATTTAGATCACATATTGGATCAAACTAGGTAGTATATTCGTTTAGTATATATTATATATAAAAAAATAAAAGCCATCATATATTTAATTATATATATATACTAGTTAATGTATTCTACACTGTTTGAGATTCTATAAATTTGTGATTCTACGAAAAAGTGACATATTTTGCTTGTTGTTAATAGTTACCTATATCTTTCTTTAACTATTTGAACCTAAGTATTAAAGTTTTGTAAAACAGATAGTTTCTACTGAAAATGTTTATTTAAACCTAGCATTTTTTAAATCTTGCTCATAATACATACATTCCAAGAATACACAAATTTATTAGCTATCAACTTCCAAACCAAACCCTAAATTACACAAATTTATTAGCTAAATTTATTAGACTAGTGAGTCGGCAGATAGTTAGTTGACCACTCTATTATCTGTAGCCAGAGCTACAGACACAAGTCTGCGCCCACTTTTCCCACCATCCGATCCAGATCAAACGGTCTGGAATAAGAGAAGGTTTCTATCCATACGATAGATCTAACAGCTGGTAAATTGTCCTCCTCCTCTAAGTCAAGGAATGCTGACGAGGAGAAAGCCAAAACACGATTCGTCGCAATCACGAAGGAACAAATAACTGGTCAGAAATTAAAACCCCCAAAAAAAAAAAAAAAAAAAAACGTCGCAGACGCAAACATCATAGACATAACTGACACATTTCTGGACCCATTACTCCAGTTCTAGAGAGGGAAGGAAAAGGCGGTTCTGAAATCTCAGCTTCCTGAGAGAATTCTTAATTCGGAAGGCAGTTTTCCCCGGCGGAGTTGTTTACGGCACGCCACCACCGGCGAGATTTCTCAATTTCGAATTACTCCGCTGCAGAAAGCCAACTGCCGAGAAGTAACCCCACTACGAGCAATTTCGAGCTTCAGAAACCCCCCCGCTGAGGTTGAGGATCATCGGGAAATTGAGCCAGCCATCTACGAAGCGATGCAGCGATTGGTTGACTCCTCACTTGCTGTCGCCAAGGAGTAAGTTCAAACTAGTTTTTTTTCCTTCTTCTCTGGTCCGATGATGATGCATGCTTTGGGGTTTATACGCGTCCAATCACCGACATGCATCATTGATTTTAGTTCTTCTTTTTGATTTTGCTATCGGGGAGGGGATGGTATGGGGTTTTTCTGTGTTCTGATTTGGAATGACTTGTTTGGCGGTTTACCGGTTTCTGTTCTTGTTGGTTGTTTGTTTATTTTGTGGGTTGATTGATCAACTTCAGCCTTTAAATGGTTAAAACGTTGCCATTCCGTATGAAAACAATTGAAGAATGACCTTTCTCAGCTCAAGATGGGAAGGAATGAAGGAATTTTTTGTGGAAGCAGAATTAAAATGCAAGTTGTTCATAAGGGTTGTTTTTGTGATGCAAGTAGTTGGTAAGGGGGTGTTTGTGTGATTTCTTTCTGCTGATACACGAGCACAAAAAAGCATTGACATCCCTCTTTACTCGGATGATACCTGCTCTTGAACCAACATAATGGTACTTGCTCTGCGCAAAAGAATGTATTTTTTGGCAGCTCTATCCAGGGATGTCTTTTGGGTAGGGCTTTGTTCTGTGTATATAGTGATATTCTTGCATGGCTCCTTTACAGTGATTTTGACTTTTTCGACAGGTCGGTGAAGACATTCACTTACGAGTCCTTGCACAATATAGTGAGGCTGATCAATGGAGTTTCAGGGATGCTATTGACTGTTTTGCCTGGGAAGGCTAATGTTCTTGAAGGCCTGCATGGCTGGGAGCTTAGGCCATCTTTTCGCGGACCTCGTCTGCCATATTGGATGGAGAAGTAAGATGCTACTTCAATTTCGTTAAGTTTTATGGTAGAGGGTCCGTCATTTCTTGATGGATTGTTTACAAGCATTATCTAAGCCAACTTATTTTTTCTGTCTGCCTGACTTAATACCACGGTGTGTCGCCTGCTTTCCGTGGATATATATGGTTTGTTACATTTGGTGGTGCTGGGAGTTGTAACATCTGTGGGAATTTTGGTTTCCTCTAAAAGAGTGTAGAATAGATCAGCATCCTTATGCAATGCCCCATACTTTAGCTTAATAGCTCACTTTAGGGAAGGACATTGTTCACTAGTTTCCTGCTTAGATCGTGATTTTGGGAGACTTGATTACCGAATCATTAATTATTCAGAATTCATATGTTTGCTTGAGGCTGTTTGAAAGTTTCTACAATGCTTTTTGCAGTTTTAGGTTTCAATAGTCACGTTCTCATTAGGAAGGTTTAGCTATTAAGAACGAGGCCAAAGATTAATAGGGTCAAATTCCAGATAACCGGAACTGCTACTCTTTCCTCAAGGGGTTGACAGGGCTTCAATGAGTAGTTTTTCGGTATTCCTGATATGAGCAGCGTTTATGACTAAGAACAATCTAAAAACTTAGTTCTCTGCTGTTTCATGACTCGTGAGAGAGTTACGTTATGATGATATTTGAGGTTCTTCTACCGAGGGATATTTTGTATAATCGTCTACGATTTCGTGGCTTATTCATACTGTTAAAGATATATTGTTTATGAATTCTAGTATGGAAGGAGAGGACCTGAGATGGTGACTAGTTTCTGTACTCCATTTCTGCTGAACTCGAAGTGTTTGAATGATTGAAGATCTATGTACATAGGCTCATTGTTATTGGATTCTTGCAACCCTACTTTCTTTTCTTTGAGCTGATGGATGCTATTTGCTGGTGTGATCGAGAAAGTAAAGTTGTTGTCCGTCAGATTCTCCATGTGAGAAGGAATAGTGCATCTCCGTGTATTTTGATTTTATTCTCTCTTTGTCAACACAATATATACTATGGTTTGTGAACTTTTAACTTAATGGAGGGCTTAAGCCTGTAAAATTGCTTGTACTTGCTATCTATTCCTGTTCTGATGATGAACTAGAATTGAGTAAACACTAAACATGTTCCATAATGTCAATTTGTAATCAGGTCCTTGATTGTTGCACAGGTTTACAGTGCTATTTTCTGTTTTCTGACATTTCTGCCTATCACTTGCTACTGCAGTGGAGTATCTTCATTCAACAAATTTGTTCACGAACTCTCTGTGGATTCCGATAGTGATACTGCAAGTTCTGACTATTCTTCTGCTGAAGAAGACGATGGAATGTATCCTGCATCACCATCGTCTCATAGTTCCCGAGTTTCCAATGCAATGTCTTTCAGAAGGAATAATGGGCGTTCAATTGGATGGTTTGCATTTATATTCTCATGGGTAATTATGCCATTGAAGATTTTGCTTGGAGTTCCGCCTTATCTTTATGGGATATTTTTCACCAAAGAATCATCAACTTATCCCCTTGAAGGAAGCCATCAAGGTTCCCACTCTGCTCCCATCAATAGAGTACAATCTCGCAAGGATCATTTCATTCACCATGCTACTGACAGGAGACGTGGAGTCATTGAGGTGGTAGATTGTTGCTTTAGCTTATCCTATTTATTTTCTTCATTTCTTTTGCCCTATCTTGTTTCTCATTTCCAGTTGGGCATTGCAGGATCTTCATCTAGGAATAGAGATCAGCATAGAAGCTGTATTCGACTTTTTCCACAAGGCCACACAATTGCTTCTTTCACCAACAAAGATTTTAAAAGCAACATATGAATGGTTTTCGTATGACAAGTACAGCAGTGAGCATATTTCTGGTGATGTTTCGAATGCCAGTATACCTGCAGCTACACTTGGAGACACTGATCCAGTCCCCAGAGAGAGAAAAGCTACAACTCAGGGGGCTTTGAACACTGATGCTCGTACATGTCAGGATGTCATAACAGAGCTAGGGTAGCACAATTATCTGCTTAACTTGGTTCTGAAATTTGCATTGTTACTTTTCTTTGGTTTTTTCCCTTGCAAAACTCTTATTGCATCATTTTGATTGTGACCTCTTTTTTACATAATGTTGTAGGTATCCATATGAAGCTATTCGTGTGATAACTTCTGATGGCTATGTTCTCCTTCTAGAGAGAATTCCAAGGTATGAAAAATCTGCCATATCATTTCATCTTCACATTCTTCAGAATTTCTTCTCTTTGGTTGGCGGATTTGAATTTTCTATATTCTTTTCTTGAATGATTTCAATGCTGTACTGGCAGGCGTGACTCACGCAAGGCTGTTTACCTTCAGCATGGGGTGATGGATTCGTCCATGGGGTGAGTGTTTTTTTTACTCTCACAATTACTATGACATATGCATAGGAATGTGCATCTGATGATTGGTTGGTAAATTTCTTGTTCCCGTCTCTGCCTGTTATTTTGTCTGGCATGGGAGGAGGTGTACTTCATTTGCAAAAAATAAAATGTGACACCTTCTTGCTTGTGAAGGTTGAAAACCATTGTTTAGCAGCAGATAATTCTATGCAACAAACTGAGAATCTATAGCTATTGAAAACTAAAGTGATTCTTTCTTTCCAGATGATTTGTTATCCTTCCAAATAGTTTCATGAAAAGAGAATAAAATTCAGAATGTTAATACCTTCAGTTGATTTTTAATTTAAGGGGAATATGGGTTCTTTTATGAAGATTAGGAATAGAATCTGACAATCTAGTCATGGACCATTTATTTATTTGATAGCTTTGAGAAAGTAGTGTGTCTATATGAAAACTGAATTGCTGTAGGCTACGTTGTTGTGGCTCTTTTACTCCATGCTTTTGATTATACTATGCTTCTTCCGTGGTTCTCCATGTCACTTTTTTCCTAAATAAGAAATCTCTGCCATGTTGACTGTCCAATGCGCATTATTGTAGTACACATTGCAGAGCGTTGCTAATTACATTTTATATGTTCAAATTTCATCTTTCTCTATTTATAAATCTTCTAAAGTTGAAGAACTGGAAGAAAGTAGGAGTGGATTTTAGTTATTTGGGTAAATGAATTCAGTCATTGATAACTAGATCTTTGGGCGACCTTATTTTAACTGCTGCTAGCCTGTTGGATGCTGAAAATAAAGGGTTTAGGTAGCCTCGGCTCCCTGTTAAGAAACGTGAAGCCCTTTATTTCCTCACCGACTTCAATTGTTTGTGCTTCCAGTGTGTAGGTATGTGGTGGCAGTTGCTCTATTGTTGTTTTTGTTTGGCTTGTAGAGGTTACATACTGAATTGTTCTTCACCTAGACAAAGGCCTAATGAATTGGTGATAGTATGCTTTCTGTTTGATTCATCCAAGTTTGTTATTGCGAAATTCTCGGGCTTTAAGAAATGTAGGAGTAGAGCTTACAGCCCATCATGAGATCTTTCATGACATTCGCCTCAAAGTCAGCTTCTCCTATTTACTCTTGGTCGAGCGGGGCTTTTCTCCTTGTCGTACTGACTAACCTCAATATTTTATTATGGAAGACTGTTACTTATGGGCATGGTTCCCTACGGTCAGCTGCTGTTAAGTTTCATGTACAACTTTTTATTTCTTTTGCCCAGGTGGGTATCCAATGGTGTTGTTGGATCTCCGGCTTTTGCAGCATATGATCAAGGTCTGTAACCGGCGTGTGAAGCTTTTTTTGTGTGCTTGACCATCATTAGAGAGTATAAAAGCTTACTGCTGTTATTATTGCAGGGTATGATGTTTTCCTTGGTAATTTGCGAGGCCTTGTTTCTAGGGAACATATTGACAAGAACATTTCTTCGCGACAGTAAGTTCAGAGCACTATTTTACCCATTATGAACATGCACTTATGCATCTACTGATCTATAAGTTGATTTTTGCTTAACCGCAAAGGATCAGTTCATTTTATTGTCAAAACAACTTCCCCCTCCACCACTGGGATTGAGGTAGTAGTACAGTAGTTCAGTGAGTACATCTTCGTTTGCTCAACATCTGTGTATTTGTTTAAGCTTAGACAGAATTTAAAAAGGAGACTTAAAAGTTGGGACAAACACATTTCTTCAATCGAACTTCTTAAGATAACAATTCAAGGTGCCACAAGTTATTAAAATCTAAAAGGCTCCTCCAATGAAAATTGTGCCCTAGTTTGCAGATGAAATGAATATATTCTTGTAAAGTTATACAATAATTGTCATTTTTCAAAATCTAAACATTTCTGCATTAGTTTACACACGATCCATCGGGTACTTTTTTATTACCAAAAAAATCTCATACCCCGACTTTTTCTAAAACTTGCTTTTTCTTTAGCAAAACACACCCTACTGCTCTCGAATCTATGTGGATAACTTTTTGGAGTGGTTATATCTGACTCAGGTACTGGCGTTATTCCATTAATGAACATGGAATGGAGGACATACCAGCAATGGTTGAAAAAATTCACGAAGTCAAAACCACAGAGCTTAAGATCAATGGGCTTGAAACCGAGGAAGAGGACAACAGCCAGCCTTACAAACTATGTGCAATCTGTCACAGCTTGGGCGGAGCTGCCATGCTTATGTACGTGGTAACGCGTCGAATCGAAGAGAAGCCACACAGACTATCCAGATTAATTCTGTTATCTCCAGCTGGCTTCCATCAGGATTCTAACCTGGTCTTCACAACTATGGAGCATCTTTTCCTCATGATGGCCCCTATTCTATCCCGAATCATCCCTGCCTTCTATATACCCACAAGGTTCTTCCGCATGCTGTTGAACAAGCTGGCTCGGGACTTCAACAACTACCCTGCAGTTGGAGGTCTGGTTCAAACCCTTATGAGCTATGTCGTAGGCGGTGATAGCTCGAATTGGGTTGGAGTTTTGGGCTTGCCCCACTACAACATGAATGATATGCCAGGGGTTTCTTTCTTCGTGGCTCTCCACCTTGCCCAAATGAAGCATGCACGGAAGTTCAGAATGTACGACTACGGAAGTCCAGCGGCCAATATGGAGTTTTATGGATCTCCTGAGCCGTTGGATCTGGGAGAGTATTATGGCTTCATTGACATACCAGTTGACCTAGTTGCTGGGAAGAGGGATAATGTGATTCGCCCCTCGATGGTGATAAAGCATTATAAGTTGATGAAGGGTGCAGGAGTTGAAGTATCGTATAACGAGTTCGAGTATGCTCATCTGGACTTCACGTTCTCCCACAGGGAGGAACTCCTGGCGTATGTGATGTCTCGCATGCTGCTTTTGGAGGGAGTTACGAAGCAGCAACTGCCTTCAAATCAGAAGAGTTTAAAGCTGAAGAAGGAGAAGGTAAATTCTTAAAAGCAAAGTTGTGTGTGTTCTTATTTACTGTTTTTCTCGGAGGATCCCGGATTATGGCATGTCGGTTTTGCGTTCCTTTTTTTCTCTGGAAAGCCAGTTGTCAAGTGGGATTCACCAGCTAGAGTGTACTTACTGGCTTTTACATGTCTGCTTATATATAGGGTGGGAGAATGTGTAGTGGAAGACTTGTACAGTTGTAGTAGAGGGGGTTAGGTCCTTGTTTCCATGTTGTTGTAATGATGTACGCGGGAATGTTAATGCTTGCCTGGATGAAGATGACTATTCTTCTACTTTTTGGTTCTGTTTTTCTTCCCCTTTACTATGATCCAAAGAAGTTTGGTTTGCTTTGTGACCAGTGAGTTTCGATGGTGAGGTTTGGCTGCTTGGATACTTTGTTTTTCTTCCTGAAATGGTGAAATAGAGTATAGCATACAGATTTCTGTTTGCAGTTCACTGCTGGGTGAGTGGTGGAATGCTGATGCACTGCCAAGACACAGGATTCGATTCGAAGCTTGGCTGGCGATCGAAGAAGAGAGAGAGATGGTGCTTACTGTCTATATAAAACATGGTTTTGGAATGCATAATTTTCATTTGATAAAAAGTCTAGACGTGCATAATGCTTAGGAAAAGCTAGACACGATTAATCGACACGAGGCGTCTCATGCTGTCCTATATTTGATGCATTTCACTCCTGTTTTTTTGTTTTGAAATGCAATTTTAGGTCGATGAGACAAAGACTCAGAAGTTAAGAATTGCAACAGTTTCTTCTTTTTCGCTTCATCCTTTTTGCCCTCTGCCCTGCATTTCGTCGTTGGTGATGGCATATCCATAATCCACGAACTTTGTAGGTCTTCTCCAGCTCTAGTCTACTCGACACTCGACAGTCTGTCCTACTCTTTAGCATCATTGACACTATAGAGTGAACACAACTGATGATTTTTATAACTTGTAATTCTAGAAAATAAGTCTCTCCGGAGACATTCGATAATACTCGAAATTGAACAAACTAACGACCACTATTTCAACTTAAAATACATAGGCATCCTGCCTCTCTTTATTGAACATACATCAATATCAATTTACTTTCAGATTTTGACCTATAATAGGCAGTGTTATTAAAGCCGAGCCGCTCGTCCGGTTTTTGTCATTCAGCCGTTAGACTTAATTAAGAAAATTGCTGAAAATTAAAAATTGAAATAAACCAAAAACACCGGGCTCTCAAACTGAATCCTTATTTTCATTTCACAATTTCGAAGGAAAGAGACGAGTTCTGATTAAAAAAAGTCCACTATTTATACTAATAATGTTTAATAGGTACCGGTTCTCTAATGGTTTTTAAACCGGCTAATGTCGGTTGGACCACTAAAGTGCGAGCCGTTCGCATTATCGGGTCATGCTCCGGTTCGATTTTGACAACATTGATAATAGGTCAACCTTTTCTATTAATGGCTGGGATTAGGGTGCTAACAACGCCTAATTTGTTAATATGGTGATAACTCTAACCCTAACTAATAAGAAACTTCACTTTTGGTGCCTTAGTCTATTGAGGGTTGACCCCAATTTAATGCTGATCATGAGGATCACACTTGACATTTTTAAAAATTATTAAAAAAACACGCATATGTATCACAAGTTCCATAGAATATCTAAAAAAACTCAAATAAAAATTACGACAAACCACATAAGAAATAGCGTAAAAAACTCATAAAACTACCATAAATATGCTAAATTACATATTAAAACTCAAAATTGACATAAAAAATTCTACAAACGTACTAGAACAAGAACACTCATAAAACCTTACCTAAAATTTTCTAAAGCATACTAAAAGACTCATGAACTGAGCGGAGCGGTGCAGTTTCGAGGTACTGGGACGGCACGGGACGGGACGGGAGAGCACCAGAGCAGAGTGGAACGGTTGCTGTGGCGGCGGGCTGGCGGCATTTTATTGAGGAGAGTCAACATACGAAGAGAAAAGCGAAGCGAAGCGAAGCTCCCTGAGACGGCGACAAGGCGAGAACAGAAAAAATGGCGTTGGGTTCACGGAAATGGGGTTATGTACGGATCATCAGTGGAACAATTCTTGGTGGTGTTCTTGGCTTCTATGTCATGCACCGCATGGAGCTCAGCTACAAGGTTTTCTAATTGAATTTCTCCATTTCCCCCTGAAATTCGGTTCAATTAGCTCATTTCATCGCTCGCTAGTTGCTTGGAGTGCATATTTTCTTCCTCTACGTGTAATTCGTTGATCTGTAAGGCTGTTTCCCGTAACTGTTTGGCTGATGAGTCTGTTTCATTGCTGGTGAAATAAATACCAGGAGAAAATGAACGAGAGATTGAAGAAATACGAGGAGGAGCTCATAAGGAAAGAAGAGCTGAAGAAGCTCGATGAGTCTCTCTCTGAGTAGCCATGTTGCATTTCATCAGCAATGTGGTTCAAGTTTTAGGTTAGTTTCTAATAGTATTTCCTTAATTCAGTCTTTTCCCCTATGAGCCAGTTCTGTTGTTTATCAGTTCGATCGCGTAGGGCGAATGTGTTATGAATTGTTGACTTGGGGTTCCTTGACTCGGAGCGAGTGATAATTGTTTCTGGTGTTTTTGTACACCCTTTTTGGAATCACTTGTTTCTGTAATCAGTGGCTGTATTGTTGTGGCTGTTGAAGCCTGATTAGTAGAGGGCACTCTTCTTAGATTCGTGTACACTTGTATAGGTAACTAGCTTCATTGGGACGGCGATTTTGCTACTCATTTGGTTGATAAGTAGTTGCTTAGCAACTTAGGAGTGAGCTATTAGTAACTCAGCTAACCATAATTTCAGGTTGCTTGAACTATGTTTTCTGTTCTAAGTTACGAACGTTGGTAGTGCTTTCAGTCCTTCCGCAAGCTCAATGTGCTGGCTATCGTGTCATATTTAGTGACGGGAGATTTGATTCTGTTTTCTTAAATCTCTTCCTTTTGACCTTTTGCTTTTTGTTCAGAAACATGTTTAGAGTATGGTGCAATTGGCATTAGCAACATTTGAGCTTTTATCTCACTGTGAATAAGATAGGCTTGAAACTCTCCAGAAAATGTGACGCTCTGAATCATGGTTCTGTTTCATTGTTGACTATGAGTGAGGATGAAACTTTCTTGTGAGATTCCGGTCCAGAATGCTCCAGGAAACAACGATTTGTATATTCATAATTACTCAAAGATAATGAACAGTAGAGTTTATTTTTACATGGAGTATTAGTAACGGCTGGTTTGGGACTACCTTTTCTTTCTAGGATTCTAGCAAATGAAGTATCTCTTTAAACTATGAGTGTGATCTCGTGGCCTTAAATCGTGATGAAAGGGGAAGATTACAGAAGTGTAGTTGAATGTGAGCTGCAGCCAGTTCTTAAAGGTTTTCCTGGACTGGTTGAGATACTTGGTTGGTCTTTCACATATATATTTTTATGGAAGATTAGACAGATTATATAATACCCTTCCTTTGATTGAAAAAAGTTCTTCTGTTTTCTCTTCAACTCAAAATATGGTTGGTCAATCCTTAGCGATTGCTTTCTCTTAAATTTCTTACTCGCTTAGCGGAGAGAGTATCTTCCAGATTAGAATGGGTGGAAGCTGTAACTACTTAGAGGTAGTGCACCTTTTATTCTGGTAACCATTTAGGGATTGTATTTTCCCTGGAACTAGCCATGAGATACTAAGTAGGACTGGAGCCTGCAGTTCTAGGTCCATAATGTTCAATCTTTAAAATGGTCTAACAGTTATAGGTAACTATTCCATATAAGTAATTATCAAGATACAGTTGTGAAAATCAGGAAATGATAAGATTTTGAGATCGTGAAGCCAACATTATCTATAAAAAGACAATGAAATTACTTCTGTAGATATTGAATGACAGACTTAGAAACAATTCAAGAATATCGTTACAAACTAGTTCTCAAGCTCTGAAATTAAACGCGATATATGGACAGGCAGAGTAATAGCTTTTTCTAGCAAACAAAAGAACAACCAATATATAATAGGATCATATAGAATTCATGTCTTCAATGGTGCTCGTGCCTTTCATTTCCGTGCATATCGATGACTGTGTGGCCTTTGCACTGACTATGGCCATCACCCTGATGATGGTGATGATGATTACTGTGCCCATGATGATCATGTTGATGCTGATGGGTATCACCATCAGGGTCAAACGGATTATCATTCGGTACACAAAGATTGATGGAGTCGTACTTCTCATGCTCATTCGGATGCTTCCCTTCTTTACTCCCACTCATCCCAATAATTGAGCTTCCGAACCCAACTGGATGGCTCACCATTTCCACAGCATGCCCTGAGCCACAGTGCCCACCATGGGCGTGAGAATGAGTGTGGTTGTGTCCATGGCTTTGGTGACTATGCTTATGACCTGCGCCATTTGGGCCGTGGCTGTGACCACTGTGGTCGTGGCTCTGACATGAATGATCGTGGCCGTGGGCATGAGAAGAATGAGCATGGTTGTGATTGTGGGCTCCGTCGTGGTTATGATTAGGTGAAGAATGACCATGGTCGTGGCCATGACTATGGTTGCAAGCTGAATGCCCGTGGCTGTGACTGTGGGATGGATGATGATCGTGCCCATGGCTGTGATGAGCTCCATGGTCGTGGCCATGACATTGACCATGAGACTTTGAGTCCTGATGGTCATGGCTGTGGTTGTGACCATCACAGCACTTACCACTTTTTTGTTGGGAAGTGGCGCCATGCAGGAGTAACATGCTGTTCAAGATCACCAACAAGCAGGTGCCCACGTCAGCCAATACAGCAAGCCAAACGAGCGGGTGCATGGCAACCGCAAAGACGAGCACAGCTGCCTTGGTAGACATCGACATCACGGTGTTCTCGATGACTTTGCGGTAACATTTTCTGGCAAGCCGAATGGCTTCAGGAACTTTACGGATGTCGTTGGACATCAGGATCACGTGTCCCGTCTCTGTGGCAAGAGCAGATCCCGATATCCCCATGGAGATTCCAACATCTGCGGTAGCCAGTGCAGGGGCATCATTAAGACCGTCCCCAATCATCGCGGTTGGCCCTTCAGCTTTGAATTCCTTGATGATCGTCGCCTTGTCCTCCGGCAGCAGCTCTGCCCTCACAGCATGGAATGCATTTCCTAGCTGTACATCATCGGCGTAATGAAGCAGGTGAGTTCTGTTATTCTACCTTACTGATTGAACGCGATCGATGTGAAGAAAGGAAGAGAATTGACCTGTTTTTCTACATGCCACGCTGCAGCCTGACGATCTCCGGTTAGCATGGCAGATTTGATCCCCATTGAGCTTAGATCTTTGAGCGCCTCAGCCGCGCCAGTCCTACAGGTATCAGAAAGGCTGAATTTTCCGACGAGGGTTGATCCAGCATACACATATCCAATAGTCTTCCCGGTGTTGGAGTCCTCTTCCACTGCAGGAACTGCAAATTGTATTCAAGAGCTACTGTCGTCAGGTTATATGATCAAGCAAATTGGTCAGCCAATAACCCTTCAGGTTACGTGCATTACCTGTTTTACAGCCAGCTCTTGCAGCAATCCTCTTGTTCCCTATGTAAATCGCCCTGCCGTCGATCTTCCCATGGATTCCTTCCCCAGGGAAGTTCTGAAAATCCACTACATTGTCAGGGCTCGGCTCGATACCAATCGACCTGCTGTATTCGACCAGTGCCACCGCCATTGGGTGGCTGGACTTGCTCTCGATGCTGGACACCCAGTAAGCAAGCTCTCTCGGGTTCACGTCGTGCTGCTGCAGGCAGTGGAAGTCGGACACCGTGAACTCGCCCGTTGTAATGGTGCCGGTCTTGTCGAAGGCCATGATCTTGATCTTGGCAAGCGTTTCCAGGTGATCGCCGCCTTTGATCAGCACTCCGGCAGTGGCTGCCCTCGTGAGGGCACAGTAGGTGGCGACGGGAGTCGAGAGGATCAGGGCGCAGGGACATGCGCTCACCAGAACCACCAGTGCTAGCCGAAACCAACGGCTCTTGTCGTGGACTTGAAATGCCAGTGGTAACAATGCAATGGCTGCTGATATGATTATAACCGCTGCAAAAAAGAAAGAACGTGGAGTTGAAAAGGCAGTGGAAGGTAATGCGTTCAAAAGTACGGTTATATGTAGAAGCGTGTTGGTGATCTAGAAACGTAAAAGTGTAAATTTTTAAGCACGATTTTGGCTACAACATATGGTATAGGAGTTAGATTGATACCAGGGGTGTAGTATTTGGCACATCTGTCTATAAACCTCTGGGTTTGGGACTTGCTGTTTTGAGCTGCTTCGACGAGTTTCGCCATTTTGGCCACCACACAATCTTCAGCTTTCGATGTGGTCTTGATGCAGATGTACCCTAGTAGTGTTTGGAAGTCAAAACATGAGTGAAAAAATTGAGACAAATCAAGGTGGGCCGGGTGAAAAACGGAGTGGGACGAGACAGGACAGGTTGAAAGTAGTATCCATGTCCCGCCTCGCTCTATTACAAGTCGAGTATTACCTGCTCCAACTCGGATTAGGTCAGATACTATCCGACGAAATGAGTTCAAATTCTGACCAAATTACTTTCTAACATATTGAATAGAGATTGAAGACTTGAAGAAAACTTTTGATTCATACCATTTAGATTAATAGTGCCAGCCCAGACGGTTGAATCAGTTTGCTTGGAAACTGGAAATGACTCGCCGGTTAGAGTCTTTTCATCCACCTCGCATTTTCCGTTCACGACAATTCCATCGATGGGTATGGTTTCTCCGGCCTTGACCGCCAAAATTGTGTTCAGTTCTACTTTGTCTACTTCGACCTCTTCCCCTGTTTCGGCTATGACGGCCTTCTGAGGAGCCATGCTCATGAGGACAGACATCGCCGCTTTGGCCTGTACACGAAAATTTCTCGATCAGTTAATCTCATTAGGATTTAATGGTTACCTGTGTCAAAATCTAGTTGTACTTTGTGGCGAGCGGATTCTGTCAGTTATCAACCAACGTCAAAATATAGTTGTACTTGGCAAGGTAGCAGATCCGGTCAGTAACTAATCACCCATAATTTTTCTCATAATTAAATTTAAAGGGCTATATCTTTTTTGTTTGATTTTTTTTCAAAGAAAAATTAGATTAATAGATTTTCACTTTAATACATTTGGAACAAAAAAATAGGCATATGCTACCAATCTATGTCATGGTGGTCTGAAAATGTATCATGGTGGGACAAATATATCAGTGTAGAATGGTTGTATAGACGATGCTAAAAATACATTAATCATCTTTTACCACTTTTCACCACCATCTACCATCGATTACTAGCTTATATACTAGGTGGTATATTTGGTTTTATAAATTTTCTTTCCAAAATTTTGAGATAAGAATAGTTTATGATAATAAAGATCGTACATAGTGGTACACTGGTACCATTGTGGTAACAAGTGATAATGGTGGTAAAAAAAAGTTATTTAAGAAAATGAATATAATTTTGTAGATCATAGTAAGGTCGTCCCATCCATACAAAATATTTTAAATCTAAATGAAGACAAAGAAAATAAAAGACGATTTATAATAGTCCCACTAAAAATGAAAAAAACATAATCTGATTATGCATGTAAATAATGTAACTGAACGTGTATATAGTTTATATTTTTTTTTTAAGCTAGATAGATATAAACCTTGTGGCTGGCCCTTGATTCCAGCCACTCCGCGATGGTGAAAAGAAACACGATGGTTCCAGCTTCTATATAATCACCCATACCAACAGTTCCAGCCACTGTAAATAAATCAAACCACAAATCATTTAGGACAACAATTAGTATCTGTGCCAAAAAAATTTATTTTGAATAATGAGTTGAAGAGATAAATTGGTGATGATTTTTTTTCGATATAACTTTCGGTACGTACGGTTCCACGATCATTGTTTATTCATACTATATTTTTGTCCCTTTTAGAACTTTAGGCTCAAACTCTGCGTGATAAACACATCTTCTTAAGGACAATCAACAGAATAATTAAAGAGCTGTTGCAGTTGCCAGGAAACGTACGTCAACGGTGTCTTAGAAACCGGCCCTTGATCACTTCGCTATTTTAGTTCTTAATCCTTTTTATTGTAAAGGGTAAGAGGGATTAAATTTGACTTAAATTTGAACTTATTCACGTCGTATTGGCATTATCCACGTAAGAACGTTGATTATTCACGCATATTATTACTTATTCGCGGCGCTGTAAAATGAAATTTCAAATTTTGAAATACATCGAAATGGATGTCATTGTGTAGATTATGATCAATGCAACACATTTTTATAGATTGATTGAGAATCCAAATACAATTCCGTAAAATATCCAATACAAATTATTAGAGGTAAAAAAAAAAAGTCTGAATTTTCATTTACGTGAAATAACTTGCATTCTTACGTGGAATAAGTATGACATTACGTGAATAAACACCAAATGACGTGAATAAGCACAAAAAAAAAATTACGTGAATAAATTAGCTTTGCGTGTTTTGTTTCCTCTACGGACAAGAGAACTTCCTTTACAAAAAGAACTTGAAAGAATGTCTGGAAGCAAAATGCTAACATTTTTTTATGTTTGGTTACCCGATTAATTACTTCGATGTCCTAAAAAATCCAATTAATTCAATATCGATCTTAATATCATTTTCTTACTAAAGTTATGTGATATCTCTAGATTTACCCCGATTACGAAACCCACAAATAGGGGTGGCTATACGGTCCGGTTAAATTGGACCAAATTGATCTGGTCCCAGTCCGGTCTTCTCTGGAATATAAGGACCAAAGATTGGATTGGATACAATCCGGTCTTGACCCGGTCCGGTCCCAATTTGATCTTGATTTTAGGTGTTGGTGGTCTCTTATCCGGTCTTTATCCGGGGTTTTTTACCTCAAATCTAACCCCAAATATGAGATTGGATTGTTTGCTATCCGGTCCCAGTTCGGTCCCGGTCCAACTTATACGATCCGATTTCAGATAAAACCAAACAGTCCGGACCAAATAGTCAGCCCTACCCACAAACATCCACTCAACCTAGCACACACAATATCACTTAATCAAAACCCCCTAGATAAAGAAAACTCCACATAATTACCTGCAATGAGGACGAGGATATTGGTGTCGATCCTCAGACTCCTAACCGAAACCACACACTTCAACAGCACCGGCACAATCCCGACGGCGACGGCTCCCAGCGCCACCCATCGAAACGGCCGATAAGCAAACTGAACAAACGACAGCAGCAGCAAAATCCCACTCCCCATGGCGTACGGACTCGGCCAGTGCTTCTCCGAGCTCCCTTTTCCGTCCACTCGAACATTCGCCTGCAGCCTCGCCCGGTTCAGCGCCTTCACTGCCCACACCACACCACACCACAACAAAATGTCAAAACAATCGGTTCGGATGCATACATTGTCGCGCGCGTTAGGAACCAGTTGGTCTCAATAACTCGAATTAGCTAGTTTTTTTTTACCAATATCGAGGTCGGAAACGACTTGAGCATCGTGGACGACGATGACGGTCCTGGTCGGGACGATGACCGAAACATCCGTAACGCCGGCGAGGGGTTTGAGGATGTTTTCGATCATCGGCACCTCGGAAGAACAGCATATCCCCAGCACATCGAAGTAGCTCTTCTGCAGAGTTTTGGCCATCTTTGAAAGGAAATTCCTATGTATGTGTCACAAAACGCAGAAATTTAGCTCTATTCAGAATCACAACGAAGAAGAAGAAGAAGAAGAAGGAATGAGGATTGTTGACATTGAAGGGAAAATGATTCACCTCCTGACAGAAGAAAGTCTGTCGAAAGTCCCCTGTAGCTCAAGCTCTCTGCTATTTGGCTTTTGGGTCTGGTGGCAGACATCAATATGAAGTTCTGCACAAGTTTTAAGCAGTAAAAAAATCCCCAAGTTATATATGTGTGTGTGTAGGTTTAGTAGAGAAGACAACAGATGGTATAACAGGAAACAACTAATCAATGGTGTAACGACATGGCGCGGAGACAACACACAGATACGGTTAGTTCGAGGTGCAAATCGAGAGCAGAGGCAGAAGAATTCTGTTATACCCAGTTACGTGTGTAAGCCTAACTATAAGAATTCTTTGGGTTTGTAAGTATTTTTATGATGCGGCGGGAAGAAGGAGTTCGTCCTGTTCGATGTGTGGAGTCCATGACACTACTGCCATCACCAGGAATCTCTCCCGTCTTTGTATATCTTGGCAATGAGCTTGGGACTTGTAACTTTGTGGGTGTCTGATCCTGTAAGAGCAAAGGTTGTCAACCCGCGGGTTGACCCGGACCCGGTTGAGCTAGTAGGTCAAGGGTTAATGGGTCACCCGTTTTAGCCCGGAAATATGGAAAGCGTCATTATATTGTACTTATCCTGATAAATTATATCAAATCTCATCTAACATATGAGTTATAATTTATAATATTACACCAAAATAACATTTCGTACTTAGATTCAACATATAGTGAAAATTCACACACACTTATTTAACATTAATATTCAAATGTTCAACTTAGGATTCCAAAGATTGAGTTAGACGAAAAGAAAAATCGGAAAATAGGCGCATTTCGCAAAACAAAGAAAAAAATGACACAATTTGACCTCCAACTCGGTACCTTGTGACGGTCGACCCGACAGGTGCGTGCGGCCCGTTTTTTTCACAGGATCAGGGTCAAAGTGGGTCGACCCGTGGATTGACAACCTTGTGTAAGAGTCTTGTCTGATTCGTCAAATCATCAAACAATACATTATAGAGGTTCTCCTCCTCCAACCTCTTAATCTTACTTTTTCTGGCTCCAGCGAATACCACGGAAGGGGAGTTCGGTCATTTCATTTTTAATTATTAAGGTTTAATCACTTAAGAGGACGGAATGTTTTTAATTTATATGGGCTTGGGTACACCTTCTTTCAGTTCTTTGACTAACCAATGGCTAACTAATAATTATTCATTACATGGGCTACCATTCACAATGTCCATGCAATTTAGGTTATCAATTATTATATTACACACGCCTAGGCCTAACTCTTATTAGACATATAGTCCATTAAATGAGACACTTGTAAAGTGCAGGTTACAAGAAAACCATCGTTTTTATACCGGATCGGATGGTGAACCGAAAAAGTTAGTGATTCATATTTGAACAGAATTAGGGGGTGTATTAAAGATTATGTGTATACTAAAAATGTGTGGTTTTGAAAATTTATTGTTTGAAACCCATACAAGAATGCATGGAATATAGTTTAAGTGAACTATAAATACTGAAATCTCACCAAAAAGGTAAGATTATGAATACATCATTTTCTATGTATTAGGAATACAACATGAATTATGAAGACATGCATTTTGTTATTACATCAAGTCAAAAAATGTTGTATTCTCATGATACATGTATACTGAGAATACAATACAAGAGAGAATAAGAAGAGGAAATTAATAATGGAGATAAATGTATAACTAATGGAGATGAAGACATTAATATTGATGCACATGGTGATGTTGCTCATGTCGGAGGAAGTGCAAACAAGTCAAAATGAAAATGTGCAGTAATCTTTGACGATGGGGAGTAAATAGAAGGGTGATTTTAAAATGTGTTTAGGAGTCAGTCCATATTTTTCTTTCATTTTCGTAAAAGGATTTTAGTCGATGAGTTAGTTGCGTACAATGTCGAAAAACACTATTTAAATATTTTAAATTGTTGAAGTGCTTTAATAATTTGGATTCTCTTATTCTATCAAAAAATTTGAATGTTTCAACTATTTGAATATTTTAGCTTTGCTTATACTATCAAAATTCACGTATCTCACATACAATTAGATAATATAATTCATGTAATAGGGGATTGAATCCGGCCAACTGGCCGGGCCCGTGACTAGTTTCTATAGATGTAAATTTATAAAATTGGGCTACTTACTTTGTCTCTCTTTGCTTCTTGACCCTGTTTGACGCTCTAGAGTCGTGCTGGATAAGTCGAGTTGAGTTAGTGACTCGGCCCAAATCAATCAACAACACTGTTTTTTTTTATTATATTATGGTACTCTAATTTATTTTTCTTACAAGTTACAATTTAGTACTTGAATTTTTTTCTTGCAAACATATTCTGAAATTTCATGGTAAATTTCCATTTTAGTACCCTTTTTTTTTACCTGGTATTGTAGTGCCTAAACTTTTAAACATTTTGTTTTAGAAGGGTGATATATGTTTGGTTTTAGTAAGGTGTTACTAAAGGATTCAAACCTGAGACCTTCAGGTTTAAGACCAGTTGGACCAAGACCAAATTCTTGTTCGCCTAAACTTTTAAACTTTACAAACAGGTCCAATGTGTTGGTTTCGTATCACTAGTTGTTGCCATGGGTCATAGAGGCAAAAAGTGACCCCACCCTACCCAACTCTTATAGGATAAAAACGGATCCGACCCTAAACTGACTCTGTAAACAAATTGATCCAATTCGACCTTCAAGGTCGGGGAGGGCCATGTCATTGGATATCCTAACTTCATGGTTGTGGCAACTCGGATACACAAATAGGGCATGAAACAACTACTCTCTCCATCCTAATCTAAAATTAGGGCCAACCAGTGATCTCCTTGATCTGCAGTCATGCTTTACTACTGCTTCCTAACCCAAGGAAATGACAGAATATTAAGGAGGCCACGAAAAGGAATCCAAGCCCTACTCAAGTAAATATCCAAAATTACAATTCACAAATCGATTACCATATCCATTCTCGAGTATTCATCTCTACCAGAAACAGAGCACCCCACATCCAGCCTCCTACAAGGCATTCCAGGTATAGAATGAAGTAATGTAACATCTGAAAACATAGCTCTCCAAAACCTCATCAAAATCCATACCAGCACAAGGGTACACAATGACGATGATGCCTCGACAATGTACAAGGACAGTGAAATCAGCACCGAGTATTAATGCAGAATGCAGCCTCATACTCGATACATTTTCTTCAAAACAATTACAATGAGTCTACCCCCTTGTATTTAGTTTCATACAAATGCAAGCATCCATGTCATCTGAGTCTGAACAAGGTTAAGTCATTGGAATTGCATAAGAGGGCAACATGTAAGCTCCATCACTGCTACGGGAGACGATGACCTCACATCTCTGAAGCGAAATGGGAAATGGTTTCAGCATACCAGATCCCAGGAGGTATGGTAAGACTGCATGATACAATGATGGTGGTGCTCATCTAACCATGAACAAATGACAAGCTCGAGAAAGAACACCGCAACCAGTGGAGAACACCAGAAATGCTTGGGTTACAAGTCATTCAACCATTCAGCAGTTTAAAGAAGAGTTTTAACCAGGCGTGGTTTAACTTTTGTAACCTGTCATGTAGGGGAACCAGAAGCTGGCTTATCAAAGGGGCATTGTATCTTCTACATTTCCTCGCAGGAGAGCAGCCCTTTCCGGGTTCATGAGCAGAAGCTGTTGCATATCCTTGGGAAGAACATTGAACACTGCCTGCAGATCTTTCGTCAGCTTTTCGAAAGTATTTGCAGCAGGGTCACTAACCTTTCCCAACTTTGACACCTGGAGATACCATCCATCCATCACAATTAACAAGACCACTTGGAAATTGTCCAACTAAGCTAATAAGAAACACACAGCTCCATTTGTATTTACTTCAGAGTCAATGGCACATAATTGAACATTAAATGTAAGGACAGGAAAGCAAACTCGGTAAAAAGGCACTGCCACAATCCAGCCACAGCAAATGGGGAATTTCGTCCGAAAGGATTGCAATTAGGTAAGAAATTTGCGAAAATCCTAAATCCCCTTTTTGGCCCAATGTTTTGAGAATTGCCGGAGTCCATCAAAGAGGTTTTATTTTCAAGAATCTAAGAGAGAGATGGAACCCTGACATACAAAGTTTTGGTACCAAATCTAAGCGAAAGGTTATCTTCGACTTAACAAAGTACTGATGCACATAAACTACCTGGACTCGCATTCTTTGCTTGTTGCCCCAGCCTTGCAGTGCTCTTATTAGGCTCTCAAAGGATAAGTTTAAATTCAAAAGCAATGCTAAACAATCAAGAAACTTTCCTCTGGAAACAGAAAGTCCAAAACGATAATGACGAAAAAAGAGTTGTGTTGTTCAATTTGAACTGAAGCAGAACATCAAAACTTATATAGCTAATCCGCCGTAGCAATTTACTGAGATTGCAATCTCCACAGGAATAATGCATATAGAGATCTTGTCTTGAACAGGACAAGATCCCATAAATAAGGCCAGTCTGAAGATTGAAGAAGCTAATATCATAAGGAAAAACATTGCAAACAGTAGAGACCAGCGACCAATATCCCCTATCGACTGAAGCATCTACTGAAAGGCTGTAAAGGTTCTTTCAAAGCTACAAAGAATAAGAAGGATGAATTCATTTTTAGCAGACTAGCCTCAATAAGGAATCAATTACATGTTTACTAGCTCAAGTTTGAAATTTATATGCATTCTAAGTGCAGGTGCAGCCAATCACACTACAAAGACAACAACTGATAATTAGGATTCTATAGACACCCATCAGCGATCATTAATAACAAAAAATGATAAGCACTTGTCTCAGCATTCTACCAATGGATTAATTCAGTCTTATCATGGCTGCTTAAATATCCCCAGGTTTCAAACAAGCAAATATAACGTTGACAGTTATTTTATATATATATATATAAGGTTGATATAGGTTTACTTTTTGTGGTCGGGTGCTACTTAAAACAAAGGAAAATGTTCACAACTCATTGTAGGTAGCAGGAAGGATAGATAAGAAAGTAAACAAGTATTGGTCACCTCCCAATTTAAAGAAATTAAATGTGTGGCATTACCTGAAGTTCCCACTGAAGGTGCCTCTCAACGGCATTGAAAGAATCAACAATTTCCAGTTCAGACATCTTTGATATGAACAGTGTTATATCTGTGGTCATTCTTGCTTCCCTCCATAATCTATGCTGCTCTTGTTCGGCAACAGCTCGCCTTCTCTCAAACCATGGCATAAAGTTTGGCCCTTTCAGGAACCGCCTGAAGAACAATGCAAACTATGTAAACTCTAAGCAAGCATTCTTCTAAAACAGAGTAAAACTAAGTTAAACTAAACTCAGAATTAAAAGAGGTCTACAATTAAAAGGGATGATAAAGAGGTATAATAGCAATTCAATGCTGTTACCTGTATAAATCCAGCCAATTAGATCGCATTCTTTTTGAAAGAAACTTCCCTGCACCTCGTGCTGATAAGCTTGCCAAAAATTCATCAACGTTAAATTGAGGGAGAGGAGGAGGATCAACAAATGGAGAAGATCCTTCAGATGGCGTTGTAGCTCTCAAATATGGGCCGAAAGGGGCCAAGAAGTTAGTGGTGAGCTCCAAGAAATGCCTGCGTAATATCTCATTGTTGACAACTGACATGGACTCCTCAACCCTTGGTGACATCCCAGCATCAATGAGCCTATTAAGGATCGAAGTATCTGGCTTGGTTACTGCCGTATAACTTGTCCAAACGGCTTCCTTATGTTCTGTCATGAGGGAAAGAGGGCCTTCTCTCCTTAACTTAACAGCACTCAAGAAACTTGAAGGCGAAAACTTTTTAAAAGATATCTGCTGAAGACCAGATCCTTCTGGTCTTGCAGGAACCCCACCGGAAGAGAACCTATTTGAAATGGGTTGACGACTAGAAATCCCTGCAGGGGTTCCAACTGACACAATATGACGAATATTGCGAAGAGATTTGAGGAAGAAAAGGTTTGTCACTCCCAATATCATTGGAGGAAAAGTGTCACCCTCCTGAAGGGAATTCAGTCGAGCGAATCCTGGATCATGAATGGTGAAGTAAGGCCTAAAATCAACACTGAACAACAATGGTGCAACCAAACTAACAAGACTTGCAACTGCTTCGCTGCATTGAGGCGGCGTAGGTCCTATGACAAGAATAGGTTCACCAATCAACAACAACTCCCACAAGACCCACAGTTGCAATAGAATCCCGCGGAAAATACCAAATATATCAGAATCATGGAAAAGCCCTTGTGGGATCGATTGATTAGTTGGAAGCAGAGGAGCCATTGATGAAGAAGATTCCTCATGCTTTCCATTGTCCAAAGGTAAGCTATGGGCAGGGGGCAAGTTAACTTTAAGCATCGCATTGCCAATAGGAAGCTCCATTAGCTTACCAGGTAGAGGAGCAGGCCACATTGACACGTAACTAGCAATATGCTCAAGGGCCTTCTTTCCTATGTCAAAATATAATGGACCCATTATCTGTAGCAAAGGTCTGAACACAGAGGAATAGGGCCTGTGAGATAATATAACCACAGATTTCTGTTCTCCTCCTCGCTTTAACCTTTCATCATGTCTCTGTCGGTTGAACACGTAGCCATACAGGTATTTATTACCCCTAGCGTTATTGCTGAGTTTGGATTTCACCAATTCATGTGGTAGCTCTGAAGGTAGACTTTTGCCATTGTGTTCTTGGAAACCAGATGACTTGACATTACTTGGTGCAGAGCCTTGCCGCCTCTGGACACGGAAGAAGAACATGCAATCATGAATGCTTGAACGGTTCTGGTGCTGAGAAACAGAATCCGGAAAGGAACTGAAAGCAACATCAAGTTCTTCCTCACTTGAGAGATAACCAGATGGATAACACTCTTCAATCAGCTGACCTTGTTCCAGATCAAACCTAATCACACAAAATGCAACAGCCCATTGCTGCAGAGATTCTGGGTCAACCTTTACGCTGGATTCTGACTTAACTGAAAAGGATGGAGATCGATTCATGTCTGGAAATCCAATGCTCTATCTTCATCCCTCAATTTCGCAAACATTCCCCATCTTCCATCACAGTTCTGCTTGTGTTCCTGGTATACAATAAGTGTTTGCTGCCACCAAGAAGCTAAATTAAATGCAACAGAAGTGACCCCAAATCCCTAAAACAGCCAAGAAATTTGTAATCAGGCGTAAACCAAATTCACCTAAATCATATATCTAGAAAGCTACAGCAACGATGACTGCTTAGCATTGAAAAGAATTCAATTTTTACCCAAAAAAAAAAAAAAAAGAATTCACAAAGTCTTGCTTGCCATCCATTTCCCAGCTATGTTCCCGGGGACCAATCTAAAAGACGGCAGGGTTCCAATCAAGATCTAAATTATCCGTTCAAAGAAACTAACCTTGGAAACGGGAAAGCAGTCGCAATTCAAGCACATAACAGAACAAGATCAGCCATCAATTGGGCACTCAATTAGGGCAAAAAGAGCAAGCAGGACTTCCCAAAGAACAGCGGGGAAGAAGAGAAATGGGGATCTTCTGCGGGATCGCTGCGGTATATGCCAGATTGCTACAAACTGACGGGCAGAGGTTACACAAAGCTGGAGAGAAACGGAGTGTCGAAGCAGAGTAATCGGACGTTGATGGAGATACAGACGAATTAAATTGGAACACCACTCGCGCAGTAATCAAATTGGTACTGGAAAAGGAACGGAAGCCGTGAAGGACGACGAGTAGACTACTGGGTATGCCGCAATTTGCATCTATCCATGGTATTGTCTGAATCTGCAAAAGAATTTCTCGATTTTGTTTGAGTTACTCAGTCATGGCCAAAATGACGACGTAAAAGGTTTCACCACATTGAAATTTTTACATCGTCATTCTAAAGCACTAAGTAATGAGGGATAGTTCTTTTCCTATTAGAGAAGAAAACATAAGGGATTTTTTCCAAACTTGCCACTAAAAAAATCTTCAAAATAGTATTGTTAATAAGAAATTTCCAAACTATACATGTTTGGAGCAAATTGTTTGGATACAAGCGATACGTTCAGTGATCGAAACACGATAAACTCTTCATTGCTAAAAGAGGAAGCGATGCACATGAATTTACAAGCAATCAAAAGTTGTATCGCCAACCAGCTCAGCGATCTGGGTGCATCACTATGGGCAAAGACGACTAGGCGGTAGCACTCGAGATGCAGTAAATACATAAAGGTTAGGATATAATATCATATTCCAAAATTGGTTTAATTCATGATTAATATAGAGATATCCCACTAGGAGTATCTGGAGTGTCGTATGCTCAGGAGTATAACAGCCTCACCCATATATATATAACCGACTATTGTATGACCTAAGAAACCTCTAGGATTATTCAACCTATACAATATATAACCGACTATTGTATGACCTAAGAAACCTCTAGGATTATTCAACCTATACAACTAACAAATTAACCACTCATAGGGACAAAATTTAGGGAGTACATCATTCTAGAAGACGATATACCTAGCTTTTGTGAAATGAGGTATATTTATAGCACATTCCATTAGGCTTTCTTACATATATTGTAGGGCGAAAACTCATTTGCTTGCATATCTTCATAATATTTTTAGCTTAACCTCCAAGGAAAGAATATTCGAGTGAAATCAAGATGATCTCCACCTTCTGGAAAATGGCGCCTTTGGCGCCATTCGGGATTTTGGTCGACAATCTAGGTCGCCATTTTTGGTTTTGGGCTCCAGCTTCACTTCTAACTTCCAGTAATTGGGTCTTGATATATCCAACTCATACAAGGTGTACCACTGGGTGTTTTGGCATGAAAATACAACAAAAAAAAAATACTACCCAAAATGTATCGAAAGTATAAAAACATCTCTAACTTGAGTGGCCAAACTCCCTCTTCTTTGGGTGCAACTGGCCAAACTCCCTTTCACTAACCTGAGTGGCCGATCAACCCTTAATGATAGGCGGCCACCTCTCTCTTGCATAGGTGACCAGCCAGTTTTCAACAGGCTAGGTATCAATGCAAACATGTACCAAGCCCTTCAATATAAAATTTGGCTCCAAAAGACAAAACTTGGAATCCTAATGTTGGTGTACCAAGCCAATAAGACGAGTTTGGTGGCAAACTGACAGGATCTCAAGCTGATAAGGTGATGAGGTATCAAATTTGTGACACAACTTTATGGCAAGACATCCAGGTACCAAGTCTAAGATATCAACTTGACAAAATGAAACCAAAAAAACTAACTATGGAGATCAAGCCGACAATAAGGGCTTGGTGGTGAGTAGAGGTGGCAAATGGATTGGATTGGTGGATTGGATTGGTGGATTCATGGATCAAATGGATTGGATCAAATGGATTGGTGGATTCATGGATTGGATCAAGTGGATTGGTGGATTATCCATGAATCCAAATGACATCCTCAACCAAGGACCAATATGTAAAATGTAAAAAGTTTAGGTACTAAAATATCATAATGAAAAATTTAGGTACCAAAACGTAATTTTCCAATGATATTTTTCGTATAAAAATTAAATTTTAGGTACCAAAATGTAAAAAATAAAAATTATAGGTACTAAATCGTAATTTGCCAATGATCCATGGATCCAATCCATGAATCCACCAATCCAATTGGATTTAGATAAAATGGATTGGATTTAAATGGATTGGATTAGTTGGATATTTTTAATGGATTGATGGATTGGATTGGTGGATTGGATTGAAATTGCCACCTCTAGTGGTGAGCTAGCAGGGTACCAAGCCAGCATAGCGACAAGATGTCAAGATATTTTCCAATGCTTGGTGACTGGCTCATCGAGTAGGGGGTTATGCAACAATCATAACTTCTCAAGACTAAGTATAGAACCTCGGGGGGTGGAGAATTTTTAACAAAGGTACCAAGTCGATGATACTTGGTGTCGAGCCCTTTGAGGGCCATATGGAGACTATGTTGGCAAGATAGGGTTTGGTGGGAAGTTGATAGGGTACCAAGATGACAGGAGGGACTTACTAACAAGCAAGGTTCAAGAAAGCGCTAGTTGTAAGACGAGCGTTGAGGCTCTGCCTTGTGCCTAGCATGCTTAGGTGTCGCCTACGCGTGCCTAAGCATTAGATGTAAACGTAGCATAATATTTTGGGCTAATACCACTACAACACCCGAACTATTCCGAAAATGCCACTTGTGTCCTATTGTTTCCAATATTCCATCTGTGTCCTGAACTATTATTCTGTTAGTGTTGACCGTTAGTATTTAACAGAAAATCCAGTCAGCGTTGACATGGCATCTGACGTGGAATTTTCATTATCAATTTTTATTTATTTTTCCATCTAAAATAATAAAAACAAGGAAAACAAAATGAAAAATCCCAAAATCTTTCCCTCTCCCTCTCCCATCTCACAATCGACAGATTCAATCCCTTAATTCAATCCCCTTCCCTCTCCGAGCTCCAGATTGACGGCTCTGTTGGAAGTCACCGTTCTCATCCACCCACTACTCCCTATCTGATCGGCGTCCAGAGAGCTCGAAATCTTCTCCACTGTTCGTTGCTGTTGAAGAGATGGTGGATACAAATTCGGCGAAGAGCGAGAAGCCCAGTTGGCGGCGGCGAGACCCGATCTATACGTGGCCGATGGGAAGCGACGGCGGCTCCAGATCTTTCCACTCTCCATGGCGACGGACGGCGCCTTCCAAGTGGCGATCATCGCACTCACCGTCACCGTTTTCGTCGTAATCCAGATCTTCTCCACTGTTCGTCGTTGTCGAAGAGATGGTGGATTCAAAATCGGCGAAGAACGAGAAGCCTAGTTGGCGGCGGCAAGATTCGATCGATACGTGGTTGATGGGAAGCGGCGGCAGCTCCAGATCTTTCCACTCTCCATGGATATTCCTATCCAGGCAGCGAGCCAACAACCATACCGCCCTCCAGTCCAATCGACACTTCATCCAAGGTTCCCAATTCCTTGCCCGAGCAGGATCCGCCGCCGCAAAGAACTCCTCCCAGTCCCAATCCCTAGCCAAACAGCCACAGCCACTGTTGCCTTCTCCTTCTCCTTCAACGTCATCGATTCGGATTCAAGAACTTTCAACGATGGTGATAGATTCCAGATGGAGAGGGTTGAGGAAGCGAGGTCGTTGTAAGAGAAGCTTGTCGTGGGGGAAGGCGGCGACGAGATATCGTTGCCATAGATGCTGATTTGAGGAAGGGATTTGAAGGTGGCGCCGATGGATAGAATTGAGGGCGGGGAGCGGGTTGAAGGCGACGGTGGGTAGAAAGTGATTTTTTAATTATTTTGCATTTTATTTTGATTTTGAATTAAAAATTATATGTGGTATGATGTGGCATCTACGTGGATGCCACGTTTTCTTCCATGTCAGCAAAAGTCAACATCTCTTTGACCACCGTCAGGTCAACCGTTAGAGATAACGGTCAACGAAATCGCCAGGATACAAATGGCACAAAGTATCATAGTTCAGGACACATATGGAATATTGGAAACAATAGGACACAAGTGGCATTTTCAGGATAGTTCGGGTGTTGTAGTGGTAATAGCCGTAATATTTTTCACTTGCATAGAATTACAAGTTTATGAACCAAATATCATCACATCCGCCTCTAAATTCAAAACTTTCATCAACACATGGTAAAACATATAACATAGTGTGGAGAAATGAGTAAGGAAGAAGAAGCTGGAAAATAGCACGCATATTGAGACGAAGAAGAGCAAAAAAGAAAGAATGGTCGTCTCTAAATATATTTTAGCTTAACTGTGGGAATTGAGACCGTCTTACCCAGTATCATATCAAAAAGTAGAAAAAATGACAAGTTGACATCATTTTGAGGCACAACTCAATGCTGACTAGGCGCCACCGAGGCTACAATGTGATTGTGACGCCTTCTCCACGGTTTTTTGCCAATGTAATGTGTTTTCCTTCTGGCTTGCGGCTAGGAAAGTTTAGGCGAGTGTCTAGACTTGCTTTTTAGAATCATGCTAACAAGATGGTAAAACTAACTTGTCAGCAGGGCGATAGGGTATCAAGTCCAAAAGACGGGCTTGTACCGTGATGATAAGTTAACACCATGACAAGTTCCCCACAACTAAATGTGGAGTTTTGGTGGAGGAGAAGGGACTAAGCTCTCAGCCCATCAAGGTGGCTAACGAGGCCTAGCTAAAATGTTTGTTCATTGAGGTGGTTGGCAAGTCAATGATGCAAACTATTCAATGAGACGAGGATGGTACCAAGTCGATGTGGAAGAGGCTACTAATTTATATCATCAAGGTGGTAGTGATCCTAAACAATAAAATGGTGTGGTTGAGGAGGTTATCAAAATGAGAGCAACAAAAAATCTCATTGTGGAGCCATTGAGGGTATCAAGGTGTGATAAGTGTTTCATTGTGGATGTAAAGCAAGAAGGCTTCAACCCCATCTAGTTAGTACAAGGCGGCAAGACTTGGGTGAGTTCAACTCTACACCAACCCCGGCTGGACGTCAAGGCACCAAGACAAAACCATCTAGTCACCAAGATGGGACGTGAGGTCCCAAGGTGGTGGGAACACCCATAAAAACGACAGTTACCAACTAGTTATGAAGGCGACAATGAGGACCTAGAGGCGGTTGGATCAACCTGCAAGTCGGCGATTACCAAGGAAGTAACAGCTGATGAATATAAATAGGAGGAATAAAGTTTGTAAAAAAGATTCTTAAAACGAGCATTTTAAATCACATGTCAAACTTTATTATTCTCTACAATGTAGCTGTAGTTGTACCTTTTAATTTCTAGAGCTCGCACTCAACCTGTATAAGAGTAGAGTAATTTAACTTAGTTTTTTTAGCCATAAAAATCATCAAATACCCTCGTTCAAATATTATTGAGAAAAATGTGTTATTAATTGTTGTTCTAAAAATCAAAGTGCAACCAGCAGTTTAATGGGAACGAAAGAAATAACCAGTAGTTTAATGGGAAGAAGTTGGATGAGGAAGAGGTAGCTATGAGAGCCCAAAACTGGATTCTAGAGTATAGACATGAACAACAGGCAGCGGGGAGAAGAAGGGAGCAAGATACAAGGAGAAAATTTTGGCAGCCACCGGGGATGGGTATCGTGAAGGTGAATACTGATGCTGGGTGTTTGGGAGAGGGAGGAACAGGATTGGGCATGGTTGTGAGAGACTGGACCGGAGCCTTCAGGTATGCAGCAGTGAAAAGGGAAGCAGAGAGATGGTGCCCAGCTGTCGCAGAGGGTCGAGCTGTGTTATTTGCGCTGGAAAAGATGAATGAACAACAGATGGGCCCCTTTGAAGTCGAGTCGGACTGCTTAACATTGGTGAACACCTTGCGGCAGCAGAGAGTCGACTTGACAGAACTTGGAGCGGTGTGCGAGGCCATTCTGCAGGCGGAGGGCGTTGAGGATTGTTACGCTTGGAAGCATACTCATAGAGAAGCTAACACTGTGGCTCACACTTTAGCACATGTTCAGGTTGATTTAAATCATTGTAATAGTTGGATAGGTATTTCCCCATCGTTCCTTTTGAACGATCTGTACCTGGATTCTAGCCATTTGGCTTAATTAATAAAATTACAGGAGGTGCGGTCCCTCCTTTCCCTCAAAAAAAATCAAAGTGCAACCCATTAAAATTCTAAAAAAAAAAACTTCCTAACTATAACAACTATCAAGTATTTAGTAATGATACAATTAACTGCTGGTTTCTTAATTAAACCGGCTGGATAATATCACCGTTGTTGCCGCCGTCGCGGGAAACCGGCTTGGCTAAGTACGTCGGGTTGCAGTCTCCGGCCAAAACAACAACAATCTTGGGCTCTAAATCCACCAGCATCCCGTCACCTTCTTTGCTAACGTTGTTGGGTTTCTGAGCTTGGCCGGAATTACTGTTTGGCCTTCTCCGGTAAGAGCATACGAGAATCATCAACGCAATGGCAATGATTCCCATCATCAGAGCTAACCCACCAAAAAGATATCGGTGAGTTCCAGAGTCGGAATCTGTTGACCACGTCGGCGCCGGCAGCTGTACTCCCCGTTGATTGGCTTCCGGTTGGAATTGAAGCGGGCCTCATTTGAATTTTGTTGTGGTTTGTGTGGCGTTTTGCAATGTAAATGAGAGAGATGTGAGGAAGGTGGGGGTATTTATTGGAGTGGTAGTGGGTGGTGTAATAGTAATCATTTGTGAATAAGAAACCTTGAATTAGTATTGCTTAATTGGATTATAAGAAAGAAATTACATTGTAAATAGTGCATGAGATTGTATCGGAAAAGTCAGTGGTAGGGTATTTTTATATTGAAACGTGATTTAATTGTGGTTCAACGGTTTCATACTACTCATTACCGCCTATCGGTTTAGTCTCGAGTAGGAAGTTTTTCTGGTCTAATTGCCGATACAGTACGACCTTTAATCCTGGATTTCTAGTCTTTTTTAATGGGATACTGTTTGTTGGTGAGAAAACCTTTGTTCGAAATCAACGGTTTGCAGAATTTTTTAGTAGCAATTAATAACACGGTTCACTTATCTTAAAACAAAGTTCAAACGTGGGGTGTTTGATGTTTTATATGGCTTTTGTAAATAAGTTTAAGTTACTCATGCTCCTATGAAGGTCAGTGAGAACTCCAAACTAAGAGCTATGATGACTACATTTTTACTGATAAAAGGTAAGTATTTTATTAATCATTCAATTTAAAATGTTGATTATTACCATTGTCACCCATCGTATCCGAGTATCCGTATATAATTCTAAATACCATAAACAAATAAAAATAAGCATGACATATCATGCAACCAAAATATAGTTGACCTAGCAATTTGGTATTATAATTATCTAACATACCATATAAATCTCAGGAACGGAAGCATATATTAAACAATGGGGTCCGATTAACCCCGTATGTGACACTCCTAGCTCCTGTCAAACAAGGTTAGCTTAAGACTTGGTTAGAGTGACTCATACATACTACGAAAGAACAAAAAATCGTGTGTTAGATCTCGAAACACATTCTCTTATATTCCTCTAACATGCATGAGCCTTAGAACTCATCAATCCTAAGAGCTTAATCACTTTCAAGATGAAGATTGCATTATCCTTTTCCTCATTCTATCATCTTGTAATTCTGTAACAACGTTTTATTTTCAACGCAATTATTTATCATGATCCTTTTGACGAATGTGAATTGAGTAAATCCCTTTGTTTCCAGTAAGTTTCTCTAATTACCTGTGGAATAATAAGCATGTAAAATATGTTCCACGACCTCGTAAAAGTCTAGTGTTCCGTACGCGGCCACTATAACTCATATACATGAAAAAATAAGTCATATTTTGGACGACGGCTTTGAATGTTTAGGTGTTGTTTATGTTTAATAATCAAATCGTTTCCATAGTGGGTCGTTAGGTGATAATTAACAAAGAAAAACACAGACATGGTGGTTCAAAAATGTTTGTTTCTTGTAGTACTGCTGCTGTCGCACTGTTTTGCCTTTTTGGGCGGAGGAGAGGAAGGCGAAGCCAATTACATTTCTCTCGCCTTTGAACATTGGCGGAAAGGTTGCTTGAAATTTGTCGCAGGGGACATAGATGAGTGCGATAGTGGGGCGTAAAATTGGCACACAAGTTGTTGCATAGTTCTGTTTCTGTGGGCTTGAGAAGGCAAATCCACGGGAGTGCTTTTCTGCATCATTATTCGTGACTGATAGGGCGCAGAAATAGACCCAATGATCATTTGATTTTTTGGTATGGTTTGGATTAGATTGTGATTTTCCGAACCAAATCTTATGTAGACCCAAACTGACTTCTTAATACGTGTTAGCAGCCTACTCGGCCACTCTTTTAACTTTTCCCAACGAGACCCAAGTCTCAACTCTAATCTTGAAAATCTCGTTTCCTCCTTCATTCGCGACCACTTTTCACCAGAGAGTAGAGACGATTGTGTCTCCATATGACATTATGTTAATGTTTATGGCATTATGATGCAAGTTATGATGCTTTGATTTTGTATCTTTGTCATTTACTGAGATTTAGGTATCAAAATTATTCATGCATGCATGTTGGACTTCATGTTTTTAAGGTAAAAAAATATTTTTTTTTTTGCGGTTATTGCTTCAACTTTTCGTGTAGTTGACTAAATAAATTGTTCATTTTTTGTTCAATCTGGTCTATCTGGACTAGATCGCATAGGCGTGGTCTGGTCAGGACCGTATAAAATGGGGTCTGGTCTCTAGTCTATACTCCAGCCTCTTGGTCTGGATCGTAAATCGTATATATAGTTTGGTCTGGATCAGACCACATCGTTTCCCAACCCTAGTGATTGAAGAATTTTAGACTAAGTATAATTCGATCAGGTGGCGTAAGACAATGCTACTCTAAATTTGAATTTTTTTCGGGACGGGAAGTCATACCACTACTTGAAGAATATAATTGTTATCTAGTCGAGAGTTTAGTGTTGTTTTTAATTAGCTCTATCTTACGTTAACTAGAGAGAGAGAGAGTATTTGGAGATTTTGATTCCCCTATCCTAGCTTGATGGAGATTGCAACATAATTGATATTCATGGGTTCAATTATAGTATCTCAGGGTGCAAGAATACCTAAAGACACAATTGGGGCAATGGTCACTTATGAGTTATGACACGTGAGAAGTACTCTTTTAGACACTCCATATTATGAGCAGAATTTCATGATTTTCATACTTTTATCGTCATAATATATTGGATTTGCCACGTGATCGCTCAAAGTGTACCTAGTAGCACTAGGCTTGATTTTATCAATTTGATACACTCTTGGTAGTGTTCTGTGTGTTCTCTGGGTATAGCTACCTAGTGGACCACTTTGGACATGTTAGGGGTCATAAAGACTCAACTTAGTACTAGGAGCTAGGAGCGGGAAATGAAGAGAGGACAAAAATAGCATCGGAATCGATCGCCATATCACTAAAGCGGTGCTCAGGGTGACGCTTTGAGCCTCATCTAGAAATCACCAGAATGTTTAAGGAATATGCTTTTCGTGGTGGCCAAGCTAGAGGAGGTCGATTGGGACTTGAAGACGCATTAGATTACCATCCTCTCTCCCCCCAATACCCTTATAGGAAGTCTATAAATAGACCTTTGGGGGGAGTTTGGTAGCTAGTGATATGAGGCATTAGAGGGTCGTTACTTTGCCGATAAAGTGACTCACCCAACTTAGAGCGCCGCTAGTTACCAGAGGCAAATTTGGGGCTATAATCGGCGGCCTTGTCCCCAAAATCTCTGTGTGTGGACGGATTTATAGAGCTCCTAGGGATTCTCATCTTGAGTGATGTATCCCAATATCCCATGGATCTCGTCCACATGGTTGGCTAGTTCTCTTAGTTGCATAGGTGGGTGAACCCTAGAGTTTCTAAACTTTGTAATGTTCTATTTTGATTCCTTTATCGTATTGCTGGTTTCTTTTAGGTTATCAGTTGTCTATTAGAGACCTTCATGAAGCATAAATCCTTTCGATATGGATGCCTTGAAACCCTAGTCACATAGGATGAAGACTGAACACGACCATCCTATACGATCGATCTTCAACCGATTGAATTGCGTGACACCTCAAGCGAGAAATATGTAGGGTCATGTTGCCTACTAGTTTTGGTAAATGTTGCGACACTAGGTAGAAGTAGATATCACGAGTATCAAGCAGCTCATATGTTGTGAAAATTGACTTTACGAGTCTAAAGAACTCTAGGAGGAATTTGTCTATACAACTCCTACTCTCCTAGTCCTCCTTCTTCCTCCACTCGTCAGTAGCTTAGTTCTCCTTGTTACACTGTTTTAATTTTGTAAAACAAAAGGGAACCTCAAATCCGGAGGCTCCTCAACCTCCACAGTCGCATTTTCAAACCATAGAACTCTTCCTTCACCACCTAAGTAAGTGGTTGTGAGAGATCCTAGGAAAATACGATTTTGGTCTTTAAATCATGTAATTTTGACCACTATTACAATCGTGATCAGTCACAGTGGTGAACCTAGAAATTTTACTTAGGGGTTCCCTCTTCTAACATTAAAATAAAATATTTAAAAATTTTAATTTCATAAATTATAACATACTCGGCCACTACAAGTTATAATAAAATACCACAGCGTGTTTTCATTTTTTGAAAAAATTGTAAAAATACTAAGTGTCTATGGTGCTTAAAAAATCTCTTTCAGTATCCCCCACTAAAAAACATTAATAGACTGATCACTTATTCCATTCTGAAACTTGTTCTTGATGTAACTCAAAGGTAAAAAAATCACTTTCAACACTTGCAATTGCAACTGCTAAAACCAATACAAGTTTGAGAAGCATATAATCTGATGAATATGAATGAATCATGTTTGTCTTCACCATTTACTAAGCTAATTCATCAATTCCTTTTAATATAAGGAATAACTCATCATTTTTTATACTATGATATTAATTCTCAAAATACCATAGAATATGAGTAAAAAAGGTGACCAAACCCATTAGGAGAAAATTGAGCAAGGCTTATTAGCTTCTCTTTGAATCAACAAACTCTTTCTCCAGACTAAAACAAGTCAACAATCTAGTATTCACCCTATCAAAGCTCTAGTTCAACTCTTGCAGTTGCATATCAAGAACCGAGTAAAAGTGTAAAACAATTCATCTTGGCAGTGATGCAATCTTAGTAAATATAAGAATGATGGTGAGTTTGAAATTTCATTTTCATGATTTAGATGAAAACATTGTTTGGATTTTATTTTAGATTGTAATCGTATTTATGTTTTAAACATAACAATAATTGGTTTGCAGTGCAGTGGACAACATTTTCTCTAATAATTATAGTGTTATGAGTTTGAATCACAAAGACTCACCTTTTCCCCTCCAAATTCAAACTACTACTAGGAGAACCCAAACTTTAAGGAGACACTCCTAAAGGACTATCGATCCTCCCCCTTCTCTAATCCGAAGCTAGTATCGAAGGATCGTTAGTTTCCCCTGGGTGTCCCGGGACACCCCTAAAGAGGTCCGTGTCTGCCCATAAATGGTTTTGCACCCAATTATCCACTCCTAACTACGGTGACCCACTCAATAGTGACGTAATTGACCATCATATTCAGGATTACACACCGAAATGTCTATACTTCAATCCAACAATAACATCAACATTTAACTTTCAAATTAATGAAATAAATCACAAAATCTAACTATTTTGTTAATTAAATTAACTAAAACGATGTCATTTTCTTAAAAGCCTAAAATAGATCATGCCAACAATATCGATATTATTTAAGTCAGTTTCATGACCGGCGCCGATTATGTCACGTCCATCTGGTCGGGATTCCACCGGCATAACAACCATGTAGGAAGAGAAATTTGAATGATTTGATTTTTTTTTTAATAAATAATTAAACTAATAAAACAGGCCTGCCTGATTAACTAACACAAGGAATAGAATGCTCTTTCTTTGTACTTATTACATCAATCCGTAGAGTATTAGTTTATCTACATTCTACAGGCAATTCGGCCAAAGGGCACTAGTAGCTGGAAAAGGGGTGGAGGCGAATAGAAGAGAGAGAAAGAGAGAGAGCGGTATCTTCAATGGCGCCCGCAGATTGACACGCTACGCTACTGTTCCCTCTCCTCCATTTCAGTTCTTTCTTTTTTCACTTCTCCCGATTCTTGATTCAACTTCACAATCCAGCATCAGACCCATCGGCAGATAGTCACCACAGTGTTGTTACTTGTCGGAAGGAACAAAGGGGGGTAACGTAACGCTTCCTTAATCTGCTCCCCTTTCTGCGCTCGAGTGAGCGACCGACTGCACCGCGCTAGCCTCTGGGGTTTTGCCTCGGAGGTTGAAGGTCAGATCAGAACACAAAAGCTTTTGCCTTTTGATTTTGTCATGATTCACTAAAGTCCAATTGAAGAAGAAGAAAAAAGAAGAAGAAGAAGAAGAGATGACGAGTTGGAGAAGAGTGTTGAAGTCCGTACAGGCCCTAGCTGCTCATGCCCTCCTCTTTGCTTTCACCCTTTTGCTAGTGCTTAAGCTTGAGCGTCTCGTCTGCTGCTCTTGGTGGTCAGTTTGCTTGGTTCCCTTTCTTTGTTCCTTATTATAATTGTTAATTGTTTGCTGTTTCTGATGAATGACTTGGCTGGTTGCCCTCGGAAGGGTTTGGTGTTGAATTAGCTCAAGGCTTTCCTGTGGATATGTCTTGCAGGATATGCTAGTTTCTGATTTCTATTTGTTATCGCAAGCGAAGCTTGGGACTTCCTGTTTTTCTTTTCATGACTTCCTCATTCTGTGCATGTGAAATTCCGATGGTTGACTTTCTGGGATTTAAGCTAGACTAGCTGAATTAGCATCTGAACCTGTTTGATCTGATTTGTTATACCGGGAAGGGTGCACAAAGGGGCAATTGGATTGTGATAAAAGCATCCATCTTCTTCCGTACCATTTTATGTTGGCTGGATGGAGTTAATATTGTAACGAGAAGGGTTGTTCGATTCAGGGAAGGTAAACTAGATGGAGTCTCTTGGAAGAATAATTTGCAAGTTGAAATGAGGAACTTCCTGTGTAGATGATGGTACGCTTGGAACAAACAGTTGGAATGAGTGTTATGTCCACTGGTCAGTCATAATCAGCATCAGAACTTCATAAACTAAATTGTAGTTTGTTGTTGGGTTTAATAATGCAAACAATAAGCGCCGAAGATTTGGCCGATCAATTTTATGGGATACTTGTGCAAGTAAAGTTGTTTTCTTGATAGAGTACTGGTTTGGTGGTTCTTTCTTTTCGTTAATCAGCTGGGCATGATCTTGCAGTTATAATTTATAATAGGCTAGGAAGCGTAAAACTGATTTGTTCAGCTCAACCCTCCTTAATGTTCTTGCCAGCTATCCTATATTAGCTTAGCTATTGCAATTTTTGAGAGTGTGAAACCTTAGGAAGTTTGTCCCTTTTCTCAATTTTTAGTATGCTGTTTCCCCCCCTCAACCCAATAATTTATAATGGACTGTAAGTTCTGTAAGTACATAGGATAAGTATTCGGTTGGGTGCACAGGATTTGAACCAATGTCATTCGTCCTAAACAAAACAGAAAGCGCTGGGTTCTCTATAGCCTTTCGCACTGTATCCTTCTAGCTCTATAGAAATAATCACAATATTTCTGATGGACTGTATTCGTCTGAACAAATTACGCTGGATCACATGATTGGAGCCCATGATATTGGTACCCAACGCAAACGTGAAGTTCCTGGATTCTCTTTTGGGTAGCCTCTTATTGACCTTTATATGTTGTTCTCTAATTAGTCTGAGTAGCGGCGTTAACATATAAGGTTCGGGGGTTGACAATTACCTTTAGAGTTCTCATAACACAGAATAAAATTCTCTCTGAAGGTCAATTGGCTCACTGTACCGTTCAGGTTTCTTCCCTCCTATCAATTGGGTGATGGGGTCCTTGGGCGCAATGCCGATGACAGGATGTTAATCCTCATTTCAAGGATAGAATCTTATGTCAGCTAGATTTCTGTATTTGGCAGCCCTTAATTTATGAAGGGTTGTGACAGCTTTCTGCTGTAGAGAACTTGGTCCCATTTTACTCTCGATAATTCATGCCGCTCAAGTGTGTGAACTTTCTATCTTGCATAATATTATTTATCTGTCAAATTCTGACTTCGGTTGTTGTACTTCTGCCTTGATTTTCAGGCTGGTTTTCTTCCCCCTGTGGGTCTTCCACGGGGTTGTTTCCCGAGGGAGGTTTTCCTTACCTGCTCCATCCCTTCCACACAATCGTCATGTATGTTGTATCCTTTAAATCTCAGATTTGAGAATGATGCTGTTAGAGGAAAATGCTTCTTATTTTATATTTTCTTGCTAACCAGAGTTTCTGTTTATGTGCATATCTATTCATGGGATTTTCTTTCTCTCGATAGTGGGCTCCATGCCATGCAGTTGTTGCAACACCTTTGCTTACAGCATTTGAGCTCCTCCTTTGCATTTATCTTGAGAGTGCTAATGGTAAATAGTTCACTGTTCTCAATTTAGTCAAAGTTTTTTACGCTTCAAGGCACTTTCCTGGGCCGTGATTCTGTTTTAGGCTCTTAGTATGTAGTTCCCAAGCTACGCTTTGTATAATTTTCCTTTGTTTTCAGTTCATGGTATTGCAGCTGTAGACTTGAAGATTGTATTCCTTCCACTGCTACTGTTTGAAGTAACTATCTTAATTGACAATTTCAGGTACATCTTCATTTTGTTAATAAAGGAAGTTGATTTAGCCTGTGGAATATGACGCATTATGTTCTATTGCTAGATGTTGCTATTTCCTCTGAATTAATTCTTGTTTGCTGACCTGCTTTTGGTGTTCTAACTTCTAAGTGAAATCAACTATCCTGATATTGGAGGCCATATCTCATATTATCATTATTGTTCCCCTTTTATTTGACATTATAATTTAAGTCTGAGAGAGTTGGTACTGAATTAAGTTTCCTAAAACAGAAGTTGTATATGAAGTGAGAAATGTTCAACAGCCTCCTCCAGGAAACTTCCACCTGTTTTCCTTCTGTAACATGACATAACTGAGGATGTAACAGTTTTTAGTAGTGTCTCAATGCTTTTGTCCAACTGATTATCAATTGTTAACATGATAGAAATTTTTATCAAACCATCAATATATGGTCAGTTAAGTGTTTGTATAATTTATATGCTTAGGTTATGTAATGAATCACGAATGACAAGTCCGATGCTTCATTTAGGGGGGATTGGTCAGATGTTTGTGGATGCTGTTACAACATAAGTTTCAATTAACCTTCTCAAGTGCTCTTTACTTCTCTCGTGCTAGACAAAATGTGTGTTTTCTTTGCCCATCACCTTTCTGGCTGACAAGACGGTGATTGGTTTTATTTCTTAATAGAATGTGCCGCGCTCTGATGCCAGGAGAAGAAGAGAATATGAGTGATGAAGCAATCTGGGAGACTTTGCCTGTAAGTTAGTGGAAGTGCTGACATACTATTCTTTAACATAGCTTGTAGTTCCCATTGTTCTATACAGGTTAGATGATTCTGATGAGAAAATTTTAAGTGCATTTTATATGTCATTGCTTGTTACTTGGTAGGGACATAGGGTCATTTGCATAGTTGTGCTTTTCTGATGGTCAAACTTCCTGGCTCGCCATGAACTAGCATTACCGTGGTAGGCATTAAGAAGATTTATTTTATAGGAAAGACTGAAACGATGTGCAGCCATAAAAGTTAGTAACGTGCACTTTCGAGGATGAAGAGCATATAAACTAGGGTTCTTGTGGTATTTTTCACCGTTCCTGCTTAACTTGGCTTTGTCCTTCAACATTGGTTTTATTTCCTTGTCTTTCACTCTCTGTTTCAATCAAGCAACATGTCTTTGTTTTGTCTATTATATGTAGGTAACAAAACAGGCTCGTCTGCATTGCAACTAAGTACAAACGTAATTCATTTCACAAGGATTGTATAGTTGAAATACCGTGGTTGCAAAGTGGTTATTGTTATAGTGTTCTTGTTTCCTGATGAAAGGTGGATCTAGATTGGAGATGATCCTATCAAGGATATTTGGAATTGAACCTAATTTGATATCTGAATTTTGTAGCATTTCTGGGTTGCAATCTCTATGGTTTTCTTCGTTGCTGCTACAGTTTTCACTGTTCTCAAGCTATCTGGTAAGCATTTCCTACATATGTTATTTGTCAAGTAGAATGTATGAGATTTTCAGGTTTTCATGCTTTCATATCCTGATCTTTGGGATTTAATATCTGACTTGCACTTTTTGTGTCAGTATAATTTATCCTGCCATTAGCAGTATACCTTTTCGAATTTCGTTGTAGATAGAAGGAAATTTGAAACTATGATCGCATACAATAAAGCGTTACCAAATTTGATTTTAATTCTGCGACAGATACTCTACTGGCTGATATAGTTTTTTATATATCTAGGATGACATAAATGCCCCTCCTGTATGGAGAGTAAGAGTGCATAGGAGCTGACTGCTTAGTGAAGTGTTAAGGATTTCTCACTTGTAATTTTCTATTTCAAATTATTACAGCTCAGCTTCACAAGTGCCATCCCCATTGAAAAAAATATGTTCCTAGCAATTTCAGCTCCCAACTTTATCAGTCTATATATTCTCTGCTATTCTTGAAGGCCAACGGAAGAGCATTTACTTCTTAAAGTTTGTCGGTGTTCTGATATTTCCTTTGCTTCCAGTATGGCTTTTGACCCTACTTAAATCCGTTGATGAGACCGAGTCTGGGTTGTAAGAAGGAGAATTTGTTGGGATCATTTCGTGATTGTTGTGTACATGGACAATGATATATTCCTTCAGAATCTGTTGCTTAGCTAAGCTTGGGTGATTGGGTAGATTTCAGATCTGTAGGCGTGCCTGCTATTTTATGGCTGATCTCTGGATGTCAATCTCTTCGTTACATTTTCTCATCACCATCTTATGATTACCAAATCAGGATTGGTTGCTTTATTTGGATAGTATCCCTGCAATCTTGGCACGCATTTGAGCCTTTTGCTCATATATTGATGTTTTCTGATGACTTGAAGATATTTTTCAGGTGATGTACGTTCTCTTGGCTGGTGGGACTTGTTCATCAATTTTGGGTATGGCAATAAATCTGAATTTTGGTTGGATTATTGTGCCGACTAGTCTTAGAACAAGTGGAGTACATTGAATACTTCACAGTATGGTTTACCCTAAAAAATTATAAATATGAATGTCATCTGTGCAGTATTGCCGAGTGCTTTGCATTCCTTGTTTGCACAAAGTGGTCGAACCCAGTGATCCATAGAACTTCTCAGTCTAGGGAAGCTGGTTCATCATCTACAGCCATTAGATATCTTGATTGGAACAGTGGCTTAGTGCTTTCCCCCGAGGAGAATAATCAGGAAGAAAGAATCTGTGGCTTGCAAGACATTGGTGGCCATATCATGAAGATTCCACTGATTTGCTTCCAAGTCCTCCTTTGCATGCGTTTACAGGTCCATGTTTGATTCATTTGATTACTAGTAATTTTGGGACTTTCAGGTTATTAACAGATCTCCATATTTATCATATCCAGGGAACACCTGTTGGAGCCAAAAATATTCCACTGCCTGTTATTTTCTGTCCTCTCTTCCTTCTTCAAGGTGCTGGTGTTCTACTTGCTGTCTCAAAAGTGGTAGAGAAACTAATTCTCCTGTTGCGGACCGAAGCTGGTGCTGGTAGGTACTTCAGATTTTCATCGAGACTTCATGACTGCCTGGGTTTTTTGCACCATGGTTCCAGGTAACTGTTTTTGGCCTTCATCGTTAGGTCAATGTTCTATTAAACGAACTCGGAATTTATCTAGAGAATACTGACTTGGCATTTCTGATTTGTCTAAAACAGACTAATGGGGTGGTGGTCTATCGATGAAGGAAGTAGAGAGGAACAGGCCAGGCTATACCAGGAGGGTGCTGCTGGGTTAGTCTATGATTCTATGTTATTAATCAACAATCTTCACTGCATGTCATAGTGTGGGATGATCTTCTGCAGTCATTACATGACCAGGGGCAAAATGGTTTATGTGTCTTAAGATGATCTGTTTATGCTCATTTCTCAGTTTGAATCTCGTTCATTGTACTTTTTTATTTTATGAAGCAGAAGGAATCATGCAGTGAGAAACTGAGATGAGTAGTTTCCAAAGGTTATCAAGCATCAAAAGGAGCTCCCACATTCCGTTGTTAGGATTAGACTGTGTGAATTATTTAGACATAGTTTCATAGGATATAATTTGTACCTTTCCTTCAGTTTGGTGACAAATTTTCCTCAATGAACAAAAGCCTAGACTTTGTAGTTGCAGATTCTCTTCCGACTGTAGTTTGTTCTTTTCATTCCAACCACTGGGCCCTGACCCAGTTTTTTATGTTGCATGTTGTTTGCAAATTTGAAGTCTAAAATTGTTAACCTTTGGTCTTCTATTTTCCCATTTCTTCTATGTGCAGATATAACACTTTCTCTGGTTATCCTCCCGAGATTGTTAAGAAAATGCCTAAGAAGGATCTGGCCGAGGAGGTGAGTTTTCCAGTCTTGTTGTTATTTTCACTAGTCAACCTGGGATTTATGAATTGAAAGTTCCTCTTTTATTACTTCAGGTTTGGAGGCTTCAGGCTGCTCTTGGTGAGCAAACAGAAATTACCCGATACAGTCAGCAGGAGTTTGAGAGGCTTCAAAATGTAAATTTTCTTTCTTTTTTCCTCACTAATAGGGGGTTATCCGAAAGGGATGATGTTTGGTTTCCATTAGGGCTAATATGAAGCTCCTTCGTTCTTCTTCCTTCTGATAACAATAGCGAAAACCCTGTGGTGGATCGGTAAATGACGATTTGGTTTTGAAATATTTTTCAGGAGAAAGTATTGTGTAGGGTTTGCTTTGAAGGCGAGATCAATGTTGTACTGCTTCCATGCAGGCATCGGATTCTTTGCAGGTAAATGACCACGATTCTTCCATCATCTACATTTGCTCTCTTCTTTTTGTCTTCTGTATTTCAACTGAACTCAGACTAATGAACATATTTTCATGCAGCACATGCTGTGAGAAGTGTAAGAAGTGCCCAATCTGTAGGGTTTCCATCGAGGAGCGGTTGCCAGTGTACGATGTCTAGCGTCTCTTCTAACATGTTTGTCAACAGCCCCTTTTTGTCTTTGCTGGTGATACATGAATGGTGCATAGTTGACGGTATCAGAAGATGCTCTAACTGGGGTAAGTAACTGGACCACAAGTGAAGTGAGGTGTTTGTTTCCAGTTGCTTTTTGTTCCCTTGTATAAAGTTGTAAATACTAACTAGTCGAATCTGTGCAAGAAAGCAAGTGGGTGGTTTTGTAATCTCAAGGGCATATATTATGTGGTACTTGCTCATGATGATTCTCAGAAATTTGGACAATGATGACATCGTGCTCATGAACTGGACATATATGTCAGAATCTCTAACTCTGTCTCTACAGAGAATTGGATGGAGATGGGTAAATCTGGTTTGATGGAGAGAATTTCATTTGTGAATGTGGTATTGGTTTGGTCTACCTTTTCTTTACTTTTAAGAGGAATTATGGAATTCAAACCGGATTGAGTTATGTTTGGCTTGAACTGATTTGATTCAATTGTTGATATGCTTTGGTTTGGTGTTGATTGAACCCGTAATCAGCAGGAATCACCGTTAATCTGAGTACAGAACAAATGTTTTCTTGCTTATGATTACAAAAGTAGGCAATACTCTCTACGCACATGCAACAAGACTGCATTACATATCAGAAATGCAGAGAACAATTAGCACAAGGTCGAAGAAATGATGATACAGAGAATTGCTGCGAATATATATGTTTTCCAGCAATGAGAGTCCAGAATAGGGAAAGGGAAAAGGGAAACGATCGCACCAAACAACACATTTGTCTATGTTTCTTATTGACTACTGACAATCTGAGAATAGAATAGTGATCCAGATGACAGCTTCAGGCTGTGATGAAAACAGCTTCAGTTTTGGAACCGGCAAGTATGATCCCGTTCTTGTTGCTGTTACTGGATGGTGGAGGTGGCTTGCTCGTCTGCTTACTATCATCTATCTTGGCATGAAACTCTTTGAAGCAGTCGTCGATGCTTCTGAAAGACGCATCAGGGTAGAGGGAGCAGACCTCTACGTCGGTTGGCTTGTCGAGGTTGTAGTTAACCTGGCACCCTGTGATGAAGATGTCGTGGGTCAGGGCAGCTACTATGCTCTGTGGGATACGCATTTCTGCAAAGGAAGGACCACTGTTTGTTTCAGGCTGCAGACAGGATTCAAACTAACTTCAAAGAAACACTCCGATAAATTCGAAAACTACCACCTTTGGCTGCAGAGAGTAGATCGTCCTCGGAGATGGTAACTCGAGGAAGGTTGCGCCCGAGCTGGGACTCCCAGATGCGGGCAAGGTCGTTGATGCTGAAGAGGTTGGTCTGGGGCTGGAAATGCAGGGTCTTGTTGAGAGTCCGAGGATCCTCTACTGCCCTTATTGTGAACTTCCCAATGTCGGTCCCCGCAATGAAATATGCTGTAAGTTCCCCAAAATTCATATCATATCATCATACACTAATATGATCACTGCAAAAATTAAAGTAAAGCTATCTAGCTAGTAATTATTTGACCAGTAGGTAGTGATCCCACCTTTGACAGAACCGTCGGCGTAGATATGGAAGCGATCCAAGGGAGGGAGGAGATCAGAAGGGTGAGTGTGGTCGTGGTACGGCCAAGCAGCGATGGAGTTGCAGCAGATGTAAGTGTAAGGAACCCCGCTCTCTTCTATCACCCTCCTCACCCTCCTCTTCTCCTTGTACATCATCAGCCCCGGCTCCACGGGCTCTGCTCTGTCTATGTCGTGCCCAAACTCCGACGGCAGAAACCTCTGCATCGTCATACAAAATACATTACGTAAAACTAACTAGTTACCTGCACCAGCAAATCTAGCTGTAGCTATAGATTTGATTTTACTGACCTTGACAAGGCCTCCTGTTGCTTTGATGGCCTTGATCAGGTGGATTTGGTCCCACACGCAGTCCCCTCCTACCGCCGAAATCACCACCTCGATCTTGTTCTCTCGGATCAGCTTCTCCATCAGCTCCCCGTCCTTCACACAACCCTGTTCATCATCATCATCATCATCAAATGCAACTCCATTTTCCGTCACGCCCAGTAAGAGTCGAAGTAAACAGCATCGAGAAACAGAGTGAATGATATTTTTTTTACGTGAAGGATGGTGGCTCCCCTGTCCAAGAGGGACTTGATCTTGGAGGACTTCAACGAACGAGATGCGAATCCTGGGCCGGAGCGGACTAGAAGGTAAGTAGGACGGCCGGATTGGAGACAGGCATCGGCCAGGAACCAACCGATGAACCCGGCCGAGCCGATGATCATTGTTCGACCCTCGGCCGGCGACATGGTTTGAGATTCTCTGTGCTGATACATGCCAGGGGAACTTAGACGAGACTTGGGAACAATCGGACAATTCGATATATTTCATCTTATAGATTAGGCGAGACTGCGAGAGTGAATGAATGAATGAATTAGGTGGCAACGCTTTCTTCTCTCGTCGGGTGTTAATACCACTGTACGTTGATGTTTGTTGTTGTTGGTAAGATGGTTAGGTTCTTCTGAATGAAAAGATACGACCTTTGAATGTTAGCTAGCAAAAGGGTTGATTTTTATGTGATGATTTTGGTGCATAGGTACGTTGCAGCAACTGAGACAGCAACCCCGTTCTGTTTCCTCAACCGGATTCTGGTGAATTACGTTGTACAGCCGTTGGCAATTAGATTGTATAAGATGTTCTCTTATCTAAACTAGGGCGGCAAATGGGCCGAGTCGAGTTTTGATTTAGTTTGAGTTCGACTTGTTTCCTAAAACTTTAGTTTGTGTTTGACTCAAGCGCTCAACTCGAGCTTGGCTTGTTAATGAGATCACGAGCTGTATTCGAGTTCGGCTCATCAATTAGCTCATAAGAACGATTCGAGCTCAGGGTATCATATAATTTAGTCTACAAAATTTTAATTGTTCATATCATGTCAATAGTAATTAGTATATGAACAATCTATGATACATAGTTTCTCTTTAAAAATATCAAAGAGACATATTTGATCGTGTAATAAAAGTCTTAAGCGTTATATGTGGTGATGTAATACAATCTAATAAACCTGTGAATTATCAACAAGCCAACTGATAAGTTATTAACCTATTCGCCCATAAGTTGCTACTCGAGGTGGCTCGCTAACCATAGCTCACGGGTTGCACTTTGTTGACTACGTAACCCAGCGAAATCTCATAGATGAAAATTATTTATTCAAGCATGTTTAGTTTAGGTGTCCAAGATAAATATTCAACGTATTCTTATAGATTATTTACCTTCAACGTTTTTGGAATCGCCCATGCAAAAGGAATCACTTAAAGTTGTATTGACTCTTCAAAACTACTTGTTGCAATACAGAAGGCTACATAGAAGATTTTGAGTGTAATGAACAAAGTTTGAGATGAAAAGAAACAAACAACTCTAGATTCATATTTTTCCAAATTATTCAAGTTATATTGTAACAATATGCATGTCTTACGGTCTATTTTGAGAATTCGTTACGACTCGCCACTTCCAGAGCCCAGATTGCTCATCACCAATGGAACACCTGCCGCAGGAAGACAGGTGCTCTACCCCCCATACTTAGCACAATCCATCCCTTGATCTCTCCTCACCACCGCCGAGTACTCATGACTTTGAGATACACTGTGACGGGTCCTACTTCAGCGATTCCCAGGAGGCGGCATATGGCGTCGTTGTTACGAATAGCCATGGACAGGTTTGTGATGGGAGAGTTGAGTCCCTGCATTGTTTTTCCCCACTTGAAGCAGAAGCGAAGGCCCTTTGGGAGGGAGCACGCCTGGCTGTGACGCTTTCAGCACCATGCCTGATCCTCCCCGACTGCCTTTCCCTCATTAAAGCCCTTGCTAATCCAATGGACTTATGGTCATAGCGAGCAACAGGGTGGATCAACCGCATCAAGAATCTCTCAATCGACCAAACCGCATCAAGAATCTCTCAATCGACCACCCAACCATCAGGTTTGACTCGTCAGCAGAAGAAGAAACTCCAAAGTGAATTGGGTGGCTCGATCATGTGCGAAGAGACAACTTCCTTCTGAATGGATTCATGTACTTGATGTTATTGCTCCTCTCTTATAACGATTGGCTTCTGCTACAAGTAATGAAATTTCTGTGCCCTTTAAAAAAAACAAGTGTATGTCAGAAGATTGTTTTTATGTTTATATTGTTGGAACGGACAATAAAAGACACCAAAAATTGGGGAAATAGACCATCTAGCTAGCTAGGCCTCCTTTTGGAAAATGGTTCTTAAGAAACTGGGTATCTGTCTTTCCCAATTTGAATCACTGGTAGAGAGCACAAACTTGTAGTAGGAGTACAGCTAGAGAAAATTGTTAACAGTAAGAGTTGTACAGGTACCTTAAATTTTAGTTTACATATGATGATGATGATGAAAACTAGAAGGTTGTTTTTTATTTATTTATTTTGGGCCAATATTATAGGAATAATCAAACTATAAAAAAAACGTAATCTCAATTATAAAATATTTAGTATGACAATCATAAACACAAATGTACGTGAGAGAAGGAGAGATCAGTTCAGCCATTAGTCAGGTCAGGCCAAGGCGGAACTATCCTTACCTTCTTATTTTCCTCCTCTCCACGATCGGTCCTGTGGGTATGTGGGGAGGCTCATTCGCACAGGGCCTCCAAATTATTGGGGTCTCCGTTATTATATACATGGGTGAAAATCGGTACGGTATCGGTATCTCAATACTCAAATATTGAAATTCCGAATATAAAATTATACCCGAAAGTTAATCACAATCCCAATCCCTAAATATTATGGTATCCCAATCGGTATTATCGAATACGAAATAAATTACATTTGAAATAAATAATTAAATATATATAAATTAGATTTGATTGTTTAATTTAGGGAAAAGGACTAAGCAAAGAGTCTTGAGTTTGCCTAGAGCTAGGAGATGGATAAGGAGAATGAAGGAGAGGTATTATATTTCGGTATTGATCGGTATTTCGGTATATACCGATCCAAATCTCGTAATCCCTAATACCGAATTACAATTGAAATTCAATCCCAATCTCAATCCCAAAAAATAATACATGTATTCGGTAATACCAAATATAGACAAATTCGATACGGTATTCGGTATATTCCAAATACAGTACCAAACTTCCAGCCCTAATTATATATAATTCTAATTACTTTTTTGGAGTACTAGTTTTAATTATAAATTTAAACATAGAAAAGTAATGGATTGGCCTTTGATCATGTGTCTAATACAATACAAAAAGGTAATTTTAAAGTCTAAAATAATGAATGGACCACATGAAAATGAAGATTTGCTTTTCTATTAAATTTTTTTACAAACCATATAAAAAAGTACATTCTTTGTCCTGTATTTTTTAGAGAGAATAAGATAATGCCTCTTATTATTAACGTTAACTAAAATAAGATACAAGCCAACAACAGTTAAAGAAAAAAGAATTAAATCAATCATAGTTCGTAACATACTTAACTTTAAACTACAAATTTATCACCTTCTCCTATCTCGTATTTGTTTTACTATATTTGTTTCTACTCTTGGATTCTTTTATATTCGTTTTCCTATTATTTGTTCAAATGCAACTTATAACTGTCAAGAACCAGTTGATCCCAATAACTCGAGTTATTGGTAGAGGTTCAATCGTGGATCATATACCACAACACTAACACGCCCTCTCAAACGAAAGCCACTCACAAGGGCTTGAAGTTTGCACAGGTCTGAAGACAAGAATACCATGTGCTTAACAAATGGGGTCACCGGGAATCGAACACAAGACCTCTCGGTCACAGAAGGCTCTGATACCATGTCAAGAACCAGTTGATCCCAATAACTCGAGTTATTGGTAGAGGTTCAATCGTGGATCATATACCACAACACTAACAATAACGTGTTGTGTCTTACGTAATGAATACTAGACATAAGCTTATGAGATACGTGTTGTCATCATTCTGTGTGACCTTCTGTATGAATTCTTGTAGTAATGAAAAATAAGTTGTAGTTTAAACCATATGCGGCCTTCTTTCTTAATGCAACTTGTATTAATGAAATAGTTGTCATTTGGTCGAATCTGTGTTTACATGGTATTGAATATGAGTTCCCATCTAGATGACTTGAGTTAATCGGGTACCAAATATAAGTTTGAAATATGTGAAATAAAACCGAATGAGTTGAAGTGTTGAACTGACGATGAATATGAATTGACTTGATACTGAATATGAGTTTACCTAGTATCAGATCAACTCATATTTCTCCAAATTTCAATTCATATTCTATACCAGCTAAAGTAATATTCCGTGGCAACTAAACTCATATATATTTTGTGTCAACTCATTCAATACTAAGTACTTTAATCTCATTCTAAGTGCATATATGTTAACTATATGTGTCAATGCTCATATATCATAAAATGACACTGAATATGAGTTTACTTAGTATTGAGAAATGTGTCGACATCTATATGAATAAGATTTGTACTTGTATCGAAGATGATAATTGAATTTCTTTTTCGTTGACACTAAATTTAAGAATACATGTTGGAGCTCATATTCAATATTATGATTTTATGTTTTAATTGATATTCGTATGGCGTCCATCATTTATTTATAAAGTTGTGTTAAAACTTCTAAGCTTAGCTCAACTCATATTCACTACCTAGTCAAGGACCAGGATACCGTACCGGACCGGCCGGTCGAACCGGAAAAACCGGAAACCGGAGGTAAACCGGCACAATAGAGCTTTGTACCCTTCAATAACCTGCCGGGCGGTATTTGCGGTTGGACCGCAATGGGCCGAAATTTCGGCCGGTTTAAAAAAACCCAGCGGTCCCTTCATTTTACACCAACGGCGCCGTTTTAATGAAAAAAAAAAAACGGAAGGCAAGGGAAGCAGAGACGCAAAAACCCTACCTTCCTTTGGCTGGCCCTGCTAACGCCCTCTCTGCCTCTCGTCTCCCTCTCCCAGCAGCGCCGCTCTGCCTCTAGTCTCCCCGCGCCGCGCCGCTCTGCCTCCCCAGCAACCGGCGATCAACACCACCGGCGACCGCGTCCTCCCCAGCAACCAAACACCATCGGCAACTCGTCCTCCCCAGCAATCGAAGGCATCGTCGTTCACAGCCGCGCCGCGCCGGAGGAGAAACCGAGAAAGAGGAGCTTCGTTGGTCGTTCACAGCCGCGCCGCGCCGGAGGAGAAAGAGGAGCTTCGTTGGTCGTTCACTGGCTGGTTTCTTCCTCCTTCCGTCTCCCGCGGCTCCAAATCCCTAGTGGCGGTGGTGGTGTAGCTGTACCAGCTTCGTTGTCTCCGCCGTCGACGTCGTGCCAAGGGAAGAGATAAGGATTTCCTACCCTGCGTTCTTGTGCCGCCAGTGGGACAACCCTGTCAGCGGGATCACCATCGCCTTAAGGTGGAGTTTACTTCTGCTCTTCCCCCTTTCCTTTTCCTCTCATGCACCATACTAAAATCGCTTCAATTGCTGGGTATTCGTTGGGAAGATTTTCAGAATTCGAATTCCCTTCTCCTTGGTGGTAGTTTGATTGCCTTGTCCATTTCCTTGCTCTGATTCCATGTTCTGTTGTGATGTTTGTTTCCAGTATTCATGATTTACTGGCTCAATAGATTAGTTGATCTTAAATCGCGGAGTCTTGGTTGCAATTGGGTGCCTTATAGCATAAATTGGTGTTTTAATCATGTTCCGTAGTTGAGCTTTCATGTAAGAGTTGAACTTCCATATGAGGATCTCCTTCACCATCTTGGCTAGAATTATTTGATAATGAATGCCCAAAACCAATACTCGTTTAGGTTTTACATGCCACTTTGTTGAATGTTCCCGCTTATTTACTCTTTTACAGTTTCTTAGGCGGTATAATCCGGTATTATTCCGGTATTTTCCCGGTATGGTACCCTAATTTTATCGGTACGGTTTTTTAACAGAAAAATAATTTTTTTATTCCAAAAACGGTATTTACCGGTAGGAAACGGTTGAACCGTGGTTGTACCACGATTTACCATGCCAAAAACGATTCCGGTTTGATGTCCGGTACGGTTTCGTAATCCATGCCTAGTTAACTCAATTTCAGCGTCATCTCAACTCATATTTAATGCCAGGTAAAGTTAACTTTAGAATCAGTTTGAATTCACATTCAATACTAGGTAAATCAAAATCAGTGTTAGATAATAAAAGAAAACTATATCCCATACATTGACAATGATGTATGAGTAGTATTGAACTAGTCTCTAACCAGTATTCGGAAGCGTCTAACAATTATTCAAAAACGTATAACAAGTATTCGACTCCGGAACGAACGAATATCCCGCACAAATGAACACATACTCATACGCGTTGAACATGTATTCATAATAGTCTAGTACCATAACAGTTTCCGAACAAGTATTCATAACAGTTGATGAACTAGTATCGAAGATGAGAATTTAATTATTTTTCTGTCGCCCCGCCCATACCCCACGAGTATTATTAGCCCCGACCCTCAGTAGCATAGGGGGCATGGTATTGAGGTACCCGCACCGTCCCGTCCCATTGTCATCACTGCTTTTATGTCCTCTCATACGCCAGCGTTTTGATTAAGTCAATAGGAAGAAGTAGGCTGGTATAATTATTGGGCTAAATAAACAAACGAAGAGCATAAAGTATTGGGCTGAAATTTTCGGCCCACCGCTTCCTTGGTGCTGCGCGTTTTTGACAAACAAGTCGGGAATCAATTGTGATCAATTTTCAGATTCAAGTATCTTTTCTCATCGATATCAAAGGATTCCTTCGTGCTAACCTAGAAATCGCAGGTCGAAGAACAGAAACAAGATTGCACTTGAAATCAACCAAGAAGAAGAAGTAAAAAGGGCGCGCGCCACAGGGACTACAAACCCGGCATCCTCAAAGTTCTTATTTTCCCTACTCTCTTCAGTCTCCCGTGCTTCGGACCTGCCGCTTCTCTCTTCCTTCTACCAATTCTGCTCAGCAACTCAAGTTCTTTGTAAGTTCAGTCGCTTTCTCCTCAGTCTTTCAAAATCTGGTCCACTGTTCAGTTAGTACTAGTCGGACAGAATTTTCGAATACAGATTCCGAACCTTATTTGTTTGACATCTAATCTACTGGGTTCGCTTGAAATTATGAGTTTTCTCCTTGTTCAACTTGGTGTTGGGTTTGCGTTCAATTTAACGCTTATGGATTGAATTAGGGAACACTTCTAGCTGTTTTGATCACCATGAAAACACCGATTTTGGGGTGAAAGTTCTTGCCCATGGAGATGTTACGTGATGATAATCAATGGGTAAGGGTCATCCCCGACTTTTGTGGGATTGGGTGAGAGCTGTTCTAGAGGTTAAATGGACTATCAGTTGATTGGATTGAGAGTGTTCGACCTATTGCTTCAATGAGTTTGCTTTTGTGCTGAGGACGTTTGGTTTTTATTTTGAATTGCTAGACATCAGAGTATTGAACTTTTTCTGCATTGGCTCGAAATGGGCAGATTTCTAGCTCCATGGCCAAAAGAGAAAGGGAAGTTCATACAAAAGCGGAGCCTAGCAGGAAACCAAGGATTCTGCTTGCTGCTAGTGGGAGTGTGGCTGCCATCAAGTTTGCAAACCTCTGCCATTGTTTCTCTGAATGGGCTGAAGTAAAAGCGATCGCTACCAAAGCTTCTCTGCATTTCATTGATAAAGCAGCGCTTCCTAAGGATGTTGTTCTATACACAGACGAGGATGAATGGTCTATTTGGAGCAAGATTGGGGATAACGTGCTGCATATTGAACTCCGTCGATGGGCTGATGTCATGATTATTGCCCCATTATCAGCTAATACCCTCGGGAAGGTAATTTGCTTGATCCATCCACTTATTTAAGTTACGGGAAGGCCCTAACTCTTAAGTTTTTGTTTTAACAATCAGTTAAAGTCATTGATTGATGCAAGTTGAAAACTTGCATGTCAAATCCCAATATACTTTGCTCTATAATTCCCCTGTTAACTTGGTTTCTTTTGCGGGTTGTTAGGGATTACTTGATGCTAACTATCTTCCTTTTTTCTTCCCTTCACATTTGTATGAATGCAGATTGCGGGGGGATTGTGCGATAACCTGCTGACTTGTGTTGTCCGAGCATGGGACTACGAGAAGCCACTTTTTGTGGCACCTGCCATGAACACATTCATGTGGACCAACCCTTTCACAGAAAGACATCTCATGGGAATCGATGAAATCGGGATTACCCTAATCCCTCCTGTTTCAAAGAGGTTGGCTTGTGGAGATTATGGTAATGGTGCAATGGCTGAACCATCGGTGATCTACTCTACTGTGCGGCTGTTCTTAGAGTCACGGAATCAACAAGGAGATCGAAAAACCAGCTAAAAACTCTACTAATTCCAGAATTCTATCGCAACTCTCGATCTGTCTTCTCGTGTGTTTAGTGTATGTAGCATTGACTGAGATACACTGATTGGATAGAAGCATCAATCTGAGATTCATTGGAACTGGTGAACCTGCTTTGCTGTTATAATTTGAATGTATTGTAGGATTTATAATTTAAAAAATGTACTGAAGCAGGCAAGTTAACCGTCTAGTTTTGAGACAAAGAAATGAGTACAGTGTAGTCAGTGCTCTCTGGTTTTGTAGTCACGTATTGCTGCGAGTAATTTAGGCCTGCGAAATGTTGAACACTTGGAACCAAAATGGTTACTTTAAAAAGGCCACAAGAAAATTCGTATTAATCGAATTTTGGGACATGGTACGATACCTAATCCTCAGCTTGCATTTACCCTGTTCGAAAGCAAAATCTCTCTAATCCCGTTGACCCTCTTTTCCCCCTCCAACTCCCCTACGGAATGAAAGAAGCAAATTTACAAAAACAGAGGGAAAAGGCAAAATGAAAGCCTCTAGCGGACAGTCTTTGGATTATGGCTAATCTACTCCAAAATGTTCCAGTGATGTGCAAACCGTGGCCAACTGTACATTATCTAAGAACGACTTGGGATGAATTGCTGAAGCCATTGACAATTTGCTGCGTCCTTCTCCAATCCTCCTTTAATCTCCGTTACCTTGTCACACAAGTGATCCAAGTCCATTTTCTCCATTGGCAAATTGGAGAACTCTTTCAGAAACCGTCGAGCTCTTGTTTGCCCTCTCGATATGTCGTCATGATCGATTTGCCTTTTCCTTTTCAACTCCCCCTGAACATTATTAGAATTGGAAATTAATGCACGACATCATAACCAACCCTGATTAGTTCTTGTTATATCTCCAATCTTGGACCACAGCTGGGGGAGCTGTTAGATCTTAAATGGTAGCTTACCTCATCTGTTGTATCATTTGAAACGATATCACTCGGTGAGAAACCTTCCAATTCAGAAGCTTTCTCTCGAGCAAGAGCGACAACACTTCCAGGAAAGTTTGCAAACTCTGCAACATGAATCCCAAAACTCTGATCACAAGCACCCTGCTCAACCTGGAAAGGAGAAGAAATGAGATAACCAATCATAGTAATTACTCACATTCATTTAAACCTAGTGGTTGACACAATGGCTCATAATCACACATCACTTGGAGGGCAATTACGCAGAAGACAGTAAACCTCGTAGAAATCCCAGTACATGGGTCCTACTAAAAGTGATTGCATCTGTACCTTGTATAGCATGGTGAGCTTGTGGCTTGATGAGTCTATGTGAGCACTAACGTGGTAGTTAGCTATACCAGCAACTTTTGGCTTCCCGTCAGATGTGTTGTCTGCTTCCTTGTCAGCTAATGCAGTCAGCTCATGGAAATGGGTTGCAAACAAAGTGGGTGCTTTGACCACTTGGACTAGGTGCTCGCAGATGGCCCATGCTAAACCTGAACATCAGAAGAATGAAACACATCATCAGCCTATTTCCATCACTTTATGTGCAGACCAAACAAAAGCAACAACAACTCCAATGTTCCTTAAACAGCACAACAAAATAGAAGGATTGGCAGACATTATATAGCGGCAGAACTTCAGAATAAAAGTATCATGAAGTTAACTTTATCAATTATAAAGCACTATATCTGCAACTTTTGCCTCTCAATAGCCAGCAAGAAGCAGGTTTTTTCTCTCAACGAGGTAAAGGAATTCCAGCTGGGACTACTCCTTTCCCCTAGAAATAAATGAACGCGTATACAAAATAACTCAACTGGGACCAAACATATAGTATCTATCACTTGATTACAAGTTCAGAAATCAGTACACTCCAAGCAATTGCAATGCAGACTTCAATACAACTGAAAGAAAATTGGAATGTAATAGGCCCATACCAAATCCATCATAAGTGGAAGTCCCACGACCTAACTCATCAATAATTATCAATGACTTGTCTGAAGCTCCTTTCAGAATTGAAGCAGTTTCAAGCATTTCTTGCATGAAAGTGGAAACCCCGTGTAGCTATAAAAAGGAAGACATTTCCATAAATCAGTACAAATAAGTCAGCTTCCAGTCATATCCAGTGAAACAAACATTTCAGCAGCAAAAGAGGCAAACAAGTCCAGCCACATCCAGGATAATTTAAGCTAAGAGAAATCTAGAAGGATGTTCAAGACTGCTTAAGCTTAAGGAGACAAAAAACTCAGGATGAATGATACTCAACAGCAGCCAAGCAAGCAAAGAAAACACAGTTTACAATTAATTTCTGAAGGCGCAGGAGAAGACGGGCATTTTGAAAGTGCTTCCAGTCAAATAGGATGGGCGTCATAACTCTCGAAAACATTTTGTCCCTAGTTATTCAGCAGGCACTTGATGCGAATCAATATACCTTCTGTTGAAAAAATCTAAAAACAATCTTGGATGCTCAATAGAATTGCAGTTTTCTTCAATGAGCAGGAAAGTGAAAGGGACAAGAGTAAGACAAACATGTTCTCAATCAAAGAACGATTGATAGGAGAAAATCATGATATTCTTAAATATGGATACTGTGATTAAGAAAACTGACCCCTTTCTTAGAAAAAAATAAACAAATTTCTCATTTTCAACTTTAAAGGAGTGTGAGTTAAAACTAAACAACAAATATCAGAATAACAGGTTTAACCAGTATTAGAAGTCATTTCCACACGAACTACATGATACGCGTACTAATTGATATATTAAATAAGAAAGTAAGGCATAACATTGTTGAATTTTATGCAAGTCTACTACAACTGCATCATTTTTATAACTACTTCTAGTAAAATGACATTGCTGATTTTAAGTAGAAGCAAACAGCAACTGCTTGGTTCATAGAAGAAATTATTCTTTAGTGCATTAGATTTATGTTGGCACATTTAATTTTGCATCATTACACCTCCCCAGACTAGAAAAGAGTTTGTGAACACTGAGATAGAAACAACAGAAAATGATTTTATCTATATCCGGTCTTCTTCTAGGGTTCTGCCAGGCTATCGGTTGTAAAAATCAGATTTCAAATCCACTCTATTAGTTTGCCCTGGGCATGCGAAGAAGTACCAATGTATATAAGGAAAACTACTCACTTGGCAGTCACCGGCACCAACACGAGCGAAAATGCTATCACGGACAGAAATGCTAGCCTTGTCACAAGGAACAAAAGAACCTACTTGTGCCATGAGAACATTCACACCAACCTGCACAAAAAGCCAACACATTAGTAGATTTTAAAACACAACAATATGTTCTGGAATTGTTGCCGTAGAGCAACAATGAATCTTAGTCAGTTACATTGCATTTATTTATATTTTACCATGATGTTTGGTTCTGAATGCACAATAAAATAAAACTGCTGACAAAACACATTCCTCCAAAGGGAGTAAACAATGTTACAGGTGATACGAAATGGTTTAATATCCACTTAAACATATTTTTCTCAAAGGAACCACACCTGTCTAATGTATGTTGACTTTCCTCCCATGTTAGGCCCTGTAATTATCTGGAACCAGCTCTTTCCCCGTACCTGATAGGTTAATTGGAAGAATCAGTAAACGTGCAGTTGCATTAAAAGAAAAAGTTATTATTTGGTATTTTTGGCACTCACAAGTTTGCAATCATTAGGTATGAAGTTCACCCAATCCTGAGCTTCCACGCAGGGATGCCTACTCCCTTCCAATATAATATCCCCCACATCCTAAATTACATTGCATGGTTAAACTCAAGTCAGAAAACCAAGTCATCATGATAAGGAAAACAGAACGAGATCAGAATATATATACAGCTGGGGTGATGTCCGGTCTTGTATATGTAGTAGGACAACTTGAAGCAAGATCGGCAAAACTGAGCAAGACATCCAATTCAGAAAGTATGGCAGCTAAGGACTCAAACACCTGCAGTGGAAGTGGTCAGTATATCCAGAAGAAAAGGCCACTGAAAGTGCAAATGTACCGAAAAGAATCATACCGCAGAGAAAGTTGCTGTAGTTTCCACAACTCGATTAACCAGCTCTTTTTGACAATTCTTGTAGTCATCTACCACCTTTTGGTACTGGTCACCTAACTTTTTTAGTTTCGTGTTCGTAAATTTCACCCCATCTTTTCGGGTTTCAAGGACAATCAATTGAGTTGTCAATTTTTGCCTTATTTTTGGTTCTTCCTTCTTGGTGATCCTGAATACATATCCAAACTGTGTACCCTTATCCAGCTTCAGCCCCTTATCAGCAGGAAGATCAAGATCGATAGCAGTTTGTTTATGCAACTTGTGAATCTCTTTTTCTAATGTTTCCTGCTCTTCTTTCAGCACGCATAGAGCAGAGTCATAGCCAGGCGATATCATGTATTCTCCATTGTCAAGTTGATCGAGGTCAACAGAAGTTTCGACAAGGCTTACAAACTTATTCAAGTGATCATCATCAGTCCAAAGTTCCAGGGGCTGCAGATACCTTTCCTTTATAGATAATGAAAACTGCCCATTGTAATCCTCCAAGGCACTTTTGATGAATGGAAGCCTTATGCAAGACTGGTTTGGCAAAAAATCGAGAAGTTAATCAGAAATTAGCTTCGTCAAATTTAAAAATAAAAAGCGAAAGCATGTAACGCAAAGAGATTTCAGATTTGACCAGATTATTATCCCCATAGTAACCAGCCAGGTGTGGAAGTAGATGTCCATTGTGATAGACAGAAAAGAGCACATAAAAAACAGAATGTGCAATCAAGATATCCCAAACACACAAAAAAAAAAAAATTTCATTGACTACTGTATTCCTCTAACTATGCATAATAATAATACGAAAAAAGAACGCCAACGAAAGCAATAGGGAAGTGAGAAAAAGGACGGTATTAACTTGGAAGACAAATATCTCATGCTTTCCAAATGTTAGCACCACTAAAATGACCGTACAAACGTATCCATCATTGGTGTATGGCTATCAGAAGATTAAAGATGGAGTAAGGAAAAGGAAGTATCCATCATTGGTGTATGGCTATCATAAGATTAAGGAAAAGAAAACCACCTGATAAAGTTTCACGATATGGTGCAAACCAACTCTTCTTTTCTCAAGATTACGCACTAGTCGCTCAATATCTGAGATTCTTCTCAAATGTTGCCTCAAATTTTGGCGGACTGTGGCATCCTCTACAAAAGCCTGAACCAAGTCCAACCTGGTGTTGATTTCTTCCACATCTAAAAGGGGTTGCTTCAACCACATGTGAAGTAATCTTTTACCCATCCCAGCAGTACAGGTTCTATTCAATAAACCAAATAAACTGAAGTTTTTGTTTGCATCAGTTTTGTTTTCAAGGACATTCAGTGCCCTCATGGCTGTAGAATCCAGCCTCATGTAGAGATCAAGATTGTATTTCTGGAAGCTATAATTTCCATAGTTACTCTCGTCTCCAAGCAATTCTGCATAAGACACCAGGGCCCCCAAAGCTGCAGGTGCAAATTCAAATCCAGAAACCATATCTCGCACTGGCTCAGTAGTTCCTTTGATAAGCCTACCCAGATCTTGCATCAAATCTCTTGCTTTGAACTCATTTTTCTTTCTCTCCGTTAACATGACACCACATTTGTCCATGATATCATGCAAAACTCTATATTCACTAGCTTTTCCAGCTTCAATAGGTAGAAGGCACTCCTTGCAGCCAAGAGCAACCAAAGTTGACTCGACATTTGTGAAGTGACTATCATCCAGAAATTCTGCGAGCCCTAAAACTCTTCTATTCAAATCAACATAGCTCAAACCCACTGTGCACCCGTTTTCACGGAAGTTTGGATTGAGTGCAACAACCACAGGAGAATCTTGCATTTCAATGTTGGCAAACAAAACATCTTCAAAACTGCCCAGAGTTCCCGGAGTTCCACTTTTTACCAGTTTCCAATTAGACCCACTTCCCTCATAGAGTTCAAGGGTATGGTCAGTTCTATCCAGAAGAAGATCCCGGGCGATTGTTTCAAACATATTTCTATTGATGCTAACACTCGAAAGACAATCAGACCCATTACTCAATTGCCGCATAGCCGTAGTTGTATGGTAATAAGTCTTGGCGATAAAAGTTGCATTTTCACCATGAGCGGTATAATAGTCCTGAAAATTCATACAAAATCAATTAAATTACTGGAAACCTGTATTGGAAAAGGACGAGAAGGAGCGAGCTTGAGCATATAAAAACTTACAAAGCATAAGGAGCACTACTGAATACAATTCACAGTTATATTCTATCTTAGGAAGTATGCTAACAGTGCCAACTTTTTCTGGAAACAAAGCAGCTAAATCATGCTGCAATACATAGCCAAATTTTGCAAAAGATAAGAAAAGGAAAGGAAACCGCGATCACAGCAGTCAACACATTGAATATAAGCATAAGCTGCACTGCTAAGAGATAAATTTAGGTGCATTTTGTGCCTAAAGACGTCCATTGTTAGGCATTTGCATGCCACTGAACTGCTCACGATTGTAGAGCTAAGGAGATCTAAACGAATACAGAAATAATATATATGTGTGACAGCCCATTCAACCAGATCTCAGAGCACTATAAAGACAAATATTGAACCTTGAAAAGATTGTTCTAACCGGTACCGAGATACATCTATGCATCTTGTGGTTTAATTAATAACAGGATCTCTCCGCAAGGAACATTACTCCACTTTAGAGCAGTGGAACTCAATGTTCTGCTATTGTAAGACGGAACAAGACAGAATCTCCTATCCTTTCATTAGCAAGTTTGCCTTCGGTCATACAGAGGAAAACAAAACTGAAATGCAACTTTACCACAATTAAATGGGGAGCAGGTAACATCAAATCATGCTAAAGGCGACTTCCCCTGAGAGGTGGTACAGCTATAATCTTCTGAGAAATGCACAAGAGTTCTTTCCTATAATAATTAAACGTCTTCCTAAAGGGCGAATTCATGAAGTGTAAGCAGTCATCAAGAAAAGGAACATACATGCACCTTCCTATAAATAACAAATAACATCAAGCAATGGCGTCCAGAACAAACAGAGACTGTCAAACTTCTAGGAGGAAATGTAAAACAGCTTCTTAAAGTTGAAAGGGCACTGATTTCAAACTTTCATCACCAAAATACTGATCCAAGCAAAAACCCAAGAAAGAGACTCGTATGAAAGTTTGAACTAACCCGTCTATCAAAGAGCCGAACTGCCCGAGGGTCCTGCAGCAGCAAGAAGAGGAAAATTAAAATAAAAAAAAATTCAGTAACTCGAGCTCTCTGGCTTCGTCTACCATGCCAGTCCAACAGAACCAGAGAAAGAGAGGATGCTTACCTCCGGTAGGGTTTTGAAGAAAGAGAGAAACCCTTGAGCCTGCTTAGAATCTGATCAAAAGTTTGAACCCCAAGAGAGAAACGGAGAAAGAGACGAAAAAGAATCAGGTTATTATCATCACAAAAATGAAAACAACTGAGGAACGTTTTAGATGAGAAACCACTTAGGGTTTATACCTAGCTTGAGTTCAGGCAGTTGGTTTGATTCGTGAAAATCGGTGTCGCCCATTTTCTTCTTTGGGATAAAGAGTCGATGGTGCTCTTGAGTTACAGAGAGCGATAGGATTCGAGCTAGGTTCGCCTCTCCGATTAGGCAAAATGTGGAGCTTCAGTGAGTGCTCTTTAGTGGCAGATAATGGCGGGAAAGTAAGAATGAGAATGGCGGGGAACTTCTTCAGCTTCCACCAAGTTACCAGTTTTGCGGATTCCCAAGTCTGGAAAAAAAAAAATATACAAAATTGGGAACATATATTCCAAAAGTTGCACATTTTTACGTATTTATAGGATAAATAAAATTTAATATCCAAACCTTTTATTTTAAATAATATAATAGTCAAACTTTTTCGAAAATAATCTAATATCCGAATCATCAACTTTCCGTCATTTTGATCGTTAATTGACACTTCAAAAAAGTTTTGTTTAGGGGAAATTATCACAATACAGCTTTATTTTCTTGTTTCGGCTTTGCAGATGACTGATATTTAGATATTCTATACCATCATGGCGGAGTCATGGACTTCTCGGGTTTGGAACCACAATATGTTGGTGGTTTTTTCAGAGAAGATACCGATGGATATTGATGAAGTGACGTACTTCGAACTTGATGAAGTGTCAACTAACGTTCAAACGGACGGAAAGTTGACGATTTGGATATTAAATTGTTTTCGAAAATGTTTGGCTATTATATTGTTTAAAAGGAAAGGTTTGGATATTAAATTGTATTTACCCAAAAATATACATAGTTCATCGTTTAACAATAAAACCTCCATCGTTTAAATTGTATTAAATTGACTTCTCTCTCTAGTTTGTATCTTCTTCTCTCTACTAGTTAAGCTCCTCAAGTTGCTTATGAGAGATGAATTATATATAACATTTAGCTGGATTTTGTTGATTGAATATGAAATAGCTTTGATTTTCTATCCATCATCGTCTATGTCTATTGATGGTTCATCTTAGCTATATGTTTGTCATTCATCAAGTGATTGGATTGTATGTGTTGTTCTTGACCGAGGAGTCATGACCATTGCACTATGGGAGATAAAGAGCACCCATCGGTATTGTGAGGTTACAATTACATGACCATTGAGTTGTAAATTTGTAATGTCATTTGCATAAGGATTCATTCCAATACAAAGTATGGACCTTGCGATCTACGTATCTAGTTAGTTACATGACCATCGACCTAACTTAGTTGCTTAGAAGAGTGGCGTGGTGAGACATGACCATTGCTAGGGGTGGTAAACGGTAATCCGGTAAACGTTTTACCGTTTTACCGAACCGTTTACCGGCGGTATCGGCAGCCGAGCGGGAAGTTGGGGGAGTCGGTTTACCGGACACGGTATCAGTAAATACCGACGGTAAATCGGTATTACCGATACCGAATCCCCCCCTCCCTACTTCCTAGTGCTACGCTGCGTTTTGTTGCTTTACCCCCAAAAATATAAAATATTACATACATGAATGTAAGTATAGGCCTCAAAAATATTGTAAATAAGAGTTAATAATAAATTATTAATTACAAAAATGATGAAAAAAACTCAAAAAAATCAAAATATTACAACATCACCCCACTTCGAGAAATTTGGTTCGGTAAACCGACCGAAAAACCGCCCGAAATCGCTTCTCACGGTATTTCGGTAATACCGGTTTGTAACCGTTTACCGGTAATTCGGTAATCGGTAAACCGGTTACAAACCAGTATTGGTAATCGGTAACCAGTTTGGCCAACTTCGGTATACCGAAACCGGTAAATTCGGTAAACGGTAAATTGTTTACCGACCGAATCCCACCCATTCCATTGCAGGAATCATCAGTCTAAGGTATTTGTCGCAACGTAGAAGATAGGTAAGTTGTGATAAGGTTTGTTACTAGTAGATAGAAGAAGATGGGAAAATTGAGAGAGAAAGAATGTGGGGATCGAGCAATAAATATGCCCTCCCATTATTCACCTTTGAACTTGATCCCATCTATCTCCCCCCGTGCCATCATTTTCTTCAAAATCTTGGCTGCCTTTTTTCTCTCTACCTATAAAGACTTTTGGGTATCGTTGCTTTGGTTTCTTTCTTGTGGACTCCCTCTTCACAGTTTTGATTAGGTACATGGAACATTGCCGCCTTTACATCCTCCCAGCTTATCCACACCCTCGAAAACCTGCAGCAGCAGCAGCAGTGGGCACATATAGATAGTACGGTAGTCTCTGCTGGCTGGCTGACTGAGTGCTCATGTCTCTCTCACACCCTCTCTCTCTCTCTCATATGTGTATACATTTTGTTAAAGTGGGTTCCTCAATGGTAATCCTTGTGGTACAAACGTCTATAGATTTCAATGTTTTAGAAACCCTACCATATCGGTCTGACCTAAAACCCTATTGTATCGGTTGGTCGGACTTGGAACTATCGAAAATCGGACCCCAAAAGGTAGGTGATTTTTACCGGTACAAAACAGGTAAAACTGCGATTCAATTGTCAAGAAACAATTGATCTCAATAACTAAAGGTTCAAAACAATGAATCTTATACGCGCCACATATTAACATGCTCACTCAAACGAAAGCCACTTAGATAGACTTGTAAGTTTGGACATGCATCAGACACCAATTGGTACCAGTAACTCGAGTTGTTGGGAAAAAGGTTTAATACTGAATTTTATACCACATACTAAACATGTCCCCCTCAAACGAAAACCACTCATATAAACTTGAAACTTGCACAGTGATCAGAAACCACGTGCTTACAAATGGAGGTTTGAGGATTCAGATAGAAGACATCTAGGTCACAGAAGGCTCTGATATATACATGTCAAGAATCAGTTGATCTCAACTCGAGTTGTTGGACAACCGTAATTGCTGCAAGCCTGAGATTGAGAGAGAATGATACATATTTGGTGAGACGTTGTGGGTACCTCTTTTTGCCATCTTGTATGGCTTTCTTATTATTTTGGTTTTCTTGTTTGTTTTTGACATGTTTTGTCACTTGTGTGTGTGGCTTGTGCAGTGTACATCCCACCATTATGATGCCAAAGGATTTGTTAAGGTGTGATTCGTCGTGATCGTGACTTTCCTATTGTAGTTTGCTATCTTTTGTCTAAATAATTGAAGTTTCAAGAAAGCATGTTTGTGATAACGTTGGGTCAAAGAACTGATGAACTCCCATCAGAGATAGGTGTGGTTGAAGACAATAATCACTATTTTCAGTGCTCATTGGAAGAAATAGTATGACCATATAAAAGGTTAGAGTAAAGGACAGTGATGAGAAACCCCAAAAGATAAAAGAAAAGGGCAAAGGGACACAAGTGATTTTGCAGCACTCAAACACAGATATGCCTCTGTATATATATAACTGCTCTCTCTTGCTGGCACGCCCATCGTCCATATATAGGCTAGATGTGTGTACGATTGCGTTGAAGAAGCATGTGGCTGTGTTCGACCGGACTAAATCGACAGTCGAATCGCGTGTAAATCGGAGTTTTCTTCGTACCGGACTAAATCCACATTCGAACCGTCAAATACGGGGTCGAATATAATGTAAGTACGAATCTCGGTCTAGTGAATTGTCTGAACATAAAAGAAAAAAAGTTTTTTTTTTTTTTTGCAACAAACCAAACCGGGTCGAATGTGCTAGCTAGAAAGGGTTGACAACAAGAAGGTCCAATATATAGAGCTAGCTAATAGGGCAATTTGAATCCTCCTATTTACATAGCTAAATTAAGCTAGACAAGACAAATCTAGCTATAGCCGCACTGTTTAAGTCGATCCCATTATTGCTGTTCCTACTTGCTAGCTTCATGATCACTTTTAACTCAGATCCTAGGGTTTGATTTGATTATTTCAGACCTCTTAAGTTCCTTTTTTAATCAGACACATATATGTTAATACATAATCAGTTCTTCTATAATGACCTTTCATATTGCAGCAGCAACAACAACAAGGTAAAAGCACTGCAGATGCCTACTTATTTCCCCAGAAAAGCAAAAGGAAAGGCCAAACGCATCTATCTGTCAAACAGATTAAGAACCAGATCCGCAAATTTTTCCCCCTTTGGATCTGGGGAAACTCATTAATTAACCCTAGCTGTAACTTTAAATCACACTCAACCCTAAAACCATAAAAACCTCAATCAAGCAAGCAAAGATAAGGCGAAGCTTGACAGGTAACAGGGCTATCCAATCCAGATCGATCGAAACCCTATTCCCCAGTCACGCAATTAAACGACTTTTTCGATGAACCCTACTCGGATTCCATTTTCAGATATGAAGTTCAAACAACCGGAGCAGCTGTCGCTATCGCTGAAAAGCAAAAATGCGAGAGCGAAAAAAGAATCAAACCCTAGAAAGAGTGGAGCAAGCAACAGCAGCAGGAGCAAGCAATTATTGGAGGTGATATTAATTCCCCCCTCCAGCAGCCCACTACTCCGCCACTAACTAGAATGGCAAAAGAACAAAAACCCAAACCCTACAAAAAAGTCAAGACGATCGAGGAGGATAGAATAGATAGAGACGAAGGAAGAAACAACGCGTGACCTAGAGGAAGGCGGGTCATTATTGTTAGGGTATTGGGTTGGACCCATTTCTCTTTTTCAAGTATCCTTTCAGATCAACAGAAAGAAACCCAAACAAAATCAGCACCACGAAAACAAACCACAAGCTATAGCACTAACATTGCACATTACCAGCAGCAGCAGCAGCAGCTAGGTAGCTGATGATATACACCAAGGCGCAAAGCCACTCCTCCTTCATCAGCAATCCACTGCACAATAAAGCTATGGATAGCGACCTTTCCTCCCCTGTAGCTACTTTTTACTCTAAAGTTTCTCTTTTCAACCACACTTGATGGATGGATGGATGGATGGATTTTTCCCAGCTCTCCCCCACTTGTTTTTTTTTTCGGACTGAGCTGACGCGCTGTTTCCAGCTAATTAGTGTCGTCTAATGTGTTCGAATAAAATCTGTGCTACGAAGCCTCACATGCGCAGGAGCTACTGCATATATTATCTACTGTGACTGATGATAAAGTTGAAGTGAAGAAACAGTAGAGTTGAAGTAGCAAGAAGCATATATGATATATTATCCATGATAAAGTTGGGTCAAACTTTCAGGTCAAAACGTATACTGATAGAGCTTCTGTTTGTGGAGGTGTGGGTGTGGTTGAATTTGTGGGTTTGGCTGGCAGTTTATGGGCCACCAGCTAGAGATATAATGGCCGGCCGGTTTGCCTAAGCTAGTTGCAGAAGGTGAGATCTTTATGAGAAATAGTAAGCCATAAATGTTTGATAAATGGGTAAAAGGGTACACGCACCAAGCAATTTGCAGCAGCAGCAGCAGCATTTCAACAGATAGAAAGATAGATACCATTTCATTTCATATAATTTCTCCACCTCTATCTTGCTGCATTACTCGGAAGCCCAACATGCGCTATAGTGGCTAGAGCATCCAGGATAAACTGTACTTGAGCAGAAGCCAAAAAGGAATCAAAGGACTGGGTGGGCGAGCAACCAAAAAAAGAAATCACACCCAAGAACCAGAACCTGTTAGAGAGTGGTATAATATCCAACAGAACCTTCTCTCCCAACAACTCGCAAGTTATTGGGAGCTAACTGGTTCATGACATGGTATCAGAAATGGTTTAGCCAAGTGGTCGTGTATTAAAACATCAAGTGATCAGTGCAAACTTCAAACCCATGAGTTGACTTTCGTTTGAGTAGGTGTATTAAAGAATGGTATAACATCCAACATAAACTTCTCTCAACCGAAAAATAACCAAACCCATGCCGACATGCACCAGATCTGATCAAGAAAAAGGGAGCTAGATTAGATCTGTAAGTGTTGGAGGGAGAAAACAGAAGGCCCAAAGAGAAGAAGAAGAAGAAGAAAGATGAGAGTTGGGGATGGATGACGTAGATCTGCAGGTGTGTTAAGCGCACCATCCATCGGTGGAGATGATCTGCCAAACCCTAAATCCCCATTAACCCTAATCAACCCCTGAAAACCCTAGCCACGACAAGATGAAGAGTGGAGCGACAGCTAGCATTTACTCCCCGCCACTAACTAGAGGCCAAAAGCTGGCCAAAGGAGGAAACCAGTAAGCAAAGTGAAAGACGATGGAGAGAAGAAGCTCTAGCTAGGCAACAGTACTTAGAGGGAGAGAGAGATCTGACGGCCCAGATGATGACATGAGAGCATGAACCAAAAAGAAATCAACACCACTAATTTAGATCAAACGCACAACCAAACATTATACACATCTCGATCCATCACCCTCCACCAGCTGATGATGATATGATACAGAAGAAGGGCCACTCAATTCCATCAGTAATGGCAGTCATCCTCTGCACTAAAAAGCTATCGAAAATGACCCCCAAGCAATTCTCCCTTACTAAAAAAAATGTTTTTTTTTTCTGCTTTTATATATACTAGCTTTGTCCCCGGCCAGTTGGCCGGGTGAGTTTCGAGTCTTATCTTATCATTTGTGATCTCACAATATAAGTTAATGAGAATACAAGTAAGTCAGTCATTGTTTATATCTCAACTAAGTAGTCCACATTCAATTAATGATTTTTAGTTTTCATTTAAACCCTGCACACTTTTAAGTTATGCATTCCATTTCTAATCAATGACTATTGGAATGTGGCTAAGTTTATCACATACGCGTGATAAATATGTCAATATTGTAACCAAAAAAAGTTATGTCAATATATATCATTCACACACATAATACTTCAATCCTCTCCAACTTTTACTCATGTCCTCCAAAGAGGTTTTAGAAACTCACATTTTATATATTTATTTTCAGATTTGTCAATTAAAGCAGTCACATTTATCATCTTATAGATGACATATGAATCAATATTGGTTCTCAAAATCTAATGATTGAATTGTATATATATACTATATGGAATGTCCATTTATTAGGAAGAATACATTCATCTTGTCAAATAATATTGAAACAATTTTTATATTTTATTCAAAGTGACACATTTAAAGAACGCTAAAAAAGGTCCATCTATAATTTTAAACAAAAAAATTAAGTTTTATTCAAAGTACACAATTTTGTTCGAATTTAATCAATAATTTACCTCAAAAGCAAAGTAGGATAAATAATATATATACACAAAACTTTTAGCATGGTTCGTAATTTTTTAGGGGGGTCGACAACCGTTTATTTATATATATATTGCAGCAGGTATCACCGCAAGTAATTAATATATATATATTATAAATAGGGATAACTAATTATAAAAATTAACTTAGGAAAAAAGATGAAGGGATAAGTTTGAAGTGGCGCAGGCTAGAGAGAGAAAAAATAGTGGGAGGAAAAAAATTCATCGGCTAAGGAAACGGTTTAAGGGGAAAAAATAAAAAAAAATATATTAAAACACTAAAAAAACCGAGAAGTGCGGAGAAGTCTTGGAGGCTTACGTGGAGGGGGTCATATTTTCAATCTGCTTTAATATATTTTAAGATTTATTTTATTATATATATATATTGCCTTGGCTAGTTTAATGTGTGGTAGGAGTATAAAAAGGTTTTTAATATTATTTGAGATCTCACTCGAATCATCATTCACCACCCTACTTTCTCACAAATAAATAGACTGGTGTGATTGTGAGTGTGCAAGTGCAACCAATAAAAATATAGTTTAATCTAACAGAATAAAAATGTTGTAACATGTTTCAACCAATAAAAATATAGTTTAATCTAACAGAATAAAAATGTTGTAACATGTTTCAAAATATCACAAACGAGGATTGATCTTTAATTTTCAATCTCAAACCCCCTTGATCTTTAGGTTTGAATCCCAACCCAAAACCCTAAATTGTATATATATTAGTTCCTTTCGTCACAAATGTTTACTATTGTAAACACACAAAAAAAAATGAAATAATGATCAACAAGCATGCCTAGAGCACAGTTTCAGTACAGTAGAGTGGAAGACCACATTCATTCCACATATATGCTGAATGGGACAAAAGTAGCCGCAATCCCGTTCTGTTTAGTACAAACCAAATAATCTAATGACCTAGTGACGCCGACCGTGCTGCTTTGATTATGAGTAATTAAATTAAAGAAATCTAAAGTTAATCTTGATTAGTAATTTACACGTGTTTAGCTTCAGAGAGATGTTTTTTTACCAGCTTAATCCAGGGTTCAATGTTGGAAGTTAGATTAGATCTTTAAATGATTAAGCAACGGGATCTGCAGTATTTGGAAGAAGAAGATGGCCTGAAACTTAGTCCAAACAATGGAGCAGCTGGAAAAGCAATGTGAGAACAATAGAATCAAGCAGCAGAACAAGGCAAAAAGCCACTAAGTACTATTTGGATGGATGGTGATATCGATTCCCTTTCCCAACCCCTATCCTCCACTCCAGCCACTAACTACACGATCCGGGGGCGGAGCCAGAAATACGAATGAGACGAGACGAGTTCGACTTGAATTGCGATAATAGAGGAGGAAGGCTAGAGCATTGATTATGCACCTTCTATTCTAATTTTCTACGTTCTTCAAAAATTTACTGTGTAATGTTGCTTCTGTTTGAAAGTTGAGGAGGACCGACTACAACAACTAAGGGTGTACGTGCAACGGTTTAGCCCGAACTTTGGTCAAACTTACAGGCACCACACGGTCCAAAAAATACAATTCGATCCGTTTTGGTCCGCTGTTCAAATGACAGTTTCACCCATTTTGCTTCAATAATTATAAAAAATTCACGGAACCACACCGGACCACATTATGTTTAGTTCAGTATGATCTGATCCGAAAGTCGACTTGACTCATTACAGTCTCCTTGCAGTACTTCGTCTCCTTCCTATCCTTCCTTCCTTCCTTCCGCCTTTCCCAACCTTTGCTCTCTCTCTCTCTCTCTCCCCCCCCTCTCTCTCTCCCCATTCCTCTTCTTAAATCTAATCTTTCCCAAACCAAACCAAACCAAACATCATCATCCAGCTAAAGCTAGCAAGCAAAAAAAAGCAAAGCTCGGAAAATGATGGAAGACGACCAGTACTACTTCTTCTACCCCAACTCCACCACCACCACCAACCAGATTCACACTGCTACCAAGCAGCAGCTTCACAGCGACATGCTCAACACCATCCACCACCAACAACAACAAGATCACCACCCGCTATTCCAGTACTACTCGCCACCTCCCTCTTCTCCTCTCCTCCTCCCCCTTCCTAATTACTACCACCACCCCGACATGGGATCTGGTGGTGGTGGCGACAGCAACACCACCACCATGATGATGAACAACAACATAGTTGACCTTACCAGCAGCTTCCTCCTTCACCACCACCCGAATCACCCTCCTCCTGCTCCTCCTCCTGCTCCAACCCATGATTCCACCACCACCGCGGTCTCAGAAACCCCTCCTAAGCCGAAGAACAAGGCAATGAACAGGAAGAGGTGCTGGAGGAGGGACAGGCACAGCAAGATCGAGACCGCCCAGGGCCCGCGAGACCGACGGATGAGGCTCTCCCTCAAGGTGGCCCGACCCTTCTTCGGCCTCCAGGACAAGCTCGGGTTCGACAAGCCTAGCAAGACCGTGGAGTGGCTGCTCAACCAGTCCCGCATCCACATCGACCACCTCTTCTCCTCCTCCTCCACCACCACACAACAACAAGAAGCCGCGGAGATGGCCATGAAGATGAACTGCATGACCTCCTCCACCGCCACCACCACCACTGCAACTCCTTCGCCTACTTTCGATCCAGTACTACTAGCCACGGTAGAAGAGGGACTCGATAGCAGCAGCGTTGTTACGGAAGATCATGACAAGGAGACGACGACGAGGAGGAGGAGGAGATGCAGGAAGGAGGGCTCGATAACAACCGCTACTGCTAGTTATAAATCGAGTCCGCGGAAGACGACTACGAAGATGATGAAGATGAAGAAGAAGAAGAAGGTGGTGAAGAAGGGAATCGTCTCATCGGTGGTGACGAGGAGGGAGGTGAGGGAGAAGGCGAGGGAAAGAGCGAGGCAACGTACCAAAGACAAATTGCTCATCCTCTCCATCTGCAGATCTACTACTAATGCTACTACCATGGCAAAAACTACTAGCTCCCCATTTCACCGCCAAGATCATCATCATCATGACCAGGTAGGTACCTTATTAGAATATTCGTTACATATACATATATGCACCTACATATTGAGTCAGTCCGCGCTTCTATTCCCCTGCTGATGGAAGCATCTTTGTACTATGATCAGCTGCAACAACAACAGCCGCAGCAGCCGGAATTTCAATCGTTCCACGGGCAATGGGATGCGGTGGCTGCTTACAATTACCACCTCCACCACCAACAGCATCCCCAACCTAGTTTGATTTAGTGAGTGAGTGGATATATATATGGTTGGAAAAACTGCATGGGATCAAAGATTGATCATCATAACTGTATATATGTTCCTGGTGAAATTCCTTTCCTTACTTCCATGTATCTATCTATCTGTCTATCTGTATCAATAATCTAGTTCAAAGGATGTGTTGCTGGCTTTTTCTGATGTTCATCCCTCTCCTTATCTACTTACTACTTTTGTTTTCTTTCCTCTTAGCTACTTCTCCATTATATGTAGACGTGTAGTTCTCTTTTCTTTGCCCTTCTTCTCTTCTTGGTCCCCGCCTAGCCCTTTTCAAGGACATATTGGGTTCCTCCGGCTGTTAATCCATCATGTTGGATTTTTTTTTTGGGAGGGTTTTTTCTTCTAGTAATTGAGAAATTTGGTTTTGTGTTATGTAAAAGGAAAGTTTGAGTACTGTTTTTTGGGGATATTTATATGATGATTAATTCTTCATCTCTCTCGAACATGTCTCGAAAGTTCTGAAATTTGTCTCTTAACCGACGGCTTCAAAGAAATGTCAACGACTTATTCGTTTGATTTAAAGTGAAACAACCAAATTCGATTTTTGCCTTCAGCTTCCCTTATGCAGTGAAATTTTAACTTGATATACTTTGTTCTTCCTTGATTAATGGATTTTTTCTTCTTTTTTTGCGAGAGCATCCAATAACTTGTGTTGTCTCAGTAAATTGTTGTAGCATTAGGATTGAGACATTCTAGATCAGACAAACAAAATTTGATCCAAGATTAATTGCTTGGTTGACTGTCCATGAAGGAGTTAAGTATTTAGCTTCATTTGCTAGTTATGCAATTTGTCAGAAACTCATTATTTCGGTACTCATCAGACAAACAAAATTTGTGATCCAAGATTAATTGCTTGGTTGATTGTCCATGAAGGAGTTAAGTATTTAGCTTCATTTGCTAGTTGTGCAATTTGTCGCAACTCATTTAACGTTATTTATTATTCAGGATGTTTTTATGTATGTTGGCTATTTTGGGAACTCTTGGGGCTTAATTGGTCAGATTAATTATTCGGATAGGTGTAAGGAATTAGTTGGATTAGAGGAGAATTGGAGGTTAAGCAATATCATAATAATTATTTCCTACAGTTAATCTCTCTCCACCTAGCCGAACCCTCTCTCTCTCTCTCTCTCGACCCTTGTCGTCGGCCTCCCTCCCCGAGAACCGACTTCTGCTTCTTCCTCATCCCCATTCCCTATTTTTTCTCACTTAAATCCCTAATTCTCTCGCCAATCGTGTATCATAAATATCACACCTAGATCCATGTTCTTTCACAATTGTTCTTGATTTTCTTGATTTACATGCAGTTACTCTTGAGGCAATGAAAATGCAAATTTTGAAGTGTTCTTCGTGTCATCGACACTTTCGATTCAATCATTGTCAATGAAACTTCTCAATCCTTCTTCTGAGTTCTGTCTTATAAAAAATTTAATAGTCTGCAACGCCTCGTAAATATTGAAAGGTTCTTTTTCAAGCTCCAAAGTGTATTTTATTTTGTGTATGCTTAAATCTAGACAACATACTTGCTGCAAACATCAAACATGGTCTAGTGGTTGCTAAGTAGAGTAATCTACCTACCAAACTTTCAAAAAAAAATTCCATTCACCAACGTCTAATCATATGCTTTTGACAAATTGTTATTTGCCTCCAAATTTGCATTTATCCATCTTGAATTTCTTCAAGATGTCTTCATCATATTTCTTCTGGTAAACAAAGATTCATTCCTTTGTTTGCCCAATTTCCATGCCCAAAATGTAATTCCTTTCTCGAGGTCTGACAACACTAACTCATTCTTATGTCATCCTTGATGTTTTGGCTTTATTCCTAATTATTCCATGTGATAAGTAAATCTTACACGGTGTAGGGAAACAATCAGTAGATTTTAAGAGATTAAGCGAGTTATTAGTTTTTGTGAGAAGTAAACCATACATGTTTTGCATTTGTTGATGGATCCATTGAAATTTAGTCTTGTCCAATAAAACCATTTGACACTAATTAATGATTTTCTTTTGCTTAGGTCTATCAACTAACTCCCAAATTTAATTTTTTTCGACCATATTAACTCATCCTTTATGGTAGTATTTCGTATTGGGATGCTTCTTTATAGATGTGTGGTTTAATAAAAATTAGCTCATCTTTTTTCTTGATTGCGCCACGTATCCTCTGCAGTATTTTACATTAAAAGTTGTGGATTTGTAATACTACCTTAGTACCTTTTTTTTTCTCTTTGCCATAGTACCTTGTTTGAGAGGGTAGGGAAAAAAAAGGCTGAATCAGGACGGGCTTTAAGCCCTATGGTCCCCTTGTTTCAGCCTGTTTATTAGTATGCGTGGTGGGTAGCCCAAATCCAGTTAGATCGATGGAAGCCCACAGGTGGGCCTGGTCATGATTCTTAGAATCAAATCACACACCGACACAGCAGCATATATCTAATCTAACTATCGTCACCGCTAAACATTTTTTTATCATAAAATTCATCACTTACTTTCAACACAACTAATATTTGATTTAACACTAAAAAAATAAGGTACGTACCTTAACTACTCGCGGCCATGCATGCACTGTTACGTTTACCAGAGGTTTTGGTTCTTGCTAGCTAGATACTACTGGATTTTGGCTCTGCTTTTTTGTGAATGGATGAAAGCACAAGGAGAAGAGGAAAGCAGATCGATGGAGTCAATAATGGAGATTACACCCACGAGACAGAGACGAGATCGGCCGAGGAAAAGCTGGTGATGAAATAGATTGAGAGAGAGAGACAGAGAGAGAGCACGAGAGACAGATTGAGAGAGAGAGAGCATGAGAGAATGAAGTATGTGGAAATGCAGCAAAGCAAATGAAGAAGTATATATTTCCTGCCTTCTCCTTTCACTTCTTTTTTTTTTTTTTTTTTTTTTGGTATGGATCCAATCTTAAGATTATATATCTCACAAAAGAAGATCACCCAAGTTTGACTCCAAGGGTGATCATTAAAGACGAGTAGCTACTAGCTAGCTAGGCTCCGAGACAAAAATTAGGACCTATTCAAACTGAAACTTTTTCTTGGAAAAAAAAATGCAATTATATATAGAGGTTTTTTTAACCGTTGATGTTTCTGATCTATATATAAAAAAAATTGTGTCTATTCAGGACTGTTTTAAGAAACTTGTGGTCTAAATTTGACAGCAAGTCGTTGGTATTCTGCGTAATTTCTACAGGGGCATCTACGTTCATATTCAGCATGGAATTGTGTACGTACAATATTAATTATTATGTGATTAAAGGCTTTATATATGAATGTGGTTATCAATGTATGGCGTACGACTCGGCGCATGATATCCGTATATATGTTGTTAATTACTCTTTAGATGTAATTTATCAAAATTGTGGGTTATTATTTTGTTAATTAAATTAATCTTATGATTTGGGTAGGGATTGGGGTTCACCAGGTAAAAGATCCGTGTGTAGTATCATGTCTCAAATTTTAATTAATTTATGGTCCAAATAATTAAATTCATTAGGCGTTACAATAAGATTAGGATAAGTTAGGTGTATGCTAGAGTTTAGGATGTGGTGTTTAGAGAATTAGGAGCAAATAAGATTAGGATAAGTTAGGTGTATGCTAGAATTTAGTCTTGTCCAATAAAACCATTTGACACTAATGATTTTCTTTTGCTGGCCAAACTAAGGTATTAACCCAATAATTAAATTCAATAGGCGTACAATAAGATTAGGATAAGTTAGGTGTATGCTATAGTTTAGGATGTGGTGTTTAGAGAATTAGGAGCAAAATTTTACTCAAATTTACTCATTAGCGATTACCATGTCCCAAAATCCAGTTATCACAACATTTTTAGATAATGTTTTTTTTACCAAAGCCTAGCTACCATACATATTATTGACTATAATTATTAAATAATGCGTATAGAATGCAGAATGTGCAGGTGGTTGGTGCATGCAACGAATTAAATCAACTCGGCAAAACATAGTACGTAGATGATACGTACGTAGGTTAGGACACAAATGTTTCAGCTTGTACTTAAATCATCATCATCGTCATCTGGTCATATGTCATTATTAAAAAAAAAAAAAAAGGAGGCTAACGAAGCAAAACATCCCAAAACTCGGACATGGATTAGATAGATCCTCAAAACCCTGTTTGTGCTTGGCTTGATTTGGGAGTTTTACCGTTTCATGCATATATTTCCATATATATAAACATTCTTTTGTCTACCCGTTAATGCGTTTATTCAATGGATAAACAAGCTTAAAACCAGATCAAACACACACACACAAAAAAAACACAGGAAAAGGAAGATGACCCGTTGGGTTGAACCATTGGTTTCACTGTTGGATCTATGAAATGTCCACTGTTTAGTAGCAGTAGCAGAACCATATAGTTTAATGTCAGCAAGAAACCAGGACCAAAAATCACCATCACCATCACCTAGATTGCTACCCCTGTTTTACGTACGGCGGGCTAGAAAATAAAGAAAGGGTAGGTTAGGTATGATATGATAGAACAAATATGAAGTCGTCAATCTTGGGCCTGCAATTGCTGTTTCGGCGTCAAATTGAGATGACATGCTCCACCGTTCCTGTACCTCAGCTAGATTGATCCATCCAAATTTTTTGCTGGCAAACGAGACAATTTGGTATAATTGTCTCAAAACGAGACAATTGTGTCAAATTGATCCATAACAATTCCTCCATCCAAACGATCCTGTAAGAGTTTTCCTACCGGAAAGTGTCCAATGTGCATCGGTGTTTTAAGACGGGTGTTAATACCAATGGATCTAATTTTTAATGTTAAGAAGATGATACTTAATAATAGAATGGATTGGTAATTGGATCGGATCAAATGGATTGGTGGATTGGATTGGTGGATCCATGGATCAAATGGATAGGTGGATTGATCCATGAATCCAAATAGCATCCAAGGCTTGGACCAAAATGTAAATTTTGAAAAGTTTAGGTACTAAAATGTCATAATGAAAAATTGTAGGTACCAAAATGTAATTTTCCAATGATATTTTTCGTATAAAAATATAAATTTTAGGTTCCAAAATGTAAAATATAAAAAATATAGGTACCAAATCGTAATTTGTCTTTTGGATCCATGGATTGATCCATGAATCCACCAATCCAATTGGATTTGGATCAAATGGACTGGATTTAAATGGATTGGATTAGGTGGATAATTTGGTGGATGGATTGGATTGGATTCATGGATTTGGATCATAATTGCCACCTCTATCTACCACAAAGTGTGCTTAATGATTTGGTCAACTCTTTCTCCCTCCCAGTCCCAGGCCTAGTGAGTCCCTTAGTCATTAGCCTATATATTCTATATAGAGGGAGCAGCAGGATCCCAACAAGATCTCACCCATCTTTCAAACCAGCAGAAGAAACAAAGAATTGAGGCATGCAGCTATGCAAATTTGTCCCCCCATCTCCTTCATAAATCTTCCCACTTCTCTTCCATTCCATGGTATTAGTAGCTCTAGGCTCACTAGTCTAGTATGCTACTATCAACTTCTATAACGTGCATATATGGCTATATTATTATTGGGTCCTGAAGAAGATTCTGAACATAAAAGATATAACCTAAGGTAGGTAAGCGAGACAGAAAAATGGAACGATATATACGCGCTCGGGAAAATCCACAAATTAACCGTACAAAGAAGCAAAACATTTCCAAGAGACCAAAAATTATATATCTCGTCTTAAAAGGATGGTTCTTCCTCTAAATATTTTATAAATAATGATAACGCTGAATCAAGCAGGCATCCAATTCCAACAAACAGATGAGCTAGGATCCGACAGTGAACTCCATCTCTTCTCATTTTTCCACATTTTGCTGATGTGGGTAGTATACGAACTCAGTAGGCTCGCCCCGTCCACATGAACACTCTCAATACCCCAATTCCCGGCATAAAAGCCCCACAATGCCTATGCCGAACAGCGATTTCCAGCTCCGTAAAGCTGCAGTTCCAACGAAAATTCAAGTCAAATCATTGCTGAAAGTAACCAAAACACCAATTAACCAGCTCGGAATCGGGGCGGCGAGACTACAGGAAGAGAGGGGGAAACCTTCAATAGAGCAAATATGCTCACAGGTCACAGCCCATTGAGCAGATACCCATAGGGGCAGATGGCAGCTCACGTCTCTTTGGACGGAAAAGTGGGGCCCACAAATTCAAAAAAAAAAAAAAAAAAATCAAAAGTTTCCTTTTCCCGTATCCTTTTTTTTTTCTCTCGATCACTTTGCGGGGAGCGGATCGTGTCAGTAACTGATGGGTCAGTAACCCATTCTCTGATCTCCACGTGTCAGTTCACTTTTTTATTTAAATTAAATGCGGAAAAGCAGTAAGGTAAAATGCACTTATCCCCTATTTATTGCTGACGCGCTGACTTTTGACCGACCACATCAGTCTCTCCTTCTCTCTCATCGAAAAACCTTTAATTTTCCTTCTCTTAATCTTTAACGGACGATTTCTCACTCGTTTTAAGTCGAAATTTAATTTTTTTTGCACAGTTAGATCAGATTAATTATACTCTTCAAAATGATATCCACTTTGATATTTTTTTGACACAAATTTTTTTCCAGTTATTACCAGTCTATACCATATGGTATAGTGTGGTAATATCAATATATATTTCGTTACCACCCAATACCATATGGTATAGTGTGGTAATATCAATATATATTTCGTTACCACCCAATACCATATGGTATAGTGTGGTAATATCAATATATATTTCGTTACCACGCAATACCATACATTACCATAGGGTATAGTGTGGTAATATCAATATATATTTCGTTACCACCCAATACCATATGGTATAGTGTGGTAATATCAATATATATTTCGTTACCACCCAATACCATATGGTATAGTGTGGTAATATCAATATATATTTCGTTACCACCCAATACCATATGGTATAGTGTGGTAATATCAATATATATTTCGTCACCACACAATACCATATGGTATAGTATGGTAATATCACACAATACCATATGGTATAGAGTGGTAATATCAATATATATTTCGTTACCACGCAATACCATACATTACCATAGGGTATAGTGTGGTAATATCAATATATATTTCGTTACCACCCAATACCATATGGTATAGAGTCATAATATCAATATATATTATCTAAAAGGAAGAAAAAAAAACAGAAGGAGGGAGAGGGGAAAAAAACTCATCTTCTATTTCGTCTCATTTCCTCCGCAATCAAGAACACCAAACGCCAAAAAAGGGAGAAAGACCGAAATTGAGGCTAACGAGTTGATGAAGAGACAAAAAACGCAATGAAAGAGGGTGGCTGCAAATTTTCTTCGTCGATTACTGGAGAGAAAAAAACGAAAAAAGAAGAGAAGGAAGCAGATCTAGATATGGAGATAGAGATTGGAGAGAGAAAAAAGAACAGAGAAAGAGAAATGATAGATTGAGAGAGAAAAAGGAAGGGAGAAAGAGAAAAGAGAGTTGCAGAGAAATGATTCTCTCTCCTCCTTTGAAAAAGCAGCCATTAAAAGTGGTCTTTTTTTTTTTGAAAAAGCGGCCATTAAACTTGGAATATCATAAAAATAAAAATTCATAAACGGACAAAAATGCCCTTCTGGACCCCGCATTCAGCCCAGCCGCATGATTGATCCACCCCTAGATCTACGGTCCTAAGGTGGTTACTCACTGGTGAGTAACAAAGGGTTACTCACCCTATCTCAAGCCCACTTTGCGGTTTCCATATTTTCTCACTCTCTCCAAAAACTTTATGTTTTGCTCTTTCTCTCTCGTTTCTTCTTCTCCCGAAAACCACCACAAAACCTCTCCGTCGAGGGTTGCGAGGAAGAAGACGACGACTTTGAGGGCAGCGGCGACGACAGTATTGCGACGAGGGTTCCGACATGACGACATTAAAACGAGGCGCATGAAGTTGTTGACAACCGGGGGGAGAATCCAACGTCGGTAGCGAGAGGAGAAGGCAGAAGACAACGACGGAAGTGTGAGAGGAAGCCGACGAAGGCAACCAGGAGGATGTTGTTGAGGTAGGCGGCCATTATCTCTTTCTTGATTCATTGGTTCGAAGTTAGGGTTTCATGGATTCAAATATGGGGGTCCTGGGATTCGAATGTGGGATTCTGGGTTTTGTTTGTTGATTTGTTAAATTAGGATTCATGGGATTTGATTTTGGGGGTTCTGGATTTTGTCTTTCCGATTGCTAGATTTAGGGTTTCATGGATTCGAATATGGGTTTTTGGATATCATTTAACTCACTTTGGATTCAAGTAGTAGTTGTTGAAGATACTGGTTTGTTAAAATGGATGAAACTGGTGAATATGGGTTTCTGGATATCCTTTAATTAACTTCATATTCAAATAGTATTGAATGTCGATACTAGTTGGTTAAAATGGATGAAAACTGGTTCTTTTATGTATGGATATCATTTATGACACTTTGGATACTATTTTGTTCAGTATGGTAATGTGGATGTGTTGATACTAGTTCTTGAGTATGTTGATACTAGTTGAATATATTAACTAAATACTAGTACTATCATGTAATGATATCAGTTCTTTTACTGGGGATATTGTTATGTGCATTATGGATAATAGTCTAGGTTGTTTACATGCCTAAATATCTTCTATATTTCTGTAATTGTCTTTTCGGACATTTGCAGGATGATAGGATCCAAAATGAGTGCGAAGAGAGCTCGTTCTGGAGAAGGATTATCATATCCGCCTATTGAAGAACCAAAACATGTTAAGCAAGAAGATGGGGAAGAAGAAACCCCGGGAGCATATGATGAGCAGGATTCGAGCTCGTACTTCAAACTCCGTTGCCACACCTATTCCCTACTCAAGGTCATAGAGTATTGGAAGAAGGATCATGACTATTATGCAGCTTGCAAGCAAGAAGTCGAGAAGGCCGGGTTTGGTGGCCTATTGGACCTTCGAATGCCGACAATTAACAAAACCTTGTTGGACGATTTGATGGCTGCTTATGATTGCTCGACCGATAGCTTCATTTTCGGTGAAGGAGACAATAAGATAATGTTGACCATCACACCTGAGGATGTGGCGCGCGTATACGGGCTTCCTATTGGTGGGGCTGAGATTTTGGTCAAGAGATGTGAGGAGAAGATGCGCGAGAGTTTCCAAGAGGAAGTCGGCATTGGCGGGCAACCGGAGCCGCAATGTTTGTCTGAAGAAGCTGGCTAACACGGCCACTCCATCAGAAGGTGATAGACCACCTGTTGCGATGGCTGTGAAGCAGTTCTTGTTGTTGGCAACTGGTTCTTTGCTAGCTCCAACATTTGCTCGCATCTGTAAGCTGGACTTTGCTGAGTACTTGTGTGGGAGGGTGGAAGACATTGCGGTGTATAATTGGAATGCTTATGTTATACGTGAACTGAAGGTGAAGTTGGCTGCTGCCAAGAGAAAAGAACCTGCTGCTAGGGCTATGAGCAAAAAGAACTTGTGGGTTCTTGGGGATGTCCACTTCTTGCTAGTAAGTTATAAGTTGTGTATTGTTTTATTTTGTTCGAGTTTTTTTATATCATTTAACTCACTTCGAATACAGTTAGAAATGATTGTCGATACTTGTTGGTTGAATTCCATGAAAGCTGGTGAATATAGAATTCGGAAATCATTTAACTCATTTCGGATAAAATTAGTTGTGAATGTGATACTAGTTTATTAAATTGGATCAATACTAGTTGGTCACATGGAGATACAAGTTGACTTGCTTAAGATGCACTTTTTGTTTACCAAATACTAGTTGGATATATTGGTTGAATACTAGTATTGTGATATAACAAAAATTTTATATAATGTATTAACATTTATAATTTTTTTTTTACAGCTCCATTTGCTAGACTTCCTTAGTGTGCGTGGGTTGCACACCAAAACCATCCCTAGCTGCAACTATTGGTGGAAGCAAAGGGTGGAGAAGGCATGTCTAGCTGTCCCCAAGATTGACGGAGAAAGATATGACTTGGCTGTCGTGTTGCTGAGTAGGGAAGAAGTCACCTACCGCTCCGAGAAACAGGACCCAAAGCTAGTTGAGGGTACTATTGCACCAGCACCAGGGGCGAGCAGTTTAGCTCCTGCACCATTGCACACCACAGAATGGTGGGAGACTGAAGACTTGACCATCCTTAGCATAGACCAGGTATGTAGATTTTTTCCTTGTTACTCATGATATTGGGTTGGTAGACTTGGTTGCATATAGTAACCTAAATGTTTTACAACATATTTGTAGCTTAAGGGATTGATGTCAATGACTGAGAGCGTGATTCAAAAGTGGGTGGCTCGGAGGGACAAGGTCCAACAGATTGTCGAGAATTTGGGCCAACAAGACAACATTTGAACTTTTTTTTTGTTATTTTAAGTGGTTGTACTCTTCCTTAATGGAGTTTTGTAATAGCCATGTTGGAATGGCTTTGAATACTAGTTGTATCGCGGTTTGTCGAAAAACAACTTTGTGTTATTGTGAATTTTAGTTTGTTATTATGCAATATTAGTTGGTTTCATGTTGGACATTATTTAGCAGTCATGAATACTAGTTAGTTTTATCATAGATATTAGCTTGTTTTTTTAAATACTATTTCCTTTCATTTGGATATCAAATCGAAATCTTCAATACTAGTTTGTTTCAAAATGGATATCAGTACAAAACCCTTGTCATACACGTCCACATAGATACGGGTGATTGTAACACAGAAATACTAGTTCATTTCAAATTTACACAAACTAATATAAACACAACACACACTAATATCAGGTGAAATACGGATAAATATCCACACAAACAAACATAGATAAATATCCCTTATGATACACGTCCACATAAAACCCTTCTTTCAGCCCCTAAACCCTAAATCCGAAACACTAAACCTAAACCCCAAAACCAAACCCTAAACCGAGACACTAAACCCTAAATTAGTGTAATAATTTTTAGGTAGTTAAGTTATTTTGGGTTTGGTAAACATTACTTTAATGATAGATATTGGGTGTTGAAGACTGGATACTCATTTTATTAATGACGGATACGACTTATGACCATACCAAATACAAATTCATTTCAACAACAATACAAACTAATAATAACACAACACAGACTAATATAGGGTGAAACACAGATAAATATCCACACGAACGAACATAGATAAATATCCCTTGTGATACACGTCCCCATGGAAACCCTTCTTTCATCCCCTAAACCCTATGCCCTAAACCCTGAACACTAAGTCCTTAACTCTAAACCCTAAACCTCAAAACTGAACCCTAAATCCTAAATTGGTGTAATCAGTTTTGAGTAGTTAAGTTATTTTGGGGTTTGGTAAACATTAGCTTAATGATAGATACAATGATAGATACTAGTTTGCTTCACAATGGATACTAGTTTTACCAATGGTGGATACGTGTTTTGTCAACACGAAATACTAATTCATTTCAACAATGATAGAAACTAATATCAATACAGCACAAACTAATATCGTGTGATATACAGATACATATCCACACAAAAAAAACATACATAAATACCACAGACTAATATCCGACCAAGAAGAAATACATATCTGATATAACCAAAAGACATATCCCTACAACACATACTAATATCCAACCATCATAAAGTAATATCTTACCAGAATGTAATAATATCCAACAACCACAAACTAATATCCATGCACCCTACATTGTGTTCATAACCATTTCAGCAATGTCGTCTTCCAAGTTAATTAGGCGGCCATCTTGTTGAGTATCGGTGTCCTACGTGAGCACTTATAGTGATTTCAGTCTCTTACCATAGACAATCTTCTTTCGACGGTATTTTTTCTCATTCTTGGACTGGTAACGTTCCTTGTTGTCTCTTTGGATTACTCTTCTCCTTCAGAGACAACCCACTTATCGATATCGAAAGGTCCTACAATTTTAGTGACTTCAGTAATGCATGCAATGATATTAACTTCTAACAATTTGCAAATCATATTCGATACACTTACCGTCCTCGCTAGTTATAGTCTTTGACAATGCTTTGTTAGCCTCCTTGCTCACTTTCTTCAGTGCTCTCATCCTCTTGTTGTACACTTTCTCATTGGCTATTTACATCTTCGTTACGAGTTGATTCAACATTGCAGTGGCTTCTCGGTACCTCATTGCTATACCTCATTTTCCATCATCATTCTCAATGCTAGCTGAAGGACCAACTGAAGCATCAACACCAACAACTTCTTTCTTTCTCGCCTCGAACGTCCATCGCTTGAATATGTAATGCTCTTGAATAGTTATCATACTAGAACCCAAAATCTCCAAGCATTCGCATCACCTTAATCATATGGCGGCATACACCCCGAAAGTTATGAACATCATGCATTCGCTTACCAGTGTCGTCGTAGAAATATCGACGAGAATGACAAATTCATTGCTACGCTCACCATCCTCTCTATCTTATATGTAAGGTAGCCAATGAGGCCGTCAACACTAGCATGTGGATGTGACTCAATTTGATGTGATTCAGTTTCCAGATACTGCTCTTGTATCCAAATTAAGATGTTAGAAGTGAAGATCTTGGCAGCATGTTGGAGGATTGACATTTTAGCCTACAATATATAAGGCCTGATTGTTTCCCATTGTAGTCTGACTCACTCTCTTTGTGCCTTTTGTCAGCCAACAAACTACAGTCCAGACATCACCTAATATCCGCCAAACACACAATAATATTCAACCACCACGTACTAATATCAACACATCACAGGTGAATATCCCAAAAGTGCAAAGTAATATCCAAAAAGGGCAAAGTAGTCTTCAGATCACGTACCAGGTAAAGTGGATGAAAAACTGGTCGAAATCATGTCTCGGTTTCAAGAAATGTCGCACTTGTGCAATGCACGACTCACTAGCTTTTGTAGTCAACATCCCTGCAATGAATTGATCTCTAAGTTATAAGAAACATCATTAATTCTCCATGCTTCGTCAAACTCGGCCTCACTGTCGATGTACTAGAAAAGAAAAGCAAGATGATTTTTGAACTTATGCAGAATACCTTGTCCTTACGAAGATGCTTCTTCTCGTTCATCAGGATGTGTTAAGTACCAAGGGCATGAAACACAGTAACAAACAAGCCCCGAACACGCAAGTTTGTTGGTGGTGATTGAAACCGACAAAAATCCATGCGAAAAACAACCATTAAAGACAATGCATAACCGAAAGAGCGTCCAAAAAATCAAGGGAATTAAGTGGTTCACATACCCAATGGACGAAATTTTTATTGGTTCGGAAGGTCGTGTTGAAAGAGACTGAGTCTCCAAAAAGTGCACAATTTAACGCATCCTATTGTCTGCCCAAAAAATATTGACAACTTTCTCCTCGCAATCTACATGTGTACCCCCTTGCAATCATCCAAAAATTGACGCGGAATAAATCCGCCCAAATCGGTGCTTAATGGACTTAATCATCGTTGAAGAATAGCCTCAGGTAGAATCCGTGATCTGTAGCCTTCGATATCGAAAGAAAATGGCCTTTCGACGCCCACAAAATTACGAAAATGCTATCCAAAAATAAATTGGCCAAAATCAGCGCTTAATGGACTTATCATTCGTGCTGAATAGGATCAATAGACTTCATTATCGGTGGAGAATAGCCTCGGCCTGCAACTGTGATCTGTAGCCTCCAGAATCGAATAAAAATGGCATTTCGGAATAATCGCCCAAAATCTGTGATGTTACCCCCTTTGCAATCTGCCAAAAATTGACCCAGAATAAATCCGCACAAATCGGTGCTTAATGGACTTAATCATCGTTGAAGAATAGCCACAGGGCGAATCCATGATCTGTAGTCTTCAAAATCCAAAGGAAATGGCCTTTAGACGCCCACAAAATTAAGAAAATGCCATCCGAAAATATATTGGCCCAAATCGATGCTTAATGGACTTATCATCTGTGGAGAATAGGACCAATAGACTTCATTATCGGTGGAGAATAGCCTCGTCCTGATTCCGTGATCTATAGCCTCCCGAATCGAAAGAATGGCATTTTAGAAAAATCATCCAAAATCTGTGATGGTACCTCCTTGCAATCTTCCAAAATTTAATCCGGAATAAATCCACCCAAAATGGCGCTTAATCAACTTAATAATAGTTGAAGAATAGCCACAGGCCGAATCCGTGATCTGTAGCCTTCAAATCCAAAGGAAATGACCTATCGACGCCCACAAAATTACGAAAATGCCATCCATAATAAATTGGCCCAATCGGTGCTTGATGGACTTGATCATCATTAAGGAATAGCCTCATGTCGAATCCGTGATTTGTAGCCTTCAAAATTAAAAGAAAATGGTCTTTCGACGCCCACAAAATTAAGAAAATCCCACCCGAAAATAAATAGGCCCAAATCGATGCTTAATGGACTTATCATCCGTGGAGAGTAGGATCAATTGACTTCATTATCAGTGGAGAATAGCCTCTGCCTGATTCTGTGATATGTAGCCTCCAAAATCAAAAGAAAATGGCATTTCGGAAAAAATCGCCTAAAATCTGTGATGTTACCCCTTTGCAATCTACCAAAAATTGACTCGGAATAAATCCGCCCAAATCGATGCTTAATAGACATAATCATCGTTGAAGAATAGCCTCAAGCAGAATTAGTTATCTGTAGCCTTCAAAATCCAAAGAAAATGGTCTTTTGACGCCAACAAAATTACGAAATTGTCATCCGAAAAATAAATTGGCCCAAATCGGTGCTTAATGGACTTATCATCCGCGGATAATAGGATCAATAGACTTCTTTATCCGTAGAGAATAGCCTCGGCCTGATTCCATGATCTGTAGCCTCCAGAATCGAAAGAAAATGACTTTCCGAAAAAAATCGCAAAAAATCTGTAATGGTCAACCTTGGCAATCTGCAAAAAATTGAACGGGAATAAATCCGTCCAAATCAATGCTTAATGTACTTAATCATTGTTGAAGAATAGCCTCAGGGCGAATCCGTGATCTAGAGCCTTCAAAATCTAAAGAAATGGCTTTTCGATGCACACAAAATTATGAAAATGCCATCCGAAAATAAATTGGCCCAAATAGGTGCTTAATGAACTTATCAACCGTAAATAATAGGATCAATAGACTTCATTATCGGTGGAGAATAGCCTCGACAAGATTCTGTGATCTGTAGCCTCCAGAATAGAAAGAAAATGGCATTTCGGAAAAATTGCCCAAAATCTGTGATGGTACCCCTTTGCAATCTGCCAAAAATTGACCCGGAATAAATCCGCCCAAATCGGTGCATAATGGACTCAATCATCGTTGGAGAATAGCCTCAGGCCGAATCCGTGATCTGTAGCCTTCAATATCCAAAGAAAATGGCCTTTCGTCGCCCAAGAAATTACGAAAATGCCATCTGAAAATAAATTGGCCCAAATCGATGCTTAACGGACTTATCATACGTGGAGAATAGGATCAATAGACTTCATTATCGGTGGAGAATAGCCTCGGCCTGATTCCGTGATCTGTAGCCTCCAGAATCAAAAGAAAATGGCATTTCAGATAAATCGCCCGAAATCTGTGATGGTACCCCTTTGGAATCTGTCAAAAATTGCCCGGAATAAATCCGCCCAAATCGGTGCTTAATGGACTCTATCATCGTTGGAGAATAGCCTCAGGCCGAATCCGTGATCTGTAGCCTTCAATATCCAAAGAAAATGGCCTTTCGTCGCCCAAGAAATTACGAAAATGCCATCCGAAAATAAATTGGCCCAAATCGATGCTTAACGGACTTATCATTCGTGGAGAATAGGATCAATAGACTTCATTATCGGTGGAGAATAGCCTCGGCCTGATTCCGTGATCTGTAGCCTCCAGAATCGAAAGAAAATGGCATTTCGGATAAATCGCCCGAAATTTGTGATGGTGACCCTTTGGAATCTGCCAAAAATTGACCCGGGATAAATCCGCCCAAATCGGTGCTTAATGGACTCAACTATCGTTGGAGAATAGCCTCAGGCTGAATCCTTGATCTGTAGCCTTCAATATCCAAAGAAAATGGCCTTTCGTCACCCAAGAAATTACGAAAATGCCATCCGAAAATAAATTGGCCCAAATCGATGCTTAACGGACTTATCATTCGTGGAGAATAGGATCAATAGACTTCATTATCGGTGGAGAATAGCCTCGGCCTGATTCCATGATCTGTAGTCTCCAGAATCTAAAGAAAATGGCATTTCGGATAAATCGCCCGAAATCTGTGATGGTACCCCCTTTCGAATCTGCCAAAAATTGACCCGAAATAAACCCGCCCAAATCAGTGCTTAATGTACTCAATCATCGTTGGAGAATAGCCTCAGGCCGAATCCGTGATCTGTAGCCTTCAATATCCAAAGAAAATGGCCTTTCGTCGCCCAAGAAATTACGAAAATGCCATCTGAAAATAAATTGGCCCAAATCGATGCTTAACGGACTTATCATACGTGGAGAATAGGATCAATAGACTTCATTATCGGTGGAGAATAGCCTCGGCCTGATTCCGTGATCTGTAGCCTCCAGAATCAAAAGAAAATGGCATTTCAGATAAATCGCCCGAAATCTGTGATGGTACCCCTTTGGAATCTGTCAAAAATTGCCCGGAATAAATCCGCCCAAATCGGTGCTTAATGGACTCTATCATCGTTGGAGAATAGCCTCAGGCCGAATCCGTGATCTGTAGCCTTCAATATCCAAAGAAAATGGCCTTTCGTCGCCCAAGAAATTACGAAAATGCCATCCGAAAATAAATTGGCCCAAATCGATACTTAACGGACTTATCATTCGTGGAGAATAGGATCAATAGACTTCATTATCGGTGGAGAATAGGCTCGGCCTGATTCCGTGATCTGTAGCCTCAAGAATCGAAAGAAAATGGCATTTCGGATAAATCGCCCGAAATCTGTGATGGTACCCCTTTGGAATCTGCCAAAAATTGCCCGGAATAAATCCGCCCAAATCGGTGCTTAATGGACTCTATCATCGTTGGAGAATAGCCTCAGGCCGAATCCGTGATCTGTAGCCTACAATATCCAAAGAAAATGGCCTTTCGTCGCCCAAGAAATTACGAAAATGCCATCTGAAAATAAATTGGCCCAAATCGATGCTTAACGGACTTATCATTCGTGGAGAATAGGATCAATAGACTTCATTATCGGTGGAGAATAGCCTCGGCCTGATTCCGTGATCTGTAGCCTCCAGAATCGAAAGAAAATGGAAATTCGGATAAATCGCCCGAAATTTGTGATGGTATCCCTTTGGAATCTGCCAAAAATTGACCCGGAATAAAACCGCCCAAATCGGTGCTTAATCGACTCAATCATCGTTGGAGAATAGCCTCAGGCCGAATCCGTGATCTGTAGCATTCAATATCCAAAGAAAATGGCCTTTCGTAGCCCACGAAATTACGAAAATGCCATCCGACAATAAGTCGGCCCAAATTGATGCTTAACGGACTTATCATACGTGGATAATAGGATCAAGAGACTTCATTATCGGTGGAGAATAGCCTCGGCCTGATTCCGTGATCTGTAGCCTCCAGAATCGAAAGAAAATGGCATTTCGGATAAATCGCCCAAAATCTGTGATGGTACCCCTTTGGAATCTGCCAAAAATTGACCCGAAATAAATCCTCCCAAATCGGTGCTTAATGGACTCCATCATCGTTGGAGAATAGCCTCAGGCCGAATCCGTGATCTGTAGCCTTCAATATCCAAAGAAAATGGCCTTTCGTCGCCCAAGAAATTACGAAAATGCCATCCGAAAATAAATTGGCCCAAATCGATGCTTAACGGACTTATCATTCGTGGAGAATAGGATCAATAGACTTCATTATCGGTGGAGAATAGGCTCGGCCTGATTCCGTGATCTGTAGCCTCAAGAATCGAAAGAAAATGGCATTTCGGATAAATCGCCCGAAATCTGTGATGGTACCCCTTTGGAATCTGCCAAAAATTGCCCGGAATAAATCCGCCCAAATCGGTGCTTAATGGACTCTATCATCGTTGGAGAATAGCCTCAGGCCGAATCCGTGATCTGTAGCCTACAATATCCAAAGAAAATGGCCTTTCGTCGCCCAAGAAATTACGAAAATGCCATCTGAAAATAAATTGGCCCAAATCGATGCTTAACGGACTTATCATTCGTGGAGAATAGGATCAATAGACTTCATTATCGGTGGAGAATAGCCTCGGCCTGATTCCGTGATCTGTAGCCTCCAGAATCGAAAGAAAATGGAAATTCGGATAAATCGCCCGAAATCTGTGATGGTATCCCTTTGGAATCTGCCAAAAATTGACCCAGAATAAAACCGCCCAAATCGGTGCTTAATCGACTCAATCATCGTTGGAGAATAGCCTCAGGCCGAATCCGTGATCTGTAGCATTCAATATCCAAAGAAAATGGCCTTTCGTAGCCCACGAAATTACGAAAATGCCATCCGACAATAAGTTGGCCCAAATCGATGCTTAACGGACTTATCATACGTGGATAATAGGATCAAGAGACTTCATTATCGGTGGAGAATAGCCTCGGCCTGATTCCGTGATCTGTAGCCTCCAGAATCGAAAGAAAATGGCATTTCGGATAAATCGCCCAAAATCTGTGATGGTACCCCTTTGGAATCTGCCAAAAATTGACCCGAAATAAATCCTCCCAAATCAGTGCTTAATGGACTCCATCATCGTTGGAGAATAGCCTCAGGCCGAATCCGTGATCTGTAGCCTTCAATATCCAAAGAAAATGGCCTTTCGTCGCCCAAGAAATTACGAAAATGCCATCCGAAAATAAATTGGCCCAAATCGATGCTTAACGGACTTATCATTCGTGGAGAATAGGATCAATAGACTTCATTATCGGTGGAGAATAGGCTCGGCCTGATTCCGTGATCTGTAGCCTCAAGAATCGAAAGAAAATGGCATTTCGGATAAATCGCCCGAAATCTGTGATGGTACCCCTTTGGAATCTGCCAAAAATTGCCCGGAATAAATCCGCCCAAATCGGTGCTTAATGGACTCTATCATCGTTGGAGAATAGCCTCAGGCCGAATCCGTGATCTGTAGCCTACAATATCCAAAGAAAATGGCCTTTCGTCGCCCAAGAAATTACGAAAATGCCATCTGAAAATAAATTGGCCCAAATCGATGCTTAACGGACTTATCATTCGTGGAGAATAGGATCAATAGACTTCATTATCGGTGGAGAATAGCCTCGGCCTGATTCCGTGATCTGTAGCCTCCAGAATCGAAAGAAAATGGTATTTCGGATAAATCGCCCGAAATTTGTGATGGTAACCCTTTGGAATCTGCCAAAAATTGCCCGGAATAAATCCGCCCAAATCGGTGCTTAATGGACTCTATCATCGTTGGAGAATAGCCTCAGGCCGAATCCGTGATCTGTAGCCTACAATATCCAAAGAAAATGGCCTTTCGTCGCCCAAGAAATTACGAAAATGCCATCTGAAAATAAATTGGCCCAAATCGATGCTTAACGGACTTATCATTCGTGGAGAATAGGATCAATAGACTTCATTATCAGTGGAGAATAGCCTCGGCCTGATTCCGTGATCTGTAGCCTCCAGAATCGAAAGAAAATGGTATTTCGGATAAATCGCCCGAAATTTGTGATGGTAACCCTTTGGAATCTGCCAAAAATTGACCCGGGATAAATCCGCCCAAATCGGTGCTTAATGGACTCAATCATCGTTGGAGAATAGCCTCAGGCCGAATCCGTGATCTGTAGCCTTCAATATCCAAAGAAAATGGCCTTTCGTCGCCCAAGAAATTACGAAAATGCCATCCGACAATAATTTGGCACAAATCGATGCTTAACGGACTTATCATTCGTGGAGAATAGGATCAATAGACTTCATTATCGGTGGAGAATAGCCTTGGCCTGATTCCGTGATATGTAGCCTCCAGAATCGAAAGAAAATGGCATTTCGGATAAATCGCCCGAAATCTGTGATGGTACCCCTTTGGAATCTGCCAAAAATTGACCTGGAATAAATCCGCCCAAATTGGTGCTTAATGGACTCAATCATCGTTGGAGAATAGCCTCAGGCCAAATTCGTGATCTGTAGCCTACAATATCCAAAGAAAATGGCCTTTCGTCGCCCAAGAAATTACGAAAATGCCATCCGACAATAAATTGGCCCAAATCGATGCTTAACGGACTTATTATTCGTGGAGAATAGGATCAATAGACTTCATTATCGGTGGAGAATAGCCTCGGCCTGATTCCGTGATCTGTAGCCACCAGAATCGAAAGAAAATGTCATTTCGGATAACGAAATCTGTGATGGTACCCCTTTGGAATCTGCCAAAAATTGACCCGGAATAAACCCGCCCAAATCGGTGCTTAATGGACTCAATCATCGTTGGAGAATAGCCTTAGGCCGAATCCGTGATCTGTAGCCTTCAATATCCAAAGAAAATGGCCTTTCGTCGCCCAAGAAATTACGAAAATGCCATCCGAAAATAAATTGGCCCAAATCGATGGTTAACGGACTTATCATTCGTGGAGAATAGGATCAATAGACTTCATTATCGGTGGAGAATAGCCTCGGCCTGATTCCGTGATCTGTAGCCTCCAGAATCGAAAGAAAATGGCATTTCGGATAAATCGCCCGAAATTTGTGATGGTGACCCTTTGGAATCTGCCAAAAATTGACCCGGGATAAATCCGCACAAATCGGTGCTTAATGGACTCAATCATCGTTGGAGAATAGCCCCAGGCCGAATCCGTGATCTGTAGCCTTCAATATCCAAAGAAAATGGCCTTGCGTCGCCCAAGAAATTACGAAAATGCCATCCGACAATAGATTGGCCCAAATCGATGCTTAACGGACTTATCATTCGTGGAGAATAGGATCAATAGACTTCATTATCGGTGGAGAATAGCCTCGTCCTGATTCCGTGATCTGTAGCCTCCAGAATCAAAAGAAAATGGAAATTCGGATAAATCGCCCGAAATCTGTGATGGTATCCCTTTGGAATCTGCCAAAAATTGACCCGGAATAAAACCGCCCAAATCGGTGCTTAATCGACTCAATCATCGTTGGAGAATAGCCTCAGGCCGAATCCGTGATCTGTAGCCTTCAATATCCAAAGAAAATGGCCTTTCGTAGCTCACGAAATTACGAAAATGCCATCCGACAATAAGTTGGCCCAAATCGATGCTTAACGGACTTATCATACGTGGATAATAGGATCAAGAGACTTAATTATCGGTGGATAATAGCCTCGGCCTGATTCCGTGATATGTAGCCTCCAGAATCGAAAGAAAATGGTATTTCGGATAAATCGCCCGAAATTTGTGATGGTAACCCTTTGGAATCTGCCAAAAATTGACCCGGGATAAATCCGCCCAAATCGGTGCTTAATGGACTCAATCATCGTTGGAGAATAGCCTCAGGCCAAATCCGTGATCTGTAGCCTTCAATATCCAAAGAAAATGGCCTTTCGTCGCCCAAGAAATTACGAAAATGCCATCCGACAATAAATTGGCACAAATCGATGCTTAACGGACTTATCATTCGTGGAGAATAGGATCAATAGACTTCATTATCGGTGGAGAATAGCCTTGGCCTGATTCCGTGATATGTAGCCTCCAGAATCGAAAGAAAATGGTATTTCGGATAAATCGCCCGAAATCTGTGACGGTACCCCTTTGGAATCTGCCAAAAATTGACCTGGAATAAATCCGCCCAAATTGGTGCTTAATGGACTCAATCATCGTTGGAGAATAGCCTCAGGCCAAATTCGTGATCTGTAGCCTACAATATCCAAAGAAAATGGCCTTTCGTCGCCCAAGAAATTACGAAAATGCCATCCGACAATAAATTGGCCTAAATCGATGCTTAACGGACTTATTATTCGTGGAGAATAGGATCAATAGACTTCATTATCGGTGGAGAATAGCCTCGGCCTGATTCCGTGATCTGTAGCCTCCAGAATCGAAAGAAAATGGTATTTCGGATAAATCGCCCGAAATTTGTGATGGTAACCCTTTGGAATCTGCCAAAAATTGCCCGGAATAAATCCGCCCAAATCGGTGCTTAATGGACTCTATCATCGTTGGAGAATAGCCTCAGGCCGAATCCGTGATCTGTAGCCTACAATATCCAAAGAAAATGGCCTTTCGTCGCCCAAGAAATTACGAAAATGCCATCTGAAAATAAATTGGCCCAAATCGATGCTTAACGGACTTATCATTCGTGGAGAATAGGATCAATAGACTTCATTATCGGTGGAGAATAGCCTCGGCCTGATTCCGTGATCTGTAGCCTCAAGAATCGAAAGAAAATGGTATTTCGGATAAATCGCCCGAAATTTGTGATGGTAACCCTTTGGAATCTGCCAAAAATTGACCCGGGATAAATCCGCCCAAATCGGTGCTTAATGGACTCAATCATCGTTGGAGAATAGCCTTAGGCCGAATCCGTGATCTGTAGCCTTCAATATCCAAAGAAAATGGCCTTTCGTCGCCCAAGAAATTACGAAAATGCCATCCGACAATAAATTGGCACAAATCGATGCTTAACGGACTTATCATTCGTGGAGAATAGGATCAATAGACTTCATTATCGGTGGAGAATAGCCTTGGCCTGATTCCGTGATATGTAGCCTCCAGAATCGAAAGAAAATGGCATTTCGGATAAATCGCCCGAAATCTGTGATGGTACCCCTTTGGAATCTGCCAAAAACTGACCTGGAATAAATCGGCCCAAATTGGTGCTTAATGGACTCAATCATCGTTGGAGAATAGCCTCAGGCCAAATTCGTGATCTGTAGCCTACAATATCCAAAGAAAATGGCCTTTCGTCGCCCAAGAAATTACGAAAAAGCCATCCGACAATAAATTGGCCCAAATCGATGCTTAACGGACTTATTATTCGTGGAGAATAGGTTCAATAGACTTCATTATCGGTGGAGAATAGCCTCGGCCTGATTCCGTGATATGTAGCCTCCAGAATCGAAAGAAAATGTCATTTCGGATAACGAAATCTGTGATGGTACCCCTTTGGAATCTGCCAAAAATTGACCCGGAATAAACCCGCCCAAATCGGTGCTTAATGGACTCAATCATCGTTGGAGAATAGCCTTAGGCCGAATCCGTGATCTGTAGCCTTCAATATCCAAAGAAAATGGCCTTTCGTCGCCCAAGAAATTACGAAAATGCTATCCGAAAATAAATTGGCCCAAATCGATGGTTAACGGACTTATCATTCGTGGAGAATAGGATCAATAGACTTCATTATCGGTGGAGAATAGCCTCGGCTTGATTCCGTGATCTGTAGCCTCCAGAATCAAAAGAAAATGGCATTTCGGATAAATCGCCCGAAATCTGTGATGGTACCCCTTTGGAATCTGCCAAAAATTGACCCGGAATAAATCCGCCCAAATCGGTGCTTAATGGACTCAATCATCGTTGGAGAATAGCCTCAGGCCGAATCCGTGATCTGTAGCCTTCAATATCCAAAGAAAATGGCCTTTCCTCGCCCAAGAAATTACGAAAATGCCATCCGAAAATAAATTGGCCCAAATCGATGCTTAACGGACTTATCATTCGTGGAGAATAGGATCAATAGACTTCATTATCGGTGGAGAATAGGCTCGGCCTGATTCCGTGATCTGTAGCCTCAAGAATCGAAAGAAAATGGCATTTCGGATAAATCGCCCGAAATCTGTGATGGTACCCCTTAGGAATCTATCAAAAATTGCCCGGAATAAATCCGCCCAAATCGGTGCTTAATGGACTCTATCATCGTTGGAGAATAGCCTCAGGCCGAATCCGTGATCTGTAGCCTTCAATATCCAAAGAAAATGGCCTTTCGTCGCCCAAGAAATTACGAAAATGCCATCCGAAAATAAATTGTCCCAAAACGATGCTTAACGGACTTATCATTCGTGGAGAATAGGATCAATAGACTTCATTATCGGTGGAGAATAGCCTCGGCCTGATACCGTGATCTGTAGCCTCCACAATCGAAAGAAAATGGCATTTCGGATAAATCGCCCGAAATTTGTGATGGTAACCCTTTGGAATCTGCCAAAAATTGACCCGGGATAAATCCGCCCAAATCGGTGCTTAATGGACTCAATCATCGTTGGAGAATAGCCTCAGGCCGAATCCGTGATCTGTAGCCTTCAATATCCAAAGAAAATTGCCTTTCGTCGCCCAAGAAATTACGAAAATGCCATCCGACAATAAATTGGCCCAAATCGATGCTTAACGGACTTATCATTCCTGGAGAATAGGATCAATAGACTTCATTATCGGTGGAGAATAGCTTCGGCCTGATTCCGTGATCTGTAGCCTCCAGAATCGAAAGAAAATGGCATTTCGGATAAATCGCCTGAAATATGTGATGGTACCCCTTTGGAATCTGCCAAAAATTGACCCGGAATAAACCCGCCCAAATCGGTGCTTAATGGACTCAATCATGGTTGGAGAATAGCCTCAGGCCGAATCCGTGATCTGTAGCCTTCAATATCCAAAGAAAATGGCCTTTCGTCGCCCAAGAAATTACGAAAATGCCATCCGAAAATAAATTGGCCCAAAACGATGCTTAACGGACTTATCATTCGTGGAGAATAGGATCAATAGACTTCATTCTTGGTGGAGAATAGCCTCGGCCAGATTCCGTGATCTGTAGCCTCCAGAATCGAAAGAAAATGGCATTTCGGATAAATCGCCCGAAATCTGTGATGGTACCCCTTTGGAATCTACCAAAAATTGACCCGGAATAAACCCGCCCAAATCGGTGCTTAATGGACTCAATCATCGTTGGAGAATAGCCTCAGGCTGAATCCTTGATCTGTAGCCTTTAATATCCAAAGAAAATGGCCTTTCGTCCCCCAAGAAATTACGAAAATGCCATCCGAAAATAAATTGGCCCAAATCGATGCTTAACGGACTTATCATTCGTGGAGAATAGGATCAATAGACTTCATTATCGGTGGAGAATAGCTTCGGCCTGATTCCATGATCTGTAGTCTCCAGAATCTATAGAAAATGGCATTTCGGATAAATCGCAGGAAATCTGTGATGGTACCCCCTTTCGAATCTGCCAAAAATTGACCCGAAATAAACCCGCCCAAATCAGTGCTTAATGTACTCAATCATTGTTGGAGAATACCCTCAGGCCGAATCCGTGATCTGTAGCCTCCAATATCCAATGAAAATGGCCTTTCGTCGCCCAAGAAATTACGAAAATGCCATCCGAAAATAAATTGGCCCAAATCGATGCTTAACGGACTTATCATTCGTGGAGAATAGGATCAATAGACTTCATTATCGGTGGAGAATAGCCTTGGCCTGATTCCGTGATCTGTAGCCTCCAGAATCGAAAGAAAATGGCATTTCGGATAAATCGCCCGAAATCTGTGATGCTACCCCTTTGGAATCTGCCAAAAATTGACCCGGAATAAACCCGCCCAAATCGGTGATTAATGGACTCAATCATCGTCGGAAAATAGCCTCAGGCCGAATCCGTGATCTGTAGCCTTCAATATCCAAAGAAAATGGCCTTTCGTCGCCCAAGAAATTACGAAAATGCCATCCGAAAATAAATTGGCCCAAATCGATGCTTAACGGACTTATCATTCGTGGAGAATAGGATCAATAGACTTCATTATCGGTGGAGAATAGCCTCGGCCTAATTCCGTGATCTGTAGCTTCAAGAATCGAAAGAAAATGGCATTTCGGATAAATCGCCCGAAATCTGTGATGGTACCCCTTTGGAATCTGCCAAAAATTGACCCGGAATAAATCCGCCCAAATCGATGCTTAATGGACTCAATCATCGCTGGAGAATAGCCTCAGGCCGAATCCGTGATCTGTAGCCTTCAATATCCAAAGAAAATGGCCTTTCGTCGCCCAAGAAATTACGAAAATGCCATCCGAAAATAAATTGGCCCAAATCGATGCTTAACGGACTTATCATTCGTGGAGAATAGGATCAATAGACTTCATTCTTGGTGGAGAATAGCCTCGGCCAGATTCCGTGATCTGTAGCCTCCAGAATCGAAAGAAAATGGCATTTCGGATAAATCGCCCGAAATCTGTGATGGTACCCCTTTGGAATCTACCAAAAATTGACCCGGAATAAACCCGCCCAAATCGGTGCTTAATGGACTCAATCATCGTTGGAGAATAGCCTCAGGCTGAATCCTTGATCTGTAGCCTTCAATATCCAAAGAAAATGGCCTTTCGTCACCCAAGAAATTACGAAAATGCCATCCGAAAATAAATTGGCCCAAATCGATGCTTAACGGACTTATCATTCGTGGAGAATAGGATCAATAGACTTCATTATCGGTGGAGAATAGCCTCGGCCTGATTCCATGATCTGTAGTCTCCAGAATCTAAAGAAAATGGCATTTCGGATAAATCGCCCGAAATCTGTGATGGTACCCCCTTTCGAATCTGCCAAAAATTGACCCGAAATAAACCCGCCCAAATCAGTGCTTAATGTACTCAATCATTGTTGGAGAATACCCTCAGGCCGAATCCGTGATCTGTAGCCTCCAATATCCAATGAAAATGGCCTTTCGTCGCTCAAGAAATTACGAAAATGCCATCCGAAAATAAATTGGCTCAAATCGATGCTTAACGGACTTATCATTCGTGGAGAATAGGATCAATAGACTTCATTATCGGTGGAGAATAGCCTTGGCCTGATTCCGTGATCTGTAGCCTCCAGAATCGAAAGAAAATGGCATTTTGGATAAATCGCCCGAAATCTGTGATGCTACCCCTTTGGAATCTGCCAAAAATTGACCCGGAATAAACCCGCCCAAATCGGTGATTAATGGACTCAATCATCGTCGGAAAATAGCCTCAGGCCGAATCCGTGATCTGTAGCCTTCAATATCCAAAGAAAATGGCCTTTCGTCGCCCAAGAAATTACGAAAATGCCATCCGAAAATAAATTGGCACAAATCGATGCTTAACGGACTTATCATTCGTGGAGAATAGGATCAATAGACTTAATTATCGGTGGAGAATAGCCTCGGCCTGATTCCGTGATCTGTAGCTTCAAGAATCGAAAGAAAATGGCATTTCGGATAAATCGCCCGAAATCTGTGATGGTACCCCTTTGGAATCTGCCAAAAATTGACCCGGAATAAATCCGCCCAAATCGATGCTTAATGGACTCAATCATCGCTGGAGAATAGCCTCAGGCCGAATCCGTGATCTGTAGCCTTCAATATCCAAAGAAAATGGCCTTTCGTTGCCCCACGAAATTACGAAAATGCCATCCGAAAATAAATTGGCCCAAATCGATGCTTAAGGGACTTATCATTCGTGGAGAATAGGATCAATAGACTTCAGTATCGGTGGAGAATAACTTCGGCCTGATTCCGTGATCTGTAGCCTCCAGAATCGAAAGAAAATGGCATTTCGGATAAATCGCCCGAAATCTGTGATGGTACCCCTTTGGAATCTGCCAAAAATTGACCCAGAATAAATCCGCCCAAATCGATGCTTAATGGACTCAATCATCGTTGGAGAATAGCCTCAGGCCGAATCCGTGATCTGTAGCCTTCAATATCCAAAGAAAATGGCCTTTCGTCGCCCCAAGAAATTACGAAAATGCCATCCGAAAATAAATTGGCCCAAATCGATGCTTAACGGACTTATCATTCGTGGAGAATAGGATCAATAGACTTCATTATAGGAGGAGAATAACCTCGGCATGATTTTTTGATATGTAGCCTCCAGAATCGAAAGAAAATGGCATTTCGGATAAATCGCAAGAAATCTGTGATGGTACCCCTTGTGAATCTGCCAAAAATTGACCCGGAATAAATCCGCCCAAATCGGTGCTTAAAGGACTTAATCATCGTTGAAGAATAGTCTTAGGCCGAATCGGTGATCTGTAGCCTTTAAAATCCAAAGGAAATGGTCTTTCGACGCCCATAAAATTACGAAAATGTCATACGAAAATAAATTGGCCCAAATCGGTGCTTATTGGACTTATCATTCGTGGAGAATAGGATCAATAGACTTCATTATCGGTGGAGAATAGCCTCGGCCTGATTCCGTGATCTGTAGCCTCCAGAATCGAAAGAAAATGGCATTTCGGATAAATCGCCCGAAATCTGTGATGGTACCCCTTTGGAATCTGCCAAAAATTGACCCGGAATAAACCCGCCCAAATCGGTGATTAATGGACTCAATCATCGTCGGAAAATAGCCTCAGGCCGAATCCGTGATCTGTAGCCTTCAATATCCAAAGAAAATGGCCTTTCGTCGCCCAAGAAATTATGAAAATGCCATCCGAAAATAAATTGGCCCAAATCGATGCTTAACGGACTTATCATTCGCGGAGAATAGGATCAATAGACTTCATTATCGGTGGAGAATAGCCTCGGCATGATTACGTGATCTGTAGCCTCCAGAATCGAAAGAAAATGGCATTTCGGATAAATCGCCCGAAATCTGTGATGGTACCCCTTTGGAATCTGCCAAAAATTGACCCGGAATAAATCCGCCCAAATCGGTGCTTAATGGACTCAATCATCGTTGGAGAATACCCTCAGGCCGAATCCGTGATCTGTAGCCTTCAATATCCAAAGAAAATGGTCTTACGTCGCCCTAGAAATTACGAAAATGCCATCCGAAAATAAATTGGCCCAAATCGATGCTTAACGGACTTATCATTCTTGGAGAATAGGATCAATAGACTTCATTATCGGTGGAGAATAGCCTCGGCCTGATTCCGTGATCTGTAGCCTCCAGAATCGAAAGAAAATGGCATTTCGGATAAATCGCCCGAAATCTGTGATGGTACCTCTTTGGAATCTGCCAAAAATTGACCCGGAATAAATCCGCCCAAATCGGTGCTTAATGGACTCAATCATCGTTGGAGAATAGCCTCAGGCTGAATCCGTGATCAGTAGCCTTCAATATCCAAAGAAAATGGCCTTTCGTCGCCCAAGAAATTACGAAAATGCCATCCGAAAATAAATTGGCCCAAATCGATGCTTAACGGACTTATCATTCGTGGAGAATAGGATCAATAGACTTCATTATCGGTGGAGAATAGCCTCGGCCTGATTCCGTGATCTGTAGCTTCAAGAATCGAAAGAAAATG